GCTGAGCAGCTTGGTGGTTTTGTTTCTGGTCAACCAGATCGGAAACAAATCTCAAGGGAGGGTCTCTGACGGGAGCAGTTTCATGCCATAATTCCTTCGTGATTGCCTAGATTTGATTGAGCAGTAAACTCGGTCTATCTAGATGGTATTATATTATTCTTAATTCGATCTTTCCGCAGGACAGCAACAAACGAGTCAAACGAGGAAACGTACCAAATTATCCATCATGGCGCCTTCACTTAACACACATTCGTCTTTTACGCGCCCGCGTACTAGCGACCGTGACGCTCGACCGACTACGCGCGATCAGGGCGACACTAACTTGATCATTCCGAGCAGGACTTCATCTCTTCACTCTCGTATCACGCAGCCAATTCCTTCTACCCTCAATTCGAAGCCCCAACAACGAACACCGAAGACTCTAACTCATGCCTACATGGTATGTGGTGTCGGCCGAGAGCCTTCTCAATGGGTTAAGGCTCCCGCCCCGACCCAAGGAAAGATTGGCCACATGAAGGGCGCAGTTGGACAATTCTGGCTCCCAGAGATTCTCGGTAGTAGCCCTCGCCTCGAACAGGACAACGATATTGCTCGAGCCTTGCACGCTGCTATGAGGGTATGTTTCTCCTAGAAAAATAGCTTTATCGAATTCTAATTGAATTAGGCTTGTTTTCCGCACGATGTCGAAATCTGCACCGGCCGCAGCCAACCACACTGTGTTCACCATGCATTTGTTCTCCAGCAGGATTCGTCTCACACTCTCTACGGTATCTGTCTGCGTGTATGGTCAAGGGCGGACGAGAAGCGAGCAGAGACTATTAGGGATTTAAGGAAACGAACCGAGACGGATTATTACGACAACGCAGATGAAACTTACTGGATTCCCTACTGTTTGTCGTTCCTTTCTCGATACCCCTTGTACAACCTTCTTGGCGACTACTTGCGAGGGATGTGGATTCACTGGAACAAGGCCACCAATCTCTTCCACGCCGAAGAGGTATCGCGAATTCTCAGCTTTCCCGCGCCGAGATTGAACGACCTCGTCCGCATTGACATGAAGGATTACGCCCTCTGCTACCAGTTCCCTTCGTCCCCCACGGGTTTCCAAAACTTCGCTATGTGGCCTTTGTGGACTTGTCTTTCGGTCCCAAACATTGTTGGTGTCATCGAAGCGGCTATATCCCCTACTAGGCGCATCATATTCGTCAGCCATTACCCCGCGATGTTGACAATGGCTGCTGAAGCTATTCGCTTCTGCGTTCGAGTCTATGAGTGGAGTGGTCTTTACGTACCGGTTGTTCATGCTCGCCATGCTAAGGAATTGGTAGAGGAGCCGGGCCCGTACATCTTGGGTGTTACCGCAGAGTGCAGGTCTCTTTTCACTGCTCCGAGTGATGCCCTTGTTGTTGATTTAGATCGCAACTTTGTACTGACATCCAGCCCTCCGACTGCCCTGAACGCAAACCAGCGCAACAAGTTTGTGACGCGACTGACACAAGCGTTAAACGGTGATGTCACGCCTTCCGGTGTTCCCCAGCATTTGCGTTCCGCTTATGGTGGTGGAAAGTTGGTGCCCGCTGGTCAAATCATTGTCATGCGGGGCGAAGTCGAGTCTATTCAAGATCCCGAGTGGTGGAACCAGGATGCTGTAATGGCCGTCATGGACCACGTCTGTGAGAAGATGGTATGTGCTTAGACCTCTGGACCAAACTTTATTAGTTGCAATACTAACTATTTCGCTAGGGCCGTAACTCGGGTTTGAAAGCTGTATTCGGTGGCTCCGTCAAGAAGCCCTTGATGACGAAGGTTTCGATGAGGCATCTGAACGAGATTGTTCGAGAACGCAACCAATATTCCCGTGACGCCCTAGAAGCATGGCAAGATTTTATTAACCTTAAAGGCCGTATGGACACAGAGCTTAGCAAAGTTACGAAGCGGAATAACTACCTTGTGGAAGAATTGGAGAGCTGGAAGCAGCAGGTAAGGGTCTCTTAATGAGTGATGAAAAATTATTACTAATACAATACAGTTCCTCAAATTCCAGGCATTCGCTGAGACGCTTACTAAAGAGACTCAAGACTTGAAAACCAAGATTGAGACTCATAAGAGGGAGAACAGGAGACTCGGTGGCCTCATTGACCAACAGAAGGACGACAACGCCCGTCTTTCAGTTCGCCTTACTGGCACTGAGAAGCAGCGAGACGATGCCCTCGAAGCGCTTGTTCTTCAACAGGAGATCGCCGAAGAGCTTGAGAGGGAGCGTAAGCGGAACAAGAAGGAACTGGCTGCCCTTCAGCACACTAACGTCACTATTGTGCGACAACGTGACGAAGCACGTCGTGTCGTCTTACACCTGCGCAGCTTGATTGGTGGACAATCTCACCACATGGAACACTTAGTTCAGTCGCTGACTACACGGGACGATTTGGCTGATGAGATTGAAGAGGGCTTCGAGGAGGATGAAGATGAGCAGCAAGATGGTAAGTTACAGGAACTTTTTGACTTGTATTAAGTGTCATTGCTAATGAATTTTGATTAAAAGGTCACATGTTGAAGAATCCTAGCCGAGGAAGCAAACGCATCTCTACTGCCAGCTTTACCGACGTAGCCGACAGACATCTCAAGGACAAGACTGATGCTATCTCTCACATTATTAGGAATATTGCAGAGCAGTGTCAGGCCGCCGTTGAGGGTCTCCAGCTGGCTCAAGATGCCGAAATCGAATCATCTAGGTCGCACCGACGGGCAAGCAACCTATCCTCGGTTCATAGTGAGGATGGCCACTCGGCTGCTACATCTGAAGTTGGCGACGACAGCCACCTACACCCTTCCGGGCGCGTGTCTAGTATTCCTCCGACTCCGGACTTGATTCCCAACCGAAGCAGCACAGCCATGTCTATGGCATCGACTATGACGACTCCCGAGCGAGGGAGCCAGCAGTACAATATCCACAATGACATTCCCACTAAGATTGTCGAGGATGACGAAGATGACTTGGCTGAGCGTAGCGAGAGCGAGACGTTACCCCAGGAGCCCGGCCTGGTTGGCAAACACGCCTCAAGTCTCATCCACCGCCCGTCAGGTGCTAGAATCAGTGCTCTCGGTGGTACCCGTTAAAATTTTGTGTTCCTAGCTTGTTGCATGTACGGAGTCGGCGGCGACATGTACCAAGATCTTTTGCCTGTTGAAGGCTTTACCAAGGAGGGGAGAGTTGTCTCTATATCTTTTGCCTCTACCTGTGTATATGAACTTTGCTTATACCTGGGCCTATCTGTTTATGGACCTGTAAGGCGTTTTACTCTATGAAGAGTTTCGGATTTTCGCTCTTTGCCTTTCCTACATTCTCCCTTGGCCCTTTCGGTCCCGCTTTTTATTTTCCTTCAGGTATTGAAGCAACTAGAGATGATACTCTCTTGGCAGACATATACTAAATGTCTTGCTCTGTTACGTTGTTAGTGAAGGAAAAAAAAAGATGTGATGGAATGGCCATTCTGTCTCTTTTGTGTGTTGGTTAACATTAGCTGTCTGTCACCGAAGACCAGTAAATGTTTAACCTTAATTATTCTCAAGCTCACGTCTTATGTTTAGCATCAGACAAATAAGAGTTACTTCAAAATAATGCCGCCTCGCATCTTCGTAGAACAAGTAACGTGATTTTGTCTTGTTTAGTACGTATTTGATGGACTTTTCTGTAAAGTATATTGCTGATGAAAAGCAATGGTACTAAGTTAATTTTGTGGTTTATCTGTATTATTCTTACATTTTTACAGTTCCTAATATCAACTCGCATAGTCGTATCTGATTCTCAATGTATGGGTAGTTGGGGCGCTTGGTTGAACTGTACCGTTCTGGTGGGATATGTATGACGTAGGAAGTTATATTTAGATATCTCACGATATTTGGAATGCTTCTAGAACTTGTTAGTCCAGTGCACAAGTTTACACGAAGAATCACTTCTATAAGAGTGGAATAAACTAGGTACCTAATCTATTATGGTAGAAAGATACGAAGTAGTAGAGCAGCTGAGTCATGTTTTCGATTTACATAACTACCAAGTTGGCGTGTTCTATCCTATACTATATTGGCGTCGTCGTGCGATTAGTGGTTGCGTCGAACTTAATGTGAGAGTAGAGAGCCAATTCGCATCAGCTTGGCATTTAAACTCGACGAGTGTAGTAAAGTAGATCTCGTCTTGGCTTTTTGCAGCCTCTGTACATGGGTAGGTATTGATTGGTATAGAGTCCGAGGTGTCTATGTATGTATTTCTCGTCTAAACATGGTAAAGACATCCCCCCAAAGGAAGACATGATAGTGCTTCGGAATAAGAATCTCGTCGATGGTCTTCCGGTCTGACGCTATATTATGGGGAATCTTTGAGAGTGGTTATAAGGCATGTAGTCTCATTCTCTTCTAGGCAGTGTAAATGTATATCTACAAGGTACGTAAATGTAGTGGTGTTTGCTTGAATTCGTCTTCAGACGCCAAGACCATCGCAGATCCAAATTAAAAGGACCTATTCATCTCTCACTTATCACGGAGTTACCTAACCCCTATCATGATTCGCAAAATACTTTTGGCTCTTTGGTATGTATGTACTCCGCTGAAAAGGAGTAGGTAAGGAGTTCAATTCATGAAACAAGATAATAACATACAAATTAATATAGACGGCAGCTACTAGGACGCCCATGTTATACAGGTTTCTCGTCTTGATAACTACCTAACCTATGTAAAATACCTTACAATTCACGTAAATTCGCTAAACTACTCCCGTCTTAAGCCCGTGGTGCAGACTCCACGGAATCCCGAATCTGAGCAGAACAACAGACCGTGCTGTGCCATGTCAGACTTCCTAGCACCCCTTAAATACCCTTCAAGACACTTTAACCTATGGCCCTAGGTACCTAGGTATCAGTCCTACCCGACATAGTCCCCCCCTGCTAAAGAACTACATCACATCACATCCTCTTCTCTAATAATTATTAAAAACACCTCAAAGCCGGCTACTTCGCCAACAACGCATTCAAAAACCCCGGCGCCTGCTCCTTCCACTTGCGGTCCCTCGTCTTCGGCAGCCCCCACCCGGCAACAATATACGCCTTGCAGCACACCTCCGCGTCGTCCTCGTCCTCCACGTTGGTCAGCACGATGGCCGGGATGACAGCGCACACGGGGTCGAGCCGCCGCGTCGCCTCGTCGGGGCTCTTGTCCTCGATGGTGTACCGTTTGGCGTTGTCGAGCGGGTCCGCGAGCTCGAACAGCTCCTGCTGCTCGTAGAGCTCCCCCGCCGTCGACAGCTCCCCCGTGCTGACGCCCGGCAGGAAGTCCCACACGTAGATTTGGAAGTAGTCGACCGAGGTGTCGAACAGCTCGTTGAGCTCGAGCGCGCGGAAGATGATCGTGTCGCGGATGCGGTCCAGCATCCCCGCTTCGTTGACGCCGGGGAGGAAGCCTAGTATTTCCTGCAGGAGGCTCGCCAGCTCCTGCTCGTGGGCCTTGCGCGCGGTCTTGTACTCGGGGTGCTGTACCAGGGCGTAATTCGTGCTCTGGCGCCACCTCGCGATCTCGATGGGCCGCAGTTCCGGCTTGATGTGGTTGGCGAGAGAGTCCTCGATGTGCTCCAGGGTGGTGATAGTCTCCTTGGCGACGCCGCGTATGTCCATGCCGAAGATCTCGCTATTGAGCCATCGCATGATGACGGCTAAGATTGTGTATTCGGCTGATAATTTAAAAGACGAGAGCCTGGCGATATCCGGGTACGCTTCCAGCCAAGTGACGAAATCTTGGGCGGTGCCGTCTCTCTTGGCGGTTTCGATAACCTCCGCGGCGTGTTTCTCGTCTGTTAGGAGCGGTAGCACCCACTCGTATACGAGGAGTATAATGCTATCTACGTAATCTCTGAATTCCTATAAATATCCGGTGAGCAAGCTTTACCTACCGCAGAGGATAAAGAGACGGGCGGTACTTACGACCTTAAGATCCTCCTGTGTTATACTGTTACGGGGGAGCGTGGGAAATTGCTCAGCCCGCAACTCCTTGATATCGTCGGGGGACATACCCTGTAATTCATGGACTTCTTCCTCGAGGGCATCGTTCTGCTTTTCTAACTCGTCGATGCGTGCGACGTATTCATCTAAAGAACTGTCGTCGGGTAAGTGTTTCAATAGATTTTTAAGCTGCTCGTTCTCTATCCATAACTGATCCTGCGCTGCTTCTAACTTGACAAGCTCGCTCTTGACACGGCGCAGTTCCGCATTGTGTCTATGCCGTTCTCGCGATACGCTTTGGATGACGGGGTAAACTGGCTTCGCAACCCCCGTCCCGGTTTTTGCTTCCTTCATATTGATACTTCGTATTCGTTAGGATATAACGCCTACATACAATTATATTTGTGTGATATACTATCAAGCTAGGGGTCTGTGATGTTTAGTGTATGTCTGGCACTTATTATTAGAGCAAATGATTGCTTTTGTTCGGACCTGTCATGCATATAATTGGTCCTAAAGTACAGATATAACCGGAAACATCGAGTAGCTTTATCTGAAGCGAACCCGTAGCATTCCATTTAATCCTCAGCGCAAAGAAGCTTGCGTTAACAAAGCTGTCTGTTTGCGACATAATCGATTGTTAGCCAGGGGGATATCTCTCCTTTGTCCGTGTACGCTGATGATGCTCGAAGGTACGAGGAGTCAGATAACTATACTCAGCTCAGAGTTTCGTAAACAAACCTGATAATTGTTAGCGATTTGTAGAATGTATTGAAGACTTTGGCGCCAACTTTCATATTTTCAATTGTAGAAATAGTCGCAACGAGGTACTTAAGGACTCCTTATGTCAGAAAATTACCCCTTATAGGTACATGAACAGGTACTAAGGGGAAATGGCGTCTTAATCCCGATGTCTATATGCGATTACAACAAGTTTACTAAGTAGACCTCGTGGTCGGACTCAAAGTCCCAAGATAAAGAGCGTCGCTTAGAGTAATCTAAATACAGTAGCATCTCTATATCTTCATCTACAACCAAGGGTAGTTTGAGGCTTAAACCTGGTTTAGTTCGCTACGGATTATTGATACTATAGCGAGTGCCGCGAAGCCCGTTGGGAGCTCCGCGGCGTATATGAATTTATATGAACTCGTGTTTACTTCTAAGCCAGATATGCCAAGGCGCCTAAGACATAAGCGCCCATGGCTCAATGTCGAGCACATTTGAGCCGCCAGACGCACATATTTTTGTATAAGGTTGAATTTACCCCGAATATGCTAGTTGCTACTTGCTATTCCAACTATTTCCCCAAAGGGGAAACCGGAAACATCGTGAGATTACTGGTTGCTGCCATATCAGGCTATTTTACCCCCCATCCTCCCACTATGTACCCCAGACAAATCCCGAATCGCCTCTCTTGGAATGGTACGATCCCCAAAGTGCTGTGCTTACGCGCGCGCTCTTGCTAATGGCGTTAGTCAGTATGCTGCCCTCCCCCCGCGGATAACTATTTAAGGGAATATTGGGGGGGAGGGGCTATATCGGAATGCTGGGTTGTGGTAGTAATAAGCCAAGTGTTCCTCGAGGATTGTCTTGTGCTTGTTGTCCACTCCGTTTCTCCTACTTCGAAGCTGAGCTCGTGATACCTACTTTCCAAACTCGCTCGACGGGAACCAATTGAAGAGATGCGGTGCTCTATACTAGCGCTGCCGGTCTTGGCGGCAGCGACATCTGTCGTTGCCCAAGCTCCGAAACCTGGGAAGGATGGGAAGTACACGATATCTTCGTCAGGAATAAAAGCGCAGGTTCGGCGATAGTATCCCAACGAAGCTGGCAGAAAGACTGACACTTACACACACACTCTAGTTCATTCCGTATGGAGCTACGCTCACTAACCTCTTCGTCAAAGATAAGAATGGAGAAGATGTCGACGTAGTACTTGGATATGAGGACATAGAATATTATCGTAATTGAACCCCCAGATTACATCGTCCATGGAGAAGAGAGAGACAGAGAGAGAGAAAACTAACCTTTGACTCTAGCCAAGGACCCAGGACATCCAGTGTATAACAGTATCCCTGGCCGTTACGTCAATCGCATTGGAAAGGGCATGTACACGATCGACAATACAACGTACGCTACCCAGATAAACGACGGGAGCAACACGTTACATAGCGGCACGAACAACTGGTCGTACCGCGTGTGGAACGTGACCGATGCCACCGAGGACTCCATCACCTTCGCCGTCAAGGATGCGTCGAACTCGTCCCAGGGAATGCTAGGCCTTGTCCACGGCCAAGTGACGTACAGCGTCAGAGGTGGTACATGGAAGATCAAGATGGAGGCGACGTCGCCTGAGGCTAGGACTCGTACGTTTCTTTGCTTTATGACGTAGCTTTTGGTGTGCCTACATTGCTGACTTGGACTGCAAAGCGCTCATGCTGACCCAGCACACCTACTTCAATTTGGATGCCTTCAAGAACCCAGAAACGGACAAGATTTGGAACCATACTCTGTACTTACCGTACTCGAGACGGTACTTGGTCGCGGACGACGGCGCCTTGCCTACGGGTGAGATTGGAACTGCGGAGCCTAACAGCATCAACGATTTCTCCAGCCGCCCTGGTCTATTCCTAGGCCATGCGCGAAGCGACCCTAAATTTTCCGGGAACTGCGGCGGTGGCGGCGCTTGTGAAGGTTATAACGGCTACTTCCTGATCGACGATGCGCCCAAGGATGCTGTTGTCGTCAGTTTGGCTAGCGCCTTTTCTGGCATCACTGCCGATCTACGCACGGATCAGCTTGGAGTCGTGCTTTATTCATGCAATTGGATGGATGGTACTGCCGACTTGAAGAGTACGCAAGGTACTAAGACCATCAAGAAGGTGGGAAGAAGTTCTTGCGTCGCTATCGAGGCTCAAGATTATGTGGATGGCATTAATCAGTAAGATTCTCCCCCCTTTCTTCCGTCATCCGACGTACTCCAATTCTTCCCCGCGCCTGAAGACAAAATTTATAAACGTCGGTCGTTGTGAATGATGTGAGCTAATATGACATGCATAAAGCCCTGAATGGGGACGAGTCGAGGAGCAGATTACCGGACCAGGCCAGAAATACTCATGGGAGAGTTCATGGACGTTTGGAACTCTTTGAATGAGATTCGGTAAGGGGTGGCAGAACTCCTAGCATTCAACCTCAAGAGAGGACGGAAGTGAAGGAATTCATTCGTACATACGTCTCGTCGGCAGTGTCCGTCGTGAAGAAACTAGACGGACCCCGAATTGTACATAGCAGCGAGGTCATCGAGAAATGATAATCTTAGACGCCTTGTCGCGCAGTCCAGCTTGTTCAATGCTTTGGCGATAAGGTTACAATGAGTTACGCATGATTTGCAGGTCGAAATCTTCAAAGTCGATATTCAATTCGAATGCATGTTGACATCAGAATAAGACCACCATGGGAACCATTCCTTTTGAGGGTCAAAGCTTTCCGGTTTGGGGTGGCCTTGTTCTGACATACATGTAGCGAAAATACTGCGTAATGCGGGTGAAAAGGGGGGAGGGGCACGACAGTTGTTTGATGGATGCTTATGGCTTCGCACCCACGCAAATGTGAACGGAATGCGAATAGTCTAGACTTCTAGCTAGATCTGTGGTAAGGAAGAACGCCTTCCTTGTAGACATGTATTGTACCATGCATTGTCTCGGAAACTTGGGCAGTAATCCGGCAGTCTATTGATGTATTGTGTTTGCTCTTATTTCCGTAGGCCGTAGGCGAATTCGGATCTCAATGATCTGATCTGATGCCGTATGTAGTTGGAACCGTCTGCCTTACAGTCCGCCTGAATTTGACTTTTGATATTTTCCTACTATTGATTCGCAGGCAGCAATGGCCTGATTCGCTAAAGGATCAGCAAAATATCTATTTGTAGTTGATTGGCTCATAATTGGAGGGGTATACCGGAGGGAATACGAGCCCATACCGCTATAGTCGATTATTTTGTCTGCATGTCTTTGCGATTGCGGAGCATCGAGATTTCCCAAAACTCCATGTTCCCTGGGCCCATTCCCCATTAGACCAATTTAAGGGTCCGTTGCCTTGCATACGCCAGTCATCCAGGGTCCAGGGGTAAGCCCTTTGCGCCCACCCAGCTCTCAGCTGGAATGACGTAGTTTGGCCGAGGAGGAAAAAAAAGTTCATTTTACTTTCCCCTTCCTGTGAACGTTAAATTTCTGTACAACTCGAAGAGTCTAGACCCTTAATTAATTAATTAATTACTCGCCCGCGAACCATTCGCGCGCAATTTCGGTGTTCTAGACTTCGGGATTAGAGAGTCTTGCTGTAAAGCGCGATCAAATGCCAATCAATATCCGTTACCTTCACATCCTAGGTCAACAATTAGCTCCATGTCCATTCGTACGTCATTGCTCTAGAATAGGAGATTTCTGCATTGTGACTTTTTTTCAACATTCAACGTCATTGTCGTTCGGTGAGCTTCGATTGTTTTGAGGCTCGTTATTCCGTGGGGGTCTTCTAAAGAAGGCGGCCAAGCGATCACCATGGTGGAACGTTGCCACCATCGCCTTTTGACGAGATACTCATATTTAACCGTAGTATAGTGGTCTTATTAAATCAATATTTTGGCGAAAATAGGCCATGATCGTCTTGAAGTTGCGATCACGAGGACTAAAATCCTAGGTCACTGGGGACGGAGCGACACGGATTGAGATGTTGTTCATGATAGTTGGGTTCCAAGTTTGCCCGATCGGCTTCTTCTCATACGTAGCAATTCGCTCCCGCTAGTCAGATAGAATCTGAAGAAACAAAGAGAGAAGAAAATCAGCCCATAATTGTTTAGTTGACTGGATCGGGTTGTCGGCCTGCGTCTCCAAACAAGTAGGAGATCAGCTCTGGTGGACTGGTGGGGGCTAAAAATTGTAGGTAAGCGGATCTTGACCCTGAGAAAAAGTCTTACGAGTCCATCAGCCTCACGCTTCTAGCCATTCAGGGCCGTCCGCCGTTAGCGCAAGCTGATGTTTTACGCCGTCCCTCTCTCACCTTCGACAGAGATGGTGGACTTGAGGAATGACATCATGTAATTCCCGAGGATACACGTCAGGGGATAGTGACCTGCTTCCCGGTAGACCAACGTTTCCCCTGTCACGCCTAGCCTTACCTCGTGGGGGGTTAAGGTTGGAATACCTTGTTGATGGTTGGTCTGTGCAAGTACCACGCGGCGCATCGCGCAGGCAGCCTGGGGAGTTGGGCAAGAGGAGGGTTAATCCTAAGATTGTGTCCTTGGATTCTACATAAATCTCAGGTTTGGCCCTCCAAGTTGCCCTCGATCGACAGGCTCAGTTACTCATGTGTCGATCAATAACCTGTTATGTGATATCTTGTTGATTCACTACGTCGTTGTTGCTGTTTTATTCGATTTATTCCCTGTTGTTGATGCTTTGTGTTTTGTTCAGCTTTGGAAAGAGTTTCACGAAATACGACAAAAAGTTTATTACCACTTTCTTTATCTGCAACGCCTATCTTATCTACCCCACACTACATACACCACTTCAATTCGCGTTTCGCGCAGGGTCCAACCTGCCAGCGGCTGCAGCCGAGCGCTAAAACGAGGCCTAAACCACAGTGCTGGAAAGCTCAATTAGTTCCCCTACGCTTCTAATTGGAAATTGCATGCATCATGGCAAATAACGGCCAAGTCGATGGTTCCACACGTGCTGTCCAGTATTTAAAGTGAGTACCTTAATTTATATACCGTATCTAAGGTATTCTCCTATAATGTGCCTCAATTTAAGCTATTTTAAGCCAATGAGTTGAGGCTTTGCTCATATCCACCATCTACTTAGTCAAGACGCTGCTCCCGAAATAGCCCAGAGACCCAATATTAATGTTCCCCTCGACGTGAATTACAACTTACAGCGATTCCTGAACCCACACCTCCACGCTCAAGACCAGCACCTAAGACCGCCGCAATCTCCAACACCGCTCTCCGAAAATGAGTCTCGCATGCGCATGACGTCAATCTTGAGTTCTATGGGGCTAGACACGCTACCGAAACAGAAGTGATGAAGAGCGAAAATGCTCGGAATTATGACCTATATTATGCATTATGTTTTTGTTTTCTTTCCTATCGTATTATTGTCGTTTATTTTATGATTGCGGGTTGGTTTTTGTTTTTCATTCTTGCATAGCTGGTGGCGCTGATAGGAGGAAACACAATTCATTCATACCTTAGGTACCTAGGTACCTAGGTCCAAACGGAACTGCATCGGACGGAGGGTTCTTTTACATAGTTGGCGTTTCTAGCATTTTAGCATTTCCAATCTTGCCATTATTGGTGGATTCTGTACCATAGTATGTATACCTATCGCATTAGCATAAGTTTTGGCCTATTCCATCATCTATCACCTTCCTCTTTAGGCTAAGCCGGGTTGTTTTAAACATGATTAAGAAATCTACTATGTAATACGCAGACACGTGCTGGTTTTTGGGTATCTCATTCACTCGTCGTAATTGGCATAGGGGTTATCTTCGGCCTCAATTACAAACAGCAACTAATTATAACCACAACCCAACCATATTGAATTTTCAAAGTTCCTTAATACCAACACATCCCACCTTACCCTTAAATAATGGCAAATAAGATCGAACTGCAGCGGAAAGATATTAAGGGGGATGTACTCGTTGACGAAGCCGTCTTCAACATTCTCAATGACTATCTCCAGCTAGACAGCTCTGTCTCCACTGCGCAGGTAGCCGCCACCATATCGAAGCTTCCACCTGAGCCAGAGGACGACAGCAAAACTTTGGATGATGGCTTCTTCTTTGATTTATGGAGAGGCATCGTTTCTATCGCAGAGCAGATCCCGTATGAACATGCCGCCCAGGATAAACTAGTCAAGCTTATGAGGGAGCTAACCCTACTATCCGATACTGGACTTACCGTGTGGGAAGTAGGTTAACCGGGTCTCATTCCTACCAACTGCATCTAAGTTATAAAGCTAATGAGCGGGCTAGTTACGACTGTGGACCGATCTTCCAATTCTCGCAGCCGTCTTTAGGGAATATCTTAATGGGCCTGCTCAATCAAAGATCGCAGAGGAACAAGCACGTATTGATGAAGCTTGGATACGGTTCCACGCTTTCTCCGCCAGGCTCATGGGCGCTGGAGTGATCCATTTCGCGACTCAGCCCATATGGATGCTGCGCGATGCTCTTGAGGAAGAAAACAACCCGCCAAAGAGCAGCGCGCTAGACAGAGGCTTAATAACTGCCGCGATGTATATCGAGTTCTTTGGCGCAGTAATGGTCGAAAGGCTGGCCGCGGATCCGAACCCGAAGCTTTCTAGCGAGAACCGCCGATTGCTTAAGGGCGGACCACTTTTCCATGGGGAGCCCGGATTACGATGGGACCGTTGGGAGTTCTGGACTCGGAGATTTAGGGAGGAGGCGGAGAAAACAAGTACCAAAGAAGCGAGGGACATTGCCCTACGAGCTGCTCGGTTAATGGAGGTTTGGAGCGAGACAAGGCTGAACGCCCGATAAGGGGGACGACAGTGAGGAAGCAAAAGTTTAGCCTAGATGATGATGATGACGAATTCGTTTATCTCTAAACATTTAACTTCACTATATAACGATATATGTGACTCCTATTTTTTCCCTATGAAGTATTTTTGCCGTCTCTCGACTATATACATGCCATGAGGTAGAGTAAGAAGCAGGGAAGCAAGCCTACGGCTATACATACTGAACGCGTCCTTTGTTCTAGATATCTCATCTAGGATCCTGACAGTTTCCTACTTCCTAGGACACCTAACAAGCTCATTACATCAGAGAGTATCTTGTTCAATGTTCTACAACCTACGTCCATTCTGGTTTAAAGCAAAGGTGGTTTCTGTCTTTGGTGTGCTTATCGTGGCCGATATCGATTCGAGGCATGTATCCGTACCTTAGGCAAGTACCTAGGTTAGGTAGGGAACTTCCCGTCTATGCAGGATCACCGCACTTAATGTTTACTGAGCAATTGCTAATACAAAATAATATAAGTCTAAATATTAAGGACATGTTCTATGTAAGGCACCATCATAGTTTCAAGTAACGGCATTATCTGAGCACAGTCATCAAGACCGCCAGATCGTATAACTCAAAATATTTCAATTCCCTATTTGCTAATCTAACTACCCCTTGAGGTCATGATGCCCATCGTAGGGAACGAGAAAGATGTAAAATGGCATACGCTCAAAGTGATAGCAAAATCGCTAGCATCGCAGCATCTAGTACTGCTATTATCGTTCGTGTGGTAAGCCTGAGGCCTTCGCCACCTATTATAACTATTTAGTCTTCAAAATGGTATAAACGCAAACCATACCATGAAGGTGCAAAACCCATAGAGTACTTTCTTTCTTAAGGGCATGGGCCCTAGGAAGATATTCCGTGGGTCATAACCGCAGTTTAGCAATGTGTAGCCAACCGTGTCTAAAAACCGAAATATTCTAGTGAAATACATTTAGCATCATAACCATCGTCGGAGGGGTAAGGGGACTTACAGGTTAATTAAAAAGACGCCAAACCCGAATTTAGGAAGTGGGCCTCCCTGGGTCGTCTCAGAAATAACGGTTTCGCGTGCGGTGTAGGTAACGGGAGGAATGCGAATGAATGTAATTACTAGTTCTACAGCCAGCGCACGCGTGTACGTGACTTCATTCGTGGTGCCTACACGGACCACGAATATCATTACTGCTATCACCGCCAGACAGAAATCGATCTAAAAGTCGCGTTAGAATACTGGGATGCCGAAGAGAAAGTGAAAATAAACATACGGTAGCAGGTATTAAAACTGCTGACGTATTCCGGAACATAGTCCACGCAAGTACAGCAGCCAGCATGCCGAGGCCGAATTGTATGATGGCCATGATTAGCCATGATATAACTACGACGAGTCGCCTTACCCGGCAAGGGGCATGCATGTTTTTGATGCGGCTGCTAGAGGCGCCGCTATGCACCGGCCAGGTGCAAAAGTGGCATATGTAGCCACAGTCGCCGTTGACCATTTGCACCAGCGGCCAGTGCTTGCGCTGGTTCTCACGGCTCATTCGATAACGCCAGCATCGAAAACAGATAGACCGCCACATGTGGCTTGGACACGTCGTATCTATGATTAGGCGATCAAGTCCCGGCATACACAGACATTCGGTGCAGCAGCTCTGCAGGACAGGATCGTACTCGCCATCCGGGGCAGTGAACTGCTTGCGGACGACGTCAGCCGTTATGATTTGGCGGTACAACGGACATGTCTCTCGCAGCGTGATCAAGCTCGTCAAGTCCAGATGAGAGATGATAAGGTACTGCAGCTCAAGCGGTAGGGACTCTAGCCCAGACTCTTCCGCGTTTCCTGCGTTTGCTGCGCTTCCTGTCCCCCGCGGCGCATAGCGGCGACTGTTCTTGGCTTGGCTCTGGCCGCGCCTCGAGCTTGTGCTGCTGGTGGTGGTGAGTTCGATACTTGGAGACGTGCTCATCATGCGAGGTTAGACAGGTTAGACAGCGTAGCTGAAGAAGAGTAAAGAGTGTGTTCAATCATGGAATGAATGAATAGCTCGTCATCTTCCGCCGAATGGACTCTCCTTTGAAAGATAGGATGTAAAAAAGGGTTAATCGTTAATCGTCTTCAATGCGACAGGTCGGGTTTCTTCAATGCCAAGTATGACGGTTTGAAGAAATTCCCTGGACTGGTTTGATCGGTTTTCCGGCACAAGGCAACGCGCTAACCCGGCTGTCCGGCACAGGCCGAGACCGTGCACTGATCCGTGCAAATCGACAGTATCAGTACCTACTACGCACTGTCTTGGAGATACTGTGGTTGGTTAGGTACCTAATGGAAAAGGGGATGTCCGCAAGATGAGAAGGACCAAGAAATAAAATGAGACGAGATTAGCAATGTTTTAAAGTTTTCATAACAACGATTTTAAAAAAGCGGGATAATATAGTATCGTATCTCTACCTTAAATGAATATAAAAATAGTTCTATCAAGAAGTAGAAAGATGTTCATCTGGGTTAAGTATCTAAGGTTAGGTTACATACCAACCTAATGTACCTTGGTGGATCTCCTTTTTTTTTCTATGGGTACATCCCGACTTATCTAGCGGGATAAGCGAGACTCCAGGGATCTAAGATGGGTAGGGAAGCCTCGCAGGGCTGTCACCATTATACGTGTATGGAAGGCAAGGCGGAGAAACGACACAAGTACAATTCGGGGACCGCTTAGCGTAACATTGTATGCGCATAATGGTTTTTAGGGTTTAGCTAACAAATTTCAGAAGGTGTGAAGGGTAACGGGTAACTGAGAGAGAAGAGAGGGAAGGAAAGGCGAAGAAAAGCAGTTCATCGAGGAAGAGCGGCTTCTAATCTATCTACGTACAACATACATAACAGTATGCAAGTCAACACAAACCCTACCACCCTTTGATACCTTGCACTATCTGACTATCCCCTTCTCGGGGTCTCGTTGGACCATCTTACATAATCTCGTTATGATCTTTGGTCTTGTACAACGAAGATCAGGCCTATCGGATCCGATGGGTAGAACTACAGTCCCGGCACATGCATTTTGGGAATTCCAAAATCTTCACTATTACTTCCGGGTAGCCGTGAAACCACCCGATATCATTGTTTGATTAGTGACGAAAATGGGACCTGCTAGGGGGGACGTGTTTATTCACCGTCACTACGATGATCCCTGCTTTAGCGACTATTTTCGTCCCGCACCGGATTGCGGCAACCTGCAGACAACCGAGAGGATATCGGACTTTGACCCATTTATTTCCCCGGCCACGTTGAGTTTAAATTTGCCTTGCCGATAGATCGGGTTTAGACATAATCCATTTCCGACGAGCGTGATCCATTAGTTCTACTTAGGTAAGCATAGTTAACTATTTAACTACTTACCTATTAGTTAATCCAAGTTGTTAAAACAGTTTCGTTTTTCAAGTCCTTCATAACAGTTTAGTTACCTCTAGTAGAGATGTATTAACTTTACTTCTTCTAATGACCTTGGAATATCTTCTAGTACTTAATAATGCGCCCCTATACTATATACATATACCTATAACTACATAAACCATTCAAGACTGGCTTGCGTTAAACGCATCTAAAGTTGCCTTCATCTCGATAGTTCCTGCCTTGACCTTCTCCGCATAGTCCATACAATCTTGCCATATTATCTCACCAGGCTCCCAAATTTCTTCCCCTACTCTGACTGCATTGTCTAGGTAACCTTCAGCTCTTTCAGAATAGACTATGCTCTGCTCCAAATCTGTCCTCTTGTTTTCATTTTTGAGCTGGACGAAAAACTCCGCCGCATCTAGGTACCTTTTCAAATTGTGAGTCTTGATGAATATAGTTGCTAATATAATTATGACTTACCCGAAATATAGCTCCGGAGGCCAAAGTAGTGCTTGAAGAAGCTCAAGGCGCCGGAGTATACGATGCTCCTCTGCCTCTCTTCCCCCTTGTATAAATCTTGGTAATATTCTTTCTTCGTCGGCATTGGGATTTAACGCCTTGTATGCTTCCTCGAGATGAACGTCGTAGTCAGTATCCCAACCTTCACATCTATTACATTGGCATATGAACCCCCAGCACCTCAGCAATTGAGCTTGTCGTTTTTCCCTGGTCGCTTGATTAGGTATATAGCTGATTGTGATTTCCTCGCCTTCTTTGATAGGCCGCATCGGTGTACAGATAAAATGACCCGTCCATGAGGTTGTAGTATACCAGCAATTAGGATCGCAGGAATGGTTAAACCTGCTTGCCTTTATAAAAACGCCAGTTCGAGAGGGAGTTCGTGTCCCGTCCGGAGCTGTCTTAGAACTCTCTATCTCGAAGCAGTTGGCAGCATGAACAAGCCTGACGGTAACACACTCATCAAGTTGAGCTGCTGTTATTAGGTGGCCGCTATGTTCAAATGCTGCTTGATTTCGAAACCTAACGACGGGATTTGTTTCCGAGTGTAAGTCCCGAATTTTTGCCTTATCTGTTTCACTCAGTTGTAAATAAGACTCGAGTAGGCTGTTGGTTCTATCATAAACATCACTATGATCTACCTCCCAAAGGGCGCACCTTTCGACAAGAACACGTTCGCCGGCCTTGATATCTCTCGATGCAAAACAACCCATCCCCTTGAACCCCGAGTCCCTTACAACGAAAGGGTCCGGGTAGCCATCCGCCTGTAAATTCTCAGCCATTGTTTCCGTACAGGTTATATAATATTTAATTTCTTAGATGATTAGGTACTAGGCGTTAAGATATATGAAATTAAAGCTTATTACGGAATATTATAGCATTTTAAAAGAGAAGGGGAAATCGAGTAAAAAAGATGATTTCAAGCTAGAAGGTAAAAAAAAGAAAATAGAGAGCGGCTTAATTTGGGTAACGCACTGCAAGGAAAGCTCTGCAAGCAGAATTCCTCACCGGGATCAAAAACCCGCTTATGGTAGTAAGTGATGGCATTGCTATCGTGTAGAGCGTCGAAAGACAAAGGCAGACGGATTCGGCGTCAACTATCAACCCCACCTCCCCAAAAATCTAAATATTTCTTACCTGACTCACGATTGTTAGCCTTTGTTGAAAACATGTTTGCGGTTTTGTTATGCTTCCCTGTCTCGAAATTGTGGGTTCTCCAACTTCTTTCATTTATGAGCTCAACTTATCCAACATATCAGACTCCTTTCCATATAATCATATCCTACTGCTAATAAATATCTAGCATCTAACAATTGTTAGGATTTAGTACGAGCAATACTGATTCTATAAAACTAGTATTGCCACTTAAAGACAATCAAGACCAGCCATGTCTTCCGATCCCAGTTCAGAACCTTCGATAGAGCCTGCGGCAGAACCTACGGCGGAGTCATTAACTATCCGGCTTGAGCGGATCGAGACCGCAGGATTATATGGGTTTACCGACTTTGGCACCGCCGGCTTTCACGAAGCTGCGCCGTATTTTATCTCTCTCTATACGAGTCTCATACAACTACTCGGCGAAATTGCCAGAGTAAAGGTTAAGGATGGTGCTGATGCCGAGCGTGAGCTTTTCGGTAGAGGGGTTAAATTTCTTGACACCTGTCACGATTTCGTACGGGACAATATCGAAGAACTGATGAAGTTCAAGAACTTCCACTATAAGCTATGGGCTCGCCTCGAAAACTTCTCTCAACAACCTTTCACCTCTTCCAACAAAAACATTTCGAGACACATCACGCAAATGACATTATTGGCTGGTAATAACGCGCCCCCAGCATCACAATCGTGGGTCGGTGACGCCTTACCCGAGCATAAAAGATTTGTCAGGGCATATAACGAATTCATGGGCCTTGAAGATTGGCAACTTCGGACTGATGCAGATCGCCGCGAACTTATTTTCTTTTCACAAGAAATCCTTGATCAGGCACTTCTCGGTCTTCGGATGCCTATGGTTTCTATACAGATACACAAAGAATTGTTTCGCGAGGGCGGGCGCCCTACGTACATTGATTTCCCAAGCGACGCGGAAGAGTGGCTGTACGGGTTAGGGCAACGGCCGGGAGTACTAGATCTGAAGCTGAAGCTTGGCGGCAAGCTTACCCCTGAGGAAGAAGAGAAGAAGAAGCAGGCCCAACAGGAGCCCAAAAAGAGACCACAGCCGTCTTCTGAATCAAACCAGCCAGGTCTAAAAAAGACGCGTCTCCTAGAGAACTACACTATAACGATGGATAACGTCGACGCTGATATTGAAGACATCTATAGCGACGCAGCTTTCATGGATGTATTCGAGAGGCCTGGGTACGAGAGACTTCTCAACCCCACCGTTGAGAATCGGGAGGACACCTTAAACAGTTACGCACCCGAGTTTTCCAAGAGATTAAGGATATGCCGGAGAAATTATTACAGACCAGAAGCTCCCCCGAGCTCGCAGGATCGACGGGATCAAATCCTCAAGCAGATGGAGAATGACATACCCCGACTCCGAGACGAAATACACGAGAAGGCCGAAATTATCACCAGCCCTTCCAAGTTAAAGGAAGCAAGGGTAGCTGCTTATACTCTCAAATTCATCCGGGCGCTTTACATGAAATTAGTACTGTCAGCAACGCCAGAAATGTCGTCTGATAAGATGAACCGGGCACTAAGGGATCGTCTCGACGACTGGATATTACACGAGCAGGCCTGGAACGCGGGCGATGACAGGGCCATCAACAACCCTCGCACGGCGGCCGCCAGGAAGAGCTGGCTGATGAGGTTCGTCGACGCCAGAAACGAGAACATCGAGAAGTGGTGGGTCCTACGGGACCAGCTAGACGCGCAAATAAACAGCCAGGCCAAACGCGACGCCGAAGCCGACAACAGCGAAGCACAGGGAGAGAAGGAGAAGGAGAAGGAGGCGCCCGAAAAGGCCGGAGACAAGACCGAACCGGCCAACAAACCCGAAGAGGCCGAGAAGAAGGCTGCTAAACGTACTCCGGTTTACTGGGTCGAGCCCCGGAAACCGTCTAAGACGGTTTTCTTCGACGAGAGATTCGAGCGGCGGCGTGAAGACCGCGCAAGAGCGGCCGCGAAGACGAGGCTTATAGGGCCGCCCGCCCCAGGGCAATACTACAGCAATGAAGAACAGTATCGTCTAGAAGACGAGCACAGCGCCCAACTGGCCATCAACTTCCCGTCTCAGGGCGGTCCACCCAAGTTCCAGGACATGCCCAAGAATACCATTTACGACAAGATTATATACATGCTCGTCATGACGCATTGGCGTTTCTACCAGGGGCTGTCTGTTATATGATTGATGTCCGCGCCGGGGGGGAGTTTAGCGTAGAATTAATTATGTCTCTTATCTTAGGCACATTGGGTATTAATTATGAGCTCTTAATTATGTTCACCTGTGTTCCTCGCCGTCTTTACTTTCAGAGATCACTAGATACCTACCTGTTAGAGCTGCATCTTATCCCATTGTTACTAATAAGACCACACACCGAGGTACCTATGTGATGTATGATATTATTCCCCCCAGTGACAATAAGCAAGCCGCAATGCTAGGTAAACCCCACGGTAAGATGGCCGATTTCCCACATTGGGTAAATAAACTATTAGGGGAGAGAGAAACTTGCACCCTTATCTAACTAACGGCTTTGTGTCAAACAAAGCCACATCTAAAATATGTACTCGTTCGTCAATCCCGGATTTGGACATAGTATCGGCCAGGCCAACATCTAGCCAATTTCATCCTGGGTGTAATTCGCGGTGTATGTATCACGTACAGTGCCTCATTAGATTTACAGTACATTAGGTACCTACATGGTAGATGAGAACTTAAACCTCAGGCTAGGTAAAGAGAGGCCAATAGTTGACGCCGCCTTGGGTGTCCCACATGCCTAAAATGGAAATTAGGAGGGAGCCCAGGTACGCAGGTACCTATCATCTAAGAGATCGGAGTCAAGTCTCGTCATCTGCCTGCATGGATCTACTCGCCTTGCACATAAGCTAGGTATGTGGCTTTACATGAGACTATCGTCGCACTACATATGCGTGGTTTTTCTCTACGGTAAGAGAACAACCAGGTACCTGTCCTACGTATACAATTCTAAGCCTACCTAACATATATATACTAAGAGTGACGAGCGTATAGAATATTCGTCTTACGTGACATTAGACGCAAGTAACCACAGCCCAGCGGCGCAGACATGATCAAAGTTTTTTTTTCCATCGTGGGGTACACAGCAGAGCAATCTTTTCTTCATCATTCTATGTATGTTAGGTACCTAATCCGATTCACCGTTATATATTTCAGCCTATCAAAGGCGAACCGTACCTCCGACCACCAAACTCCGTTAAAATATACAAGGGTATCGAGACCTGAAAAACTCCTTTGCAGACATAGAATCGACGCTGTGCTGTAACTGATCATACATCGTCTCTCGTACCTTCACAGCAACACCTCATTACCAAGGCTAGCAATCGCCGGCTGGCTACTGTCACGATCTAGTTGCTGGTCTTCCTACCCCCCATTCCTGTACAACACTGGGCTCCTGGGCATCCGGCTGAACCATGCTCGTAAAAACACCTCGGCATGCTTCTAGTCGAGCTGTAATAATCCCGTCTCTTTCGGTATGGACCCATAGTTCGTCTATCGCAGCGAGGACACTTAAACCACATGCGTCACGAACGTAGGGATTGGCTCCCAATTGAAGAAGCTCCTTTAGGGCGACCTTTTTCCCGGAGCAGGCAGCGACGTGAAGGGCAGTTTTACCCTCGCGATTACGCCTCTCAAGATTTGCACCGGCTTCGACGAGCTTCCGGATTGATCTCTCCATATCTTCTTTATCCGATCTGGAGTCTTCCGGCCTCAGCGCGATAAAGGCCATTAATGGCGTTTGCCCCCGATTGTCATAATGGTTGACATCAACACTAGTAGATAGAATTCCTTCGAGGTATTCTAATCGCTTACTATTGTGGCTACTTTCCGGCCTCGTCTCGCCCTCCTCCTCCTTGTACTTCCTTTTCTTGTGTCGTTGGTTGTCGTCGGTGGGATGTTGGACTCGCTCAATGTCAAGCTCGACTTCTGCAAGAGCATGGAGCGCATTACGTCCGTGCAAATCTTCTGAGAAAGAGTTCTGGCTCGTTGAGTTGACACCATCGACCTTAATAGCATCTACTACTATTCGTAGAAGCTCGGCTTGAGACCGAATTCGAGCATCATCTCCACGTCCAGAGGGAATTTCGAGATAGGTTGGTGGAAAGTCCACATTGTTTGAGCTTCTAGTGTTGAAGGGATTGGCACGGGGCATGTTTTGTACAATAGGAGACTCCGATTGTTTCACCCGAGAGTCCATTGGCTTAACTCCGAATGCATCCCGCCGCCTAAGTAATTCCGTATCAAATAAATGATCCGGTACGCGAATGAAGTCCCGCCTCCTATTTTGTAGCAAGTGGAAAAAGCTGCGACCGTAAACATCAGTTGCCAAGATGTTAAAATTGGTGTCCTTAAGCATATTAAGAAGCCACTCCAATAATACTTCATCTTCGAACCAAGAGTGATGTAGAAGATGAAGGAACGTCTGTCCAGCTGTGTTCGTGGCATGAACGAGGGGGTTATGGGTAAGTGCTTGAGCGATGATATTGAGGAAATAATTCCGGTCTCCAGTTGAACTAGCAAGCCAATGGAATATTGTATTGCCAAAGGCATCTCTGATTTGATTAGAAGAAATGTCTTGGATAGTATGATGACCATTAGTGATTGGCCATATCTCATAAGGCGATCTCAGCTCGTTGACGATTCGGCACCAGCAGGTCTCGGTCTCGTGAGACGGTGAGCCAACCTCGCACATGCTTTCTCTATTAAATAAGTTCGCATTTAGGAAGTCGCCAGGGAGGGCGTATTTCGCACTAGACGAACTACGGGTAGCTGGTTCATCATGGGGAGGGAAAATCGGCGGCCCATGGGGAAACACAGGGGAAAAGGAAGTTCCTCGGTGCATGTCAAGATCCTTAGGGAAGGTAAACCGTTTCAACACACACCAAGCACCCTTCGCTTGGTCTCGGGATACGGTGGAAAGCTTCTCCTGAAAGCTATTGCTCATGCTGGTTTCGGTAGAATTGGTTAGATTGGTATCCCGGCGAGATGTATTTCGGCCACTGAGAGTCCAAGAGAAACGAATATCTCCAACTTCGGAGTCGTGGTGACTTGGCTCTTGTTTAATATTCTCAAAGGAGGGCTGGTTCGATTGAGCAAGAGTTAGGCTGTCATCGTCATGCCAAACAGAGCCATAGATATTTAGATGCTCATTAGTAAGGTGCGATGATGATGCCTTCTGGCGAAGCTTCGCCCCGCGCCGGCTGTTCTTGAGACCTGTGATACGTCTTCTTTCATCATCCTCATCCTTGGGTCTTATCCACCGAGGGTCGTTTCCGAGGAGTGAGTTCTTGACTTTATTGGCAGCATCCTGGATGAGCTTGTTAGCATCGTGGACAGATAGTCGAGGCTTAGTCAATGTCGTCTTGCAACTCATAAACTAGGGTGTCTTGAAAGGGGAGGAATATGGTAGCGTAGCACATAAGTGACCACTGCGAAAGAGGCATCGCATCCGGGGTAGGGTGTCCATCTTACATACCTTGCTATAAGATAGTAAAGTAAGCAATGAGATCTAATGTAAGATAACAGACAGGGAAAACATACCCAGGTTTCCAGACGCCGTCTTCTAGAAGTTTTAATATAAGCTCAAAGGGTAACCTCGTATAGATATATAGTCGCACGAGTCTTCGGGCTCGGGGTTCGGTCCAATCCTTAGGACGACCACCTCTATTGGTGGATGTGCTAGTAGTAGGAGAAGCTGAATTCATTGCGGCGACTAAGACAACACAACACCTATTTGCTAAGAACTTTTAGGAATAAGAAAAACAGGCCCTCCGAGAAGTCAAACTAAGAAATATATAAGAAAGAATACTTCTCGAAAAGGAGAAGGATGTTAATAAGAGAGATCCAATCCATCACGAACGAGGCTCGAGGCTCAAGGGGACTAGTGGGGCTTTTTATAGGTACTGTCAACTTGGTGCATGAGTTGGTGGATGAAGATGAGGTTAGATCGGATGTGCATATTTAGTACCTGTAGCGGCCGCTGCATCCCTGTACGATCCCGTTGGTGATGACACTACGGGGATGCCGGCTATTAAGCCAATCAGCAGGCTTCTTACGCCATTACCTACAAGGCAGTTAGTTAGGCTGTCCCTCAGGCGGGAGGGAGAGGGGCAGGAGAGCAAGGGTTTATGTAGGCTGGCCGATTCCCGAATCGAAAAGGTCGAAAAGGTCTGTTAGCACTGGAAGTACCCCTGTATGTTCCTTTTCTTCTCCTATCACTTAAACCTATGTAGGTATCGTGACGGGGAATGAGGCTTGGTTTACCTCGAACATGAAGATATCGGTTTTTAAACAAAGACCCCATTTAGGAAGAACTAATATTTATCATACTAATTAGGTTGATATTGTTAAGACATAAAATAGTAGCTCCTAATATTACCTTAGGCACCTAAGTAATTAATTAATCGATACCCTGCTTTGATATCTTGTGACGTCTTCTTAGTTTCGCTTGTAAGTGTCTTGCTCAAAAGTCTAGGTTAGGTTTAAGAGGGAGAGAGCAAACGAACTCACCGCAGCGGGCCGCCGAACGGTCGCAGCTTGTGGCTATGATTACTGGGTATGAATTGTGGCTGTTACTGAAGAATTAAGGGAACTCCCGTTACTAACACCCGCTACTAACACCCGCTTCTATCTGACAGGTACGTATTGGGGCTGTGCTTCGCAGCGGTGCCTAGCGCTGGTGGAGGGTTACGGTTACCTAAGGTAGAAGTGCAGAAGTGTAGAAAGGGCAATAAAGCAAAACTTCTTTCCTCCAGATTTTCTTCCCTCCATCACATGTAATCTGCTGATATATGAACTACATGGGCCGCGCTCCCAATACAGGGTAAGGCAACATGGAAGTAAAGAAAATGCAACTTTCTCTCATCTTCGACTAATCACCCTTTATCACATCGGACCATGTACAGTATAGACCCGTTGCAGGCCGGTTACAGACCATGGTCCGTCCACCCTATTATAATTGATAGCCAAAGTTCGAAAATCTGACAAGGCCGACTTGAGCTTACACGAGACAAAACCCACTGCGTTGTTAAGGTTCGCGCTCCGCTAGTTACCTTACATGATCGAATCCCACAAGCCCATAATGGATGCCAACTGGCATTGCTCGATGTCGAAAAAGAAGGAAAAGAAAGAAACAAGCTTTTGTTCCTCCCCACAGCCTTCCTTGGCAACCTGCCCATCTTGGTTCGGCGAAGACAAGGATCATTACTGGTATTATGTAGGTTTTCATCGTCATTTTGTAGCTATCATCACACTGTCTATAATCCGCCGTGTGTTTACAATACCTAATACATGTAGTTTCATCTTAAAGAGTAGAAGGTATCACAAAATCCACGCCGGTTAGTCAATAACACGTTCCGCTTCCGCGCTTTCAAACACCACAACTCCTAACTAACGCTTCTATTCGCTGACAGCTATAGACTAGTTCAGCCGGCTTATAATTCGAATTTTTCAACTTTCGATGCCTCTCTCCCGCCATGTTTCATCCAAATTTGCCACTCCGCATCCGAATACCCGTGTGCTGGAACTGACCGTAGTTCCACCAATTTTTTATTTGATCGGAACTGTATCGTATCACGATCATAGAATTCTTTAACAGATAAGCTTCTGACTCTTCAAGCTTTTTCTACTTTATCGTCTTCACGCGACATCCACCCTATATCCCCCCATTCCCCCGTACTTATAACGCGCGTTCGATCATGGCCGTGATTATGTTTGGGGATATAAAATGGGTCGGAACTCACGCTTGCGACGATGTAGAAGACGGATTTAGACATTCATTCGGATAGCATCAGCACTGACGTCTGCTTACTTTGAAACAGCTCATTCGTACTTTAAGAGCTCACAGTTGTGCTTCTACACACGCGTGTACATTAGGTACGCATATACGTGGACAGCGCATTTTACCCCTATATATGCCATATCTATACACATTTGTGACGCATCACCTATATTGAACCCGGCTCATCTCCCTCGGTATCTATTATCTCACACTGGATAACAAATAGCCCCACTACCATCTTCGCGCACATCGTCACATACTCCCATCGCTATGTCTAGTCGTACTTCCAGCTGCTCATATAAGTCAAGGTGATACCTCATCCATAGTCAAGCCCGATAATTCTTCCACTAACACTATAAGCTCATCTTGCCCATCTTCCGATCGGGTCTCGGATAGACAAGATAGAGTCAGTGCATCTACTAGGGAGACGGATATAGTGGAGAAGTTCTTCGTTACTGGGGAGCCAAGTAATAAGTCAAAAATGTCCATGGAACGTCAACTCGTTGAATGGCAGGCCCGTTATAACGGTGCTTCTAGGAGATAATAGTAAAGCTAGTGTTCGGCAATGAATTCACCAAAATAGGGACAGAAACGAGCTGTATGATACCTAGGCAGTGAAGGAATCGTTCACACGTGTGCCTAATTAGCGATTGTGGAATCTCAAAGTACAAAATTGTCTTCTTTGCTGTTCCCTAAACTCGTATCATCACATACCAATACGTCAAGGCCCTAGAACCACCTAACCCCGAGCCTCACACATGTTAATATAAAGCTACATATTACCCTATAGCTGTATGCAGTAAGATAATACACCCCACATACTGCAAAGCCACCGCATAGAGCGCGGGTAAAAGCGGGTATTACCCGTGTTGTTAGTAGAGGGTAGGTACCTATTAAGCCTCATCCTCACGAGAAGAGGCAAGGGATCCACACCCAAGAACGCCAGAACGGAATGAGATAAAGTTTGAAGTTATAATGACTAGGAGGCAGTTATGTAAAGGGCTCATGTTTCAAACCGGCTTTTATCCAGTCATAGTTCACCTCAGCAACCCTGACTCTCTTAAACCCCTCTGCTGTTTCTTCTGTCTTCATCAACACGTATACAGACTGATTAGCTTCCGACAATTTCGATATGAGCGGTGAATAAATAGATACATATTATGATACATCAACCACACATGCTGAACTGGATTCTAAGATATGTGATAACTTGAGTATCTGTGATGCATTATGTCTACGGCAAGATGAGACAATAACACAAAGAGAACTCTTTATATATGTATAGCTATTTAATCTCCAAGAGACGAGGCCAGAGTGTTGCTCAAAATTGCAATTATTCGTCTTCTACCTAGGTACCTCATACCATCGAAATATCTCAAAGCAATAGTCAATCCAATATGTCGGAACATGCATATGAGAACAACGAGCAGCCAACACCTCCCCTACTCGAGCACGATTGCTCGGAATGGAAAACAAGTAGCCAGCACATGGAAGACTTATACTTTTCAGGAGCCAGACTCTGGCAGAAAGATGATCTCATAGATATCGAGCAACAGCTCTCACAATTTCGCACCATTGAGAAGTTCACTATCTGGTGTGTTGACGGTAGTGTAATCTACATAAAAAACCCTATGTGCGGAGTACAACGACCGATTTGGTGAGACATTGTGCATAATTTAACAATAAGCTTTGGCAGTAAAATTCAGAGCTAACAAATAGCCATGGCTTCGTAGGTTTCCAACTGTTAAATTCCAAGAGTATTGGAGACTCGTAAAGGCCACACCCGATGGACCTCCCGAAACGTACCGTTGCTCATATCTTGTAGATTGGGAAAATCGGTCAGCAAGAGATAGTAGGGGACTAATAGAGAACACGGCTGTTTCTCTCCTGGATAGGTATCAGCTCTGGGACAGGAGTAAGACATGCAAGTCCTTTGAGTCGCTTATTAACAAGGTATTATATGGACGCAAAGTAAGCAAGATCATTTGCTTTGGTCTTGGTGATATATGCCTCAGAACGCCTGAATGGTGGAGAGAACAGACGGGTACAAACTGGCAGCAGATAGAGGCCGATATCATGGAAGGCAGGATAAAACAGTATTTGGCTGTATTGGCTATATTCATCGGAATCTGTTCCAGCACGGGGGACTCGGTACCCATACTAACCCAAGACCCTGATTACGCTGAAGAAACGAAAGAAACCCTAAGAGAACTCGGGTTCAAAGTGGTAGGGCAATTCGGCGCCGGAGGCTTCGCAGAAGTCGATGATGAATCCATAGTATTTACGGCCTTCGCCGCTGCGCCCGTCAAGCAGATTATCGCTGACATTGCACGTCCCGTTGTGATCATTGCCGTGGGAGAGGGCAAGACTTTCAATGCTAAGGAGTAATTAAGAACCCAACCCTTTTAAGCCGAAACACAGTTAATTCTAACATCTATCTCTTCTAGCCAACCATATGGAGATCCAGAATCTCCCCGGACGAAACAAATGTGGCAAGACTACGAATCATGGGACTTTCCAGTGGATCCCTCCGAAGCACAGTCTATGGGGGGGATGGACAAGTTGAAGATATATGTTAGAAAGACTACGAACATTATCGGTAGCGATGTATTGTTAGGGTAGTGTCACCAAAGGGGTTCTGTCACCGCACCCAACGGCGACTAGTGGATAATTGTCAGGATTAGATGCTCTAGTGAGGTGAATCATGCACAGAGTGAATGTCTAGGGTAGGTAGACCAAGTAGCGATTGTATTGAACTTAGTAACGCCTGGCCTTCTAACCTCTGACGAGGGCGCTTCGCGCCTCTTATATACTCGTATAGATCCCTGTAGCCGCCCTGACCCACTATACCCTGACAATAATGAATGATCAAGAATTAATCAACGTGGTATAACTATTTCTCCTACTCAGTAGAACATAAACACCTAACTAGTACACATCTTCTACCCTCTACATGTATTACGATATGACTTTCAAGCAGTGAAATCATCGGCAAATAGTTCACTTTGGCGGTAGCTCCGTAGGTCTCACCTCAAAATCGCCCCCGCCCAGTGCATCAATAGCTTCCCCAATAGCATCGATGACTCCCACGATCTCACGAGGTAGAGGGCCCCTACCGATGTCTTCGATGTTCTGCTTGACCTGTTCCACCTTAGTAGCGCCCAAGATAATCCCATCTTTCTCCCCAAGGACAGAATGGTAAGCCAGCCACCGCAGAGCGGCTTCCGAAGGCTTGATCCCGAGGGGTTCGATCGCCTCTAGGAGTTTCCGAACCGCATTGTGGAACTCAGGTCTGTCGTACCAGCGCGCGAAGTGCGCTCCGTAGGCGCTGCGCAGACGCGTCCCCTCGGCGGTCCCTAGCGTCAGCTTTCCGGTGAGGAAACCGCCGCCGAGGGGCGAGTAAGCGTTGAATGTCATGTTGTGCTTTCGGAGGAATGGTATCAGCTCCTTCTCGGGTCCGCGGCAGATCAGGTTGTATTGTCCCTGATACACCGATGGCTTGACGTAGCCCTCCTTCTCGCATATCTCCACGAAAGACTTTAGCATATCGAGTGGGAAGTTGGAGATTCCGATCTAGATTATCCGGTCAGTAAATCAGAAAAGAATGTTGCTTGGTGGCCTCACTTACCTTGCCACAGAACCCTTTCTGGTATTGCTCATTGAGCGCCGCTGCCTGTTCCGCCAGGGGGGTCTCCGGGTCCGCGGCATGAGCGTAAAGGATCCCGATCTTCGCGGCGCCTAAGTTCTGTAAGCTATTTTCGACGCTCTTCCGTACTGCTTCTTTGCTAAGACTCCCAGCGCTGTTCTGTCCGGCAAATAGCACCTTGGTGTTGATCGTAAACCCTTTCTGGTAAGCTTTCACTTGCCCAAGCATTCGTTCTGAGGCGCCATGGTTATCCGGTGGATATCTAGCGGCTGTATCGATCTGGGCTATGCCGCCATCTTGTAAGGTATCGAGGAACTTCAAGACATTTGCCTCGTCCTGTAGCGCAGGCACATGGGACGAGCCGAATGTTGTCGTCCCGAAGTAAATGACCGGATGTTTCTGTTCCATCGTGAAAGGTATGGACTAAGATGCTTGATTATAGATCTATAAAATATTCTATTATTATTAAACATGACGTTATAGCAAGCTCCCTTATGATCATTCTATACATAGGGGAGGATGATCCTATATATAAATAGTCGACTCTATCTTTCTCTTTACATTAACTGGTCAATCTCGCTATTTCTTGCCCGCCGACTTAGTCCGAGACTGTCGAGCGCAAAGGAGGATGTATGGCTAGGCTGGGTAATATAAAACACCGATGAGGCGAAGAAAGACGCGAGGGTCGTGTGGCCGATCCGTTTGCTGCATATGGGATGCGGGTCTCGGGCTGCCGCGCCTTTGCAACTATCCGACCTTATAGTCGCGTCTATATGCGCTTAAGTACGCCGTGTTAGACGGTTGCCTGGAGAAGAAGATTACGTGACCTAGAAGTTTGATATATTAGCCAAACATAGCTTCAACTTAGTAATTGTGCTTAATGACGACACGTAATGATGTGACCAGCTCTAAAATAATGCGACTGAGTGCTGAGTGTAATCGAGGAATCTTCAAGGTTAGTTGGTGACTCACAAACAAGCCCCTATAAAACTACGACCTTAATTCTTGGCGGCGTTTTTGCTTGCTTACGACGATCATAAAAGAACTAAAGTAGAACAAGGTTACGATATTCGGTGTAAAATATATGCTCTCTTAAAGTATCCTGATTGTAGCCCAATCTATCCTTCATGGAGTCTAGTTTTATACGATAGTTACGAAATGAACATACGAATAGCCTACCTAAGGTACATACTATGTCTTCTTCAAGTATCGATCCGAGGACCTACGCCATTCCGCCGCTTGTTTCACAGAGTTAGCCTTCCTCAAAGTAGAAACTATATTGTATAGTCAGTCGGCCGAGCGTACGTATAAAGTTATCCCTCAGCATAGCGAACCTATCTCTGACTCATGAACTTTGACTACCTGAACTTAGCTACCTGTAGTACATTTTAAACTTGATGCTATACGACCGAGCGTATTTTACACGTAATAGCTTTGCCACTCATCTCAGTAGGAACTCGAGTATATATTCAAGCACATAGCCCCGGAAATGTCTCGACCTTTTTACCCCTTTACATACGCTACCTAGCAAAAAACCCGAGAGCACATCAACACCCAAGCCAAAATAGCACTCATACCTCCTAAGCGACATCTAAACATCAAATAAGTCACCATGAAGTGCTGGAATTTCTTCTTACGTATAGTCGTGATTCTCGGCACTTCTCATGCCCTTAGCATACAGATGCCTATAGAGGACACATCAAAGCCACAAAATCATACTCTAGACATGTCCGCACTATCCCTCGGGGGAAACGCCACCAACTATCTAGAGACGTTCGGATCCTACAACAATACCGTTTCTGCGACAAATCCCAACTGGACTATTCCCGTATCCCACTGGGGTTGCACCCGCGCGAAGCTGAGGAGGGACGACATCAAGGAAACAATCCAGCTCATGATCGACTGGAGCAGCCGAGGCGGTGGAGTTTGGGGCAGAGACTACCACATCGAATTGCAACCTCAAGCCGCTGCGTACTTGTGCAACTGCAAAATCAGGGGGTTAGACTACGCTCCGGAAAACGAGATGTGGGAATTCTACGAGAGACTGCGGATTAACTGCGGCGAAGGCTGGACGGGTTGGATTTTTAGTAAGAGATGGGAAAAGGGATGGGCGGTTCACACAAGGACCTATGTTGACGATTTCCACCCTAAGAGGCATCTATGCCCTGTTTTTTGCTGCGTCTAGTCAGTTTATGGATATGAAGCCTGCTACTTGACCAGATGGTAGTAACGCATGGCGAAAAAGGGGAGATGAGGAGCGGATTGCGCGTAGTTAGTGTATTATCAATAATTATTCTTTCTCGCTAAATATAATATAATGCGATACACATACTGTGCATGATGAGTGGTATAGCATAATGAGGCCTAAACTCCGCCGCGCGATGCAAAAGTGTGGTATGGTACAATCCTAGCTCGAACCCCCGAGTCAAATCATTGCCCGTCATCCCTCTAATAAACACCATATTGTCTTCAAATTACCCCCCGAAAGTGAAAGATGTGAGCTTAGCTGATTCCTAATATATTAAGCCATTTACTCGGTTTCAAATTCGACTGCGACACCTGTCTCTTTTAATAGAAGGTCGCCCAGGGTTGTGCCATCTCGAGCATAGACCCATTCTCCCTTCTTAATATTCTGCTTCTCGCCCTGTGCCTCTCCGGATTGCACGTAGTCGTATCGCTTTGGACCGGAGATAGGCGACGACAGCCATATCTGCTTATTAGGGGGCTGTTTGTTGATTACATAGACACCGGCATTGGGGATCTTAACGGTCATAACGCCGGACTGTATGTGCATAGTTAGTATTGTTCCCAGTGTCGCATAATAGGCTGATATAGAAGGTATAGATAGCTGAATAGTAACTTACGCTATACTCAACGTCAACCTCCCCGTACTCATCCTGGAGCTCTTCAAACTTGGTAAGCACCGCGTCGAGGTATTCATCAGCCAATTCATGATACTGGGCCTGAGTAATAGGCGCAATTTCGACTTTGGGTGCTGTCTGTTGTGCGACGGAAGAGGACGCGGAGAAGAGGCGTATTGCGACGGGTTGGTGAGACACGGTACGAGGCAAGAACATCGCTGTGAGTCGTTGATTGACATTGGGGACAGAAGCGCGGCGTGCTGCAATGGCAAGGTTACCGCGGCCCCTTTGAGCAAGCTTCAGGAAATTGGCGCGCATCATGTTGAATTTATGGGAAGTGGTATAGTCCTTGGGAGATTGGTAATTCGTCAAGTTCACGGATGGTGGTAATAAAGGGAGAAGGGCAAAAGGTTCAAGGCAAAGTCGCCGTCTTTATATTACTACTCAGAGCTTCTATCGCCCTAAATATAGGATTACTGAATTTCAACCAGGGCTGGAAAAGGAATATCACGCCGTCCGTATGTACAATTGCTGTCCTGTCGGTAAGTTGGGGATTTGAGGTGAGGCTTGGGGAAAAAAAAAAAGGGTATTAAGATGCAAGGAAGCTTCGGCGTGATGGCAGCAAGAAACAACCCCCACTAAGAGGGGGGAAACTGCTGATCCCTGCAGCCCTGTAGCTTCTGGCGACTTGAATATGGCCCGAGCTCTCTTATGAGCTCATTATCCTTGTAACCCTTTCCCCTGGGTCAGCTTCTAACTGACCTACCTAATCAGATTCACCTCAGCGCCCAAGGCAATTACGAACACACCTATTATAAGGAGCATATCAAGAAATCTCACAATATCTATAAGTTACTTACTTAATATTTAAATAATTATACGAATTATTGTCCTCTTTGTTTACAGGTTTATACCTCTTTAATAAACGCCTCTTAAACCTCCCGAGATGTGTTACATCCTTATACTAATAATCACGAGGCTAAAACTTACAACATACTGTTTTTATATATTCGGAAGATTGAAATCATGACCCCCGTATCAACCGTGATACTGCCCATATTAGCAAGATTTATATACAGCTTGTGTAAACTGTAAATATAAATAATTCTAAGAAACCTACTTGGATCCCCTTTGCCGAATATTGTTTATGGGGAAAGATAGATGTTTCCAGTACATGCAGGTACGTTGACTCCTTAATCAGTTTTCGTATGTGCCATCCACGTATCATTCGACGATCGTCTCATATATACTAGGTTAAGTTCTCGTGAGACAACATAAACTTTCATGAGGGGCACCTTGGCTCTTACATACTAGTGGAAGTAGAAATGTAGCTCAAAACTTTACCAGACCTACCCCCAAAAGAGAAAAGCTCGAGTGGAAACGAGAAGGTCCACAGTTGTTTGTTAAAAGAAGGGGGTTGATTGGCGCCTGTGGGAATAGCGTTTTTATTGTGAGGGCTATGAGTTCGCTTGCTAGTTTAGCCTTTTAGGTATGATCTAAGAAAGACAGACGTTCGCATTCTACTCTTCGATAGATTTGGGGTCAGCCCAATCAGAGGAGCAGGATTCGGCAGTAACTTCACATGTAGATAGCTCTGATATCTATATGATCTACACTTCTTTCATCACTACTAGAGAAATACGACGACAGCATGATGGCCGATTAGCCCCCCTGATATACATACATATGTGTGCTAATCGTTAAGTGGCATAAAATTCTGACGACCCACTCTAGTAGCAGTCATTAATATGTCTCATAGCCGTAGACCGGCAAGAATCGGCGATGGGATGCATGGAGAGAAATTAATATCTTTGCAGATATCTAGAGCTTAAAGCCGGCTCTTGGTTACATATGGTTAGTATGACGACACTACCCGAGAGCTACCCCGCTTCACGATGAGTATAAAGATGTTGAGCAGAATCTTCTGGCAGAAGAATTAATTCCTTCCTTCTTTCTACACTCACCTGACTTTAGTCAACTTATACAGATATTATCTGCATTAGCATCCGTACGCCTCGTAGTAGAGACCAAATCCCTATTGTTCTTTAGACAAGGACGTATGCTAATTGTTAACTTGACCAGGACCGATACTCGGTACGCGTCAAGATGGCGACCCCGCCAGAGGACATGACCTCAGATGGGTTATCCAGCAAGAGTTCAAATGACTGCACTTGATCAAAGACCCCTCATCATTAGGTAAAGAATCTGAGATGAGCCATGAGCCGGTGTTCGGGTCTCCGCGTCCCGTCCATAAGTGCATCCAACCATACCCATCCGGAAATCATTTTTCCGTGTGAAGGGTACGGAGATGCATGGAGGACGGGGCAAAACGCGGAGCTCGTTCTGAGATTATACGGCCGAAAACTTGATCTGGATAATACCAGCGAAAGGATCATGCTCTCGATGTTTTCCCCTTTAACCCCCCGTGAGTGAGTAACTAACACATATCAGAAAACTTACCTAAAATTTAATCAAAATGGCACCATCTGCTGTCGACGTCGTAGAGCCTACCACTCTTCCTCACAAGGGAGGCATCCCCGTTGGCAATGGCAAGCTCCGCACTGGTGGAGCCGTTCAGGCCCTCGACGGGAAGTGGAAGGAGTTCTCTTTCGAACCCATCAGGGAGTCACAGGTCGCCCGTGCTATGTACCGCCGATACTTCAAGGACCTCGACACCTACGCCGAGTCTGACATTGTCATCGTCGGCGCCGGCTCATGCGGTCTTAGCACAGCCTATACTCTGGCCAAGGCTCGCCCTGACCTGAAGATTGCAATTATTGAAGCTAGCGTTTCCCCCGGTACGTTCACTTTATATAGTAGTACTTTATCGCCCAACGAGGCTGACGTCTAGTGTAGGTGGTGGTGCTTGGCTTGGAGGCCAGCTTTTCAGTGCCATGGTTATGCGCAAGCCGGCTGATAAGTTCTTGACCGACCTCGGTGTGCCATTCGAGGACGAGGGAGCTTATGTCGTGGTCAAGCACGCTGCCCTCTTCACATCGACCCTACTGTCGAAAGTGTTGGCTTTCCCGAACGTCAAGCTTTTCAACGCCACCGCTGTCGAGGATCTCATCACCCGTCGCGACGAGTCTGGCAATATCCGCATTGCTGGTGTTGTCACTAACTGGACCCTGGTCTCAATGCACCATGACGACCAGTCCTGCATGGACCCTAGCACTATTAATGCACCTGTCATTATTAGCACCACTGGCCACGATGGACCGTTCGGTGCTTTCAGCGTCAAGCGACTAGTCAGCATGCAAGCTATTGAGAAGCTCGGCGGCATGCGCGGGCTGGACATGAACACCGCCGAAGACGCCATCGTCAAGGGTACCCGAGAAATCGTGCCCGGCTTGATTGTAGGTGGTATGGAGCTCAGCGAGGTTGACGGAGCCAACCGTATGGGCCCAACCTTCGGGTAAGTCATATATCATGCCTTGAAAAGAATAAAGGAATATAAACTAATTGGTTCGAAGTGCCATGGCTCTATCTGGCGTGAAAGCGGCAGAGGAAGCTTTGAAGGTGTTTGAGCAGCGCCAGAAGGAGAATGCATTCTAAACTGAGACTCTACCATAAGACGGTGGATGACGGTGGATGCGAGGGGGGTTCATACGTACCTGATGGATCATAGCTATTGTTCTGGAGGTACAGATCTTTCTCTAGATAAGAACGAGCATACATGACTCGCAGAATACATTCATTAAGATGTGTCTTAGATTCGATATGTTTGGTGCATGCTTGTATTGGGTTTGACATGATAATACACATCATTGAAGATTTGGTGATGAGGATGAGAAAATGTAACGCCTTTTCCACTATTGGCGCGTACCGTTAGGTAACTAAGTACTTCGTACCTGACCTTAGACAGCCCGGAATAATTCCGGAACAGCTTTTTACTCCACCTTAGCTTTAAAAAGCTCAAAGCTCGCAAATTTTTTCAATTAATTTCCCAACAACAACAAATCCAGCAATCTTTTCACTGGTAAACTCGTGGAAGATGATGTGTCGCAATGCGCATCTTGCTGATCAGGCATGGCGAGTCCGTTGACAATGTAGCTGGCCTCTAGTAAGCAATGCCTGCTCTAGCGTCCAGCTGTCGAGAGCTGACCTTTTCGAAGTGCAGGCTCCCGCGATTCTCCCTTGACAAATCACGGTGTTCTACAAATAAAGAGATTGGGTGCTCATCTCGCGAAGTGTTGCGAAACCACTGCCCCAATCAAGTACATATTCACCTCCAATCTTCGAAGGGCTTATGAGACAGCCGGTGCTGTATCCAAAGCTCTTGCTGATACCCGAATCTCTTCAAGCGGTAGTGAATCGGACACACATACTCCCCTGGAGGTCGTACAACTCCCTGAGCTACGAGAGAAGGACTATGGGTCATCCGAAGGCAAAAAATACAGAAATCTCAATGGTCTAATTCAACCGGACTCAGAAACTCCCGAATCCATGAGAATCAGAATTGATCGATTTCTGGATTCCCACTTGACCCCAATCGTTGATACACATGTGTCCGATAAGATCACAGTTGCTATAGTAGCACACGGCGTTATCCTCGGTGTGCTGTTGAAAGGATTGCTTAAACGCTTTCCTGGCCCGACTGGTTCTGCAGTACGCCACGGAAACCGTGACAACTGGCCGGAGTCCGCAGCATGGAGCAACACTGGTGTACTTCAGGCTAGGCTTGAAATGGCCAACAGTGTGTCGAAACCAGGTTGCCCAAGTGATGCCGTGTCTGTCAGCCCAGCGACCCCGGGAGACGATTCGAACTTGCACAAAGGGACAATATGTCTGACCGTTGAGTTTATCAACAATGTTGACCACCTCGAGGGTCTGAAAAAGACGAGAGGTGGCATTGGTAGCACTAAATTTGACTCACGTCAGAGGACCATGGACTCGTTCTTCGGGCCTGCTTCAAAGAAGCGTAAGCTTGGGGACTCATAGTCTACTAATTTAGCAAGTCTCCTTTAGAACCCATCCGGGATTCTATGATCATGGTATGTTTATATCCAATCCCTCAAAATTCTCCTTATATGATGAAAGCACATAATTCACAGACCTGTTCTGAATTAAATGTGGAATCACTTATGTCCAACCGCTATCTGATATCTATCAACTTAATCCCTACCTTTTATATTCTGTTAGGGAACCTTTGCTAATTTGGCACTTCATTTAGATGCGCTTCCCAGAGATCGAGAAGAAGTAGTGCTGTAGTACACCTCATTACTATCAAGTACCAATCAGCTACCAGTACTTTGGCTACGAATTTTGCCGTAATCCTAGCTTCATTGTTGAGGAATAGGACGAACAGTTAAATCATTCGTCGTCCTCTTCCTCTTCCGCTTCCGCCTCCGAAGGTAATTCGTTTGGAAACCATCCACATTCGGAGAAGTCCACCATAAGTTCGCCCAGCGCGCTAGTAGTAACATTAACGCCCTCAGTTCGTAGAGCAGCTGCCTGATTTCGTGCCCCTGAGGGTTGTGACCTATATGGTTGTTAACATATGTACTGTCTTTGAGAATGAGGTAGCATACCTGGGCGAGATCATGCCCTTGGCATTGATAACCCTTTGCCATGGGACGTTATCATGGTTAAAACGTGAGTCTGTATCTTGTGGGAGATGCTTGAGGCATATGCCGACTTGACGCGGTCGTTCGGCTACAAATCTAGTTATTATACTATCAATATACTTCGAATTACTAGGCATTATCATACGAGTTCCAATTAACTTCGCAATGTGTCCGTAAGTTGTGACCTTTCCGTAAGGAATCTGCTGTACGGCGGCGTACACAGCGTAGAAGAAGGCCTCTGCCTCTTCTGACCTGGCCATTATAAATTGGTGGGAATATGTAGGCAAGTTTGGATAATATATCAATCAGCGGGAGTAAGATGTTGGATGGTAATATCTTGATGAACGCTGTGGAATTTTATGAGGCTAGATGCTGAGGTATCAAGCATGAGATCAATACAAGGGCGCCATGCACGGGCCAGCCGGTCGCGCTGCTTTTGGGTTAACTGCATGTACAGTGCCATACAGTAAATATTTTTGCATCGTCATAAGGGAAAGAGAATACACTTGGAAGAGGGTAGTTTGATCATAACAGCCTTTTTTTTTTTTTTTTTTTTACAGCATTAACAATATTCCCATATGATAACCCCAGCTTAACATCAATCAATTTCCCGAAGCCAGTCCATGACCAAGGCAACGGTCCGGATTGAATGTTGCGGAGGTGATAGTGACAACAGCTCTTAGGACCAATTCATCTCTGAATTTATCGCCTTCTTCTCGTCTCTTAAGCAATTCGCATGGACATCGGGAAGGATTTCCATGATGAGAGGAGAAGCCCATTGGGCAAAGATATATCTTTTTAAAGCCCCATGAAGTTGAGAGGTCAACTTTGCTATCCCCTGACACTCCGCTCATATGAGAGTGCATCGATGCACTAGTAACATCATCATCAACGATCACTGATCTCGTGATCTCAACAACGTCTATATATTTCTTCTTTTCGATCCAGTCGATTAGTTTGCGAATGCCAAAGTATCGGGCCTCGCCTAGCAGGGATAAGTACTTGGCGTGGTCGAAGGTAAGCGTGCTGCTGTCGAAGAAGACTGGGAAATTCCCGCTCCGAAGATAACTAAGGATGTGCTCGAAGAGGGCCGGATCGGCATCGATAAAGTAAGAGCCATCTTCATCGGCGTCATTCCACCTCCCGGAGAGGCGCGCTGCGAAATACTCGCTTTGGATAAGGGTTTCGCGAAGGGTGGTGAATCGACGTTCGCCGACTCGTAGAGTGATTCGATCGGCGAGGCTGCCGAAACTATCACGGAATGCGCTATCTGTGGACGAGCTGGTCCTGCTGGCAGCATCATCGCTATAGCCACTCATAGTCCTAGGGAACCGGGTTGGATGGTACTAAATGAGGAGATATAATGTAATGGATCTCTTAAGGAGTACAAGTACTAAGGCTACCTAATATACCATAGTTTAGGTAGGTACCTATACATTCGATTTGGAATGTTTCAAGAAACACGGCTGCTAGATTTCAATATCACGTAGTTATCATAGATAAATTCCATAACATTTGGAGGGGGTGTATGGCAGTGCAAGCAGCCTGCATGTGCGACTGTCATGTCATGCGACACTTGAACATAGGTAGGTTACAGGTACATAATACGATGAGGTGGGATCTGAAAGGAGGAGATATATTGCAATTACGAGCGGAAGGCGATGCGCAATTGCTATTCGATTAGAGTGGGAGATGAATGGACAAACACTTATATTGTCTTGCTCATCTACATCGGTATCCTTTGAGGAATTGAATTATATAAGGGACCCAGTAGACCTGCAATACCCCTTTACTTATATACTCATACATATATGTCCGTAGGGGGAATCTGCCGCTTCAACACGAACAACACGGACTCTCTTCCGTGGCAAACGGCAAGCGGGGTTGTTAACGAGATACGGCATATGAGCATGTATATTACATTAGGTAGTATTTTAGAATGAAATTATAGATTATCTCAAGCTTACTAGCTTTCCTCTAGGACCTATGTAGAGAGGGCGATATACCTACTGTACACTAACAATTGCGGTGCGGCTGAGCAAGGCGTTTTGTGTTGTATGTTATAGCCAGATAGCATGGTTTTTACTCATGTAGGGGCAGGTTCTTTGGCTGCGTGTAAGTGGCACGAAAGTTGGCGATGTTTACCTCGTCGAGCGGCTGAGAGAGCGCATGGTTCTTAAGCAGGGCTCATGAATTGGAACTGGGTAGTATCAAGGATATTAATCCGTTTAAGCCCTTTCTATCCTTACATAGTATCAATGGCGACAGCGCATCCAGCCGAGTTGTTTGTATGTATGTAAGATCGCCACTATCCAATATTCCGCTAAGGAGGCGCAGCATCCAATTGCGATTACCGATCGTCACAACTCCATAGTTCATAATAAGGTAGTAAGGATATGAAATCATTAAGAGTTATTCTTTCAGCTTTTTCTTACTTGACTTTGATTTTACTTTTGATTTTAGGTTCCTTCTACTCGAAGTCGCGTACGAATTCAAGAATCTAGAACATTGTCGCCAAATTTCGACTTATATACCTACATCATGTCGCCAACCCCTTCAGTAGACTCAAGTTCATTCAAAAGCATCTCAGATGTTGAAAGCGACTTTCAAAGTAGCTATAACAGAACAACCACAGCAATCACAACAGGATGGATAGTTGGCATCGTCTTCATAGCCCTATCCGTTATAATCGGCTTAATCCTGCTCCTCTGGATGTACAACCGAAATAGCAGGAGACGGCAAGAAAGAATGGCACAGCTCAACGCAGACCCGAATCATAACGGAAACCAGATACCTGGGATACCCGGGATACCTCCGCAAGCTATGTCAAGTCCGCAAGCTATATCAAGTCCGTCAGCCTACGGACAACCTAGCGAACGTGCCAGCCCGTATGCGCCGCCAAGATCCGAAGCTCCAGATACGCCAATGCCACCTCGCGAGGTACCAAACAACGAAGCTCCGCGCAAACCGTATGAAGCAGATTCAATTCCGCGGAGCGAGCTCCCCGTCTGAGATCAAAGACGGTTTAAAATCGATAAGGGTTAAATAAAAGAGAAATGCAAATTTTTGATATTGGCCTCAAGTCAAAGGCCTAAAGATGCGGCTTGGTGCTCGCGTCTATTATCATTATGTCTACCTAATGAACTTATGTAACTGTATGCCGCAGCGTTATGCGGTTGCAGTATGATTTATATATACTTAAAAGATACCCGGTGCTGCTCCGCAGTTCTCAATGTTACTTTCCTTTTTGGATCTATTCATCAAGCATTATCAGACCCTGATATATCAGCGAAATGTCCCCGGTTCGACTTAAATCTTGTTCTACGCCTCTAGGTCTAGTATATGAAGTGCCCACTTATAGATTGAATACCTAAGGCGCCGACAGGTATGAGGTTCACTTATATCACTACCCTGTTCGCATGGGGAGGCTTGTGCCAAGGCGTGCTTGAAGTTTTCCAGGCCGCACCACCTCCCAGATCAACTTTCGATAGACCAGCATGCCGCCAGTTTTTATTCGAACATGATTTCGGCAACAGTTACGGAGCCCCTTATGTAGGGACCTACTTACCGCCTAGCGGCTGCAACTTCACAACCGCCATTTTTAATTTGAGCGTTGTTTCTAGCGGGCGCCAATATGACAGGCTCGCCACGCTATGGCTAGGCGATATCGAAGTCTGGAGGACTTCTACCGCCATGCCGATTCAGTCGGGCATTCATTGGTCGTTCCAAAAGGATATGACCATATGGCATCCGCTCCTCACCCGGGGTCAGAAGATAATCCTCGATCTTGGCAACCTAGTCGACGGAGATAGGTACACGGGCTTTTTCAACGTCACTTTAGAAGCGCTCTACTACGACGATAAATACGCGGCAGGATTCCACTCGGCACAGCACATCTACCCCATTTCGACACGGTCGTCGTCGAACAACACCACTTCGCTATTCTCGCTCCCAGGCGATACTGGCTCAGTCAGCTTGACTATTCCGAGAAACGCCAAGAATGCCGTCGTTTCGGTTACGGCTTCCGGGAATGGCGCAGAGGAATTCTGGTTCACCAATGTACCGTCAGAGTACGTGAGCACGTTCCCGGGCAACGAGGGGTGGTTATATGGCTACAGTCCGTTTCGCGAAGTCCAGGTACTTATAGACGGTCAACTTGCGGGTGTGTCCTGGCCATTCCCAATCCTTTTCACTGGCGGGGTAGACCCGGGGGCGTGGAGGCCTATCGTTGGCATCGATGCCTTTGAGCTCCCGTCGTTTGAGATCGACATCTCCCCTTGGCTGGGATTGATAACCGACGGTCAACCACATACTTTCCAAGTACGCGTCGTGGGTTTCGATACTTCTGCAGAAGACAGCATTGGGCCCGTAGGCGAGAACTGGTGGGTTTCGGGATCTGTCTTTGTCTGGCTCGACGATACGATAGAGCAGACAGTCATGCGGAACTTCGAGAGCAACATAGCAGCGCCATCCTTTGACTTCCACCCCGTTGTTGGCACTGCTATTTCCGAGAATGGTACTGCGACCAATACCTCACTTTACTTCTCCTTGATAGCAAGTCGGAATATAACGGTGTCTTCAATCGTTGAAAACGGGAATATCGCCCGCGAGGTAGCCTGGACGCAGAGCCTTTCGTTTTCCAATATCCAGAACATGACGGACTTGGCGTTCAACCAGTCGCTTGCTATGGTTTCATCAGGGAGTTATTCGGACTCGACTTCTAATGTTGTCTCGCACTACACGTATCCCCTTAATCTTTTCAGCGCATACGATGTAGCCTCTTCAGGGGCGACTTCGAATCCCGGGTCCGTCTTTTGCATGGCCGACCGAAGTAAACTATTAGATGGCATTTCTATGCTGTCTTTCTTAACGGGGACGTCTATTGGATCTGAAAGTCTAGAAACAAGGCAAAACGTTACCTCGAGTTATCATTGGAATCGCACCATCGTGGAGGGTACCGAAGGCTTGGATACTATGGATGGAGAGGTATGGCTTTCTTACATCAGCGCTACGGGGAATGAGGCTGGTGTCGCAGCATATCACCGCTATGCAAAAGAGAAAAATGACAGCATATTAGTAGACGAACAGGGTTGGGATCCTATAGTAGTTCCTAGAACAATGCCACTTCCGCTTGTACCTGGGGAACCAATAGTCCAGAGGTACGCGGACTTTCATTGAAAATTGCAATACTTATGGGTATGCTACACTTATATCTCTTTTCTCTTTAATAGTTTCGTGAGTCCAGGGTTCGATTAATCCCCCTTTGTGATTGGTTTATCCCGGTGTCTTCCAGATGATGAAGCATCCATGATTTATTTGGGGGCCGAAAAGCGGCGGGATCTTCGATTGAAGGAGTAATAGTGTATGCACATAGTCGCTAATTAGAACCTCTAATATGCGCCCAATTCCCTTCGCCCATGTCAGACTTCATATACTCTCATAAATACCACGCGACCATCTCCATGCTGGTATCCCCGCCAGACCCGTCGATATGATATCGCCGGAGCTTCTAAACCTTCAACACTCTTTTATATTGCGGTTAATTCTCTTCGTTCTTTCTACAATCCTATGCGTCGTAGGAGCGCATAGATATCTCTACCGATACGTGACGTCACGTCGCGAGCCGCGAGAAGCTCTTGATAGAATTACCGTCTTTGCCGATTATGAAGAGGTGCATCTAGAGTAAGTACCTAAGTGGAGTTGCCAGCCGGTTATCGAGTATATAGATCTGATAGTAGAGTTAAGTATAGTAGCTGTACATGGCCTAGGCGCGCATCCCTATTACAGCTGGAAGGCCAACGCCCCCCCTAACTCTACCGGGGTACCAGAAGAAGATGAAGTAGGAATTAATTGGCTTGAGCATGATGACTTCCTAAAGAAAGATTTCAAGAACGTCAGGATCCTCTCATATAGTTACAATGCCGATTGGTTCGTGGACGCCTCGCTGTCAACAGCGTCGCAGAAGGCTCTTACATTTCTAGAGACACTCTCGGAGTTCAGGGAGAAGACGAAGGTTCAACCCTACGTACGCTTTTCTTAGAGTAAAGAGTATCTAACCAGTCACTCACAGAAAACGCCCCCTATTCTCTTCATCGGTCACAGCTTTGGCGGGATCCTAGTGAAATATGTATGTGCCTAAGTCCAAGTACTCTACTTTATCTACATTCCGCTCATATTTCCAAAGGCTATTCACTCGGCGCATTCAGACTCGCGTTTCGGAGACATCAGTCGCGATACTGCAGGCATTCTCTTCTTAGGGACGCCTCATCAAGGATCTACTGTTTCTTGGATCGGTGAGATTCTTGCTCGACTAACCATTCTCTCTGGGTCCGATACTACATTGTTGAAGCTGTTGAGCCACGGTAGCTCAGCGCTCCTAGACTTAAAGAGGGATTTTTCTGCTGCCGTAACATCCATCATTAACCAGAAACCACTACTTGTGTATTCATTCTACGAAACGCTACCGACGTTCCGCTATGGCGTGTCGCTTGGTGTAGTGCGTATTTACAGTATTTTCCGACTTATGAAGACTAACTTTATTGTTAGATTGTAGGACCTCAATCAGCTACTCTTGATATCGGGAAGCATATACCAGTAAATACGGACCACTCCGGCCTAAATAAATGCAAGACGAGAAAGGACGATCTTTATGTGAAGATTTGCTCAGCTATACAAAATGTTAAATCGATCCTACAGCAACAGTCTGGTAAGCCGACTTAGACTACCTACCTTTTTATAAATAATCATGAGTTAAACAGGTTATTCCCCATAGAGCCGATTGCAAGATGGATAATGGGATCTGATGACCCTGCGCGTATTTTCAAGCATCGAGTAGATCACGAACGAGCGAGAGATAAACTCCGCGCCTATGATAATATAGGAAAGTGGCTCATTGAATCGCCCGAATTCGTGGCCTGGAGCGACATCCAAGAATGCACTCAGTCGACATTCTGGCTGCGTGGTGGAGGTGAGTTATGAGACGGCTGGATATTTAGTATACCTATCTCCTGATATACTAACGTCCGACATGCAGTGGGCACAGGCAAAACATCCGTGAGGTGAGATAGCCCCTATTTCCATCCGCCTTGCATACTACCGAAACGGCAAGGTGCTAATCGACTTTGGTACAGTTCCGAGGTTATCGAGTGGTTCTACAAAGATAATCGCCTACGAAGACCACGAAAAGTTGTCTATGTCTACTGCTCTATAGACCACGACTTCAACTTTATGCTTCGCTCACTTATTCTTCAACTTGCATTTTCGGCGAATGGCGTCTCAGTTCAGCAATGTATTACAGAGAGATATAACTCCAGGGGCCGAGCTCAGCAGCTAGTTCTTGATAAGGACGATTCTAAGTTAATACTCGAACTCTGTCGCGCTCATCCAGAGATAGTCATTATTATCGATGCACTAGATGAATGTCCTGCGTCTCGCCATGTACTTGATACCTTCAAAAACGTACAGGAAGGGTCCTCGAACAAAATAAAGCTATTCCTATCGAGCCGTCTTCATATGGGACTCGACGACGTGTTTACGAATCTCCAACGTCTGACAATCGAGGAAAACACAACCCGCATGGATTTAGAACATTATATCAATAAAGAGATCGACTCACGACGTAACACTCCTCCTGGCTGGATTCGTATGGGTTTCAAGGATAGGTTCAAACGCGCATTAAGTCAGTATGCACAGGGAGTGTTAGTACTCATTTTCAATACGTACCTAAGGTATCTACTAAGTCATTCTTCTAATATATCGACTAGGTTCCGTTGGGTCGAGTTACAAGTTGAAATATTCTTCGACGAGAGTTTTCCATTTGAATTAGAAGAAGACGTAGAAAGCGAACTGCGAAATCTAGAAAAGGGGCAGTCCATAACCGGACACTCCAAAGACCAAATGGCGAAACTAAACGAAGCGTACGATCGCATACTGAAAAAGCGCCGCCAGAATGCCCGCAGTATTATAACCTATGCTCTTAAATGGGTTCTATGTTCTCTACTCCCTTTAACGTCGGGGGAGCTGTTCGAGGCGGTAACCCTTTCCCACGAGCGCATGCTGACGACAGGATCCTACGAACGGCACGAAACCATCGACTTAAACCAGATTATGCGGCTATGCAGTAATTTGATTTTATTTACGGACTATAGTGGATTTGTAAGGTTTTCTCATAACTCCGTCAAAGAGTATCTTATGAATTCAGAGTATTGCAATGACGAGTTTGTCTACGAAACATGTCATGGTTTCGTCGCGGAGATTTGCCTGTGGTATATATACCGCCGAGGAATACTCAATGGGTCACTTGGGTCCTATATTCAATTGGCAGCACTCTCCCACTGCTCTCGTGCCGGGCCTGATAACAGAAGACGCCAGGGACTTCATGACCTACTTCGCAGCTTTTGCGAACAGCCTTTGAAGGCACTTGACAGAAAGAATATAGGGAAATACTATCTTTCCCTTTACGAAGCGCAAGACAGACTCGCTACTTCTTTCAACCATTTAGCCCATGCCTTCATTGCTGCCTGCGTTTTCAATCTCAACGACATTCTCGAGCTTGCCTTGACACGAGAGGCTACTGACTTCGCTGCACGACGGGCCCTGAGAAGAAAGGGTCTTAAAGCCGCATGCATATACGACTCCTACGAAGTGGTAATGGAACTGCTGAACGGGAGGGAACCGGTGGAAGTGACTGCCGGGCTAGTCAAGGCGGCCATAACTTATAGTAGCGGGCGGGTGATAACACTCATCCTACGGAATTACGACAATATGGTCATTACACCGGACATGACGACGTGCGCCACGAAAAATAGGCAGTTTGGAGTTGAAGTCCTAAAAGCCTTGAAGAATCACTATGGTAGACTCCCGGCAGATATAGAGACGTATAGATCAGCAATGGGGTGTTCCAGCGAGATGCTGAAGTATTTGCTCGCCGGAGTAGACCATCCCCCCGGGATCGAGGATATCGTCGCCCTCGCTTCGAGCGGCCGTGAAGAGTCCATGTCAACAGTATTGCATTCTAAAGAGGATATTCCTATAACCCAGAGCGTACTCCTAGGGGCGGCTCGGAACTCGGTCGACGGACACCAAATAATGAAGACTTTGGTAGAGCACACCAAAGCGAACATTGTCCTCTCCGAAGAGATCCTCTGTGCTGTTGCGTCGAACAAGCACAAGGGCCCGATGATTTTCGAGTACCTCTTTCGGGCTTTAGGGAACAGCGTGAACATTACGGAGGGGGTACTAGTCAGCGCAGCAAAAAGCGGCTGGTTACTAGACGACCTCATCAATATTCTCAAACGCCGGCCGGATATCCCCATCCCAGAAGCTATCATTTCGGATGCCGTCAGCGACGAGTTTCACGGCGACGAGTTTATCGAAGCGCTGTTCAATCACGACCCCAACATCGCCATCAGCGAAGACAGCCTGGTGGCCGCAGCACAAAACAACGGCCGCGGAACTAAGATAGTCAGCTTCCTTATACGGCATATAGAAGGGATAAAAATCACGCCGCGAGTTGTGGCGGCCGCAGCAGCTAACAAATCCCTCGGGAATGAACTCGTACCTCTGCTTTTGGCCGGAATACTCGATTTACATATTGAAGATACGGTTCTGGAAGCGGCGGCCGGGAATTCAGAGTTCGGAGATGAACTCGTCGAAGCACTGCTATACTACGGCGGGGCTGCACCGATCGGAGATGGTGTCATGGAAGCTGTAGCCAGGAATAAGAAAAGGGGCGTAAGAGTTTTCGCACTGCTTTTGGAACATGATCCAAACATTAAAATATCCGAGTCTATGCTTAAAGCAGCCGTTTTCAATGGTAACTCAAAGCTCTTGAAAGTATGGCTGGACCGCAGCGACGCCAACTCGAGAATTTCGGAAGCGGTAGTGAAAGAAGCTATCCACGACTTCTCGACGTTATTAGTCTTACTAAGGTCAGGAAGAAGGATCACCATCACGCCGGATATCCTCAAGCTAGCAGCTACGAATCGCCACGTTACGGAGATTTTCCCGACGCTACTAGATTACGATAAAAGATGTCCCATCACAGAGGCTGTCCTCACGGCCGCAATCGGGAATCCGAATCTGTTTGGTCGACACGTAGGCTCGAGCGTCTTTACTTCCAAGTTTAGCAAATTGCTAGATAGAGCTCGCGTCGGCGTTACGGAGGACATGGTAAAACTAGCAGCGGGAACCGATTGGCGACGTAGACACGTAACCAAAATCCTGCTGGAGTATCAAGACGATCTCGACGTCGGGGATGTTCTCGAAATCGCAGCCGGGAACGATTCGTATACGCAGGAGATGTTCGAATTCTTGCTCGAGTGCGATGAGGACTACCAAATTACGGAAGACGTTGTTATCGCTGCTGCTCGGTCTTCAGGGGGGAGCATGAGGGCTCTTCTAAAGTGTGGACGACACGTCCCTATCACCGAGGCGGTGCTGAAGACGGTGGCGAGCCGCAAGGGATGGGATGCGGCGTCTGATATGGCGCTTATTTTGAACGGAGGGTATGGTGTTGAGATTACGGAGGGGGTGATGCAAGCGGCGAGAGGTAGTGGCACCGAAGAGGACGAGGACGATGAAGATGACGGTAATAATGAGATGGTTACGATGTTAAAGACTTATCTTCAGTTATAAAATTTAGATACTTACTTAACCTAGTAGTAAAATATTCTTCAGCCGTGTTGATCGTTTCCTATCAGATCTCAAGAGAAGTGAGCTTAGTACATATATGTTAAGCTGACTTGTCATTCATTGCCTCTTCGACGTGTAACCACATCCTATAACCACATCGTACAACAAACGTGTCAAATTGACGGCTGAATATTATTCAATGACCTCACATATCATCGCCCTTTTGACAACCTTACTCCTCTTCTGCTGATCCCGCAATAGCCCCAAGGCTTTTAAATCTGGGCGAACATTTTTCACTATAAGTTGCTTCTATAAGACAGCAAAATGTCATTAATAATTTTGGTAATTGATATACCATCTTGCTGCTCCCGACTTACATACCGGCCTATGGCCCGTCATTACGACGCCCAACATTCTCAAGTATGCCACGACTTACATACATACAAAATCCCAGGGGAGAGACCAGTAGGATTCTCCAATTCGACAAGATCATAACATAAGAGTCCCGCCCATCGTATGTTACCTCCTTCCTATTACCGCGAAGGTGGCTGAAATCCGCCGCCAAGAAACGGGAAACGGCGGGCGCGCTTACACACCCAATGGGTTCTGCGAGGCGCAGCAGCTCATCATAATCCTGGATTGGCTATGCAGCGAAGTGAGGGATGAATGAAACCTCCCAGGTCCCGGAACCGGTGGCTACCTGTTCGTGGTGATTTCTGGTTGGGTGAACTGCAAGGCTTACTTCCTCCACGATGGGATCGATATTAATTATTAATTCGCAGGCGGCCACCCACCGCCCTTCTTCTGCCATGACTACCTCGTTGTAAACCTCATCTGCTATCTCATCTCATCTCAACCCTACATACATACATACCCTACGTACACAACCTATCAATTGAAACGAGCTACACTTGCTACTCTATACTATACCTAATCGGCACACGTAGTCGCAGCCCAAAGCATATATAAACGCCCATGGATAATATCCTCGAAACTCGTGTCCCCAAGGGCGGCAGCGGATTCAGACATAAGGGCGGTATCCATAGCAGCGGCGGAGGAGGAGGTTCTTCTATCGCGTGGTGGATATGGCTCATCATTGTCCTGAGCATTCTATGGTTAATTGCCTACACCATACTGTTCGTGTACTTCTACCGAAAAGGTACTGATCCCACTCACCCTATCTCGATTGCTCCTGAGCAGTCTTCAGCCTACGTAGATATATCAACGTAACTAACTCCGGACGAAAGATTACAAAAGCATACATCCAAGCGAACGCCCGCGTTTTGGCCTACGTCTATTTGGCCGCTTGGCCTGGAAGGCCTTCAGGTATGCGACGGGAATTCAGGTATTCGTATGGGTTTTCCGGAAGATACGAAGTAAGACGGACAGTGATACAAAGAAGGTAGGCGGCAGCTTCTATAGGAAAATCGACGACGAAGAAAAGGGGATGAAAAGCGGAAACGAACAGTTGGTGATGCCTCCCCCGGCTTATTCCAACGCCGCTGTTCACTAGAGGGAAATATTAGACGGACTAACCTGATGGGTTAGGTACCTGTATAGCTAATAATCACGGGGGTTACCTAATAAATGCTATTCGATATGCTTTCAAGTATAATGCGAGGGTTAAAAGTAGTAGATCGTTAAAAATAAACCGTATCTGACCTGTAGAGGCAGCGTATAGGTATTCACGACAAAGAATTACATACAGAACTATACATTAGTCATCGGCCCTTCTGTCAAACTTGCCAGGCCTTGTTGGCTCCTCCATATTGAGCCTCACATCTTAGCTTAAGTTCATTTTGACAAACTTCCAAAGGTCCCCACACACTCCGCGCCTATACAAATGAGGTATCTCACGAATAAAAACAAAGAATCATCCATCTTCTGCCTCAAAATTGGGTGTTAACATGCTAGACCTAGGTTTAGGACTGGTTAGCGAGGTGGTTTGCAGCCTAGGTAGTGGGTTAGTGCCCCCCAGTTCCACGCAAGACAGTGTCGAAATATCAGCTTACCCGCTCGAGATTATAGTCGTACTTCTCTAAGGCATTCACCGCGTCCGTCCTCGAGTAGCCCATACCAGTAAGGTTCTTAACGATAGGATCATCATGTTTTCCTTCGTCACTCAATGCCCTTCCTGCGGTGCTGGGCCTACCTGAGCTTTGGCTTTGAACGGGACTCTTGTTATCTTCGTTGCTTTTTGCGGGAAGGTCGCTCGGCGAGTCGAAACTAGAGAAAAGAGCTTCCCAGTCTTGGTTGTTTGGTGCTGCGGGGGCTTGGCCGGAGAAGGAGGTATTCGCATTATTACTTGGACCGGCACCAGTAGCAGCACCCGATGTAGATGAGACTGTACCGAAATCGTAGCTGCTGTCAATGCCAAATGCATTTGAAGCATTAGTCGATTCGCTCTTGGGCTGGCTTGGCGGCGGACTGCTGTCAAACACAGGATTGAAGTCGTCAAGATTTGATCTGGATAGGTTAGCAAACTCATCGTCTGCCGAACCCTCTTTAGCGTCTTCGAGGTCGGCGAAATCGTCATCGGGGTCGTCGAATGCATTCTTATGTGCAGTGGTGGCTGTATTTGTTACTGTAGTTGGAGTAGGGGTAAAGGATTCCCCGGTCCCTGATGGAGAAGAGAAAGATGAAGAAGCTCTCGGCGGCTCAGGGAAATTTGGTAGGTCACTTGATCCGATATTAGCGTCATTATGAGCTTTGAATGGTCAATGCATTGGAAATTGAAGGTCATACTTGGACGCGTGGGAAGCATGAGACGCGGAAGTTACACTGTCTGCGGCTGGGCCGTCGGTTACGGCAGTGCTAGACTTTGAGGCTGCCGGAGAAGCCGGAGCCTGGAACTCCTTGGCCTCGGTCTTTTTGTCGGCGGGGGATGCGGGTGCAAAGTCATCGTCAAACCGATTTCCCTCGCTAGCGGAGTCCGACTCATCATCCCTCTCAAGCTCGGAAATAGGGGGGAACTCTGAGTTGAAGGTCGAAAATGCCTTGGAGTTGTCTTGAGTCGACTTCTCCTGAGGCTTACCCGAAGTACTGCCCATGCTTGCAAAGGCGGAATCAAAGTCTACCTTTGCATTGCCAGAATCTTTCATGTTCGCGAATAGGTCACTGTCCCTTTTGCTAGCGTAAGGTGAGGTAGGGGCAGGGGCTGTGGGGGTCTCGTCGGGGAACGAGCCAGGGATAGATCCATCACCAGGGGCCTTTGATTTCTCTTCGCTTTGCGTAGGAGACCATCTTTGGTTGGTGTCCGACGCCGAAGCCAAACTCTGGCCAGTGGATGCGGACTCCAACGGGGCAGGAGTAGAAACAGAAGCAGAGGGAGTTGCGGCGCTTTCACCAGACCTACTAACGGGGGGAGAAACTTGACGTGAAGGTGACAGGGTCTCGGACGCCTCGCCAAAGGGTGCGAAACTCGGGTTAGGCTGCTACAACTCAGTTGAGACGGGGGGCTCGCGTGCGGGAGTGGAATGGAGACTCACAGTAGGCGTAGAACTTGTCGGTGTAGCAAAAGATCCAATGCTAGCTGTTGAGCCACCAGTATCTTGGTGTTTAAATGAAGTTACCGGAGGAGTTGAAGTGCTCTCGGCCCCGAAGTCACCAAAGATATCGTTGAAAGACTTTTCGCCATATGGCTTAACGGGAGGCGATGTGAATGTGCCCATTATGTCTGTACTTCCAGTCCGCCTGAAGAACGGATTATTTGCGCTGGCAGTTGACGGTGCTGGACTAGCTACCTGAGCGGAGGTTGCCACTGGGGAGTTGCTGTTAATCTGACGGGAAAGCTCCTCGTTGCTCTTAGTGAGATCCTCTACTTCGCTCTTTAGCTTGTCTCGGTCGCCCTCGACCGTAGAAAGCTGCTTCTTGCCAATAGCAACCATTCCTTTTTGTTGCCGAGCTTCTGACCTTAATTTTTCCACCTGTGGTTTCAGCTGCGCAATCTCAGTATTGACAGAGCTGATTCGTTGCTTAAGAGCAGCGCTTTCTTGTTGATCGGCCTGGAGAGCCTGGGCGATTTGCTGATGCTGGTTCTGCAAGTCCTTGTAGGTGCCATCGATTACGATCAACTCGTTGGTAAGCTTTTTGGTCTCTTCGCGCACGCTTCTAAGTTGTTCTTCCAGAGTACGAACATCTTGGGCTTCCTTCTCGTATAATGCGCGTAGTTGAGATAGCCGCTGTTCAAAGTTCTTCTTTTGCTCGCTCGCCTGATTAATCTCATTCTGTGTCGAGCTACGTTGTCCTTGAACCTGTTGCATCTGCTTTGACAATGAACCGATCTGGTTAGACAGGTTGGCCAACTCAGTTGTCTCATTTGTGAGTTTTTTGCTAATTTCTGGATCATTGTCTCCAAGAAGATCTTCCGTAGCGGCCACAGGGGGAGCAGGTCCCCTTGGATGCTGAGCGGAACCGCTCGACCCTCCGGTATCATGAGAAGTCAAAGTCCTACCGAAGGAAGAAGACGGAACGAAGGGCCTGAACGTATTGGCGGTGGGGGAAGCCCGAAGCGGGGAAGCTGGCGGTCCACTCGCGAATGGGTCTCTCGCTGCTGAACCTCCTGTTGATACCGGAATTTGGGGTGGAGCAGGGCTAGGGGAAGCGTCAAGACCAAATAGGTCATCAATGGCGGATTTCGGCTGGGGTATCGGTTGAGGTATCGGCTGAGGTTGAGGTGGTAGCTGCGTTGGGGAAGCTGGGACGTCGAACGGAGACGGACCGACCGGGGGACGAGGCTGCTGGTTTCGCAGGGACGGAGGGATGAGATTTGGAGGAAGGGTTGTAGGTAGTGGCATATCTCGCCTGCTTCGCTGTTGACGAATAAGGTGCATGGCAACCGCAAATGTGTCTCTCGTCAGCCGGCCTTCTGAATTGATATCCGCAAGATCCCAAATCTGGGCTAACGCATCCTCAGGCAAGCTAGATTGACTTAGGAATGGGACAGCTTCCTCTCCAGTGATGAATCCCTTGTTCGTCTTATCCAAATCAGCGTAAAATTGATCGAATCTTGCCTTGTCAGCAGGCGTGATTATCCAGTCGCTTCCAGTCGTTTGAGGGGCTACACCAGTAGGCTGAGGACCAAACGGTGGTCTTCCCAGCGGACTCGTCGTTCGCAATTGCGCCTGTCCGCTCAGTTGTCGTGGTATGGCGGGTACCGGCGGGACCATAGTCGTAGGGCTCCGTCCTGACATCGAACCACGCCTTGTAGCAGCTTCGTAGAGCGCGGCAGGTAGGATATTTGGGAGACCTCTCAAAGTACCGGACTTCATGGAAGTGAGAAGATGCATTGCGATTACAAATTCCGTCATTACAAGTGCTCCCCTTTGCTCTGTATCGGCAAGCTGCCAGATGCGTCCTAGAACTTCGTTGGGTAGGCCGGACTTCTCGAATATACTCTTCGCCTGATCACCCGGTAGTATGCCTCCATTCTGTAAGTTCTGTTTCTCAAATAATCCAGCATACTGGGCGACCTTCTCGGGTGTCAGAGGTGGTATCCGTATAGGGCCGCTGCCACTCCCCTGTGCCTGTATGGGTGGTGGGACAGGGGGGACGTTGGCACTAATGTGAATCCCGTCAAACCGCGGTAAGGGGCCTGGCTGAAGGGCTAGTTCAGGGGTTGGTTCGCGTGCAGCTTGAGCATGGCCGATGAGTCGCAAGACGAGTCCGAAGCCGGCAGGAGTTAGAAAGCCACGATTCTCCTTGTCTGCTATTTGCCAGATCTACCAGCGTTGAGAAGAAATTAGCATATTCTTATATCGAGCGTATTCATCCGATATTCAGAACTGTAAGGGAAACTTACCTCGCCGAGGACGCGCGAGTCTAGCCTTGTTTTCTCGAAGAATTTCACGGCTACTTCTCCCGTCACAACGCCGACATTATCAGTGTCTGCTTGTTTGAAGAGTTGGCCATATACTCGCTTCTCTTCGGGAGTTAGGTTAAGCGCCGGCGCGGCTGTTAAGACGATATGCGTTAGTTAACACTGCTGGTTATGATACATGCACACGGAAAGAAGCATCTCGATGATAGATGAATGCTTCATGGCAATATAGATAGGAGTTCCCGTAGCTTACCGGCATCAACATTAGATTCGGCGGACATTATTGCGCAGCCGAGCTCACCCAGGCTTCAATTTAAGACCAGAGCTCGGCGTTTGAGGATATCGAACAACGTTTCGGGCGCACACGAAAAGTCAATTAACGATGCGTCCAGGTTAGCATAGAATTGCTATCTAATAACGAAAGAAGCATGTAGTGTACAGCTTCGGCGACAAAAAGCGGTCGGAGATTTGGCCGTGTTTGGCGAAAGGAAGGGTAAGGTAAGTGGTGAGTGGGAAATGTTTTTGAGGTTTCCTTCTCCAACTAACTACGCTTTTTCGTAGGAGGCTGGCGTCTGGAGTCTACCTTTCTTTATTGTACAGGGTAACCTTGCCCCTACTGCCCCTACCTCCCCTACCTCAGGACCACATACGTAGGCGGGGCCACTTCTTTTAGCTTAGCTCCTCAAAGCTCCGGGGTCCCGGGTACATATACTGTAGGCATCTCCATATATAATACATGTACATATGTATATCTCTCGCATTACATCTTACATTGCAGAGCGTTAGGCCAATACCTACACATTTCTACGGCTCAATATCAGGTATTTAGATAATATTTCAATATTTCTAGATGCATTAATAATTCTATAAACAAGGATGAGAAGGATGAGAATATACATCAATTTTATAATTTCTCAAAGAAATAAAGGGGAAAAAAGGAAGGACTTTATTCTCCCCCTTTCCAATTTCCTCCCTCATCTCAACTGCCGGTACATTCAAAGGAGGTAGCCATTCATTCTGTAACCAGACTCGAAGACGTACAAGCGAACGTTTTGTAATGAGTCAGTCCAGCTTAATACATCCTCTTCCTATCAAGAGCGCTGCAGCATCCAAATATGGATCCTGTCATTTTAGGGGACAGTTAGACATGCATGCCGCTGCGAGCTGCAATCGAAAGAAGCCATAATTGGCCAACCGGTGGTTCAACCGCGGATAGCGTGAAAGGTCACCAACGAGTAGAGTGGCATTGTCAGTAGTTCATCCTTCAACTTATTGGTCTGGAGTCTGTCACACTGCATACCTGATAATACCAAGCGACACGAAAACGGAGCGGCAGAAATGATGAAAATTAATCACGTATTTTTCTCATTTTGGTATCGAAGGCACTTGGGGGAATGCCCGAGTGAACTTTTTGCTATTAAAAGTCATAGGACGGATGTACAAAGTGTATACTAATCTTGCTACCAGGCTCACAATCGAATTAAAAGCCGCCCTGCTGTCTCTCCACCACTATTCCTACGGACAGGACCACGTTTCTCCGCCACACAAGTATAACTGGCACTCATTATAGGCTTTCAGTATAATAGGGCACTATTGCGGTAGGCCTCGGTCAGACACAACGGAGGGAGTAGAATATTAGATGCCCTTTAACCGTGACACGTAGCATGAGTAACCTCATATTTAGTACTCAGCCTCAGCATCTCCCTCAGCGTCTAGGGAATCGGTGGCAACTTCCTCGTAGTCGCGCTCTAGCGCTGCCAAATCCTCACGCGCCTCCGAGAATTCACCTTCTTCCATACCCTCACCAACATACCAGTGGACGAAAGCGCGCTTGGAATACATGAGGTCGAACTTGGTAGACAAAGCTGACCAAGCCTCAGCAATAGCCGTCGTATTGGAAAGCATGCAGACGGCACGGTTGACCTTGGCCAAGTCACCGTCGGGAACGAACTGGGGAGGCTGGAAGCAGATACCAAGCTTGAATCCGGTTGGGCACCAGTCGACGAATTGGATGGTGCGCTTGGTCTTGAGCGTAGCTACAGCTGCGTGAGCGTCCTTAGGAACGACATCTCCTCGGTACAGCAGGCAGGTAGCCATGTATTTTCCATGACGGGGATCACACTTGACCATCTGGTTATACGGCTCAAAGCATGACATGGTCATCTCTTGAACAGAGTTGGCCTCGTGGGCGGCCTTGGCAGCCGAAATGACCGGAGCGTAAGCAACCAGGGGAAAGTGAATACGAGGGTACGGCACCAGATTGGTCTGGAACTCGTTAAGATCGACGTTGAGAGAGCCATCGAATCGAAGAGAGGCCGTGATAGAAGACACAACTAGACGACGTTAGCTACTAGCAATACAACACTATTAGATAATTCCCTACCTTGGGCGATTAAGCGGTTCAGGTTCTCGAAGTTAGGACGCTCCAAGCCAAGATTTCGGCGGCAGATATCGTAGATAGCTTCGTTGTCGACCATGAAGGAGCAGTCGGAGTGCTCGAGGGTGGTGTGTGTGGTAAGGATAGAGTTGTATGGCTCGACGACCGAGGTAGCAGTTTGAGGAGCAGGGTAGACGCAGAACTCCAGCTTGCTCTTCTTACCATAGTCGACCGACAGACGCTCCATCAACAAGGCACCGAAACCAGAGCCAGTACCACCGCCAAAGGAGTGGAAGACCAAGAAACCTTGGAGACCAGCGCAGCTATCAGCAACACGTCGCACTCTGTCCAAAACCTGGTCGATGAGCTCCTTGCCCACAGTGTAGTGACCACGAGCGTAGTTGTTGGACGCATCCTCCTTGCCTGTGATCATCTGCTCGGGGTGAAAAAGGCTGCGGTAGGTACCAGTTCGAACCTCGTCGACGACGTTGGGCTCGAGATCGCAGTAGATGGTGCGAGGGACGTATTTGCCCTGGCCTAAAGGAATCGAGAAGTTAGAATACTTTCCATTATCCACGAAGTATATCAAACATACCGGTCTCGGAGAAGAAAGTGCTGAATCCTTGGTCAGGGTCCGCCTTCTTGCGCTCTTCGGTCAGGTATCCATCAGGCTACACGATAAGAGTCAGTCAGGTCCTTAGTCTATTAGATTTCAAATCAACATACCTGAATACCGTGCTCGAGGCAGTAGAGCTAAAAGCAGGTCAGTTTTAATTTCCATCTTGAGTCGGTTTCGCGAAAGGCGCTGTCGAGGTCCGATTTGCGTAGTGTATATGCGACATCAAGATCCCGCACCGGGAATAGACTTACCTCCCAGCAAGCGTTGGCAATTTGGCAACCAGCCTGGCCGACTATATACAGAACAATCAGTCAGTATAAACGCGTTTCCATAATCTAGAAGTCAAAAGGTGCCGGCAGTAAGGAGACATGGATTATGCGGTGAAGGAAAACGCGTGCTATCGAGGGGAAAATAAGAAAACATACCGTTGATGCTAATGATCTCACGCATCTTGAAGGCAGATACAATGGAAAATTTGTATTAAAGGGAAACAAGAGAACAAAAATCGGGAGCAGGCAGGTTGAAAAGTAGCCCCTTTGCAGGATATGTGAGTGGATGAGATGTAGGAGTTGAGATCGAGTCAAAAGGAGTTCTGTTGATGCTTTGGACGGGGTCGTTTTTTTACCTAAGTTAACTAAAAGTTCAAGTGGGGGGCGGATTAAAAATTCACCCCTGGTTGGAGCAATTAGTGTTCCAATGTTCCAATGTTGACATGTCCCAGTTGGCCAGCCACGGTCTAGCTTGTTATGAGGTTGCCTAGATTGACCGGATTGGACTCGGGGGGTTCGGGAAGGCACACAGACCACGTCGTTGCCCAAGAGGAAACAGGGGGGTCGGCTATTACACCTATTACACAAGTCCACGGACCGGTTCGCAGATGACAAACTTGACAAATTAAGCTTAGCGGTAGGAACGCAGTTGGCAATTGCCCAATACAATCCATCCCAAATCTGATCTTCATTAATAATTAAATTTCATACGAAATACAACAACTAAAACCGGCTCACAATAATAACATAATAACATAAAACATACCTAACTAACAATAGTTGACCATAATGTTCATGATTCACCTTGCTCTTGTATATTCGCTGATTGCAGCTGTATGTGCCAATACCGAAAAGGCAATCTTCTTAGGACCACCTACAGCTAGTATCCCCTTTTCCCATCCGACCCTGGACGACTTACACGTCGATGTCCTCACACCTACTAATGGGGCGATACGGACCCATGTCGAGGCCCAATTTCCCAATATATCGTTGCCGCATGGCAAAGCTACTTGGCTCGTTCTAGATGAGCTGACTGAGGGTCAGCGTTACGAAGTGAGAGTATGCTGGGCTGCGACCGTAAGTAAACCTGCTACCATGTCATAGTTTAATATACTTGGTCTAGGGAAAGCTCACTAGTCCCTAGCAACCCACCGAGTTTAGAGTCGCTACCTATGAGCTACAAACCCTCCTCGAGGTCCCAGAGCTATTATCAAGCCTCTCAAAGTATTCACAGTTCCATCGGTCCCTAGATAGTGATCCTGGATCTCAATCTAGGTCCATCGGAGGCGCCCAAGCGCTAAGATATGAGAGAAAGACATCAGTCCTTTTCCTCCAAATTCTAGCAGCGGCAGATTACTATACAATGAACAAGACACTAATGAGGGATGTCCCGTCGGTTCATGTCGACATCATTCTCGATCCCTTTGTCTTCGGCTTACTTCCTCGCTCACTATTACCAACCGTGGGCTATATTGTCGTGGTAACCATCGCATCGTGGTTTATCGCACGATATATCTCAATTTGCATTCGCAACCTAGCAGCAGAAACAACTTCCGAAAAGAAAATTCAGTGAAGTGGTAAAAAAGGCTTCAACCATGGCCCCTTATATTTGCCTTCTAGATCCAAACGAGAGCATCACCTAGTCCTAATCATCATAACTCGTAACACGCGTTCGCAAATGCGGTCCAATATAACCCCAAACGAGCATATGATCACAACATCTTCATCTTATCCATAACTCAATTTATGCTATAAACCGCTATAAACCACCGTGGATCAATGCCAAAGCGGAATTCCTCTTAGCATAATGAATATGGTGGAAATGCTCCAAGAACGGTTAAAATAAACTCTGCGGTCTATTATATGCCTGAAACTTTGCAAATACAAATAACACCTTGGAAATTTCCTATTACCAATTACCGGGATACCCAGACTGGGCATGGGGATGCGTTGCCGAAGGAACTGGTGGCCCGGCGTTCGCATACGAAGGTTGTCCCGAGTACCCGTGAGGGCCTGACGATGGAGGTGACACATTGTATGGTCGGTTACCGTACGTAGACGGAGGCGGAGGGTATTGTTGGTGACCATTGTATTGGGGCTGATTCGGTGGTGGTGATGTGTATTGCGGTTGTTGTGCTAGTCATTATGTTAACCAAGCCGGCAATTCATCATAAAAAAGGGGTTACTCACAATAAGCATTTGCTTGGGGAGTTGGACTATGTCCATAGCCAGAGTGGACCGATGATGGGGCACCACCATAAGGCGGGTTTTGATGCTGTGAACCGGGTGGTGGGCTATGAAAAGAAGGATGTTGGTGTCCTCCTGTCTGGCCAGGAGGCGGAGGATATGATGTTGCGGCATGCTGGCCGGGTGGAGGTGGGTATTGCTGCGTTCCATGGTGACCAGAAGGAGGGTTGTATGAGGGAGAGCTCTGTTGATGGGGCGGAGCGCTATATGATGGCGTTGATGCACTTGGTGATTGGTAAGATGTCGGAGGAGCTTGACCACTATATCCGCCCGTATGGCCCGAGTTCGAATAGCCATAATTCTGACCCTACGTGACGCGTTAGTTAAGTCTAAGGTCATTTCAATGTCGTAGGTAGAACGCGACATACTGGTTGATGCGCTCCTCCAAACATGCTTGCAACGCCTCCCATCACAGAGCCGGCGAGACCTGATGAGTGTTGTGGTTGGTGTGACTGCCCTGCGTGGTAATTCTGTGGTTGCTGAGGCTTGCTGCCAGAGGAAAATAGACCCGAAGCGAGTTGGCCAACAAGTTGACTAGGAACTCCTCCACCATGTCCACCAGATGAACTTCCGTGGCTGCTGCCATGGCTTCCGCCGAGCCCACCAATTAATTGACTAGCGATACCTCCAATGCCGCTCGATCCATGACTGCTACCGCTTTGCGGTTTTCCGTGACCTCCAGAGAACTGGCTCAGCAACGTGTTGGTAGCAAAGCTCTACGGTTAGAAGCCAGGTTAGCAATCTTTTTGCTAGAATGCAAAATCTACCAGCACTTGTATACTCACACCGAATCCCCTTTCTCCAGATGGTCCATCGAGTCCTCGACTACCATCGGGCGCCAATACGGGTTCCATCCGTCCGTCAGGATGTTTGACGGTTTGTGTACCGTCCGGGTGCGTGATGACTTCCTGTTGGCCAGGTATTCCGTACGGGTGCTCGTTGACTTGAGCAGGCGTGTTTCCCGGCGCAGCTTGCGTTGGAGTCTCCCATTGCGAGACACCGGTCGAGAGTTGAACGTAGTAATATTTTTTGCTTGCACCATCCCACTGTGCTATCCATCCAGGCGGAAGTTGTGGTGGTTCGAACGTAGGGCCTTCGTTGGGAGAGGCGGGGCCAGCCATGGCGACTGAGGGAGGAGGGGTCCTATGTTCTTATGTTTGTCCCTCTCTATGGCTATCTATAAGTTACGTAGGTAGACAAGATGGGGAAACAACCGACTTCGATTACGAAGGAGACAGGTGAACGGTAGAAAAGTGAGCTTAAGTAGGTAACCGAGATATACCTAACGAAAAGGAGAGGGTTAGCCGACAATTAAAAAAGAATTATTATTGATGGTGGTATGGCTTGCCTTGTCGTAATGGAATTTATTGGAAAATGTGAAGGAGAGGGCTATCGAAGGTTGCAGATGAATGAATGAATAAAAGGAGACTAATCACGGCTACATATGTAATTAGGACCCTGCAAAGCCCACATGCACCCTAATACGCATATACTTAGTCGACAGTCAGCTCGAAATTAGGTAGGAGGAGGTAGTGTGAGGAATGCGTGGCCCGTCGCAGGTTTCGACTTCCTGTTTTTAGGTACCCTCTCTATGTGCGCCCAAAGTGAGGAATGTACCCATTAGGTAAGCTATAGTACATTTTTAGAGGGGTGGGCGATTCATGTAGGTACCTCTAGCCTCTTATTGAACCTTATGTCTTCTACCTTAGGTACCTTAGCGTCTAAAGGTCTGGTGGAATGACTGCTTACGCCATAATATCATTCAGCCACAGCGGGTATCTTAAGTGGCGGTTTTGAGCCTGCTAACTCAAATAAATCCAAACCACACCATCAGGCGTCAGCCAAAACCGCCTTAGCCACAACGAAACCTCCTTCACGCTCCCTTGTTGGTTACCTCCTGATATATATCAATGTGATCTGATCACCTGCATTTATAGCGGAGTCATGCCTTCCTAAGTGCATACTTCACGTATAGTGCTAACTAACAGAATGCACAGAAGCTAGAATGAATACTGATGAAGCAATAACGAGAGACTTCTATAACTTTATGACCTTCTTTCGTTTTTTGAAAATGGTCAAGGGTCATGAAAATCAAGACCACCATCATTCGACATAACAATGAGCCGCCAAGTGTCCAACGGGAGCAAACAAAATTATAGCAAGACAACCTTAGCTATATATCTTTCAATCCTTATTAATGCGAACTTCATTCAATTAGAATTCGCTATCTATGGACCCCGGAAAATTATCATTCAGTACTGCAGGGGGAGACGTTGACCTCCTAGAACGTCTCACGAAGCTACGTCTGTTATTCTCTAACGGCTCCTTCACCAGCCAAGAGTATCGATACATAAAAATCCTTCTTTCTAATGTCAACGTAGATATTATTGGCGAGCTTCCAGTGGAAATAGTAAGCCAAATTGCACAACTACTGGATCTGCATGGGTTTGTTTGCTGCCTTGGTATATCCAGACGATGGCGTGGCAAGTTTTTATCCCCGTCTATAATAAGCACTATTACGAACAAATATTGTCCTTCATTGACATACTCTGGAAATCCAGTGAGTCCAGATAATAGTCTCAGCGCCCTTCACAGAATAGGACGATTGCGCTGGCACTCTTGGCAGGACTATCTGAAGAAAGAATTTTCTTGGGAACATGAATCATATTTCAAGCTGGACCCTGTGTATCACGGCGATCACGATAACACCTCCATCGTCTATGCGCAATTTGGTCACTATGACAATGACCCCAGGCCAAATGCCGAGGCGTACTCGAGTGCTCTGTATTCTCGTGGAAGGATAGCGTGGCTTGCTAAACCACGCATCGTGGTAGTTGACAACTTATGGGTACGGACGCGAAAGATTTTCACTATGCCAACAGGTGCTCTCGCTGGATTGACACTCGAGATTCTAGCCCTTGGGGATAGGCTCGTGGTTGGCACTATGCATCGTATTTTGTAAGAACATCTGGATGTGGCTGTTCTTCCTTTGTCTAACGTAATCGAATAGAGTCGCATGGGACCACACAACGAACGAGTTTCTGGAAAAGAGGCTGCCTGGCCCCATTAAATATGCTACCACAGAAGGGTTAAGAGTCGCCGTGATACTCTTTAATGGGGATACCTTCTTATGGGAATTCGGCGGTAAAGTGTCGATGATTGCAACAGCTCCTCTAAAACAAGGACTCCACGGACAGTCATTGAGAACATGGGTGTCGAACCTGCGTATTTTTTTCCACCCTACGTGTAGCAGAACGCTTCTCCTAGCTTCTGGCTATACTCACTTTTGGTCTGAATACCCTAATGCAATTCTTAGGCGAGTAGTCTATGAATTTAAGGATATGAACCACACCGAGACTTTTCAATCTGAATTCCCCACCAGAATGCACAATCTCGCAAACCCTATCGATACTAAAGTTGACATACAAAAGGTCCTACCTTACCGCCGCGATATCATCGGGTTCTGTCAGTGTCACTACCGCCCTCAACCGATGGTCATAATGCCCTACCAGTATGAAACTTTTATTGAATTCGATATCTATGAACGACGGTTTACAGCAAGAACCGGAGAGGAGTTTGATCCTAAGAAGTTTGGCTGGCGCGCCCCTCTGGAAGATGCCGACTTGGACTTTGGAATTCAGTTCTATTGCAACGGTTTTACAGCTTTTAGCTATCAACCGGGGTTCGAATTTGAAAATAGCGGATGATTTCTGGTCGGGGAATACACGAAGCACGGTGGCTAAGAAAGCATCCATCGCGTGTATTTCTTACGTCACGAGACGCTTTGGGTATTTGCCTAAGCAAGCAACTCACCTCTTAAGGCAAGCTGGTTGACTAAACGCAATAGGTCGAGACTTATTTGAGTGAGAACTCCGTGGTTACCTACTGATATGGGTTTGGTGGCATACGAATACACTATTCAGTGTTGTCGCACCTTTGTGGGTCGCTACATGGGCCCTGGTTGGCAATATGGGACGGCCCGTATTACTCCCATTAGGTACAGTATGAACACTTCGCTCCCATGGGTAGACAGCAAGTCGGGCACTTACATAGAAATAGGCAAAAATTTGGCTTCACAGGGATTCTATAAGAAGCATTGTTTAGGGTTTACCCTGGAGGGAGTGTATTAGAAAAGATAGTATGTAAGTGCCGGTTGATATTCTTACAAACCCATTTATCAGGTTCCTCTTACTCTTCCAATAAAACCTTCCTAGCTAAAGATAATAGTTAGACAGCTAGGCCCCTTTTCTTTATATGTAAAGGACTACATAAGTAGTAGTCCTGCTAATGATATAGAGACGGGCACGCAGATCAAAGTGGACATAGGGGACTAACATCCAACTTAGGAAAGTCGCAAATCGCTGTCCGTTCAGGACCGAAGCTGAACGAACCGGGGCTAGGAATGGTTATGACCGCGGGACCCTTATTGTGATAGGGCAGGTTTATCTGGCTATTGCCGCCGTTGTCCGTATATTGGTTCATTACCAATACGGCGGTTGGATTAATACCCTCCAATAACAAATCTCTTATTTCGAATAGGGACGAGTCTGTGATAGACTGTAGTAAGAAGGTGGAAATAGCATAGTGAGTAATACACATGAGATATTATCTTCAACACCTCTCCCCCTTGTTTACCCCGCAAAACCAAGCCAACGCTTTGCTAGAATTGACTTCGGGCCTATAATCCATCGTCTACCTAGTCCCACCCCCACAACTCAACTTTGGCGGGGTTATTCTGGGGTAATGTAGTGTCGTCATTGGGTCATATTTGGATAGCCATGTTGATCTGCTCTTCATCTACCTTAACAGTCCAACCACATAGATATTGGAAACGCTACGGGGTGAGGTACCTAGAAAACATTACTTACCAATTCTAACCGCTGAAGGATCCAGCCAGCCATAGCATACATACCCCCCGGTCCTATAGACTATGCTGTCAGCAGGATCACCTATTATTGGCTCCTTTGACACTGCCCACCACTTACCAAGCTATTCACAGCTCATCGGGCGCTCCGATCTGGAAATGATTGCGACGATATAGTGCATACAAGCTGGGCCTCGGTTGTTCTAGCAGCAGGAACAGAAAATATCAGTGTGGATTTCACATGGCATCGGGGATGCTCACCCAAAGAGTTTTTAGATATGGCATTCCAGGTCTGAGTTATGCAGGGCCAAGCTTCTGTCAACCGGACGAAGACCCAGGGTGGTATTATTACCCCATGATGAGATGACGAGTTAAGAGATTCTTGTCTAGATTTCCTTTCCGGAAGCCAGGTTTTCGAGAGGATAGTCTGGAGCACCTGCGGAATTGGGCATGGACGCGTGGATGAAAATTGGTCACTTGGTCTGATGCATATCGAAATCTCTCTATCTCCGATGATCACCTGAATCAGAGACAATAAACAAAGGGCTGAAATTACGATAGCTCTATTTTAAGCCACTCCAAAAAAGCAAACCTACGCGTTACCCTAGTAAGTGAGTCAATATAAGATCGACATACCATCCAGGAGTCACGATGAGATTCTTTCCAAACAAGTCTCTTCTCAGTTCGCAGTACTAATCAATAAAGGGGACAACTATCCCTTGGGCTCCTCCCTATCCTCCCCTCTCCTTCAATCTGGTGTCCTACAACTCAAACACCATGTATGGGATACTCACTCCTCTGTTATCTGCCGCGGTGCTTGCCAGCTTGGCCGCCGCTCTCCCGGCACCAAGTCCAACCCTAGAAGAGCGAGCTGCCACGACCTCAGTAGTCCTACCGCAAGGGACTATCGTGGGCTCCGTCTCTAGCACGGTTGAGAACTTTGGAGGCATACCCTTTGCCCAAGCTCCAGTGGGAAAGTTGCGCCTAAAGCCGCCGCAGAGACTCAACTCTTCTCTCGGTACTTTCGATGCCACCGGAGCTGGTCCTGCTTGCCCGCAGATGTACTTCTCCACGGAAGGAGACCTACTCATATCTGTGCTGGGCGACTTGATCAACACGCCGCTCTTCCAGACTGTCACGGGGCAGACTGAGGACTGCTTGACCATGAGAGTTCAACGGCCCAAGGGTACCACGGCAGATGCCAAACTTCCAGTTCTCTTTTGGATATTCGGCGGCGGATTTGAACTTGGCAGCCCGCAGATGTACGATGCCTCCTTACTGGTCCAAAACGGTATTGACCAAGGTAAACCGTTCATATTTGTATCGGTGAACTACCGAGTTGGCGGGTTCGGATTCTTACCAGGAAAGGAGATCCTTGCCGACGGAGCGTCGAATTTAGGGCTTTTGGATCAACGTATGGGTTTAGAATGGGTCCAAGACAACATAGCATTATTTGGTGGAGACCCCGAAAAGGTGACAATCTGGGGAGAATCGGCCGGAGCCATCTCCGTGTTTGATCAGATGGCTCTTTATGACGGCAACAACACCTACAATGGAAAGACGCTTTTCCGCGCAGCTATTATGGATAGCGGAAGTGTGGTTCCAGCTCAGGCAGTAGACTGTGCCCGCTGCCAAGATATATATGATACCGTGGTAAAAGCGGCGGGTTGCGATGGGTCTGCTGATACGCTCGAGTGTCTTCGTGATGCCGATTACAATACCTTCCTCAACGCTGCTAATAGCGTTCCGGGTATCATAGGCTACACTTCTGTCTCTTTGTCATACCTCCCACGACCTGATGGCGTCATTTTGACCGCCAGTCCCGACGCCCTTGCGCTCAGTGGCAAATATGCAGCTGTACCTATGATTATTGGAGACCAAGAAGATGAGGGAACGCTTTTCAGCTTGTTTCAAGTCAATATCACAACTACCGACGAGCTCGTCGACTACATCTGGCAGGTGTTTTTCTCTGAAGTCGCGAGAGATGATATCGTAGGCCTCGTCGACACATACGATCCATCAATCACCGCGGGCAGCCCCTTCAATACTGGCATTTTAAATAATCCGTACCCACAGTTCAAGCGCCTCGCAGCAATCCTAGGTGACATGGTGTTCACTCTTACGCGGAGAATCTTCCTCGAGTCAGCTCTTGCCGCAAATCCCAACGTGCCTTCATGGTCGTACCTAGCGTCCTATGACTACGGCACCCCGATATTGGGTACATTCCACGCCTCGGATATACTGCAGGTCTTTTACGGTCTCCTGCCTAACTACGCCAGCAAGGCTATCCAGAGCTACTACATCTCTTTCCTGTACACGATGGACCCTAACAATGGCACTAGTTCTGACATCGCGCAGTGGCCTCAATGGAAAGAGAATAAGGAACTCATGCAATTTTGGAATAATAAGAGTAACTTGCTAGCGGATGATTTCAGAAGCGAAAGCATGGATTACCTGTCATCTCATGCCAGTACCTTATTAATCTAACTATGCATTTGAGGTTAGGTTAGTATATGAGCGTTTGGAGTTGGATAAGAGCGTGCATAGGTTAGGTTAGGTAGGTACCTAACGCGTGGACTCTGGAGGTTATACGAGGAAGTTGGTTTTAGGTCACCCAAGTAAACTTGGTGCAATGTCACGGTCACACTGAAAGTCATGTTACCAGTCTTAATTGGGGGGAGACGGGGACGCAAAACAACTAAGCGCGGTATATAATACCATATATGGTAGATAATCCGACTCATGCTTGGCTACTGCAACGTTTATTAGATGTTAATGGAACTGTGAGCGTATGGTAGATCTAGATTATAGTATTGCGATGGCGCGGGGTTACGGGCTCGGTATCGGCAATATTTCCTGCAGCAATTTTATGTATTTTGGTCAAGATAGCCCGAGAAGAGGATAATGTGACTCCGCTGGTGGATCTACTATAGCACTCGTATTAAGACTCCTCGCGTTGAATATCTATACCTTAGGTATGCTCATATCCTAGTACTCAAATCACGGCGCCGTGTACCCAAGATTAGCTTCGGTGATGTTATCTTTATTTCTGTTGGTCTTTTTAGATATCTTCGCGCAACTCAATGCGCAAGTCCTTCAGTTCGCGGAGAAAGAAGAATCGTCAGGAAGAAGCGACTACCACGCAATCTCACTAGATAAAGAGTCTTATATCGACGGCTTGATTTCAAACATGACGGTCGAGGATCTAGGTTAGTTTATATAAGAGCTGAAAAACTTCCCTCTGTAGCTAAACTAACGAGTATCTAAGTCCTACAACTACATCTTATGTTCGGAGGCGATATCATAGGAGTCGAGTCGAAAAATGAGCTTTATGGTAGGTGCAGTCGCAAGATGCTTTCGTGTCTTCCTACGCTACCATGAAGACTACCTAGACTATACGATGCGCTTCAGTCCGGGCTCGCCAATAGGTGTGATGCACGACTGGTAAGTCCCGGAGCTCTCCGTGGAAAGGGGGCTCTTAGTTTACCTAACCATTGGATACCTACATAGGTACCCGCTGAACACTTCTCATTATAACTCCGTCCAGGAGTTAAACCTGCAGAAATCACGACTGAAGATCCCATTCATACACGTGGGAGAATGTCTTCATGGTGTTGGGTCTTTTAAACAGTCCATTTTCCCTCAAAGCTTGGGCTTGTCGGCGAGTTTCGATGCTGACCTTGTATATCGGGTCGGCCGAGCAATTGGAACCGAAGCTAGGTCGATAGGGATTCATGCTTGCTTATCCCCCGTTCTCGACATCGGCCAGGATCCGCGATGGGGACGTATGCAAGGTACGACTTCTCCGTGTTATGAGAGGCCCGCCTCTGTACTGATAGTATGTATGCAGAGGCTTGGGGTGAAGATAAGGTGCTGACTTCGCATCTGGGCGTCGCCTTTTCGCGCGGACTATCTAAAAATGGTTCTTGGTCTGAGCCGGATGCTGTGGTGCCAGTGGTGAAGGTATGTCTATGAAGTATTATCCTATGAGCAGTGTTAGTAATTTATTTCACCTGATAGCATTTCGCCGCCCATGGGGCTCCGCAGTCTGGGCATAATACTGCCCCTTTCATGGGTCATGGAAATCGGCAAGTCATGCAGGATCTTCTCATGCCATTTAAAGCTGCGATCCAGCTTGGTGGAGCGAGAGGAGTCATGATGTAAGTTGACTATGACCTAATTGCGTACCTACCTATGTAGTGTGTGTTGAACATGTTGCAGGGCATATAACGAGCTTGACGATATACCGGCCCATGTGCATCCTATGCTATACCAAGCCCTTGACGACTGGGGGTTCGACGGATTCATCATTGCTGATGATACCGGTATTAATACATGCTAAGAGAGCCTTGATACACGTTTTGCTAAATATATAACAGGTATGGTTGAGCTCCAAGCAGTACATCGAGTGGCAGGTTCGCCTGCAGACGCGATACAGCAATGGTTTAATGCTGGTGGGATGGTTCAATTTTATGACTTTCCTTTAGAAGTCTATCTTAATGTGAAGCACCCCTTTTGTATCTGATAAATACCAATAACGCTAACACAGACTTAGACGACAATAGACCTAGTTAAAAATGGTACTGTGGAATTAGCAACCCTACGATCTCATGTACGTAAGATACTGGGTATCAAGTGGGATTTGGGTTTGTTTGACAACCCCCTCATCGAAACCAAGATCGATCCCCTAGAAATTGTTGAGAGCCATCGCGACCTGACACGCGAGGCTGCTCAAAGAAGTATTGTCCTCCTTGAGAATAAGGACTCGACGCTGCCGTTAAGGCCTAAGGCTCGGAATATCTCTAAGATCGCTCTTATCGGTCCTTTCGCTGATGTGCTTAACTACGGCGATTATTCCGGCCAATGGGGCCAGTATCCCGCGGAAGCAGCGCGGACAATCCGGCAAGGAATGTTGAGTTATGCGAGTAACGACGAATTTGAACTGGTTACAAGCTGGGGAACGAACACCTGGGAATATAACGCACAATATGTGATCCCGTCGTATCTTTTATCATCGAATGGGACTATAGGCGGTCTTTCTGTGACGTACTTTGCTAATACCAACTTTACTCAACCTGCAGCGCATCGAATAGAGTTGCCAGCGCTGGATTGGGGGCTTTATCCCCCAGATGGTCTAACATCGAATAATTTTAGTGCCATCTGGGAAGGCGAGCTACAATCTCCGGTTGATGCAGATGTTGATGGTTGGATTGGAGCGGCAGTCGGCCCTAACACGACTGTTAAGCTCTTTATAGACGGGGATTTAATTACATCAAGCGGAGTTGATGGACTGCTTGATTCTGGTAATATCATGGGTAATATCATGGAATATGATTATATTACAACTAACGCTACGTTATCTCCTAAAGGGTCTGCGCCTTTCACTTTCAAAAAAGGGGGGAGTTATCACATTCGCATCGAATACCAGGCATTCAACTTATATAAGAAAGTAGAGAACGTGAATTCTCTCAATTCTCAACTCATCCTTTTTTGGAACCTCGTCAGCCGGAACGGAGATGCCATTGACCAAGCAGTCCAGTTAGCAAGTTCCTCGGACGTCGTGGTCCTAGCAGTCGGTGCAGCTTGGAATAGCGACGGGGAAGGCGGAGATAGAGGCACGCTTGGTCTTCCTCCAAGCCAAGACTTACTGGCCAAAGAGATCTATAAGTTGGGAAAGCCTGTCGTGCTTGTACTTCAGGGTGGTCGGCCCTTCGCAATCGATTATTATAACCAGAGCGCTGCGGTGTTGAATACTTTCTTCCCAGGCCAATCCGGTGGTCAAGCCATCGCGGACGTGTTATTCGGCACTGTTAACCCCGGCGGTCGGATGCCGATAACAGTGCCGAAGCACGTCGGTCAGATCCCCGTATATTACAACTACAAGCCAACTGCCCATTTAAAGAATTATTTAGATGCCGAGTCATCCCCAGCATATTGGTTTGGGTACGGACTATCATACACGACATTTAAAGCGTCCAAGTTTGGAGCCTTAGTAAATAGCACGGATGCGATAGGCTTTAAGGCTGGGGATATAATTACGTTCTCGGCTCTTGTTAAAAATAGTGGCACCGTAGCCGGAAGCTATGTTGCGCAGGTATACGTTCTGAGTCGCGTCTCGTCTATCACTCAGCCGGTAAGGCAACTCGTCGCCTTCCAGCGTATCGACATACTACCTGGCGAGGAAGCTACGGTTTCGCTGCAGTTGGATGTTGATAGGTACCTTGCCATCTTAAATAGGAGAAACGAGTGGGAGCTGGAGAAAGGCCCGTACACTTTTGCGCTCTTAAATCACGGCGGCGACGCGGAGACAGCTCGGAATGTTACTTTGAACTGTATGTAAGGCGGGGGATCTTAGATTGGCTGCTTTAGTTAAATTATTTTATTAGCAAATATTTAATCTCTTACCATTTATATCTAGAGCATGGAATTAATTAATGTAGCCTCTCCGTGATTGTGGGCATCGTGGTATGCGAGCCGGCATTGTTCGGAGGCACTGTCCGGGGCAGTCTCGGCAGCTCCGTAAAAGGAGACAGTTTCTAGAAAATCCCTGGTATGGAATAGTAATTATGTATATGTTCATAACCGCTCTAAATGTACTGGGCATTGCATAAAACAAGATTTCTCGAAAAAGGAAGGACAAACTCTCCCTTGCCCCACCTATGTGGAACGTCGCTACGGACTACGGGACCTAACTTTAACTTTCTTTGACGTGATTCAGATTCCAATTAAATTCTAATTAAAACCCGGCTGTTATTTGTTATTCTCGTGCGTCTCGCGGGAAACTTCCAATAACAAATCATGACTGAACCAACTCGAGATTCATGTCCGCCTCTTCGCCCCGCCAGTCGTATGAAACGCCCGATATAACATGTATCGCGCCAGAGCCTTTCGAACCTATACCTCTGATCGCCGACATTGTGCGTACCGGATATTGCATTCCAGGTTCCGTATTCCTGGTTGAAGGCGTCGATTCCATCCATACGTCTAGATCCAAGAGATGGCGTGCCGTACGCCTATTACTCGGAGATGGAGAGCTGTGTATCCAAGCCCTATTATCGGCCGAGATGCATAGATACGTAGACGAGGGAGAAGTCGCCTTTGGGTCCTACGTTAAGTTGGAACAATTCCGAATCGAGCGGAGGAACCTTCCTAATGGGACTGATGGGGGCTCGCCAACCACCAAAGGGAAAGAGAAAGAACGCGATGATCATAGTGCCGAAAATGGGATGGTCTATTTGGTTGTTGAGGATCTTGCGCTCGTCGGATGGAATAACACACTTGTCGATGCTACGCCCGTCGAAAGTGCTCACACAGGTGCTGAAGTTTCACAAGACCGAGCTAAAAATAACACTCAGGCTTCTATCACGACCAAACCAGTTCCAGACAACAGTACTACGCAGTCTTTCGACAGTGGTGTTGGTCTCCAGAAAGAATTAGCTGATGCGGATGACGACTTCGAAGTCATGCCAAATTCCATGTCGAAGGTGACGCAGAATAGGCTTGATCTCGCAGCAAAATCCAAGGACATGAACCGTCTTCCCTGGTCAAGCAACAACCCTGGCAAACCCCTGAAACTCACCAAGTTACGCTCAATCCCTAACTTACCATACAAGCAAAACTGGAGCGTCAATGTACTAGCAGTAGTTTCGGCAATCTCGGGTCTCGAACCTTCCGGCCTACCACCGTATAGCCAGCGACAAGCCAGACTTGCCGACCCCTCTACCGATAAGCACGTGCTCTTGACAGTATTTCTAGATCCGGACCAGTTCTTACCAGCAGTCGGAAGCGTCGTATTACTGCTCGGGGTCAAGAACCATCGTTTTGACGGCGGAAGCCTCAAGAAGTATGCCAGCGACCGCCCAGCAGCCGGGCATAGCTGGTGGTACGAGAATCCGGTGCAATTTGACTGGTGCGACATCGAGGGGCTAAGGCAGTGGTGGGCCGAGGGTCAGTCTCTCGAATAATCCTTTAGGGCACGATCGTTTACGAAGCGGCTGATCGTAATCAACCCCTAATGGATATGCACGTACAGGATAGCAACTGCGGATAGTGGATTATTACTATCGATTCACCATTTACAAATTGCTGCTCCTACTTCGTGAAAAATAATAGTATTCTTTTTTTGGGTGTTTGGTCGTTATATAAATCAATACTAACTACAGCCTCAATCAAATTTCCTTAGCAATGATTAACAAACCAATCCTTAGACATCGTCTCCGCTAGTCATACCTTGTGCGCAAGCTCAGACTCGTCTTTCCTGTTATTTTTCTCGGGCTGTCTACACCAGTCGAGGTTCAGTCCATCGGCGTCCCTTTAGGTCTGCGCGGGCTCGTTAAGTTAAGCGCCGCCATGCTCCACAGCCATCTGCAAAGCACGCATATCTATAATAAAAGTTAGCAGTCGTTCTATAATACATATAGTTATTTGCAGTGTATTTCGGAAGTAATGGCTTCCAACAGAGCTCGATCAGAATGCCACAGCTCGCCGCACGCCAAAGGGAAAAGGGGTGAAATATTGATGCTACATACATTGTTCAGGCTGAAAAGCTGCGTAATTCCCGCCGAAGACCTGGCGCATGTGCTCGTCGCAAAAGAAATGGTGAGTTAGGGGGGTTGGGCTGCCGTCCCTTGAAACCGAAGCTGAGTGTAGCCAGCTGTCCAATTCTCCCACTAGAAACTCGCGTAGTCTTTGACGGTCGTATGGACCCGTCGGTCCCGTCTGTCGGCTGAAGAAGCATTCCTGTTCTTGGGGTTGAGCTTGGGGAGTAGGCAGAGAGACAGAGGGTTCCCTGGAAATTTCCATTCGCCCCAGGTGAGAAGATATGTCCTCTTCAAGGGCGTGACCTTGGCCACGCCCGGTGCGATGGCCATCGTGGACGTGGCCGAGAACGTAGCCCTGGCCCTGGAAACTCGGGGTGTTGCCATCAGGCGACTGTCCATGGCCGGTTGAGTGTCCGTGGCCATGCGGATGCTCGTGGTTATGGGAGCTCTTATGTTTCTGAGAGTTCCTATGGCTATGGTTGTGTCCGCAGTTGCAGGAGTTTCCGCTACCACCTGCATGTCCGGAATCATGGGTGGAACTATTGGCGGAACGGCCGCGGCCGCTGCCGCAGCGGCACGGATTGCATCGGCAAGCGGCGCCGCACGGACACATTGCGCTGTCACGTTGGTGTATTGTAGTAACTACCTAGGTAGGTTATGAAAATAGGTATGTCTGATGTTGGGGTCGGAATTAGTATGGTGATGTTTAGTAGATGGAAATGGAGTTTTGGATGGAAAAAAAAAAAAAAAAAAAAAAAAAGATGAAGGTGCTCTTCTGTTTATATAGACAAAGTCTACCTTCCCAAGCCAAAGCCTTCAGATAATTTTGAGTCACGATGGCCTTTGGTGCGTAAGGTCTCGATCATATTCTACGTGCGATATGTGTAGTCGTGACTGTACCGAACCGAATGGCGATCGAGTAAATGATTTTCGAGTGCAATCACCACGTTTGAGATACGACGACAAACTCGTCCCAACTACCTCGACAGCTAAGCAGCTTCTTTCAGAGATTCGACAGACTGTCGTACTGGACGAGTCACGAGTGAATCGATTCGAAGTCAGTAATTCTCGGCAAGAAGATGATTGTAACGCTCTTCAGGGGTAGTACGAATGATGAAGCCTTACTCAAGTCCCAGTCATGAGCTGACGCGTATATCATCATCAATCACAGTTAATCATTTTAAGCCCCTTTTTCGAGTTAATCTCCTAACGGTATCCATGATTTTCCGGGGAGACGTAGGAACCTATATGCGAGGTACCTAGATCAGGGATATTAAAGCTTTATTCTAAGTACCTACTGTCATACTTGGATTCACAAGGCTATATAATGTACCTACGGCGTTAATATTTTTTATGGTATTCCAAATGGCTCTAACTCCGAGTGGTATGAATATTACTCCTAGAGCCTATAAGGAGTCTGGGTAATACTTCAAATCTGATTCGAGAGTTGGGTCCTGGTGAGTTATAGATGCTGTTGGCAATATTGCCACCTGGTAGGGGTTTTGGCTGTTTTGGAAGGGATTGGATTCCAGATAACCCATATCATATAGTTAATAGGCATTACCCAGGTCAGTTTTCTAGCTACCTATGTACTAAAATGATCCCGAAACACTTGAAAGATGTACGATCAGTATGAATATAACATATTAACGATTTTTTTAATAAACTGAAACTCGAGTAAGAACGGCCACATCTATAGCTTACTACAGGCATGTCGTAGATGGGGTAAAATAATTGCATATATATATGTACTTCCATCAAGGTGGTATTTCTTTTGTACACCAATTAGCACACCAAGGCCAAGACCATCAAGTTCTGACTTTAACTGCAACGACGATACCCCATCCACGGATACTCTCCCATATTCCGAGATCATTCTCCTGGCGGAACGCAACCTCTTCAGCTGTAACTGTCATGTCAGCCCCCTGTTTCTCCTGCTCTTCCTGTATATTGTCCTTCGCAGCATCGATCTGTGGGGGACTCGGTACTGTTGATTCCGGCGATTTCTGCTCGCTTGCACGTTTTCCCCAGAACCAGCTTTTCTTCTCCTTTTTCGGTGGTAATCTTTGCTCAACTACAGTCTGAACTATCGAGTTAAGCTTAACCTCTGGATTTTTCTCCTTTTTCGGCTGTAGGTAATCGGCGAGGCGGCGCGCCATCTCCTCGTCACGCCACCAGAGTGATTTAATATTTTCGGCAGCGCCATCTAGCGAAGAACCAGGCTCATCAAATCGTCCCCAGTCACTAAATTCCTGTCCGGGGGCCCAGCTTGGATCTTCGCTTATCTCTGGAGAACTAAGGGCACCAGAGCCAGACTTAGAGTCCTTACCGGGGCTTTTTATGGAAATTCTGGAAACGCGACAAATCTCCCCGCGTCGCTTCATGTCTTCTAAACCGCTAAGGATAGCATTCTTAGGAACTGCGGCACCCGGGACTAAGGTAAGGGTTGCCAGCGGAATAGGAGTATGTCGAGCCCCTAAGTCGGCCAAGAACTCCTCGAGGACGGGAACAATATGGTCTAGCAGAGATGCATCACTAAATGACTGCTCGACTCTCCGTGCTTGTTGCGTTGCGCGGATGCGGTCTGGAAGGGACGTGATATGATATTGAAGATGAGAAGTCAGGGAGTTTAACTGCAACTCGTCTAGGGTAGCAAGACTAGTTGGAGCGGCGGTATAAGGAGGAGGTGCCTCCAGAGGCTCTTTGCTATCCATGTTTGCTGCAACCTATCCAGAGATTTGACAAGGCGGTGGATAAAGCCGGTAGCTATGTAGTCAGAGTTAGAACCAGGGGAGTGGCTGGGCTGCTCTTGTTTGAATACTATGTAGTAGTGAGAAAACAGCCACTCTGGATGTGCCTGTCAACCTGGTTATGCTAATCCTTCTGGTAGAGGGGCGTGGGTTAACGTTAGGCAAACAGGGTCACTACCTGGTATCCAAGCGTAGATGCTTACCAAAGAACTTAAAACGGGTTGGAAACTAGATGATGGTTAGTTCCAAGCCCGATTTAACCATTAATTCTTGTCATTGGTCCGGGGACAAAATGGTCCCCAGCTTGGGTTGACACGAAGGTTCATCATACCCCTGAGTAAAGATGAGGAGCCCAACCTCGATCAAAGACAAGTCCGTGACTCCCGATTGTCCGCTGCTCACTTTCGGGATCATTCGGAGTCAGCAGACAGCACCAGTCAGCCGTGAATACCGAATACCCAGATCTGGGGCTAAGATGCAAGATTAATTAGCCTTGCATCCGGCGCGCACGGGGATAAGTAAAATAAAACGAGGGGTCTAAGCCTCACTTAGCGGCCTTGGGAGCACCGAAGATAATGACGCGGGATGCTGGTCGTGTAGATAAGTCCCTTACGCACCTGATTTCAACGAATGAATTAACTATCAATTGTCGAATCGAGATTTTGAATGTTAGATGACGACGAGGTCTCAGATGGACGCATGAGTCCCGATCTCTCGATACCTAACACAGCATATGTATAAGTGCGGGGGACGGGCAGGACTCTGGGGAAGCGAAATAATAGGTAGAATAGCCAGGATTGCATGACTACATGCCATGCAAATGCATGCAAGGTTCAGAATCAAGGTTTCATTATCAGGGTTCGGAATACGCCGTAGCGGACAGATTACTGTGTAGTAACCGTGCCATGTTAACGAAGAAAGGGAGAAGGATTCAAGTTAAACAGCTTTAGGTAGTTATTCCTCGAGCCATAAAGTCACAGCATAATCACCGATCTACAAGGCAAGAGGGCTATGCTCAAATAGTCACGACAATGAGGAAATATGTAATGTAATAAGCGAGTGAAGCTTAGCCGGGAAGCTATAAGTCATAGCCAAGTACACTAATCGAAACCGTCCGGGTCACGGAGCTGAGCTTCAGCTCGGGCTCTTTATGGGGTAATACTTAAGTCTTAATGCAGCCCTAAGAAGGATTTGGAAAGCTTCCAGAATTATTCTGTCACTTACGGATTACGTGCAATTGGGAACTCCACTTGAGCTTGGACTATTGGACCTGGCTGGTAACAAATCAGACGCGGCAGATTATTCGGTCTTGTGACGCGAGACCCAAGCCCACTGCCACGCCCGACTACTGTGTAAACGGGCTTGGAAATGCTTGTAGATTCCTACCCTATCCAAGAACCTAAAGCACGTGGTGGAGTGAGTAAATCCCTTACGAGTAATAGTACGCGATGTCCATACTACCGTATGTATGTAGGTATGTATGTGTGCCTCGCAAGGCTTTCCGCATCCTCTAGCTTTCGATATATTTATCCCTGTCAGCAGCACAGTGGCGTATCGTTCGTTTAAGCATCAGATCCTCGAGCTATCAAGGTTACGTAGCGAACGCTGGTTGGTGATATGTAATCTAGCAATAGGTACTACAACTTACAAGTATTCACTCGGCCAGAGTACGCACAAACAAATTCACTCATTCTGCCTGTCATCAACTTGTGGTGGCTTCTAACGACCATCTGACTCCTGATAATTATCGTTTTCATAAACATCCATGAGACAGTAAATAAAGGATTCTCAATATTTGATGCCTAAATAGGCACTTGCCTACACTAAACATACTCTGACTACCTAACGTTAGGTAGTTTTCTTTCCTTTAGAGCTACATTAAGTACTTGGCAGTCATTCATCTCGCCCCTTCACCGAGCCCGTCCGTCTTCTCTCGGTAGCTCTAGCCTAAGTTAACTTAAACCAAGTCCTCGCCAAGAACTCGTCCTGACAACTGATGTGTAGACTACCTTAGCTACTCAGCTACTTCAGCCTCTCACAATATTTACTTGCGCCTCGTTTAACGAGTCAACACTCCACTATTTAACACTCTCGTTTTATACCGCTCTCCTGTCACATAGGTATATAAACAGATAATACCCCAGTACTATAAGAGCCGCATCTCAATCTTCTTTTCGTCCTTTTATTTAACCTCACCGTCCCCACTCTCCATCTTCTCGACTGAAAGTCTAGGAAGACGTCCCAAGTTTTGATTCTACTCACCTACTTGATATATTCAGCTTCACCACCATGTCGTTTAAGATCGCCGCCCCCGATGAGTACCTTGCCATTACCGGCATGAACGTGAAGAGTGTACTCATCACGAAAGCCGCATGGGTTTGGCCCTTTCAAAGATGTACACGCTTCTCGGTTCAACCTCACGATTATGCTATGAACCTCCAAGGTATCTCTCAATATTAACTACTGCTTAACCTGCACTAACGTCTACGTAGCCATGACAAAGGAGAAACTCCAGTTCCTTCTCCCTGTCGTGTTTACCATTGGACCGTATGTGTCATCCTCGTCTAAGCTGTTATGATAATTCGGAAAATAATAACCTAACGATAGGGATGTGAACAATCGAGGAGCTAACTCGAAGGCTCATAAGCCCGTAGCAAATCCTCAAGGGGGGCAATCCGTACATGACCACACTCACGATGAAGACCGCGGAGATTCTTTAATGAAGTATGCCATGCTACTGGCCGAATCTACCGCCCAGAAAAAGGGATCGCAATATCTCGAAAATATCGTAAAGGGTATTATCGAGGGCGAGACCAGAGTGCTAGTATCTAGTATGACGATGGAAGAAATATTCACAGAGCGCGAGGAATTCAAGCGCCGTATCTTCCGAAACATCCAGGGCGAGCTCGACCAGTTCGGTCTTAAGATTTACAACGCCAACGTTAAGGAACTTAAAGATGCTGCCGGCTCTACGTACTTCCAATCGCTCTCTCAGAAGGCCCACGAAGGCGCCACCAACCAAGCCCGTATCGATGTCGCAGAGGCGCAGCTTCGTGGAAATGTCGGCGAGGCAGAAAGGCATGGCCAGCAAGAGCGGTCGATTGCAAAGATGTAAGCGTCTCCTTAATCTAGCAGCAGCACCTTGAATATTTTCGCCTCCGTAAATAAAGCTGACTCATCCCCCGTAAAGCAATGCGGAAACGGCCGTCCAAAAGACCGACCGGGACGTCGAGCGCGCGGCGGCAGAAGCCAACCTTGCCACTCAAAAGACGATCCTCAGCCGGGATGTCGAGATCGCGCGTATCCAAGCAACAAGAGCTACAGAATCCCGCGACGAGGATCTCAAGAAAGAAGTCCAAGTCAAGCGCGCAGCCGCCGAACTCGAGCGTCTGCGCGCCGTCGACGTCGTCAAGGCCGCCATCGCCCGAGAAAGCAAGCAGCAAGCGGCCGACGCGAAGGCGTACGAGGTAGAGGCCGAAGCGCGCGCCAACTTCGAGAAGTCGAACAAGGCGACGGACGCCGCGGCGTACAGGACCAAGATCGACGCCGAGACGCAGGCTTTCGCGGCCGTCAAGAAGGCCGAGGCCAATCTGCAGCAGAGGCTGAAAGAGGCCGAGGGTATGGCTGCTATGGCTGATGCTTACTCCAAGATGAGCAATGCTTTTGGCGGCCCGGCTGGGCTCCTTCAGTACAGTAAGCTACCTAACCTACCACCAAGACGATCTCCCCCTATTCCGTCAAATCTGCCTAGAAAGTTTGAGATTTTCGGGAGAACCCCATTTAAAATTTTCTGCTTTTAAATTTTACACGAAAACTCCTATTTTATTACTAATCGCTATTGTTTACTTACAGTGATGATCGAGAAGGGCACGTACGTCGAGCTGGCCAAGGCCAACGCCGGCGCCGTCAACGGCATGCAACCCAAGATCAGCGTCTGGAACACGGGAGCCGAGGCTGGATCGTCGTCCGGCGCTGGCGGCCAGGGGTCTATTCAAGACAGTGCTGCGACGCTGAGAAACGTAAGCTACCTATGATTTCCACTCTATATGAGGTATTTGTATACCTACATGCTAACACGGGATATTCAGGTATACCAACTCCTCCCTCCGCTGATGTCGACGATCCACGACCAGACGGGCATCACTCTACCCGAGTGGCAGTTTGGAAAGTTGCCAAACAACGAGGTGACGAGGCGTGACCAATTCCACAAGCAAGAAGATGTCAACGGCAAGTAAGGGCGGGAGCGTTATTCGTGATTATTGGTTATTGGTTATACCACGGAACGTATTCGTATTACGTCTTTCGTTTTTGGGGTTTTTTTTTTTCGATTCTTTTGTCATATTGTAGATACCTAACCTAGCTTCAGCGTTTTTTGTTCCAATAGGGGCGTTTGCAGTAGGCTTGTAGCTTGCGTGCTAGTTGATATCCATCTGAATTAAATTTCATTCGTGTTTTCCATACCTACGACATGACTCTTTTGAGCTTCTTGGCATTATTATTAATTATGCCAATAAGATAGATATTAGAAATTATTAGAAGCTATGTGAGGTTATTATACGAATATGAATAGCTACCTACTAATAGCGTGACTCCTATGCTTAGAATCATAAACTGTATAATTAGAGTCGCCAAAGAATCATAATGGGGTTCTATAATTATACCAGGCAGTTGAAGTACTGAAGTAGATTACGGGTGATTCTACTGATAAACTAGAAGCTATTAAGGGGAAAGAACCCCGAAACGAGGAAGTCTTCGAGCTGTGCCGCCAACCCGGTATAACATCAACACAAGTGACTACCTACCTAGGTATCTATCTACACCGGATGATGGGATAATTAAAGAATTATTACGTCTCCGTTATAAGCCGCATTTTGGCATTTCGCCTTGGGTATCTATTCTTAGTATACCATATAGTCTTTCGATTCCTTATATATAAGTGACCTGTAGCCCCTACAAAACCTCTCTTATTAACTTAATCACCAGTTCTTCCCCCTTCCTCCTATCATTGCATCAATTCTATTAACTATGTAAAAACCAACAAAAGCAGCCCATGGTATCCCAACGGCGCAAAACTGTCCTCGTAACAGGCTGCAGCGAAGGCGGCATCGGCCACGCTCTAGTCGACGAGTTCCAATCGCGAGGCCTACACGTCTTCGCGACGGCGCGCTTCGCCCCTTATTCAGGGATCCACTGTCTGTCGCTGACCAGCAAGTACACCGCCCCAGGTTTCTACGCAGGCACCAAGTCCGCCCTAATCAGCATCAGCGAGGGCACGCGTCCAGAACTCAAGCCCTCGGGCGTCAAAGTTAGCCACCGTCATCATCGTCGGCGCCGTTGTACACCAACGTCTTTTGCCAACGCGCCCGAACACACAAGTTACCACCCGACTCGCTGTATAAGGGCGCCGAGGAGGAAATCGCAGCCCGGGCAACGGGACAGGATGTCGGAGAACGGCTCGGTACGACGACGGAAGATTCCTCGCGCGAGCTCGTTGGCAAGCTGTTGAGCGGTGCCTCGGGCAGGCTGCATGTTGGTAACATGTCGACTATGATACGTATTGTGACGACGTGGCTTCCGACCTGTGTGGTGGTAAGTCCTTCTATTATATTTTCACCTTTTATCTAAATTACGGGTTGGGAGAATGACATGCTAACCGTGGCGGCGTGTAGGAATATCTCACTGTAACAAGCACGGGGCTTGACTACCTACCTACCCTGAGCATCAAATAGGGGGCTCTCATATCCATCTTTAGTAATGCTAATGTAGTCGCACCATTGCATCAGGGATGATAAAGCGGAAACTCGTATGATATTTGTATATTGTCGATAACGAAATAGACTTAATGAATTATGTCCCGGACATGTTACCTAGGTATCCTCTTACACGGGCATAGCTTTATGGTTAAGTCAGTAGATGCCACCGCGAATACGTACTCACGTACTACACTTAGAGGAACTGAGCTGTATGATATCCACGACCTTATTCAGGGGATAGTTTAGTAATAGGCAATAAGTATTTCCATGTATAGTCCGGCCGTATAATTCCAAGAGTCGACCATCGTTTGAACACCGTAGCCCAGTCTATTGAAACCATGCAATTGTGGATGAGGGGTATAACTTCATTCTTTTAATTATTTTTTGCAGTGTTTCTATCTGAAAAGCGTCTGGTATTTCTTGTAATAGCCCGTACTGGGGTACCATCGAGCGACGAGCCCAAAGTATTATGATAGCTGACAGGAATTGGGACAACCTGTGTGGGTGGCCTGGTTACGTCCTACGAGGACGCGACGTATTCGCTTTCTAACCGAATCTTATCGCGCTGTTGCGATCCCAAGTTCCAGCAACAGGCGGCCGGTTCTCCTGCTGAGAATTACTTCCTATGTTCCCCCCGCCACCCACGGCGGCGCCAGGCGGAGGTGGCGTGTTGGCAAACTTAATGCCTGTCCCTGGGCTCCATACACTTTGCATAGGATTTGCCCTCGGCGGTTGCGGCTGCGGCGCCACTGTCTCACCAACCGGCACCCATGACTGAATGTGCGCTTCGGCAGGACTTTGGATCTGTTGTCTGGATGGAGCAGGTGGTGGCAAGAATGAGGTCTGCTGTGATTGCTGTAGCTGATCTCGATAGCCTGTGCCACTGTTCCAACCATTTGAAGAACTGGTCGGTTGTACAGGTTGTTGCACACGATCTTGTGGCCCCCCAAGACTCAAGTTGTTTAGCGGCGGCATACTTAGCTCATCCTCGAGCATGCGTGCCTCGTGTCTCCTTTCGGCTACAAAGTTCCGCGAACCGTCTCGGAAGCCACCTACTATGCGGCTAAGATCGTTGTAGAACTTACGTCCCGCCTCTGCGTTGCTGATCAATTCCTTGTATTTGTAATAGGCGTTTTCGAGTTTCTGAAGAGCTTGCTCCCTTTCCTTGTTTCCTTTGTCGCCCACCGTCTTCTTTTGGCTCTCGAAGTCACGATTTACTCGTATTAGCTCTGAAACAAGCCTCTCCTGCTCACTCGCCTCGGCCTGCACGAGTTTGAGATCTGGCTCATAAAGCGAGTCCAGCCGTTTTTCGAAAAACTCTTCAAAGTGTGCGGGAACAATAGCAGTCGCCACCGTTTGGGCACGTTCTAATCTCGCCGTTTCGGTTAGGATGTCAGACTTAATATCATCGCCACGGGCCTTTTCGCGGAGGGCTTCAGCTTTCCGACGACGGCGGCCCTCGAGACGTGCTATATTATTATAAGCCGTACGCAGACGTCCAATGGCGGGCTTAAGTGATTCTGGGACTTCTGTGCGCCGTGATGAGGGCACAAAGTCCAGTAGGCCACGATCTGGTCCGGTAAGAACAGCCAACATAGGTTCTATGCTATAAAATTTGTCGCGTACAACCTGATCGCTGCTTTCGCTGTTTGCAAACCAACCCTCCGCATCTGCTACCTGTTTCCAGAGTTTTGCACCTTGATTCGGCTCGGAACGACTCTCGGGTCGCGACCAACGTTCCGTGCCATATTTTCTCCGCAGCTGAGCATCTTCTTCCTCTTCTGCTTGCAGCAGGCTTTTGCCTTCTTCAAACACTGCCAGGTCAGCAGCGCGCAGCTTGTCGATATCAGCGAAACTTCTTTGCAAGCGGTGCAAGGCATCTGCCTGCCGGATTTCCTCGGCGTGCTGAACCAGAGTCCCAGGCAGGCCGAGCGGTTTTTCGAAAGCCTGAAGTGAACCTGGAAGATTCAGTGACGAAAGAATCTCATGAATTCTTTCGTTCAGTGTCTCGAGTTCAGCTACGATGTCCTGATTTACAAGACGGTCTCTTCGCTCTTCATATATAGAGACGGCAATATGAACGGAATATGGAACGAGTTTTGTGAAGAGCGGAGGACCAAACTCGCCCTTCTCTCCGAGATAGTTTAGAGGTGCCGATACTTGTGGTGGTATTCGCGCAGCCGCCATGGTGGCCCGATCTAAGATCTTAAGCTCCGACTTTGGTGGCACTGGGTCTATAGATAGTTAGCACTGAGGTCCGTCCGTGTTAACTGATTGGAGTAATGGTGAGGAAACTTACTTAGGTAAATTACGTCGTTGTCTTTTTCAGCTCGCTTAAGATCATCCTCTACTCTTCGCTTGAGACTGTTTAAATCATCTGCTACCGTTTTGTGCAAGTAACCGCCGCGACTCTCCCTGAGCCCCTCATTCACGCAAGAAACAGCATCGCGCAATCTCGCTACCTCTTCACCATATTTTCGCTTTTCTAAACATTCGCAGGCCGCACGGTATTGAGCAGCAGCGGCAAAATGATGGTGTTTGGCGCTCATATGATGAATCCAGCTACTGCTGATAGCCTGCGACCGCATAGCTGCCTCGCTCGCATCATTATAAAAATCGGAAACCTTAGCAGCCAGCTTAGCTATTGATGCATCCCTGTAGCCGTCCATAACGGCCTTCTGCCAGTAGCACTCTTGAGACTGCGCTAGCTGGAGTTGTATTAACGAGTCTAGCGTGTGCTCATCCATGTCCTCCGGTGGTGTAGTTCGTAGCTCGGGTATGACCTCATTTTTCAAGTGTGTCAGTACGCCTGCCGACTGGCTGAAGTAGCTCGCTGCGGTCTTAAGACCATCCGTACTGGTGCGGTTGCTTGCTATAGCTAACTGGGAGTACAGGGCAGCGAGATTGTATAAGATGTTGGCGAGTTCGAATTTTAGATTATTATGGACTATGGGTCGTTCGGTGTTGTAACCTAAAGCGTGATACCATGTGAAGTCTGCGCCGATCTATGCACGGAAAGGATCTGTAAATATAAAGCCACGAGAGATGACTTGGAGACTTACATCTATAGGGAATTTCCCCCCGATCCAGACAAGCTGTCCAGCGTAGGCCTGTAGTCTCGCGACACCAGTAGGATGCGGCTCGCGCACATTCACGGCCTGGCGTCTTAATGAATCGATTACCTCCAAATCTTGTCGGAACATGTCCGGGTGTTGGTCATATTTGGTAGAGATATACTGTCGGATAGCAGACGAGAGCGAGAGATGGGCCCCTTTACGGAAGGGGACCGCGAGGATGTTGTTTTGCATAGCGAACCGGTGTATGACACGAACGAGTACTTAGATTATAAAGAAGACGGTATAGTGTCAGGATATGTACGTAGCTATTGCCATAGTCGTTTTTTATTTTATTTGAAGTGGCTTCAAGCGATGGGGGTTATTTACGTCGAGATATGCTAGTAAAGTCGATATGGTAAGTTAAGTATAAAGTAAAGTAAAAATGACTTCATCTCGTCCGCATCAAAACAAAGAAACATTCGGCGGTCGCCTTGGGCAGCCGTTTCTTTAGTGGGGTGCGGGGCAGAGCTTACATAAGTGAGACACAAGTTTAGGCTAGTTACAATACAAAACCACTTTCAGCTTCTAAAGGTTCTAGGTTAAGCATAATTCTACATGAATATTACAAGGCATATATCATTCCCCTTGTATGTACTTTCTAACGTTCACGAAATTCCATTCAAGATATTACATTCAAACATGTCACGCCTACAATAGTATAGCACACTCATGTTTTAAGGTCATATTCTCTTGGCCTATCTAAGTATGTACAGTCGCAAGCGACGCATCTACCAGCTTCGTCTCGAGCACTTCGATTCCGAGCTAGCGATGCCATCCAGCACGACATTGAATAACCACCACCCTCTGGCCCCAAGAAAAAGATCAACCCAAAATCGCCAGCCTTGACCATGTCAGCAACAAACACGACACCATGTTCCTCACTGGGCATCTAATGCTCGTAACTCCACTTCCCAAAGAGCAACTGTATCATACAAATGGACGGGGGAATAAATGTAAGTCCCAAAACAGCCCAGCTATTCCCAGACAGCATACTGAGATGAAGAAATAAAGATGCCTAGTGTAAATGCTGAAAACGACCTTTAGTCGCCACTAATGCTAGGTTCCAAGTGGTAAGTAATAAGTGTAGTACGGTATAAGTGTACCAAGTAAATCCCTCTTCCGGAACCAACTAAGAAGGTATAAGGTGATGCTGGTAATAATAAAGCGATTATGTATTATCGGATTTTCTCTTCGTTTTTCGATAGTCGGAGTGCGATAGCCAGCGCGGGTAAATGTATACTTTGGATATGGGTAAAGCCTGGCATAAATCTGCCCAACGCCGACACGATCCTAACAGCAACGCATAATGTTGGTAATATGCGATCAAACAGGCTACACCAACGCAGAATAAGCCGCTCTCATTGGTCCAACTAGCATTCAAAAATGAGATATCCTGCTAGGCCAATGTCGGTGGGCATTCAACGAGTCAAAAAGACTGGGTACGCAAAACAGATTGGTGATGCCTGGTTCATCCCACATCCATAGCGAAGTCTCATATGGGTTTCCAACCCGGCCTTCTCCAAGTCAAGTAGACGAACATAAACATCTACCATTTCCTATCCCATCATACAAGAATCATTAGATCGTTCGCCACGCGCTGTGTAATGTCTCTATGGGACCCAGACAAGCTCGATTATGCCATCGACGTGAGACATCGGTTCACCGTTTCGGTCAACCCATCTCCAGTCATTAGCCTTTCGTACGTAGACGTGGGTAACGGTGTTGTCCTCGTTTACGCGTGCTTCCTGGAGATCCCAACTAACCTTACGACCTGTCTTCAAAAGGCTAGGTCGTTGCGGGTCAAAGACGTAGTCCAGATTCCAGCCCTTATCTTGAGGCGCGGCCGCAAATGTTCGCTCCATCTGAGCAAGGTTAAAATTGATGCCTTGAGGGTAGTGAGCGACACTGAAGCCCGTTGAGATGATGAAGTTATCGCTGGTTCGGAATCGCTGAAGGGTACAGTCCTCGCCACAGATATGAGCAATCTTAGTGTACTCCCAAGGCAGAGCCGAATGCCACCCGCCACCCTTAAAGTGGTGAAGAGAAATAGGCTTAATGCCAGACTCGTAGAAACCAGAGGGGTCACCGTATAGGTCAAGCTGGTATAGACCACGGAGGACAGACAGGCGCACATCTGTGTTTTCGTAGATGCACTTGCGGAGCAAAATATCGCCCTGAGGACCCCAACCCGAGTTCGATTCATGGATCTTCTCATCCGTTCTGCAACTATCATAGTCCTTTGCAATTTGCGCTGCCAATGGCACCGAGAGGAATACACCAGCGCCACCGAAAGCTTGCGAACCATGGCGATCGACATTGTTAACATCCTCAGATAAAGTCCCAATGTAAAGCATTTCGCTGGGATCGTAATCTTCAAACTTCTTTGTGAGTGCGTGGACACTAGGGAAAAATGTGTCGTCGTCGCATGACACGAGCCATTTCTTGGACGGTCGCTCGGGGTGATTGTATAAAGTCGGGATGAGGGTGAGATAGCGAACGGCCATCTCCATTGATGAGTCGGAGTGGTAGACATCAACATCAATTCCAGCGTGATGTAATATCGTCTTGGCGTGAAGTATCTGATCTTCCGTCGCGTCCAGGAGCAATAGGATCAATTTGCCACCATTAGAGTGGCCCTTGCCATCGGTTAACCAGTATGTCCATTCATTCACTGGGCTAGTCTTTTCGGAGCTGAATCTCTTAAATGTAGTTGACACGCCAAACATGAAATCGGACAGATTCCCGGTCGCAGGATATGGTGATTCAGTGACCGGAACTTCAAGTGGCTCGAGACATTGCTCATTGCCGTAGTTACTGGGGTGTTGCATATCAATCGTAGTAAAAGTGTCAGGGAGGAATTGCTGAGGAATCTTGGTGATCGACTTTCGCGTTATGGGCTGGCGGTTGATTTTGACATATCGCTTGAAGTACTGAAAAGTATCCCCAAGCTCATATTTCGCCTTGAGCTCACCCATGTGAGTTGAGTTGATGCTGCAATCCATTACATGGTTTGACACCGGCGCAACATCCTTTTCGGTTGCTTGTCCATCGCCAAGCGGTTGCTGCGAAACATCGCTCTTATGGGTAGACGCGGCTTTGACAATTCGCGAGCCAACATCTTCTATGCGGTCAGATTTCCATGTAACGCCGAGTAAGAGCAACAACGCGACGGCGAAGAGAACGCATCGCGAGAAAGGGTTCCGCATGCTGAAAAACTTCTGATGCGGAGAGGGCATTCTCGCTCCCATCGTAAATTTCCCCCAACAACAACTTGCCAGGAGATGATCGTCTCGACTATAACCGGGCTGGTCTCAACGGTATCGCTACTTTCGTTTCTAATCCAAACAAGTAAATCAGTTGTCGAATTACTTTACGACGGTTATTAGAGTATTCCGTGTCTGTGGATTTAGCATGCGGCGCGACGGTTGACAGTCTATGTCACGAGAGCTCTTGTTACTGAGAGGTTCTCAGGCTTTCGTAATCCAAAAAGTACCTAGATAGGTGGTAACGAATGACACCTCACGCAATAGAGCGAGGAAAAGCGAGACGTGTGAAAGAAAGCAAACGCTCACACCCGTCTTACGTGTAAGGCGCTTCCCAAAACTAGGCGTGTAAAGAAGGGATGGTTATTTCCAATATGAAGAAGAAAGGACAAAACGAAAGACAGGAGGGAGGAATTCGTCAGTAGAAAAGGAAAGAAAAAAAGGAGGGATCGATCAAGGCAAAGTAGGTATGGTAGAGAGGTAAGAAGAGAAACAAGATTGACAGGGGGAACAACCTCCGTACTACAAGCGGAAGCTAGAGGACGCAGCAGCATAGTGCAAGTAGCGTATGCAGCGGCGTATGTACTAGGTACATAAATGCCAAATGGCCATAATAGAACAGGCGCGGACGATTAGGGGGGGATGATAAATTGGGGTTGCCAGGATTTGTATTAGATCCGCTGATCGAGGGGTACCATTCGGTATGGTATATAGGTATGCGGTACATCCCCCTGTTGTGGATATTAGCAAATGGGCTAAGCGGAAACTGCAATAGCAAGGAGAGAACAGGCTTGAACAGGCTTGAAAAAGTTAAGGTAACTAGGGCCCTAGTAGGAGAAATACATAAGGAAACCCTGGAAAAGAGCGGGTCTTGGTAATAAGCCAATCGAATAGTTGGACATCCAAGAAGAATAAAAAAGCCAATTGGATTATGCGTTCCTGCGTTCCAATGAGCTACTTGTTGGTTGATAATTGATTTGATTAACGGCTTAAGAGGGGTTTAGACATAGTAGTATTGTTTAATATTGTCTTGTACATATTATACATATCGTACATATCGCATGGCGTTGTAGAACAAAGCAGATCGAAAGATGTATAGTTATCTCATGTTTGTTTGGAGGTAGAGAGCATTTCTTCTATCTGATACTGACTCGTGTATACCACGCATCCATGAGCAATGAGATAGACTGCCCTGACCCTTGATAGGTGTATATTACCTAGCGCGGCAACACCGCACATTGACATAGTCGACAGTATTGTATATTCGTTTGATAGGCCACTGACTTACAGCATGCCTCGGTCGGCTTGTAGATCCCCCAGTAAGACTTTTATTGTTTACCTCTTGTTTACACTACAGACTACATATTTTCAAGATTCTGTAAGATGCTGTATCGGTCATTATGGGGCGTTTATTGTTTACTACATATGTACCGCGACATGTTTAAGTGACGCTGGTCGAATAGTGGCTTGTGATAATCCACACACTTAAGTACCTAACACTAAGACGTGCGTTACTTACCTACCTTAGTTTAATGGTTAAAATTCCAGTTGACCACTGATCATACGTATGTAAACATGTACATGGCCGTTGACATGGGTATCATATTAGCGGATAACACCTTAACTTTACTGCTAATCATTAATAACAGTGTTGCATTTAAAACCAAAGAATTTCTCAGTCAAAAGTAGTAGTGGTGGTGGTGGTGAGTTACTCAGGCTGATTTGAAAGAAATATCGTCATCGTCTCCTTTCCTTGGTGGGATTGCCTACGATCGTATGTGCAAAATGTGGGCGTGGCTGGCAGTGCTTGTGACGATCTTTTCGCCATGCGCTTACCCGTCAAGCCCGTCAAGCCCGTCGAGCCGTTCCCTTCTCTTAAATTCCAATACGAAAAGCAAACTCGTAAACTACCTCTTAATGTATATCTGTAAAATGCTGTATTTAGAACAATCAGCAGCATGAGCTGACGAATCACTAAACTTGCATTACATGGAATCCGATGCGAAAAGGAACAAGTTGGAATTAATACGTCAATATGGCCAGTTGCTGTGGCCACCAAACGTGCTCTGCAGGCTTTCATTTTTCCATATTAGTGGCATAAACTCAGTAACCTGTCATGTATGCATGGTATGTATGTAAGTAAGTGATTAAAATGTACCTTTGCGTCCCGTCCCATCACCATGATACTTTTGGCCCTGTCAAACACAGTAAAGTTGACATTGACAGTCCAGATGACATGACAGTCTAGAACATGTATTTAAGTAAAAAGGTTACGCGTACCTTATTTTAGTTACTTTTTTCATTTGGATATGAGACGAATTACTTTAGTTGCGAAGTCTAGACACGAGAATAGAAAAGCTTCTTTCCTTACTCTATAAACTTTATTTTCTAGATTCTAATCCAGACTTCAACGTATCTCATCTTAGGTATTCTTACCTACTACATACACTATGTACTACCTACATCCGTGTATCCAAATTCAGATCCCGGCAGCCCCGGCTAGCCAAGTCGGGAAATCCTTGAAAGGGTTTTCCGCTCGGCCCATGTACATACATATGTACTAATGAAGATCACTACGTCGTTTTGTCTCGAAGTTCCCAGCTCCCAGCCCGCTCTAACCACCATAACCAGGGGTAGCACAGGCCAGCATTCGTAAGCTGTGGGTCTGTCGTTTCGAATGTATCGCCAATCATCGTCCAGTTCGGTGAGATTGCAGCAATTACGTCAATCCTGCCAACCGCTTAAGCACTTTTCACTTTTCATCTTTTGTCAGTAGTATTATGTCTCAAACCAGCACCTAGCATCTCCGTCAACTGTCTTCCTAACGAGAATTCATTTTCAATGTTATCAAATAACAAATGCCAGGATAAAAGTGGCAATTAATCGAGTTGATAACATCCCCGGGGCTACAGGGGGTCGCAATACCACTGCAACGCGATAGATTCCTGTTCGCATACCCCGATGCAAAATGGAAAATTGGAAGAAAACAGATACACTATTATGAGAGTCCAAGCCCGTTATCTTCTCGGCGTTCAATATGTGGCTGCAGATCAGGGGTTGATTCCGTTAGTCTATTCCGTACCTATCCACGATACCACAGCGGGGGAGAACTCGAACCTCGACGCCCGTAAATACCACAATGATAATGATGAATAAGGCGCACAATAAGATATTTTCCGCATAGGTCGCGTTATCGTGAAATTATCCTTCACTGTCTAGAACTTCTAGAAGCGCCGCGGCTTCGCTCAATATCACGGTTTTATCAAAAAGAAGCTTATATTTTTCTTACATATCGCTTCAATCCGATAGTATAAACGCACCCGTTATCAGGAAGTAACGGCAATTTGGAACTTACCGCTCTTGCATGGCACACCCTGCTGGTGATTTAAAGCTCTTGGCGTCTACGGTCTCTGGCGGGAATTTCCACGCCTAAACCCGTCACAATATGCCTAATCAATGGCTTAATTGCCGATACGCCAACATGATTGGCTATTGTCAATAGACCTTACAATTTCTTACGCAGAAAGCCGCTGTGATATGTCTAATGTATACTCAAATATATGATCATGGATTCTCGCAAAGCTGAGTGGGAGAGGGGGAGAAGCCAAGTAAAGTAGGGTGATAATAGGTAATAGTATACTAATCGATTGTGGTAGGCAAACATAAACATTCAGACTTCGGTAGCAAGGTCATTTTTTATTATTAGACCAGCCTCGATCTATAAACCATCCAATACTTATACAGCATTTGTCTAGCTTTGCAATTAAGCTTCTAACGGTGGACAAGTGTGATGTTGCCAATGTGTAATGGACGGATGTAACTAATGTACGGATGTAAGCTTCCACGGTTACTCGGCTCCAAATGTACATACCACCTACTCGACCTTCCTGGTTCTGTTAGTAGAACGGTGAGCCCCTTGAAAGAATCGAGAAGGACCAGGCCGAGAGACTATGCTCCGGATCAACACTATCGCCAACAGGCCAAATCTAGAGATGGTCGACGAGGATATTGAAGATCTCAACGATGATCGCATTCAAATTCAGTAAAGAGAGCTCGGTAGCCTGTATCCCGCCAACCGGCCTGGCGTAACAAATTCGGCCTACTAGTTAAGTGATCCGAAGGCTCCCTACAGCCGATTCTCCCTAAATCGGAACCTCTGTCACCGTTTCGCAACTTCTTATTAGTGCCTCTGAAAACATTTTCCAAACATTTTCCATGTAAGACTGCCAAGTCATCCTACGACAGCCCAAGAGGGACGAATAGTTCAGGAGGAGCAGAATGACTAGTGTATTTTAGAGACGAAAACCGTCAACCATACTAACCAACACTTGGCAGTGGACTATTTATGTGCTTTTCGCCAAGCTTAAAAACTAGACAGGCGGCGCCGTTGCGGCGCTGCAAGGCGTCGTCTAACTAAGTAGCCACCGGTGTGTTCAAAAGTCAAGAGCCTAAATGTGAAACACAGAAAAGGATGTCGAACAAGGACCGACTCGATTGAGGTTGAAGCAGTGATCTGTGATCCAACGCCAAGAGTAACCTTATTGAGAAGGCCATCACAAAACTGATTGATCGTACACTCCTATCCCGCCGTTGATCATCACGCAAGCCGCACCCCAAACTGGTAGGCAATAACCCCTCATCAAGTGATATTTAATCTCATCTCCAGCGGAGACGGACACGCGAGCTCCATCCATTCTTTTGAAAGATTTGGCCCCTTGTTTTGTGGTCACAGTTTACGACCCTAGGAATTTCCGTCCTCTTTCGTAGCTTTTTTGCCAACCCCCGCCAAAGGCTTGTTAGTGTTTTTATAGCCAAGAACGATCAGCCACATCCACTGTGCTTTAGTTAGCAGCACGCAGATCCTTTACCTATACGTACACTATAGACAAATGTACTTGTACTCCGGCGGCTAGAGACCTAATAAACCTGTCCGGTTTTTTGCCTCCACGAGAGCCGCCGGCAATATGGGAAATTATCTGCCTTTTAGTGTGATACATACAATTATCATTGCGGGTATTTAAGAGCTGTAACAGAACAATAACCAGGCCAGACAAGTGCCACGTGCTCGGGGCTAAAACACATGTATCTGAAACCACGCAGCTAAGCATATTGTTTATTCTCCGTGGCGATGACGACAATGCTTCTTAGTCTATCACCAACTACCGTGAAGCCTTTCGCCTACATCTTTCTCGCTTGATTCTATGTTCATGTGACTATTATGCGTTCCGAGTCCTAGGCCAGCTTATTTACATTTATTAATTTCCAAGGAGTGGTTAAGTAAATCGCATCGTTTTGGTTGAAAGGTGAGTCGAAATACGGATTACGTCCATCGCCGCTAGGAAATTGTATGATTATCTTCCGATAATCAAGTAGTTCCCAGGCGAAACATCTCTAATACCCAAACGTTGCCCTGCCATACATAGGTACTCTTAATCCCCATTCCTAGTAGCAAGCTACGATTCAACGCCTTAGGTACCTAGGCACATATAAAGCAGAGCTATCTACCTCTATGATCATGGGGCTGGGATCCGAAATAGATTACGCACGCAGATATCTAAGCTTTGATGATAATCCAGTGATAGAAATAGATATCCTATGAAGAAATTAAATAGAGAACTAATGGATTAAACATCTGATTCGTGCCCTCATTTCACCATCATAGCTACTAGATCTAAGAATAATACGCTCATATAATAGTATTTAACGCGTAAAAGGCCTCGGCAAAACACACACGACAACTCAATACTTCTTCTCTATCCAAAGGTCCTAACACTATGTAGATTAGAAGGCGTGTAGTGAGTCCATACGGTTCCTCAGAGAATATATTTACATACCCAAGTCCAGTACCCGTAAGAGCACCTAATGGCGCGTACTTAACAGTGGAATAAAAGTAAAGACCAATTAGCATACTCCAAATGGGCTCACGAGTTAGTTGAGGATTATTCAGCTTAGTCCAGGATACCTCCGTTTCTTTATTTGGAGCTGCTGACGCCATATTTACTCAAGGGACATCAGAGTATTCGTATGAATCATAGAATCAGGTGTCGGAAACCTTCACCTGAAGTGCCACTTCTGATTGGTCCAAATATAGGACCCTAATAACCAACCCTGGTTGAAATATTAGCTGGCGTCGCACAGAAAGCGGGACATATATACTAAAATAGCTGGCAAATATTCAACAATTGAAGCATGAATGGTGTAGCGGTAACATTCAACCCTTCCATCTTCTAGTTGTGAGGTTGAGCTCGGGGTTCGACTCCCCGTTCATGCATACATTTTTCTCCGTTTCAGGGCCGATTGAAATCCTGAGTCGAGTTTTCTTTTTACATTTTTTTACGTGAACGAACTTATCGATCTAATTTCTACGTCAGCCCGTCCCCAGCCTCTTCATATGAGCGATTGCACTTATTCTCCACTGGTTGTTCTAAAGGGTTTAAACCTTTTGCTAATGCAACTCATCCATTCTAGACGTCATGACACTTTTCATTACTCATAATATTATAAAGCATATGGTGAGAAATCAATAAATATTTGATGAAAGGACTCGTATGATCGAAGTAACTGAAGTAATCATTTATAAGGAAATCTGCCCATTTCTGTGACAGCAAGTCGACAGTGCGACACGAACCTTGCCCCTAGTCTTTTACACGAAATGGTCTCATAACTGATAAATGGGTAGAGTAGTCACGGTACACACAAACGCGCATCAGGTTCATCGTTATCATTAATTATAAACGGGTTGTATCCCAGCGATGAGCTTACGTAGCAGACTGAAACGGTCACATCCGGCAATATGTCCTTTTGTGATAGCCCACCGTCTTCAATAAATAGAGGTCGAGAAAATCGACAGGAGTCGCGATGGAATCTGTCAAATATTATAAATCTTCCAAGTTACGTAGACACTTACCGTGTTATTTCCGGGGGAAACCCGCTCTCTAAATAGCAATCATAGACTCATAGTAGTCCTTTGGATCCAGTCCGCGCGAGTATAAAGCGGGTACTTCCAAAGAGCAAAGGTCCTATTGTAAGTTCCAGATGCACCGGGCGTTCCGAGGACGGAGAGGCGAAGACGAGAAGTTTTTATTTAGACTAGATACTACCTAATATAATATGAAGTAGATGCAAATGAGAGCGTCTTGGACTCGGTGAATCTAAGTCAGGTGGTATTTACGGGAGATTTCATTTTACGACAATTTAAACCATCGCGGGCTGTAGATTACGAAACTGCCATTCCGTATCAGTTAACTCCAATGGCCCAGACTAAGTCTGCAACGAAGCTCCGGCAGATGCTTGCCGATCCGGAAAAGACCGTTATATGTCCGGGCGTACATGATGGACTTACGGCACGTGTGGCGTTGAACGTAGGCTTCGACGCGTTGTACATGGTAGGTAGGACCTTGCCTCCCCAAGCCGCAAGCCGGTGGGTTTGGGTACTTTCCCGAATATATTTAGACTGACTTCGGGTCAGACGGGCGCAGGAACGGCTGCATCCCGCCTCGGCCAGCCGGACCTCGGTCTTACCACCCTCGACGATATGGCGACGAATGCCGGAATGATCGCGGGCCTCGACCGTGCTATTCCGGTGATCGCGGATGCCGACACCGGGTTCGGCGGACCCCTGATGGTCGCCCGTACCACCGAGAAGTATATTCTCCAGGGGGTAGCAGCATTTCATATCGAGGACCAAGTGACGACTAAGCGCTGCGGACATCTCGGCGGGAAGGAGCTCGTCGACACGCCTACATTCGTAGCACGCATCCGGGCCGCTGCTGCTGCGCGCTCGCGCATGGGCTCGGATATCGTCATTATTGCCCGCACCGACGCGCTGCAGTCGCGGGGCTACGAGGAGGCGGTTAGCAGATTGAGAGCCGCCGTGGAGGCTGGTGCCGACGTGGCATTCCTAGAGGGGATGCAGACGAAAGAGCAGATGGCGCAGGTAGTCAAGGATATGGCGCCTACCCCGTGTCTTCTAAACATGGTCAGCGGTGGCGTCACACCTTTGGTTAACGCGCGGGAGGCGAAGGAGTTGGGATACAAGATTGTCCTTTGGCCTATAGCCGGTATGACGAGCGTGTACATCGCCATGCGCGAGTTCTGCCAGGAACTGAAGAGCACGGGCGAGATAAAGGATAGGTATAAGGAAGACGGGAAGATCGATGGAGGCGTGAGGGATGTATTCGAACTATGCGGGCTGTCGGCTTGCGTCGAGTTTGATAAGGAGGTTGGGGGCGCAAGTTTTGCGAACGGAGCTTAAGAGCCTATAGGAATTATATGGAAAATAACTAAGTATTCATCGCGAAGCGGACAACAAGGGGCAGAGTTGAGGCATATGACAATAGTCTCTCTGAAGCCCCTTTCACTTATTTAACCCTAGTCAGCTAAGTGCTCTCAATATATATTATTCGAAGAGAACAGTAAGCCTGTAGTGTATAAGTGATATTAAATAGGCAAGCTTCATTACCGTTTAAACACTGCATTCATAGAGATCTCTAGCAAGCAGCATTCCGCCAGGATATACCGTAGCTTTTTCTTCTTCGTCTTGTCGTAGGAAACATCTATTTCCATACCATGTCCTACTGATCAAAAGCCACAGAGCGTCTCATTCAATAACGATTGGAGGCCGCACTGGCACGAAGATATGCGATTTGTCACATGCAAAGCATGCGTGGCTCGCTTCATTATGAAAAAATAGATGTAAGTTTGCTTGATAGTTGGGACCAACAAACGGAATGGTCAAATTCCGGAGGGCAGTGAATATAAATAAAGAGCTGCAGCGAAGTACAAATAATATGGGCTACCGTTCTCGGGGGCTATGCGGCTGACTGGCGAATCAAGTCGTGCGGGATTCCCCCAATTTCTATTTCAGGATATCCCGTTCGCGGGAGATGCGACATCCGATCTACAAGCGCCCGGCCATCAAGTAAGGCTTAACAGCTATCAGCTGGATTTGTTTCGAAACAGCGGCCGACGTGTTAGTTCTATCGTTGTTGGTTCTCTAATCTCGACGGCATGCCTACCCAACCCAGAGGATCGGAATAGCCTTATCATGTATAACCACCAATTGCCCATGGCTGTAGGTAATTCTCGGCGTTCTTATTAAGAGCCATCTTCCAGTTTTTATATAGATAACCCCGGATAGAATCCATCCCGGTAGAGTTGCCCTTGGGCATACACCTCTCTGGCGCGCCCTTTTGCTGTTGGTCGTAACTAGATGGCCCAGCTGATGAGGCGCAGGCACGTGGCATAGGTAATTGTTGAAAATAGATGGATGCATGCGTGCTAGTTATTTACACGAGCTATGGTTAAGGCCTTTGACTTAGGAAGCGTTGACGTATAACTGATTTGTACTTGGACTCTTTTAATAACTATCATATAAGGAGATTTACTTGATATTTCCCTTTTCCTAAAGTAAGGGAGCCTGTCAAGCAGTTACCTTTAACTGACTGTGTAGTCTATTAAAGCCATCATACCCACGAACTCGAAACCACTGTCAGGAAAAGCAGAACTACACACAGAAGACATATCCATCTCGGAAAGATACGCTTCAGCTTTTATTAACCTTGAATATTCCTTATAGTTATTATCTTTCTACGTCTTAACGTTGAATACTTCCCCACAATGAAGTTCACTTTACTATCTATGCACCTATCTACTACAATCTTGGTCGGGTTGTTAGGCTCGGCCTCTGCAGCGGTTCTCCCTCGCTCAGATGCCGATACCATTGCCAACTTTGGCAGGATAGGCATTTGCCTCTCATACCTCGGAGCTGGGAACACGGAAAAAGAGCTCGCCCCGTGTAAAATCTTTTGCCCGGCGCAAAATCCAGGGTCGGACCCAAACGCCGTTGGTGTATGTAGTCCCCCCTTTCTCTGACCATAGCACAATCAAAAATGAGACTAACATTTGGGGTTTAACCGCAGTGCAAAGGTCCAGATGTACCCATAGAAAAACTAGACCCCAGCACGATAGACAAAGACGACGACGGGAACCAATTTACGCCGGGCGAGTGTATTTGCGACCTCTCGGGAGCCGTTGCAATCCTTGACGTGGTTATTCAGGGACTTTCGAAGCTAGACAACGTGATATGCGCCGTGGTGCTATCGGCCGTGACGACTCTCGTCGAGGAAGGCCTTGACGCTGTGCCTGGAGGCGCATCTGTGACTGCGGTCCACAAAGCCGTCGAAGGTGCTAAGACGTTTGTGGAGAACGGGCTTGACGCTATTTCATTCTTCAGCGATTATATTGGGAAGTCGTGCGGTGTCTCTGACTTCAGCTTCAACTTGGATGACGTATTCCAGGGCTTGAGCGATGCTCCGGATTCGCTTGGTATGAGCAAGGGCTGCTTTAGACAGAACAAGAGCTGTCAAAAGCCTTGAGGCATACTGAATGAATATTCATGTCGAAACATTGGACAACAGTGGTTAGGGTGGTATTGGTATTGGTACGGGGGCATGGATAGGAAATTGATTTGACGCATAATTTCTATGGAGTGGTGGATAGGGGTTAGGCGTATGGTATGGTATTTGATTGGAGTTTATTCCAATAGTTCAATCATTTAAGTGGCCTCTCCTATATATATCAAGATTCCATGATTAATCCTGCGTTTCGATATTCATATGATAATTTAGAAAGCCGGTCATAATTCACTACCTACCTACCTATGATAGTCTATTGACATGGTAAAATAATAATTAAAGAATAAAATTATGTATCTAAGAAGGGCACACGAAGATAATATGACCTGTATATTATAGAACCCGATCCAGGTTGATTAGGACATATAACAGCTCGTTGGCGTCCCAATGCCTCTCACGACTCCAAAAAGACTCTCTTCACCGTCACCCGTTGACAGCTGGGGTTCTGCGGCTCTTCCTTGCCCAGGACGTACTGCAGCGCAACATATCCGTACCCCTGCCAATACGTCGTACACACGGCCCAGCGATCAGTCAAATAGGTGACATAGTTCTCAAACGGTTCGGGGGGCGAAACCGCGTCGTCGACGTTGGCCGCCACGGCTAGGAGCTCATCCTCAGTGAACGAAACAGGCTGAGCGGTGTCGCTGCTGGGCCAAATGAGCGGAAACGCGAGGTTGGAAGCTGGGTTATACATGAGCGACATTGCCGTGCTCGAAGTAAAAGGCGGCTGGCCACCGGTGAAAGTCCATGTTATCAGACCGGAAGGTAGGTAGCTAGGGTCCTGGGGTGCTTCGGCTGAGCCGTTGAAGAAGAATGTCTGGAATTGGGGCTCTTGGACGTTGTCGTCGAGACAGAATGACTCGACGGCAGCTCCGGAGTGGCAAGCGGTGAGCTTGAGGCCATTCAGAGTGCTGTTATCGCTTGACAGGACGAGGTTGAAAGGTGCAGATTGGTTTGGATAGTTGCTTTGCGCTAAGGCTAGGCTAAATACTGATGCGAAGAGAATAAGCGAGCGAGACATTTTTATCAGCGTATTAGGCGTTGCCTATGATGTTTGATATCCTTTGTCTGGACGATATTATTCCAAAGACGAGAGACATGGTGGTAGATAACCTAGCCTTTATACTAAAACCTTTATTTTCTGGCTCAATATAGCTACCTACGTTTCCTATCATCAGCGCAGCCTTCACCGTCCTCGCTTCTAAGGGAGTTAATGAAATACGAGGTTCTAAGGCGTCATGCTACGTTAAGCGACGGTGCGGGCGTCAGCCTGATTGGTCACATGGAGCCTTCGATATTCCTCTTTCGGGCTTCATGTTGCGCTTTTAGCTGCATACAACCCGCCTTATATTGGGGTGTAAATAATCTGATGTTCCTATATGTTTTACTGGAAGGCTCCTTGTATTTTATACGAGGTGTATCGCCACATATCACTTTACCCTCAGTTTCTTACCAGTCAAGTGAGTCTTTATTTTGATGGCTGATGCTGTATACGAGAACATCATAATGAAGTATACTAGGTAAGATAAGCTGGCACGTTTTTCCATTCTAACATAGTACTCTTAAAAACATAGGTACGTATCATTTCTTAGAGAATTAGTTGAAATATTTATCTAGTGAGTCGCTCAATATGAAGATCATCCGCCCCATGAACAGTCAACCCCCCTATTCGAAATGTGTAACAAAGTTATGCCTGTATTCTTAATGGGAATTTTAGCCCCTTTTCTTACCAAGGTTCTTAATCCGGTAGGTAACTCCTAAGTTATCTATCTTTTAGGTGACAAGGCTAGTATATTACCTTAGAGAGAATCAGTATTATTCAACGACGTCCAATATCTGAAACTCGGTTTCAAATTACGCATACGCATGTATTATACAACAAGAAGCTCTTACTAACGATGTCTGGGACTCCAATATTAGGACAAATAATAAGGTTATTCGTATTGTTTTCTAGAAAAGGATGGGGTTTAGTGAGATCTATATCTACACTTTCCCATCTGTAGATGAAATATTACCGGAGATATAAGCTAAATTAACGACAAAATGACTAAAGATACATCAAGCTAAGTCAAAATAGTTCAACCTTAGGTTGGATACCTAACAAGTATTACGGACTCTAACCACTCGCTTTTGCCTTTAGCGATGATTTCGACGGCTTGCTGCTCTCTCGGCAAGCTCCTCAGGGGCAATAACAAACCGCCATCCTTGAAAGTGTGGATTCTCGAAGGAAGTTGGGAAAGCCACATTTGGAGGTCGGTGAGAGTTCCTTTGAGGAGGCAGCGGAGGCGCTGGTGGGTTTCCGTTTGGGCAATTGTGAAATTTCCATTCCCTCCCTTCGGGCGTGCTAAACCAAGCCTTTTGGACCTGTGTCCCAAGAGGTGTGAAGCTCGACGGAGTGTAAGTACCAGTGTTTAGCCAGAGTAAAGCCTGTGGACTTTTAAGGAATTTACGGCCTTGCTTAGTCTCAAGCCAGCGTTGCCCTTGTTCGGTTTCCAGCCATGGAAATCCAAAATTGGATGCCAACCACCACCAACCAGAATTTGATGCGAGAAACTGGGATCCTGGCCGATCGCCTTCAGACCAGTCATAACCAAGCCAGTCGTATCCTTCACGGCTTGCTAACCAAACAGAAAGTTTATTTTTATGGTCGTGTACTGGGTAGGCAAGCCATTGCATACCGTCTTTATCGACTAGCCACCCCTGCCTGTATTTGTATGCCTTGAGTAGAGACCAGGACCAACTTCTACTAATCTCTCTAATCATATGTTTCTCAGAGTTAGTAAGCTGATTTGTGTACGGCGTATCCTCATGGAGGGAATACACATCCGCCGGAGTAAGCTTGTTGGTCTGGAAATTTTTGATCACCTTCATCCTTGACGGTGGAACATCTTTTCGGAATCTACCGACTAGGATTATAAGTTCCTCGATACGTGAGAACCGAGGCCATATAAAATCAAAAGGTGGATCTCCGTAAGGATGGCAAAGCGTGCCGTCCAACATATTGTCGAGCTTGAAGGCACAAACTCGAACACCATTGAGATAAGAAGGCGTCGGCCAGTTTTTACTATCAGGTGTTATATTCACGCTGTCGTCAAAGAAAAACCAGTCTACCTTTTTCCTTACGGGAATAGGGTTAACTTGGTTGCTAGTCTGGATAGAAGAATGTGATCTACCCCTGGGTCGTCCTTGCGGGCTTCCGGCGCCACGGTCGTCCTCGGAAAAGAGACGGAGAATACCTTCAGCGAGCGCTCCTACACCGGCTGACTTGCCATTCGATGGGTTTATAACGCTGAGGCCCTGTCGTAATTGGTGAGATTCGTGCCATTCTCTGTTGGCATGGACTTCCTGATTACCACCCCAACATTCAATCAATTTCCCTTTCCTAAATTTGAAGTAGGCCCAGCTAGGCAATGAGCCAACCATCTCGAAGATAGAGTCCTTTATATCGAATGGTAGACTGTCAAAGGTTAACCTTTGGGTTTTGTGCTCAGTACCAACGGATGATTGTGCAGTCTGCCTCCCTTGCATAGTTGTCGCATCTCTGAATATATGAGAGTTCGTAGGCTCTCTTGGCTCTGTCTCGTTACACCTCCAGCGAAGCTCCTTGGCCGAAGTTGGTGGGCAGTATACCCTATACATCTTCAGTATTTTAGGTAGCTATACTACCTCCGATGTTGGGATGTGATAGAATTTGTTGCCGTATCAAAAAGATACGAGAAGGTATGGTCGAAGATTTTGGTTAAGTTCCTATCAATGGTGGTTTGATATTGCGTTTTAAAGAAAGGGGGGGTAGGCAGAGGATGCCTGTTGGGTTAAATAGCGTACTACTGCTACCATCTACAAGGTACATAGATCGTGACCTGAATCATTATGGCAGTAGATTATGATAAATTATCTACACAAGTCGCGGTGAATTGAGCCAAGAATCGCCATTCTACCTGGATATCTAGGGTCTGACTAGATGGTTGTGGTACAGATATGGTGACTATGGGCTGAATGTTAGAGGTTTCTGAGTAATAATATCAGGTGATTATCTAAATAGTGAAGGCAGAAGGAATAGAGTAGTACAGCACACTACATTTATGATTAAGTCATAGGTTTCCATTATCCCCTTGACTGGCATCCAACTACACCTCCACTATTTTCAATATTGATACATACCTAAGCATAGGTCAGGAAGGAGAAGATGGTTAAATCGGTCAATGATATTTATGGTTTATACTAATTATTGGACTTTTCTTATTATGTTAATGAACGACGTCAAGTCTTATGTATTGATTCTGAAAACAATGAAGGCGTAGTTGAATGCCAGCCAAGGGGATATTGTGAATAATAAAGCACAGGTTGTCAAATTATAGGTTTATAGAGGTTCCAACCGCGAGGCTGGTAAAATCGTAAGATTTCTTCGAAGCTATGATTCTATGAAGGCAACTCTAATAAACACAATATGCATAGGAGGTAGGCAATTTGTCTGCCTCGACAAAATGCAGCGCGCCAATATGCTAAGCAAATGTTGCGTATCATCCCTTTTAGATCCGAGGCAAAGCCGGTACGTCTGAGTGTCTCGTATCGTCGTAATCATCGTCGCATAATAACAACCGTCTGGTATAAGCTACGAGGCTAGCTGTGGCCGATAAAACCCTTGCAGCTGGTCTGCCCACTGCACGGAGCTGTTGGATATATCCTTCTGTCCCACCCCTTAAACCACAGATACCCCGAAATACTCCAAGAAGGTTCTTACTCCTCTCGTGTCTGATCATTGGACACTGGGGAACCTTCTAAAAAACATGATATGCCCGGCGGCGGTACCACTGCCGGCCCATCTTTCATCCCTATCCATTTCTTAGTAACCCATTCATATATCCCCATGATTTCATTAAAATCCTGGGACGGTGTTGCGTTATCGAACGACGCCAACCCTACCTTCCGCTAAACGCCTGCGCTTCGCCAGTAACTCACTTGGATAGCCGGAGGATTCATAATTCTCGGAGAAGCTTCCATTAAAGACTTCCGAAAATATTCTTCTTTTGCGCTTAGGTGATGGTGTTCGCTGGGCTGTATTGGATATCGACTCATCTTCTTCGTTGAGTTTCTGAAGCACAACTTGTAATTTTTCATCAAAGCTGTCGCTTTTACCTCCTTCTAAACTGGGTACTGGCTCATCCTGAAAGGTTTCTATCCGGTCTATATCGAATTCGCCAATGAGATCTTTGCCAAGGGCCTGTCCTAGGCGTTCTTTGAGACCTAAAACAGGCCATATTGGGACATGTTGATAGTTGATTGTAAATTTTGTATTTCCTTGTGGTGATTTTCCGGGCTCGTGGAACATGGTTAGAAATGCCGTGGGTACCACGCTCGAATAGACAACGAATGATTCGTCATTTTTCGAAACTGTCAGGACGCGGACTTCGACATCTTTCGGCACAAAGCCCTCTCCCGTGAACATATTTCCATATACATGCTGTTGAGCCATTGCTAATATGGTGGCGAGAATGTATTGATCCTCGTTCGGATTCTTCGGGATCAACTTTTCTGAGCGAATCTTTTGTAAACGGTGTATAGGACCGTTGAATGATCCATTAGGACCAGAAGATACCCGGAAACAGTTTCTCCTAATATGGTTTAGATAGTCGAGATCCAGGTAGGCTAGTATCGGTGGGTTATAAGGAGCCCTGGTATCTCCCTCTATGTTTATTATCGAAACATCAGATGAGCAGGTAGTAGTTGACTCAAAGGAGTGTGAGCTAATCAGGTCCTTGTACAGGGCCTGGCAGCGAACTCCGCTTATATATCGGTCTTTTCCGCATCGAAGAGTAAGACTTGAGAGGTCAGTTGGAGATAATTGGCCAGGGAATAGGTCGTTTAAGACACTCTTCATTGCTTCATTCTGCTCATAGGTGGGAATACCCTTCTTCATTATGATGTCAAGGGTACGGCTGATATGCACCACGGTTTGTGGTACCTTAGGATGCTGCGATTTCCGCGAGGGAGATGACGGAGACGAGGGTACTGGTGTAGTCTGGGGAGGTTGTTGCATAAATCGACAACCTAACACCTGTGTGTGGAATTCAGTCCAACACAACGGCGGGACGTAAAGTGCGGTGGAAGCATGGTCATGGAGAATATCGTAAAGTGACCCAATTCCTGGAGATAAGACTTTGCAACACTTTGTTCTGCGATGGAGTCGGTTGCGTTCAGTCTTTACATTCGTTGAAGCCGTCACGCGGGATCCTTTAGATAACATAATAACGGGGATGCCGGGATATTAATCCCCTAGAAGGAGATGTTAGTATAAGGTAAGGGTACAAGAAAAGAAAAACTTACCTGTTATCAGGAAGAAACTCGATAAAGGTGAACCAAATTTTAAAGTAAACCAATATTTAGGCAACTGCGACTGCAACTGTATGTATTTGTATCTTCGATAAATAGGAGTGTGGTGCGATACGATATGATACGATACGATATGCGCCCAGGTATTCGTTGCTGTTACCGGAATCAAGTTTTTAAAGGTAGCGAGTACCTCCAACAAACTAAATAAAATAAAAGAAAGGAAGAAAACTCTAGTTATTCGATTGTGTAACTTGGAACTTGTGTGCAAAGTAAGGGGTGAATGTAAAAGATGCAACAGTTCTGATACCGGGCGGTAATACGAACGATGGGAGTGGATGAGGGAAAGACGCGACCTAGAGGGGCATTCCACCTGCAAACAAACGTGGATTGCGCTGGCAATTTGAATGCGGCCAAGTGGTTGCAGTCACCACCTTTGCGCGAATTCACCTGATCTTTCTATCGCCCCCAATAAAGTTAGGGCTAGGCTCCAGCCTTAGATCAACCAGCGCCACACCTAATATGAGCCAATTATAGCTCGTATATCCCGATCCGGGTAAAAACTAGCTGCCAAGGTTGGCGTCAGATGCTCCATGGATTGTGGATGCAAGTCATTTTATTAGCCTGATTAAGGTTAGTGACATGTCATCTACGGAGGTCCTATCTTTAGTGTAGGTTGTACAACCTGGCGGGAAGGTACATGCCTGTACAGGGCGGGGTACTTCCATAATGTTATGCAAGCTCTTGCTCAACTCTTCGCATTATGTACCGGCATTTATCCGAATGAGGTAGTGACGTTTCTCACTAACAATTTACACGGGGACGTCAGCCTCAGCTGCACCCAAGCCCTGCTAGCCTAGGCGTCAACCGTTGTCAACCGTTGTCAACAGAGAGAAATAGGAGCTCCCCTCCGTAATACCAAAATATCTAGAATTGCAGGCCTGTCAAGCTACCACCGATTATTATCTCGGTGAATTCTTGACAAGATGCCGGTATGTGCTTTTTTATTACCGCCTTTGATAACCCCCTAATTATCTTAAGATCCCTCAAAGCCTAATACCACGAGGCACCTTCATCTTAGCTAACAAGACCCATTGTCAATTTAACTAGGCCTACAACTCTATGTTCAACAATGACCCCAACATCCCACGTCTAATTGGGAACTTCCCTCTACTCCCCCTCCGCACCAAGACCCGTGGTCCCGCGTACGTGCTACCGCAGCCCAACCCACCGCTTCCTGCCAACGAAAGCCCCGACCCGGATGCCGAGTCCTACGATATCCTAGACGAAGTGATCTCGCTCTTCCGTGCCAACACCTTCTTCCGTAACTTCGAGATCCAAGGCCCAGCTGACAGGCTGTTGATCTACGGCATCTTATTTGTGAGCGAGTGTCTCGGCAAGATTCGCCCTCAGCATACCCTGAGGGACGCCACGAAGGAGGTCCTCAACACTGCTCTAGACCTCAACTTCGCTATCCCGGGTGATCCTGCATTCCCCCTGAACCAGGTACGTTGCAGCATAATTCCTTTCGAATGAAGGAACAACAGGGTTCATAGCGTAAATCTAACTCGACGCGCAGATCTACGAGCCACCACGAGACAGGCAGGACGCCGAGCAACTACGACAGTATCTCTCCCAGGTGCGACAAGAGCTAGCCTCGCGATTACTAGCGCGAGTCTACGAGGAAGATGATAGCAAGCCGAGCAAGTGGTGGTTAAGTTTTACAAAGAGGAAGTTCATGGGCAAGTCATTGTAGGGGGGATAATATCTCTACAACACACAGGGACGTAGAAGTATCGAATACAAAAGAAGCCTGTTGAGCCGTCAAGTAAGGGGAATTCTTGTTATGGGGGTATCAATCGCAAATCTATGCGACCTAAAAACTAGACTGAAGCTAGCTAATGCCAGAGTGCTATACCTTATGTCCTATGATACCGAGATTCGTAACGCCGATGAATGCAGCCATGTTTCTATTCAGCCTGCTCATGAACCTATTCTTGCGTCGACCCTTCAAGCTTTCTCTTCTTAGTGCGAGCTTTCCCTCTAGCTTCTATTTTGCCTTCTGCAGGCTTAACTCTCCACGCCGTAAATATATACCCTTCTGCCCCGCCCTTACTTGTCATTAGAGGATGTGTCCGTCCAGGAAGGACCTGCCATTTCCTGACACGGCTTGTCTGTAAAGCGGCTCCCAACACGAGGGCCGGATTTAATGGGAACTCCTCGTTGCCGGGCCACTGCTCCAGTTCCAGAGGGGTTTTACCCATCGCCTCTTCTGGCGGATTTGATGCCCAGGCCGCGCGCCGTGCTATGCTATAACAATCCGCCAGTGCTGTCAGAGGTTCTATAGACTGCGAGTAGATAGCGATGGGCGCACCACCGGCAAGGAGCGGCACTGCGTAACGCATGATAGAGATAGGATCCATCGTGCTAGCAATTACCAGCCCAGAAAATTCGCCTTTCCGCGTGGTGTCGACGACATGGCGAACCTTAGCCCAACGACGGCGCTTGCGGTGGTATGTGCCCCGACGATTGGCTTTCCACGAACGCAGCACCTCAGACGAAACGTTGGGCATTTCCGAGGCGTAAGTGGAGTCTAAATCCGGCTTGACGAGTTGTAGCCACGATATGGTCATTAAGTGAGAGGCTAAAGGGTGATCTGCCGGTTGAGCAGGATTTGTAACATCAAACCCATATTCGCGTAGGAAGGTCAGGTTTGGTTGTTGGTTGGCGTGGATGACGGTAAGAGTATTAGAATTCGCATATGGTACCTTTGCATCGTTACATCGAGACTTCCCGTCTACATGCGAGATTCTTGTACTCTCAGGGGATTTTGGCTCCGTAGAATCGTGGCCCTGTGGTACCGTTTCCATAGCTGAGTTGCCATGTTCGGTGCTTGTTTTAGAGGGAGGATCTCCCATATTTGTCGTAGCTTTTTGGTTATGTGAATATTCTTTTTGATATGCGCCTGGTGATGTTGGTTCCCTTTGGTTTTCCGAAGCCCCGTTTTCGGGTGGGTAGAGAATACCCATTCTCTCTGCCATAGCCGCTACTAGGAGACCACCAGTGTCGTCCACGACAAGCCATCGACCAGGTGTAGACTCGAAGCTCTTTTCCTTATGATTATCAACTTCTTCGATACCGCTATTCTCGCATTGATCCTCCCCACCAAAATGCACATTGGCCCAACATCCTAACAGCGCTATCATCTCATCTCTCATATCCAGTATCTTACTTGGGTCTTTTACTTCCAATTGCCAGTGGGCGAGCATTGGCACATCCATGGGGAGAACGGAGAATCTTCGAATATACTTTTTCGTCTTGAGCAGTTTATATTTGGCCAAAGAGTACTCTGTCTTCTGGTCGATTGCGGTATGTGATAGCAACAACTTGGCTATTATATCTCTTCCTGCATCTGTGCCGTCTTTCTTCAAGGCTTCTATCTCCTCTGTTGTCAGGGTCTGACGAGCTGAGGCATCGATTTCTACACGATCGGTTCGAGCAACGATAGCACCAGATTCAGGATCGACGAGTGAGTACTCAATTCCTGTCGGTATAGCGCCCTCAACGTCATCACCTTCGTTTGTTATGGGAGTTTCTCCCCCTAGGGAGCCAGCTGATGCATCAGAAGATAGTATATCACTATACAGCTCAGAAGCTGGCACGATGCGCAAGCGATTAAAATTTTCTCCCGATTGTTTATCTTGCAATTCATAGGTCAGGTGATAGGGCCGGTGAATTATGAGGTTGCTTGGGAACGATCCATACTTCCCTAAGGAGATGGTCCTATAGCACGAATACATGTTAGTCAATGCAGTTACTTAAGATAATTCACGATGATATAGATGACATACGTATTAGGCGTGACTTCAAGCACTCGAAGGTACCCAGATGGAAGCTTGAGAGCAACCAACGCATGGGGTTGAACCAATGAGTGCATCTCGAATTTGGTCTTGGCTGCGAGAGACTCGAAGGATTTTAAAGTAGCGTTGATCTCACGAATAAACTTTTTTTATATCAAATTTGGAGGTCAAAGTTGATTGACCCTGGTTTGCAGATTCGGAGTGTAACCCCACTGTGGGACCAAAGCCATGTGGGGAAGCGAACCCAGCAGAGCCCCAGAGATCAGATTATGCGAGATTACATAAGATATCTAAGAATAGGGGTGATAGGGGTAATGTAATAGGGAGGGTATCTTAGGTACTTGGATTTGAGGAAACCGCGATATAACAAAGTTTAACTAGGCTGCGTAGTCGTTATGACTCTATTAACGGGAATATGTATATACTAAGTCTATAGCAAGTTATCTTGTCAGTGTCAATAGAGACTGGACTGCAGCTCAACTCTCTTTTATTAGACTTTCCGGTTAACTAGTTAGTCAATATATATATCTACCCAAGTTCAAAATATAAGAATGTTGAGGCATATGTATTACAATAAACTCAGTACATATCTATATTGTCAATTAGGTAAGGTCCTATCTAAGTCCTATTCCAGAGTGAGATTTGGATTGTCTTATTTGCTTAATGTAAGAAGCATGAGTCTATCAAGATACCGATAACAACAAATGCAAAAGTCTATTTGCTGAATAGTTACACCACTACGCCTGGGATTGGACGATAGCCCTTAGTCTTGGGATGATAAAGTAAAGTATACCGGTGTATCGAAGGAGAGAAAAGAGGGGATAAGAGCAAATAGAAAATAACATGCAGCAGAATGTGCATGAACTTCAGCATATATTCTTTTTGTAACCTACCTAGATACTTAGTGATTAGTGGTGGATAGGTGACAAACCGTGAATGCCATGGATACGGTCACCAAGCAACGCGACTACCACAAGAGGTACTGCCCACAAAATACACCACCCTCATACGCGTCGTCGTTTCCTTCTCGAGGTATCCACGACTTCTATTTTTGTTAGCAAACTACCACCACCGGCAGTCGCGTCCCCTTATCTTCGATATGAAATCCCACACTCATACAACATTCTGTATTTTCCCTACACTCCCTTTCCTTTTATTCTTTCCGATCTACAACATCCTTTCGCGAAGTGGAAGCCGTCTGCTGCGTGCGTTTTTTGCATTCTTTGCATTCCTTATTAATTAGCCTTTACAATTTCAGATAGCAAATATGGCGTCTACCCCTTTCCGCTTCTTGGATCTCCCTCCCGAACTTAGGAATTCTATTTATGATCTTGTTCTCTGTACTTTGTCACCTCCTGAGCCAAGATTGACCAGAGTGAACCAGGACCTCGAGTCCTACACTCCGTTCCTTCCACTCCTAAGACGCTACGAGTTCGACATCGCACTCCTCCTTGTTAGCCGACAAGTATCACAGGAAGCTCTTGATGTCCTGCTAAAATACCACCTCTTCATCCGCGTGGTCACTCATGGCGTTAACTTGTGCCACCTCCTATCTGTCTGGGATATCCCTATCGTAGCTATCGGCAAATCAACTATCAGAAACTTCAAAGGCTTTGTGATGAGCTATTCTATCAAGATCAAAGATGCTAGCCCAGTCCCAAAGAACCACTTAATAGTTCTTCAGAAGGATTTCGACTTGTTATGTGAAGCTCTCCACTGGCTCGAACCTTCCCCCGAGAGTTTTGAGCATCGTGCCGTTCTTTGCAACCCGTTCAAAAACACCTCATCCTCCGGTTACTTGGGTGTTGCGAAGCAAGTGAGTCTTAATACATAAAAACATACCTAGTGCAAGTAATTGTTAATTTCTAACTACTAAATAGGAGCTCCTTGTCCAGCCCTACCGAAAACTCATTGGAATCGGTTCCTTCAAGCTAGTAGGCAACATTTGCCCAGCTTTAGCTAGGGATGTCACACAAGAGGTCGAAAGAGAACCCCATCTCCATCCCGACCCGTGGCATTTATGGGACGTTCTCCACGCAGCGAAAATATGGGGAGACGATCTCTTCATGAGCGGCGAGTATATTGAGGCTTTGAAGACGTGGAAAAAATTCACAATGTCCATGAATGGTCTTGCTGGTAGTCCTATATGGCAGCAAATAAAAGCTACTGGAGATCCTAGTGATGCGCCTTATCATATTGCTGATGTCGTGTTCTATCTCCACCTAAAGCAGGTTGCCGGTATTATAGTCATCATGGAAATATTGAAAAGCCAGGGTAACTTAGACGAAGCTCGGGAGTATTGGCCCATTCTGCTTGAAGCACTGAGTGGATCATTCTTTGCAGTCGACAAACTAGACACAAATTGGACCCCCCTACCCAATCACAGTGGCGAGAGATTCTTTCGCCTCGCATCGGCCTACCGTGTCCTAGAATGCAATTCTGACGTTGCTCATGACTGCATCAGGATTGCGGAGTTCTATTTGCCCGGAAATCAGGATATCCTAGCTGAGAAAGCAAGAATTGATGCGTGGATAGCAGAGGAAGAGGGAGAGGCGGAGGAGGAGGCGGAGGAAGAGACATAGCCGTTTTTTACTGACTATAGTAAATCGGAATGGGCGATTGCGTTACGTTGCTTGTACAATAATAGTCAAGTCTGTTACGTAGGTAGCTTGCCATATGCATACCGTGCTCAAGTTCATGAGTCTTGCATGGTAAGTAGGAATGAAAACCCGAAAACAGACCTTGCAATATGCGTTTCGACAGGTACAATCAAATATATACATTTGTCGTTTGTACTAAGACATATCATTGTGAGGTAGACATGTGGAAATACTACCCAGCCTTACGAGCCCCGAGCACGGCCTTGCCAACAGCCGAGTCATTTGGCCTGCCCAATTCTTCTGAGATCCACTGTCCGATGTCCGCCATGGCGTCGAGATCGATACCGGTCTCCATACCCAAGCTCTCGAGGAAGTATACCATATTTTCGGTCGCCACGTTTCCGGTGGCTCCAGGGCTGTACGGGCAACCGCCGAGACCACCAACAGAACTATCAAACGTCCTGATGCCGCGCTCCAGAGAAATGGCCGTGTTCACAAGAGCCTGGCCGTACGTGTCGTGGAAATGCATAGCAATGTCCTCGTTCCGTATTCCCGCAGCTGCCATGCACTTCAAGAGCTCCTGCGTGCGAGGCGCAGTCCCCATCCCGGTGGTGTCACCAAGGGAAATCTCATCAGCCCCCATCTCCAGCAACGAAGTAGCAATTTCGGCTACCTTGTGTGGATTCACATCGTGTCCTTCAAAAGGGCAGCCTAAGACCACCGAGATATAAGCCCGTGCTCGAATCCCGAGCTGCTTCGCCCCTTGTATGACATCCCTGAACTTCTCGAGGGAGGTCGCGATGTCGCAATTAAGATTCTTCTTTGAGAAACTCTCGGTTGCAGCAGCAAAAACTGCAAGTTCTACTGCTGGTTTACCACTTACGCCTGAGAACGATTCGGCTTCCGTCAGATAGGCACCCGGGTGCTTTTGGAGTATGGCTGTTGCAATTTCAACACCCTTTCCGTTGGGGGCGAGGAAAGAATATGTGATTGGGCCCGGTGAGGGGATCTTGTTTGTTAGGACATGCTCGAGAATCTCGCTAGAACCGTCCATCTAGAGAGAGGATTTCTCCAAGTTAGCTTCTGTCTACATTGTCATTGTCATTGTCACAATCCGAAGGGGACTGACTAACTTGTGGTACCCATTTCGGGGAGACGAAAGACCCGGCTTCTATGACAGACACTCCAGTTTTAGCTAGCCTCTCAATTAATTCGATCTTAGTAGCTAGAGGAATTGATTTCTTTTCATTTTGTAGACCATCTCTCGGGCCTACTTCGACTATCTTAACTCGGTTGTCGGAATGTAGCTGTTGTTGTTGAGCTGCCGAAGCTGGGTTTCTTACGTCGGAAGCTGTCGCAAAGCGCCGTCGTAAAGCTGCTGCTGGTGCATAGGCTGGTGCCCGCCAGCGAGCTAACTGGATCATTGGGCGCAGTGACGCCATCTTTTATTCATATCGAATATCGATAATTTAAACTGTAAAAACTGTAACTCCCCTTCTTACGCCACCCCGAATTGTTGTTTTTCTCTTCTATATATCGACGCTGACAACTGCTTCTTAAAGCTACATTGAAATGGGGTAGAAAGATTTAGAACCGATGAACCTTGTACTATGTAAGAGCTCGGCTACTAATGGCTCTAGTTAGTCTAGCTCTAGTACTGGGCACTTATGTAAAAGCCGGGGTTACCAGGTATGAAGTCATTCTCTGAGATCACGTGCTAATATGATTGATTAATCGAGCAAAATGCGGCATAATGATATTCTCTTCTATTCCATCACTCAGACTACTCTTCTAGCGCGTCAGAGTCGTCGTCCTTATAGACTATAGTAAGCCAATGCTATGTCCTCGCAGGTTTCCCATATTCGCCGCCGATTCGCAACGTGCAAGAGAGGACCCGATATCCCTACCCAGCATCGGATTGTATCCAACGCCCAGAAAAATATTCCCCTGAATAAACTCTGACGACGCAAGGCGCCTAGTTTAATAAGTTCCTCTATTTCGATGAACCAAGGCATGTTGTATTTGATAAAATCCCTCCAGAAGTTACCTTTGCGAAGGGCAACATTAACCCACTAAGACGCCCTGGCAAATAAAGGAATATCTGTAGCGGGGAGCTGCCGACAGATCAAGTAGATGATATTGGATGGTAGTTTTTTGAACGGGTCATTTATTACTCGACTTCCAAGATCAAAATCTGGAAGTGACTTTGGGAATGGCACGCATGCCATGAGCTGCCCGACACGAAATGTCAATTCGGCCGAGGGAGCTGGGTTTGCAATGAAATGCTCTTCGCTTGGGTAGGATTCCTAATGTTTTTCTTGTCTTTCCTCAGCACCAGTCTCGAGGTCTAGCGAAGCCCCCTCCTCTGTGAACAAAGACATTGTAAGGAAAAGCCGACCTAGGTCCACATGATGAATTGGGTCGTCCTTGTTGGGATATAGGGCGAGGGCCAATATTTCATAGCATGGCCAATGGAAGGGAATGGCGCGTAATGGTTTCACCGTAAAATCCGGTATAAGACGGTTGACATCGTCTTCGGGATCGAGCTCAATATAATTATCCTTCAATTTTTTTCCCACACCAGATATACATTCCCTAGAAGACTTAGCTACACGAATATCGATCTGGAGGGGAGACCTTACAGTCTACTACCGGGGATCTGTTCTAATAGAACATGGACTTTGGTGACCCAGGAAGCTTGCTCTTCGCGAATTATCTCCGTTTTATAGCCCAAACCTTCGAAATAAGGGGTTTCGAATGGACCGGCACAAATGGCACAGTACCCCTTGATGGCAACTTTTGGTCCCGCCATGTCGTGCCGCCTCTGCGGATCACTACCTTAGGTATGGATTGAGCCTGTGCGCGTGGGATGGGCTGTATAGTTTAATGATCGGATGATACAACTATCTATGATAACCTTCAGCTTCCGTGTATAATCTTTGCCTTGGATAAATGTTGTAACGTGGTATGTAGTATCCTGATATCAGCATCTACGAGTGAAGGACGTGCTAATGGATATAAGTTAGGTACTTAACCCAATATTATATTGAAGTAATGGCTGTGAGACCATCCCGTCACTGCCTAGAGAAGACATGTGTCTTCCTGCCTACCGTATCTGTAAAAATATCTGTAAAAAGTAATCTTTTGCGTATGTGACTTCTTGAAACCTAGCTAAGGTAGGTACCTATACTATGAGATAACCGATACAAGTAATACATATGGTAAGAGCTTCCGATTGTCGATCTTGATGAGGCATGCGCATAATGCTACTACATATAAGCCCTATAATTAGTGTAATAGGGGGGAAACTACATGGCTCCATAATACCGTGCACAGACCATATATACCTATCCAATCATGTGATTCTTGGTTGCTGTGGCTGTTCTCCACTCTCTGGGTGCTGCGCCAGCTAAGTGGGAGCTTTTGTAACGGGCAGAACGGGTCTGGTTTTAGAGCTTCCCGCCTCTGTAATCTAACAATCTAACAGGTTAACGTTGTAATCTAACGTCAACGGTGGCTGGAGCTCGACATCAACTGCTTCATAGCCGAATCATAACCAAGCTTCTTCATTTAGAAGAGCTATACTTTTATCCTCCACCGTAATTTTGGACCAAGTATACCTGCAGTTAAAACACCATGGATCCTAGAGAATCTTCTTCGTATTCCATCGTACCTAGGATTCGGTACAACACCGTCAGCGGTGTCAATGGTCCTTTGGTCATATTGGATAACGTCAAATTCCCGCGCTACAATGAAATCGTCACCCTAACACTCCCCGATGGGACAGAGAGAAACGGTCAAGTCCTCGAAGCCCGAGGTGAGCGGCAGGAAACTTATTTACCGAATCCTTTCCATTTCTAACCCCATGTCTCAATATTACAGGCAACCGCGCCGTCGTCCAGGTTTTCGAGGGCACGTCAGGCATTGACGTCAAAAAGACTAAGGTCGAGTTTACGGGAGAGAGCTTAAAACTTGGCGTATCAGAGGACATGCTGGGACGTATCTTCGATGGATCTGGCAGAGCTATCGACAAGGGCCCTAAAGTGTTGGCTGAGGATTACCTCGACATCAACGGTAGCCCTATCAATCCCTACTCAAGAGTATGTACACGTCCCTACGGCATAAGTTTATGCTATGAGGTATGAGGTGAAGAAGGATCATCGCTTACAACGTCGCTAGGTATACCCTGAAGAAATGATATCGACCGGTATTTCGACTATCGACACCATGAACTCGATTGCCCGAGGTCAGAAGATCCCTATTTTCTCCGCCGCCGGTTTACCTCACAACGAAATTGCCGCCCAGATTTGCCGACAAGCTGGCTTGGTCAAGCAAAAGGGGGCTACGAATAAGGGTGTGCACGATGACCACGAAGAGAACTTCTCTATTGTATTCGCCGCCATGGGTGTCAACTTAGAGACTGCCCGATTCTTTACCCAGGACTTCGAGCAGAACGGTAGTTTGGAGCGTGTTACACTCTTCCTCAACCTCGCAAACGACCCTACGTATGGCGGCATCCCTTTCCTTCTTCAGGTGTTTCGGGTATTTGGCTAATAACAAGCAGAATCGAGCGTATCATCACCCCTCGTCTCGCACTTACTACCGCCGAATACTACGCCTACCAGCTTGAGAAGCACGTTCTGGTCATTCTTACAGATCTTTCGGCCTACTGCGATGCTCTTCGTGAGGTATCCGCCGCCCGAGAAGAAGTGCCAGGTCGACGTGGTTTCCCTGGTTACATGTACACTGATTTATCTACCATCTACGAACGAGCCGGTCGTGTCGAGGGCCGAAACGGTTCCATCACCCAGATTCCCATCTTGACTATGCCTAACGATGATATCACGCATCCCATTCCCGATTTGACGGGTTATATCACCGAAGGCCAGATTTTCGTCGACCGCCAGCTCGACAACCGTGGTGTCTACCCGCCCATCAACGTGCTACCATCTCTCTCCCGTCTCATGAAATCTGCTATTGGTGAGGGAATGACCCGAAAGGACCACGGTGACGTGTCCAACCAACTCTACGCCAAATATGCCATTGGTCGTGATGCTGCAGCTATGAAAGCTGTCGTCGGCGAGGAGGCCTTGTCCGCTGAAGACAAATTGTCCCTAGAATTCCTTGAAAAATTCGAGCGGCAATTCGTCTCACAGGGCGCATATGAACAGCGAAGTATTTATGACTCTCTAGATATCGCGTGGGGTCTCCTGCGTATTTTCCCTAAGGAACTCCTGAACCGTATCCCTACCAAGATCCTTAATGAATTTTATCAGCGTACGGCTCCGGATCGAAAGGGAAAGGGGAAGGAGAAAAATGATAAGGGTGTAAATGACACCGATGGATCTCAGGAGGAGAACCTTGTCGACGTATAATCAGTTAAACAGCCGGGGGCGTAAGCGCGACAGATGTGTATAGGGCAGTCGTATATGGCGGAGTACAGGTTACTGATTAGCATTCAATACAATGGTCGTTCCATTGAGCTTGGAATTATCATGGAAGAATGAATTTATATAAGCCAAGTCTTATAATGAGACATTGTTCAGCGTATGACCTTAATAACTGAAATATTGGAACATTAACTAAGCTATTTCATCTTGAACACCGGTCACTCAGCATATCATTATACTAAGATTTGATATAAATGATAGTATCAAGATACCAACTTAGTCTCAATACCTTTGAAGTACATGAGGCTGGCGATATTTCTGGCCGATTTACGAATATAGCTCTTAAGGTAGCTTCACTCGGTACTCGGGAATAACAGACCGGGACTGGGCTACTCGTATGGAAGGCTTCGGCGAAATATACGGTGAAGAAAGCCCGCTAGCTCTATACCTACCCACTTCTTCTGGATCTCCTCTAGGCTCTCCGCTTTGTAAAGCAGAGCTAAGGTATTGATGTAAAGCTGTATAGCAGCAAATAACTATGCATAGTGTCTAGAGTAAGGAGCTATATCGATCTGCCGGAACGATTAGAAAGAAGCTATTCGAGTATGCCTCTAAGGTATGTAAAGGTAATGCTGAGCTATCTCGACGTCATATTAAACGTGCGCGACCCGACCAAAAGCGAGATATATGCTAAGAGATGAGCGGGACGGCAGGACGCGGGGAACATGAAGCTCTGAAGGATTCCGGTACGTATCTCGGTTTGACCAGTTTAAGCTTGTTAACCCCGTCCAAAGGGGAACCCCGCACTGTAAGTATTGTACAATACCTTAGGTACCTACGTATATCGGGGAAGTTGGAAGATTTGAAATAATCCTCCTATTCTAGAGCTGCAAAAATCCACCATCCACGTGCTCCATTGCTTGTGTTACTCGAATTCTCGCACCAATTGGTGGCTTTCATGTCCTTTCCGCCATTTCCCATATTTTGCATGTTTGCTTCAACACCAACAAATCTTCTGTATAGAGGTTAGCGGCTACCACGAACAGATTGGGACTATTGTCTCAAAGACCTATTCGAATCACGAGGGCGAGCCTCGAATGTTCTTTTTCTTTATTTGCTATATGTCGCCGGAAGCACCCCGACGAATCATACATGGTCTTAAATGTACCCTCGAGCTAAGCTATGAATGCTAGTGAGAGGAATGTATGCAAGGCACAAGAGATGATGCCTGAAGGGAGGGCTGGAGTTCCACAGAAGATCCCTCTAAAGCTCAACGTTGTAGCCTTGAACGTCATTAAGGGAAAGCATCTCCAAATTCCCCCAGTGGGGTAACATAATGCCGGTTTAGAAGAGTCTTCAGCTAGCATAACCTCGAATAAGACCTGACCTTTCTTAGTCTACGAGAGTCTGGTTAACTCAGCTTTGTGGGATCCGATAGTTATAAAGAGCCTGAACATGCCACCAACTCTACTTCGGAATTAGCGGGTAGATGAGAATACTTCTATATATCAGGTAACCCTGCAAGGTGTTGGTAAAGAAATCCTTCTTGTAAGACTCTAGTTTGCCTAGTTGACGCCTCTAGGTAATACATACGCCCAACTCATACCGCTTCTTTACGAATAGTTATAATATTTACCTAGGTACTATCCATCCTTTTATTGTAGCGATCCAACACCTTGGGCTCGGAGTAATGAGTTATGGGGTAATGCTGGTTCATATCCACTGTGACCCGCAAACATTCAATAACAAAGGGCCCCTACCTACGAATGACCCTAAGCATTCTAAGAAGACGACCGAATCACAAATCCAACTCGGATTCCAACGTATGTATTAGCGACTTGGTGATTTCGTGCCGTGTTACCACATGATTTAGATGAGGCCAATGTAACGCTGCCTTGTTAAGTTACGTCGTCTACCCCAACTTTTCCAAGAAAGCGGAGTACAGTAGCTTTTGGCAGGCTAGCATAAGCCATAGCTGGGGATCGCAGGGATCGCCGGGGCTGCTGGGGCTACTAGGGCTGCTGAGTTCGGATGCAGGTGAGATTAATAAAATTCCCCAGCTCTAGGTACTCCCCCTGTAATAAGTCAACGTGATGAAGTGTATTCCTCCATTGTCCAACCAAATCAAGTTTCTCTCGACGGGGGTTTATCCTTTGATGACTGAATTTATATAAGTCACGAATCCTTCCCCAGGATTCCCGTCGCTCTGCTTTGCCTTCCTCTGCCTTCCTCTCTCACCGACAATTGCGGCGAGTACAAAAGCATCAGCACCAAAACTGCATGTTAACTAGCAAAGCTTGTCTCAACCTCAAGTCAACATGCGTCTGAACACTAGCCTCGCTTCTTTGGGAGCATTTTTGCTGCCATTGGCCTCGGCACAATCGCCTGGCGGTACTGGGAGCAGTAATGTGTCAAGCAGTTTGGGTCCTGATGAGAATGGCTTTTATTGGATTTACAGCGAGGGTCTCTCAGCCGCGTTTATCCCTTACGGCGCTTCTGTCGCAAAGCTCTTGATCCACGACAAGTACGGTATCGAGAGAGATGTTGTAGCCGGCTTCGACAACGCTACAGCTTATACGCTTGACAAGGCTCATCCCCATCTCGGCGGTGTACCAGGCCGATACGCAAACCGGATCAAGAATAGCACATTTGAGATTGACGGCGAAACATTTCACATCGAGCCCAATGAAAATCCTACACCGGAAGCTCCTAAAGGTGTTGATACTCTGCACGGCGGACCCGATGGCTGGGATTTCCGCAACTTCACTGTCGTCTCTCATTCGAATGACAGTATAACATTCTCCATTGTCGATCCCGACGGCGAGCAAGGGTTCCCTGGAGAGGTCATCTCCTACGTCACCTATACTCTCCACGATTTCACATGGGATTTTAAGCTAGTGGCTATCGCAACTACTAAGAAGACGCCTATCATGCTTAGCAGTCATACGTACTGGAACTTGGACGGCTTTGCCAACAACGAGACTAACACCGCCTTGAACCACACGTTCTACCTGCCCTACAGCGGCCAGCGAGTTGGTGTTGACGACATCTTGATCCCGACAGGTGACATCATCGCCAACAAGAAGGGATCCGTGAACGATTTCTGGAGCGCACCGAAGCAACTTGGAACCGACCTTCAGAAGCCTGAAGCGGAGGGCAACTGCGGTTTCAACTGCACTGGTTATGGTAAGACTTCCGCAACTCGTCACAACGGGAACCATGAATAAATAAGAAGGCTAACCTGTTTTGATTAGACACCTGCTGGATCATCAACCGGAGTCAAGAGGGCCCCTACGATTGGCGCGCCGAGGGCAGCTTCGTCGCCCGTCTTCAGTCGGAATGGTCCGGCATCCAACTCGACGTGTACACGGACCAGGAGGCATTCCAGATGTACTCGTGCAACGGCCAGAACGGCACGATGCCTCTCAAGACGTCGCAAGGCCTCTTCGACAACGAGGACTTCCCCCGCACCATTCCCCAGTACGGCTGCCTCGTCATGGAGGTCGAGGACTGGATCGACGCCATCAACCACCCCGAATGGCAGCGCGAGTCCAAGCAGATCTTCGGCCCCGGAGGCGACCCCTACGTCCTCCAGGCTAGCTACATCTTCAGCATCAACACCACCACCACCACCACCACATCGTCTTAGGCGGACGTCTGTGAAGGCGATAGATAGAGAAGACGAGTAGGTATAATAATGATAATAATTAAAAGCGGCCGCGGCACTATGACTTCGGCGGTCACCTCGAGTGGCGCGGTAGATAGATGCTATGCGTATTGGGTATTTACATCATTTAGCGCTACGTCGTCGATACTACCGGCGTTGGCGCCGTATCTACCTTAGGTACTTATATAATATACTTAATTGGCCAATTTTTACGAAACTGGGATTAACTGCTCGTAAACTCCTTAAGTGACTGGCGTGTTTCTAGAAAGGCATTGTAGAACTTAATATAGGGGGATAATTGAATCGGGGAAAACTGTCTCCCTTGCCAAGACGGGGGAGGCTATTAACGAGCAACTCGTGTAAACTACATAGGTACTTAACTAAGTATTTACATATAGCGTAGTAAGTATGCGTACTTTGGTTAGTTACTAGGTGTAGTTACTCAATAAGATAAAGTATCATATAAGAAAAGGGGAAAGCTATTACGATAACCAGCCGATAGTTATATCTTCTCATTCCCCAATAACTAGCCAGTTTAAGTAAACAGAATTAGATGCATTAGATATGGCATCGAACACGGTTGATCTTTCTTCCAGCTTTAATTTATTTAAAGGATCAAGCCTAATAAGTGGTCTCATATAGTACAAGATAGGTAGAGATGAGTCTATCTAAAGCTAACTAACTACAATAGGGGAGCGCGAGAATTCTACCTACATATCGACGGCATGACAATAAAGATGACAGACAGGTCCTCTTCCAAGCAAGGGTAATTTGTTTCTAGGTTTAGTTCGCTTAGGTAGGTAGGCCATATGCACAGAAGTAAATCATAGCCGTACATTATACCTAGCCGTGCAAAAGTTCTTTTCGTTTTGGGTATAACTATTACTCGGTAATAAACTACGTAAACTAAGTCGACATAAACCGCCCTGGTTACCTAGGTACCTAATCTACAGAGAAAAGGCTATTAAGTAGGGAAGAGAAAAGAAGAAAAAAAGGTTGCAAAAAGCTCAGTCCAGGTTCGAAACTCCCCCCCTCGGGGGAGTTTCGAACCTGGACCTACGAAAACCCGAACACTTGTTAAGATTTTGCTGACCAGCCACTCCGGGCGCTTTAACCGCTAAACCAGAGGGCTTAGTGAATCCAGCGGCCGGGGGCTATGGGCCGAAGGAACAGTCTGTTGCTGCGATATATGTTTTTACTTGGGCGCGTGGATGATGCGTGGGGGGTTGGTTGTTTGTTGCTGTGGTGAATAGGTAGGTAGGTAGCTAGGTACCTACGTACAGCTGTCGTGTTGAGTTTCCGTCACCTGGGAAGATGTTTACGTGCCTACTACTAAGGTACAACTCACGGCGAGCTTCATCATGTATATTGACTCTATGCCATATGTACCTAGGTAGGTAGTTACTATTTATTTATTAACTTAACACCTCGATCTCTTTCGTCCTTCCCAGCCCCTCCCTCGCATAATAATCCATGGGATAGACGCCGCTCTGGCTCCAGTCCTGCCTTTCGTTGAGCGCAACGAGTGCTTCATACGGCGTCAACAGCGGTCGCGGGAATGCGTAGCCCCAGTCGATACTCAGCCGGGGACAGGCAACTTGGACCCAGCACTCGACATCGCTCATCATGGCGAGCTTTCCGGGGAAAATCTCGCTCAGGAGTAAGTTGACCCAGGGGATCCCCATCTCCTTAAGCTTCTTCTCGATTAACGTCATCGTGTGCGGGTTGCCCTGGCGGCCAAGCGAGCCCAGTATCAAGCCCCATTTCTTCGCCCCTCTCGCCGTCGTAATAGCGTCCCTCCGTAGACTTTGCATTTCCTCGTGGCCGTACGTCTCGCGGGTAAGCTTCCTCGAATAGGGGTCGTAACGGTATGCTGGAATCGCAGGATTGTGGATCATAATACTCTCGAGATGGAAGCGGCCATCTCCCAAATAGAGGATGAGATCAACATTCTCAGAGTCGGATAATCGCGGAGAAGTACATCCTAGAATCTCGCCCTTGGACAACGGCGCGATTTGAGGGATTAGGACCTTGAAGCCGGCTTTTTCTAGCGTCGATCGAACGCCGTGGATGGTAGCATTGAACTGAATGGTCCCGACTATGGCGATGGTCTTGGGCGGCGCGAAGTTTCGCTCCAAGGTAGCCAGCAGATGCGACGTATCTATGCTGATATCGACGAAGACGTAGAGCACCTTGATCTTCGTAACGTCTACGGGGATAAGACAGCTGTGCGCATAATGAACTAAGAGATCACAGCCCAGAGCCCGCGCTGTGTAATCGTCGATACAGCAAGCGCCGTAGGTTACATCGCCCATGATCAGAGTTTCTATCCCAGGACAGAACTGGGTAAGAATGTCCGAAATAGTGGTGGCGAACATCAAGAGTCCCTCTGGCATCTGCAGCGCAACCCGTTTTGCGCCTGAAGACCGGATGCGATGGATAGTCTTGGGGATCTCAAAGGAGTAGTTGGCGGGCAATAACGCCATTGCCTCCTTGAGCTCCGGGTCATTCAAGATCTCCGGAGGCACTTGATTAAGCAGTCTCGGTGCTCTTCTCGGTTGCGATACTAAGACTCGCGTTCAGTGATTTTCCCCTCGACGCCTAGAACAACATTGGCTTACCTTGAATCGCCCCGCTATCCTCGATCGATAGATCACCAGAACCATTTTTAGCATTACTTGCAGCGGCTCTTCGTCCTACGAATCGCTTCTTTGGTTGTTTCCGAGCTGGGGGTGATGGTGGCGGCGCATGGGCCTCTTCGATATCTGCGGCGATGCCAAGATCAGCCTGTGCCCGATCTTCCTCCATGCTTTCACTACTGAGAAATGCAAGTCCGAAAAGTTATAGGATTTATGTTAAACGTAAATAGACACTAAATCACCCTGGTATTTGAAGTCATAGAATATAGTAAAGCACTGGTTGAATATTTACTGGAGATATCTCAGATGTGTCAAATGAAAAGTCAGATTTAGGAGGTACCTGTCAGAGCATATACTAGTCCCGATAAATGAATATTGACATACTATACTTGCATCTATTTACTAAACAAATAGCCCATTCACGTTCTGGGATTGGTAAATTCGCAGCGAACGATTGTACAAAGAGGTACCTATCAAGTACAATATCCAGGATTACCCCTATTATATTATACCTTGTATATCTCAACCACGCCTTCAAGAATTCCTTCATCCCAATACTCGATCTACCCTATCCTACGGTATTACCCAAAAACTCGACATGATTATCAACGACCGTATCATTATACGCGCTAACGTCTCGATAGTATAGCACTGTACTATCAGACGTACCGTCGTCGCCCTCGTCACTTAGCGCTTCAAACGAGAAGATCTGGTGCGACTGGCCAACCCCGGAGCTGTAGCTATTATCCGCCGGTCTGTAATACGTCGCTGACCCGTTCTTCGACGTGCTCAGTACCGAGCCCCGGAATTGCGATGCGTCAGTCGCGTTGGCGGCTATGAATGCTTCAAGGCCGCTAGGAAAGACGGAGTCGCCACGGACTTCATGGGTTAAGCTCTGGTTTAGATCTGCCCGAAGCGTTAAGTTGCCTTCTGGTAGGTAGGTCGTGGAACTACCGCAGTACAGCGGATAGCTGTAGCTAGTAGAGTAAGAGATATCTAGGCCTGCACCCGTGGCTGCATCGGCACCTGCGATTCCAAACGTATTGATAGCGTCATTACCGTATGCGGAAACGCCGCCATTATTCGAATACGATAGGGACTGAGTCCACGTCACGGTCCCTTCGCCATTTTGCGTCTTGACGTAGGAACTGATGGATAGCGTACGTGTGACCGCTAGAGTATAATCGAGGGTCTCATTAAAGCCCGTCGAGTTTTGTGTGACCTTTTGGGAGAAGGAAATGCTAGGGCTGCTAGCGTACGTAGAACCCAATTCCCCAGTTGTGACAGAGCCCTCGTCGTCAAGCCAAACGAAGATCTTACCGGTGATGTACCACTCACTGGCTGCGACTGGGGCAAGGGAAGCGCTTGATACTCCGTCGTCGACTAGACCGATAATCTGTATAGTGAAAGTGTGGTCTTTCCCATCAGAAAGGAGCGGTAGCCACGGGGTGATGTCAATTTCATGCTCCCTGATATCGAACGCTTCTATTCCGACGATTGGACGGTGTAGCTGAGGAACTACGCCACCCGTGTAAATCACCGGGAATGGCCAAGAAACTCCAGCAAGCTGGTCATCGATTAAGACCTGGACTTCTCGCCAAGGGGAGTAACCAGGATATGTGCCATAGTCGGCGTCAAATGTATGAATAGCACTTTGCGGCACATTGCTCCACCAAAACTCTTCATCACCCTGAGCTTTGACGTCTACTGTGAATACGGCGCGGTTTGCGTTCTGGGGGAAGCTTATGGTGTTAGTCGCATTCTGCTGCGGGTAGGTGAATTGACTCGGCTGTCCCGCAGATCCCGTTCGTTCAGAGATGGGAATGATCAGATCGGCGGGTCCCCGGCTGCTAAGCGCCGCCACGGGGCTCTTGAAGAAGGTAGCCGAGAGAGTTGTGTTGAGTAGTCCCGTGTAGGTGTCGTCCACAATATTCTCCAGATCGAAGATCACAGTCTGCGGCGCTTTCCAGAGGGACGTAAACGGGGTTACGTCCTTAAGCCAGACCCAGCGGATGCCATACGAAGTCGGTTCCGCAGTTGACGTCCTCCACACCTCCGTATCTCCAAGATAGAAGACGCCCGTTCGATCATACTGCCGCCCCTTAACTAGGACGGTGAAGTTGATGACTACGTGATCGAATTCGATATCTGGAGGGGTGTAATTGCCTTAACCAAGTCAGCACTAAGAACGGTTTATTTCAAGACGGGTATATAAGCCTACCAACGTAGGGGGCGCCATAGCTATTTGCGAAAGAGTGTTCAAATAAAACTACCGTGCGTCCAGCTACTTCGCCGGTCGAAGCCGAATCCGCCGTCGGCACATGAACACCATCGCGAAACGTAGGCCCTTGCGGCGTTAATACCGGCTCGGCAACCTGAAAGCATTCCAAGGGAGAGCTCGTTGCGGCGACCGGTACGGCATTCGGACCTTCGACTACGAGATCATTAAACCTAGCAAGAGGACTGCGCGCCGCTTTGAATGTTGCCTTCCGCGGTGGATATTTCGCATCGGGGTGCGCCGAAGATAACCCTACAAGAAGAAGGGAAATGAGCAGCAGCACCCGTTTCATGGCTAGGGCATAGATGCTCGAGCTCGACATTGGTTCGTCAATTGCCCAATTTAGAATGTAGACGAGGGCAAGTCATACTACGTACAATCCAAAGGGATAGAATATCGAATTGACCTTAGGCACGACATTTTCCATTTTCCATTTTCCCTTACGATGCGACCCTTGCCCATGGATATATGCATGCCGGAATAGTTCTAGTAACCAATTTGCAAGAACGCGCGCTGATAACGACTTCGCTGCACGGCAGATCAGCCGAGAATAGAAGGTGATATGCCAAGATCGACCAGGGGTACCCAGACTCTCTATCTCTATCTCTATCTATCTCCCTACCTAGGTAATAAACAACCGAGACTGTAAATTCTATATAAGTCATTGATATGTAAGAAAAATAATCGACCGTCGCTATCAATATTGATGATAAATGTTTGTTCCTATCTTACAGGCCGAATATGTGGTAAACGTCAATGCTCGCTTTTCAACGATGTCCCCGTCTGATGCTGTCGAATAGCAAACGTGTGAATTCTGAACAAAAAGCTTGTTGATTGGTGATTATATTCTAACTAATGCCTCGCTTATACTGCCTCGATAATAATTATTTTCATACCTACCTAACCAACATACCTAATCGTCTAATATGCACCCTATTTTTCCTTAGGCATGCATAGACGTTAGCCCTTTCGTCATAGAGACTCTTCAGGGCATGGAAACAATTCCAATTTACCGGTTCTGTTAAGAGGAAACAGACGCTCCTACGACATCAATCTTTATTACATATCCGTCATCCTAGAGACACGTTTCTCTACTGATTAAAATACTAGCCCGTTTCCCATTCATAAAAACTGAGACAAGCCAGTCTCAGCCCGGCCGCTAACTCATTGTTCAGAAACCAGGTGACCTCGGTGCCTGGGCGCTCGGAGCTAGTTACATCTTAAAGCACCGGCCGTACACCCAGGCTGTGAGATCGAGTATCAAAATGCGGACTTGGCCGGGGAGAGGCTCGGGGAAGGGTAGAGCATGCCACAGATCCCCAAAACGGAACTACATTGGACGGAGGGACACAGATACTTCACCATAGAGAGTCGTATTGAGGGCGAATCGCTTAACAATGCGTTACCAAGATTAACGCAGCAAGACCTCGCTCACATCGGCCAGCAGTCAGGTCAGTATCTTCTTCATCTCAAGACCATACTCTTCCACATACAACAAGGCTCGACAGACGACGGGTCTACAACTAGCGTTTAGTCAGGTAACATGTTACCAGACTTTCTATCGCACATCGACGTGATAAACCAAGCCTCGACGCATTCATGGCTAAAATTCCCTCTAGCGTACCATTTACCTTTGGTCATTCCGAGCTGCACGAAGGTAATGTTATGATGAAAGATGGCAGCTTTGCCGGGCGTATCGGCTAGGAGTTGGTAGGCTTCTACCCATCGTGGTGGGAATATATAAACTGTAGCCCGTCGTTGAGCAAACACTCCCCAGCCCCAAATCAAGAACCAATATGCGCTGGAATGGTTTATCGTCTACCATTATGTCCGATATAGGACTAAGGAGGAGGGCGCGTCTAAGTTGAGCGAATATCTCAGAGGGAAAGGTTAGAGTGGCGCGTAGTACGGAAAAGTCGGGTACCTAACTGGGCTTGGTGATCAAATACCATCCCATTAGACAGTCTCTTAGTGTATCTAGCTTGTGTTTATTAGTAATAATGAAGTAAAGTAGTAGATCTTCTCGTCTCGTTCGTATATGGCGTGGCGCTTTCGCATGTCGAAGTACTCTCTCGACTCTCGCAATGCTCTTGCTTTAAAGTTTGCTTCTTAAAGGTTTTTCCTAGGATTATCGAAACACCCAGACAAAGGAGCTAAGTTAGTTCTACTGGCCATTTGCATAAAAACGTAATTATTTCCCCCACTACTTGGTCGAATTATGCTTTGTGTTATGCCCATATGTCATCGGACTGTGTAATCGGTTCCCCAAGTAAAGAAGGAAAAGATATCGGCGGATGAATTCCAGGCTGCCTGTGAAGTGGACTTATAGCGGAGTGAACCATATGTAGGTTGTAGGTACCTAGGTAGTCGACGGACCAAATGTCCTTGCTTCCGAGATCGAGTCCCGAACCTAGATTGGCTATGGATGATGAAACCGGTCGGACCCGTCGTGGTAGCAAGACAATACAGCATTAATCATACGACAGCGATCGATGCTCTGTGCGATTCTCCAATGGCTCGACGCCAATTTGATTTGAACTTTAAAGTATCGTCCGACTAGAGCATGATTCTCTGAGTATGAACTGCTGCGTTTACGTAGGACTGAATATGCAGGAACTTAGGTATTTATGTACCTTATGAGGTATGTAGGGCGGCCAGACGACAAGTGGGTGGCTTATGATATGAAATACAGTGTTAACCGAAAAACGGTTTACGTTGGATCCCCTCTGGAGCAAGACAATACATATGTATTAGTAAGAGCGGTGTGGGTCTTATGATGGTCCACCAGCCCTTTTAGCAGCGTTTACCGTTGAAGGCAGTCGTGGCAGTAGCGTAGATCCACTCTGGGGAAGCGGGGCAGGCGGCCGTTTAGCGTCTGGGGAAGGGCCCCTGAGTCCACTTTGCTCTAGACTCGCACGTGAGAAAGATAGGTACCTATTATTAATTATCATATATATTAGTCCTCCGAGATTTTAAATAAAACCAAAAAACCAACAAGTATTTGTAAAGTATGAGGCTCTAATAGATGATGTTAAAAAGTAAAATGGCAACGAATAAAACATTATAAATAGTTATAGTCCAGCGACATCAACTGCGCTGCCCGTCTGTGTGGTGTGGCGTGGTAATGGGAATAATACCCCAACTCCCACAGCTCATACCTCCCCGGTTCGCAAATCAGTATCAAATTCAATCTCAGCCCTCGTACATATAACTACAGTATATACGAACGTAATGGATACTTTTACATACATCCATGGGTAAACAGTGTGGTAAGCAATCAAAGGGTGGCGTCACTCTGTCAAGTCTGGCCTATGGCACGTCGATGCTACGGTAAAGTTTATGTACCATCTAAACTTAATCCTAGAGTATAATCCTAGAGTATACATATACCCTGGATGGTTGGTCCTTGAAAGATTGACGCAAACATCACGGCCTGTTATTATTGGGTTACCCCGCTTCTTCCTTCCCGTCGTCTTTCCCCAGACGAAGCAACCATCAGGCCAGGATGGGCCAATCTAAGGGGGAGGCAAGTATCAGCCTACCTATGTAGGTAGGTATGTAGAACTCTCCCTCCCTCCTCCCCCCTTTAAAATCCAGCAGTCCCCTCGAGATCTGAACCTTCCGAGCAGTTACACAGAGTTCTTCCTTGTTTACATCTTTTGAACAAGGAACCAGCTTCATTCCTACATATCTCCAAACCATACAACTACCTACCTACTTATACGACCTACCTGGGATATTTAACCTGAAACGAAGACTGCTATCCTATCACTCTTCACGACCATCTTGAGCCACGTCATTCAGGCGTAAACACTTCAACCATCATCATCACCACCTACTATAAAGTCATCACCAAAACAATCCAAAATGCCCGTCCGTATCCCCAGAGCCAACAGGAGTGAGCTCGCAACCTTCGGCGTAGCTGGCGTCGCAGGCTTTGCCCCATTCTATTTCATACTCCCCGGCGCCTCGGAACACCTAGCATCACAGACTGCCCGATGGGCGCCCCGATGGGAACGTAACATCTCATACTTCGCCTCACCCGCCCAAAGAGTCGCCCAGCGCGTAGAACCCCGCCTCGAGAAGACGGTCAAGAGGATCGACAACCGACTACCCCTAGAAAGGGTGGCCAAGAATGTCGACCGACGGATCAAGTACGGCATCGACAAGATGGACAAGATGAGCAACCACTAAATAGTTATCGGCTGGATGTTTTGTTTGAAATTATAGGCTTGGGACATGAATTACGAAATGGTGGGATCGGGTATACCCATAACAAGTTGTACTTGACCTCGCTAAGGTGCAAACGCACGAGCGTCCATCGCTTCAGACGGGCCATGCATATGGATAACTCGCTCGCTAAGCAGTAGTAAACAATATAAAAAACTACGCAAAAACAGACACTCTATCTTAATGCCTTCGTGACTACCATTATGTCTCATATGACTTGAACGTTTTGTCGCCATCGAGGACTGTTAACCTTGTCGTCCTTGCTTACTTAGAAACCTACCTATAGTTTCTTTGCCTTGGCGACCGGCCCCCCTATCATGAGGAGCTGTCCATGATCTATATACCCAGACTACTATCGACCCTTTCAGTTTTCATATTCCCCATCCCAGAAATAATATAAAGTCTGCATGTGTGATATTTTCTGCCAAATTATTCCGCGCCAGCGCATCACCAACTATACTGATAGGTACCGTACAGTTGCATTTAAAGGCCACATGCTACCTAACTTACCCATCACGCAAGGGTACACACCTGAGTAGCGTGCGTATATACTACCAAGATCTACAAAACATGATGAAGAAACATTATAATATTATTTTCCCCTCCATGTCCCAAACCCCCGTCCAAGCCAACAATTGTGATGCAAATACCAAATAAAAGAATTACACCCAGTAGGTAAAGTTCCCAACAATCATGAACATTGAAGACAATTTATTTAGGTAGTTAACTTGGGATTTCCCCTTTATCAGATCACGAATGCTCGTTAGCGGGTTTTCGATACTTTCAGCTCATCTCGAAAGCCTTGGCAATGTTGACGTTATGAAGTCTAATCATATCAGTCTCTCTATTCTTGTTGAGAAGAACAAGGACTCGAAACAGCCCTATCAGAATATACCTATTTGGGTCGAATACTATAGGTATTATTAAAGCTTAGGTAACCAATAGTCTAGACTTATGAGGAATATAAGGCTGCAAGGAATATTATTCGGACGGTTTTATACCAACTAATACCATTGATGGAATAGCTTACTTAATCTTGTATACGGTAATATTATATATTATACGAATAACACAAAATATGCAGGGTCCTCATCCTTTACAGACTGTGGCGCGGATAGGAGGCTGAAAATCCTTCCGATGGCATCTAGACGCGAAGTCACGAAGTTAAGATGTATATGCTGAACCACCCAGCTCTAGTTTGAAGTGCGAAGTGTTTCACGACGAATTCACTATACTTACTAGGAGGGATGCTTACTATGAGAATATCTTACTATGAGACTATCTTGGAAATCAAAATAGTCCTACGAATTTATCTTGTACATAGGTAGGTAGTAACGGCTAGAATTTGATTAGATTATGTTGCATTTAGGTAGTGACAGTCACTCCTCGCGCCGTCTGTTTTCCTTCAACAATAAACCAAATCGGTACCATTTTAAAGGGCTTTCGGGTACCTAGTTGATCTATCCAGTCCCTTGCCAAAATGCACAAGTTGCTTTTGTTTACTGCGGTTATAGGGGTATCGGCATTCGAATATCCTTAAGCAGCACCATCGGCGACAACGAGAGTTAATTTAAGGGCATGTTCACGTATATCTTCTTCGGGTATGTATGTGTCTAATAGCCTCAAGGCCTTCGTGGAATGGCAGTCTACCCTTGCTTGGCTGAAGAATCCTCCAAAGTCTTATGGATTTCCTGCGGTCGATATATAAGGCAATTCAGATAAAATACTTGAGAAAGCTGAACAAGGACGTTACGAGAGTGAGTATGACTTCCAGGTCGCAATTATACAGACGATATCTGTAGCACACGATGATCATTTCTTCTATACGCCTGACGTCTTTAAGGCCTTCACCTTCGAAAACAAACTGGCCCAAGACATCGTCTCAGTGTTAATCGACGGCGTTTCCTTACCGAAACTATATCGCTTTTGTAAGTCCAAGATATTAGTTCCGTAGGTGTTTTATGGTATCATTTACTCATATAACATCGTCTAGCCGCTCTGAGACTGGGGTCAGCAATCCAAATTGCCCATATCAATGGCCAAAATGCTACAAGTTTTGAAATGGGAGGGGCGGGACGGATGGGACGAAGGACGAAGATGAAAATGCTGCTGCTGAAGGGGTACTTGCCCAGAGTAGTATTCGAGCGGTGTCTCTCCTTGCTATTGTCTCGGTCTTGATGCTGTGCCTATAATAGAGCCGGTACCTATAAGTGAAGAAACCATCTTTAGAGGAGATGAATATTTGTAAATGTATCTCGGTGGGTCGTAAGTATGTATTCCCCGATTCTCATGTCATTATATGAATAAATGTACCTATATAGGTATGTATATCAATTAGATTAATATACGTGTATAAGTATCCCGGTAAGGGGCGCGGACGGATACCTAGGTACCTCCTAGGTTAGACTATTGTTTGCGCCGTTGAGTCTTCTATGTAAGAAGCTCGGCGTTCTCGTAAGAGCATACTTCGAGAAATATAATAGCCGACTAGGCGAGTTACCGGAACCATGACAATATAAGAGGCATATATATAGCAACTGATGTGAGAGGCTACAGGAGTCATGAGGTATTTATCGAAATGTAAATAAAAAGAAAAAGAAAAAGGAGGAGGGAGGGTTACGCTGACACTCGAAGAACTGCGACTCTAAGTACCTGGATAAGATTAGTTATACTATGTAATTAGTTTCAACATAAAGAGCTGCTCTATCAACCAATATGCGAGTTTTCGGATTAGGTTCCCAACTCAAAGCAGGACTTCAATAGACACCGTACACTAGCAGTAAGTAAATATTTCGTTGACCAATGGGCAATAACTGAAAAAATCATCGTTTGTCTCTAAGAGTAGCAATAGCACCCTGGGTCATACTAAAACGCAATGGGCAAAACTACCTAATGAATAAGCTGTCGGGGCAAAACTAAGGTTCGGATGACCAAGTCAGAGCCGTCTGACCTATGCGCGAATAACGCCAGTCATGACTAGAAACAAGACAAAGGGCTAAGATGCACATCTTACGAGCAGGCTCTATAGCCTTATATTATATCACCATTGGCCGGCGTCTTAGCGGGGCTTTCTGCCTCTGCCTCCACTTCAGCCTCCGCCTCCGCCTCCGTCTCCGTCTCCGCTTCTGCCTCTGCCTCTGCCTCTGCGTCATTTTCCTCCTCCCCTTCCTCCATTTCCTCCCCTTCCTCCCCATCCTCTCCGACCGATTCCTCGGGTATTATGCCATTCATTCGTTCCCAAACCTCTCGTCGTATTCGGTCATCCTTGGCCTTCCTCGCTCGCTCAACCTCTTCAAATCCTCCGCTCTTCTTTAGCTTCCCATCCTCGACGAACTTGGTCAACTCCTTCATAAGGGGATTTCCTTGTCGGCTCTCTAACTCCTTCTGTCGTAGCTTCTCCGCACGTTCTATGGCCTCCAGCCTGTCTTCGTGGTTCGGCTGTAGAGCTCTGACTTCGCCTAGCACACCCTCCTTTGCAGCGTTCGGATCAGAGCTGTTCCCAAGGTGATGTAAGCCCTTCGAAAACTGCCGCGCCGTCGGCGTATTGTCCTTCATCTGCTCCTTAGTGGCTTGTTCAACCAACGCAAAGGTCTCAGAGGCCTTTTCGATGTCATCTTGTAAGTCAATCATTAGGTCTTCCATAACCTTAAGCTCGTCACGGCCCTGGCAAACTTCTTCCAGTTCTTTCTCCCAAATCTTGGTCCAGATGGGCTTCTCTCGCTTCATGTACTCCTGAACCTTCTTGAGCTCTTTGGTCAAGACTTGGATATCCTTAGATACGCTCTCTAGTTGACGCGGTAAGGGTCTCACGCCGCGATTAACGACGTCCTTGCGCAAGTCCTCAACTAAGTCTTGAAGATCGTCCACCTTGGTAACGAGGCGGTCCGAGTCTGAATTAAGCTGCTTACGGCCTTTTGTCACATAGCTATATCCAGAGCCACCTTCCTCCGGTGTTGAAGCCTTGGCAGCCGCAACCTTGACATTGGCTGCTTTGTTTCGTAGGGAAGACATAGAGCTCTGTATCTCCGTCTGGAAGTTTGAGTACGTCTGCCGCAAGACGGCCAGATCTCGTCGCAGTGTCTGCAACTCCCTAAGTTGACTAGTATTGAGTTTAGCGCCAGCGCCAACTCCACTAACTTTAACACCATCCATGACGGCCGGTGGCGCTGAGGCCATACGAGCCATCTCCTTGGCCGTCTCCAGTTGCCTATCCGATACTCTTTGTAAGGCGGATCCCTGATCGGTAACGTTCTGCTTCATCTCGTCTACTACTTTCTTTAGAGCCCCAAAACCCTCGTCGAAGTGTTTCTTGACCTCATCAAGGGGCTCGACATTGAGCGCAAGAACTGTACGGTCTTTGATGTCGGACAGGTCTTCGAGCTCGTGCCGCACCCCAGAGATGGGATCTTGGATATAGATCTCTGGGAGGTCGCTTCCGTTCAGGGCAGTGTTCCAGGAAAACTTCTCGATGAAAGCAAGTTGCAGGCGCCCAATTGTCAAGCCTGTATAGCCCTCCGGGAGCACGAATTTCTTCACTTTGGACTTATATTGCAAGAATAAGGTAAGTTCTTTGTCTAATGGAGGTGATTGCTCTTGTATGGATTGCTTTCGCTGCTTTTCCGGAGGGGTTTGAGGTCGCGGTTTGGATTCTACAGTTGTGTCTACCCTTGGCTTTGGCTTCTCGGGCGAGCCCGGGGTTCCCACTATTGGAAAGGCATCATCCAGAGGTCCGGATATAGTAGCACTAGGTCTATACTTCTCTTCTGGTGACTGAGCCGGTGGACTTTCCGATTGAGGGGGACGTAGATCGGGTCTTGAGCCCTCCTCGCTAACCTTACTGGGTATTCGAACCGGCGAAGACGCTTCATACGCATTCTTGGATTGATTAGATGCGTTTCGACTATGTCGTAGAGACTCCCGGACTTGGACTGCTCGCATAGATTCTCTTACTTCCCCACGTCCACGATTTGGTATCGGGGTATTCTGAGAAGGGAGCATAGGCACGCCATTGGTTGGTGCCCCCAGATGTTTGGATATTTGATAGGCGGAGTATCTTCGTGACGCCCTTCTTTCCAAGTCCCCTCCTCTTTGCAGGGCAGCAAACGCACTCTGTTGCGACTTTGGCGGCGGCGGAGGGGGTGGCGGGAATGAGTCGATATCTATACCTCCCGCAGGTCCTGTAGGTATCGTAGTCTCATCTCCGGGATACGGCGGGAGCACCGGTATGTTCTGCATGGTGTTACTCGACAGTGATGACTGTTCGGAGTTGAAAGAAGCGTTTGACTGGTCTCGTTGCAGAGTTCGTCGATTGGGAGACTGGGTGACTGCTGGCGGGCCTTCGCTCTGCTGTTGCTGTGATGCCACCATTCTTTCGTTCTGTTGTGGAGTAGTGTACCCGTTCTCGAGGCCTTCGTTTAGAAGGTTTGTGAGGCCGGTATTGTTGCTTCCGGTGGTGCTGCTACTCATAGTACGGCTAGCAATACTAGTTGATTCAGGCGAAGTAGCCCCGTCTTTATCTCGATTCTGCTTCTGTCGCAGTTTCTGTTGTTTTCTCTTCAACCCGTGTAAAAGATGGATAATGATGTCTCGTATTCGGGGCAGATACTTCTCGAGGCTCTCTGTGTTGGCTTCCTGGCTTAAAGTAGCCTCCAATATATGTCTTAGGTTTTCTGGGACGTTCCCTAGGTCAGATGTGTCAACGTTAATTGCAGTAAATGCGCGACAGGCCATATTAAACTCATAGCCCAATCTAACATAGACGTCAGAGACCTGAGTGTCAGTAGCCTGACCGCGCGACCATTGCGTTAACGTTTCGAGGAGTTGTTTTGTCGCGACGAGTAGATGCGTAACGCTCTTTTCTATTTGTGATAGTGGCATAGAGGATCCATTAGATTGCTGCCAGTAAAACCATACGGTTAACATCATAACTCTGCAAGAGTGGACATGGTGTGAAAAGAAAAAGAAGAGAAGAATGTTAATAAGAAGGGAAGAAGAAAATTAGACGGGTTGAAAGGCAAACAAACAAGAATGAGGCAGAACATTGAAAGATTAAAAGATTAAAACACCGCCTTCCCCCGCCTAGCAACCGATAATCACACCGGTTACGCAATCTTTAACGGCATTAACTTACATTGCGTCTAGAGGAACTACTCGCAGCTGATCTATTCGAAGCCGTTGACGAGCGCGGCTGCATACCGGCTGGCGACATTGGGCGCATCGGAGCATTATTGGGAATACCATCGGGCCCCGGTGACCGTCGTTGTATTGATCTCTGAGAAGCAGTAGGAGCCTGCATCTTGACTTCAATTCCAGAGCCTAGCCTAGCCCTTCTCAACTTCTCAACTTCCCAATTCTCTATATACCTTATACCTTTCCCCCTCTTTATTCCTTATCGGTTTAGGATTAGTTTAGGATTAGGTCCCGATCGTCCACCCTATGCTAATATCTCAAGAAAGAAAGCACGGAATATTGGCATTCGTCGAAATGGGTAATCGAAGGCAGTGAGCTAAAATGAAAAGCTATGGTGAGTTACGCTAAGGGAATAGGATGATCAAAATTGGCGTATGTGGAACGGGTTGCGATGGAAAGTCGTCGAGCAAGTCATAAGTCCGAGGTCAAGTTGTGGATGACTGATGCCCGCGTGAGGCGCGACGTTCGAAAAGATCGAGGAAGCCCGACCAACGCTAATCCTATTTTGGAAAGGTGTCAACGCAGGGGCTAGGGTCAAACACGGCGGACGGTCGGGGCGTGATTAAGTTAAAAGTTCCTAGGGTGGGTGTTACTATGTAAGTGGGGCCGGTCGTTGATAGTCTAAGGTTCTCGTTGGATATTAGAGGCATCTAACACCTAGAAAGTCACTGAGAAAGTCCACTAGTTACCTATTAACTCTATTAAGTCAATGTTTTTCTTTCCCTTTTTTGCATATGATGTCTGATTTGAGTAATTGTCTAAAACATTAAAGCTAAGCAACCGGGTTGCTAGCGTACCTAGGAAGTACCTGTTATTCTAAACAGAGTGACTTGTGTATATTTGACAACGATCCATTACATAGGTATGTCTTGATACCTAGGTAGGTAGCTAAGATTGGTAACTCATTGGTGTCTTGTCTATAAAGTACCTAACCTAAGCAGTAGCCTTAAATATGAGGGCAGCTACGTAACATCTCTACCTATGCCTTATATCGACTTATCCAAAGGTATACATACATACTATCTATGTACTCGACTCGAATTGAGGCTCCATATATACAGTTGTGAAATACAAGACTTCCTACATATTTCACAGCCCTGTCTATTTTAAGAGGATGCTACTATGTAGCTTCGGGATTTAAACAACGACTTCTACCCTCCGAGCAGCGAGCCCCGCGACACGTCAGCGTTGCCTTTTTTAATAGTGATAGGATTAAATCCATCACCATGTACTTACTCGCTTGTAATATGGTCTATTGACTAATAAATTGTTATATATTGAGTAAGCATTCTCGACTTTAGGGAAAACTCTCAACCCAAAACCCAAAACCACTTCACCCAAGTTATATATTACTATAGACTGATATAAAGGCGACATCCTTAGTTTGGACATCAACGTTATATATTGAATTTCAACCCACACATAAGCGGAACGATGTCTCTTCTAAACATCTCCATCATTGGGGCTGGTCCGGCCGGGTGTATGCTTGGACGGATTCTATCATTATCCAAAATCCCTTTTACAATTTATGAAAGCGACGAGAGTCCAAATTATCGTTCTCAAGGAGGCTCGTTGGATTTACATCCCGGCACAGGCCTTGCGGCGATGAAGGACGCTCAACTATGGAACGAGTTCTTGAAACACGGCCGATTCGACGGCGACTATATGATGATGGCCGATAAGGACCTTAAGCCCTTCGTACAGTTCGGTCCTGGCAATAAGCTCAGCGAGCGGCCTGAAATTGACCGTGCCGAGCTACGCCGGATCTTAGCGGAGTCGCTCCCGGAGGGAAGTATCAAATGGGGCCATCGCCTACGACGTGTCGAAGAAGGGAACACTCTGGTCTTTGATCATACAACAGTGTCCGGTTCCGATCTTATAATTGGATGCGAGGGGGGCTGGAGTAAGGTCCGAAGTTACGTCTCGCCGACAGTGAAACCACACTATACCGGGGTTGGATATCATGGTCTCCGGATACCAGATGCGGCAAACACCGCGCCAGATCTCTATAAAGTAGTCAATCGCGGGAGCCTGTTTGCCAGCTCGAATGGGCAGAGGTTGGCGGTACAGCAGCTCGGGACTGGTAGCTTGAGTGTCTCCTGGTGTTCGCGCCGTCCCGAAAACTGGACGCAGACTTGCGGATATGACCCTCATGATGTCGATCAAGTTAAGAAGGCAATCCTCGAGGAAATGCACGACTGGAGCCCACAGCTACGGGAAGCGATCGAAAAGGTACAAGATGGCATATGCGAAGCGAAGAATCTGTACATGCTTCCCGTTGGCTGGCGCTGGGAGCACCGCCGCGGCGCAACATTCATTGGCGACGCCGCACATTTGATGACCCCGTTCGCTGGCGAAGGAGTAAACGCTGCGTTTGACGATGCGAGAAAACTCGCCGCTGCGATCGTTAGGGCAGTCCAGGCGGGCGGCGGGCTAGACGAGGTCGATAGGGAAATACAAACGGCCGAGGAGGATATGTTTAAACGTATGGAAATATACCAACGACAGACGGACGAGGTTACGAAGTTGTGGTTTTTCAGCGAGGGAAATATGAGGGATGTCGTACCTAAGGTGATGGTAGAGCATGCTAAGGCAAAGACGCCGACAGCCTTCCATCCTTTAGCCTGGGGACTCATTAATTCGTATTGGTTCTTCAAGAATACGTTCTCAAGCTAGACGCCATGCCTATTTATACATTAGGTACCTACACTAGATCGGAGTTTGGCGCATTTGAGGGCATGTAATTTATTGATCTTAGATCCCCTCTTAGATGATAATAGTATAGGTTAGAGGTGACTGTCTTGCGTTATATTAATACTATAACTCGGAATTATCGCATGCAACCATCACACAAACTCGTAACCATCAGCCACTCGTATCGACCAAAAAAGAGCATCGTGTACTACTTAGCATGGTATTTCATGTATCCCTCGTTTCAGGTGCAGAGATTGGCGAGGTTCATCGTTGTGGGCGAGACATGACCTCATACGATTGAATCAGGTTCGATGTGACTACGATCGGACGGGAACTCCCACAGCGTGGAGACGTTATATTGGGGCTTAGCTTTGCAGATTGCAGATCTATTTTCCTATTCTTTGTCTCTTGTAGGTGAATACAAACGGGTCCCTATGAATTATCTCGAGCGATGAGGTGAGGCTACATACCCGAGGGCCGACGTAGTAGCAAATTGACTAGATCACGCTCCCAATTATAGACCTTAGGGGCCCCTATCAAACGAATGCTCGGTCAATGACCTATAACTGACCTATCATCGTGTAACGCATCAAACGAGGCGCAGATTCCACTTATACCTTTTTTTATAAAGTCTTCATGTTTAGCCCCCGGTATAGTATAAGTATAACCCTAGGGTCACAATGGGCTACTGTCAGAGTGGTAACGGCGTCCGAGCCTCCCTCAACTCACTATAAACCTCCATGTTTAATCTTTGTTGGAAAAGCCTCGGCACCTGCGGTTTCGTTCCCGCGGGGGCGCAGTCTGACAAATTTCTGCAGCAAACGCAGAGATGTTGCTTTCCGAAAGGCCAATAGTGAGTCAGGTTATCGCGAAGCTAACCAAAATATGTATGTTAAAGAGAACGAGCTTGTCCAGAATTCGGGGTCATCTAGCGCTGTCGATCTGACTGGGGTTCCCTTGGGAGGCTATCTTTTCGAACTTAACTCCATCTTCGTAAATGACGAATAACCAATGAGTAGCGGCCTTATGGCCAACAACTATTATAAATAATAATAATATAAGGCTTTTGGGATTGTTCACACATATACTACAAATGTCTCTTTCGACCTGAAGCAAGTTAACCTTTGGTTACAATTTATTGGTTTGGCTCGCCCCATGGGCGTTATTCACCCACGCCTTCTGCAGCCCTAAGAGCCCTAAGAACTCCAATCGGCTCCAACTACCATGCAATCGAGGGGCTATGTAAAGGCATGGAATACATAGGTAGGTAGGTTTCAAAAGGCATGCCCACATAGGTAAATAAGATGCTTCTTACCTTAAGGTTGTTACAAACGAGGCTCTGTGAAACATTTGAATATACACTCTTCGCCTCGAGTTAGAGGCTCATGTGCGCCCAATGTGTTGCCTTATATTACGGCCTAATTATGAACCTGACATGTACCTAATGGGATACCTAGAAGAGGCACGCAACGTATTTGAAAGTGACGTACCTGGCTAAAATACCTAGGTAAGCATAGTTATCTGCCTTAGGTTAGGTAGGTATAGACCGTTGATCTTGGCATTCTAGGGATCGGTGTTCGATGACGATGATGTTCATTAGGGATGAATATTACGTACCTAACCTAGTTGGCAGGTTGTCCTCGAAAAGCATTAGATTCAGCCTGGCCTTGAAAGCTGGCCTCATATGTAGCATTTACCTACTGATATAAAAGGGCAATGCCAAATTAAAATGTTGGGCAGAATGAACTTTGCCGCCATTATCAATAGCTTTGGCCAACATCTAATGCACCTCTAACATGGGTTATCTACACTGGATAGTAGATGTAACCAATAACATTTGTATATTCTAGGTTTCAATATCATGATCATGATCTTAACCAGGTTCCCATATTATATATGATAATTGTTAGAATGTTAGAATGGTCTTTCGGGCGCTAGCTATTGCCAACCCTAGTGTCATGTTCATGGCCTCAAAACTGAGTTACTTGCTAGGGAATCACAGTACTGCCAAATCACTTAGCTTTAAGTCTGCAAGATGTATGAATATAAGGTACCTAATGTATGTTACAACAAATGTATCACGCAAACTGATCACGCAAATTGTACATTTGTGTATATGAATCGACTGGTCTCCGAATGAGTGTTGACCGGTGTAACCACTGGCACTTCTTGGACCCCATCCCTAGGTACCCCTTAGCAGTATGTAGGAGATGTAGGAGGGGCTGGAGGGGAATATCTGCATGTATATAATTATTGGATACCTTAAACGACGACATTCCACATCTTTTTTGCATTCACCCTTTCTAAAGATATCCTATTGGTTAAAAATAACCATTCATATTCAAGTCATAATAGTTAAAGCTTAACTTATTCAGTTGTAAGACATAAAACCCATTCTCTTCTTCAATTTACTTACCTCATACGGTATGATAGCACTGTCTCCACGTCAACCCACAGCGTCAAACACCACTAAACAAAAAGTCTAAAATGTGCTAATTGTACCCCTAATCATTCAGAATTATACAGTGCAAACTCCAAAATCCTCTTTTTACCTTACCAGCTTACCTAACTCTAACTCTCACCTAACTCTCCTATCCGATCGTACCTGCAAGTTGCGCCAGTCAGACCACCTTTCTAAACTTACCTAAACTTACCTATCCAATTAAGGTCTTGCCAATAAGGCCTCGCCTCCCGCTGCCAGAAAAGACGCTCGGACCATCTACACCTATCAACTATCAAAAGGAAAGAGGTCCCAAGTCTCGCAGTCTCGCAGTCTCCCACATCTCGACCCTTGGCCCACCACCACAACAGCCAATCTGTTAGTACCTGTATTCCAAAGTACCCACAGAAAACGCTATGTAACTCGTTGGCCTCGACACCTTAACCACTAACCACCACAACCTCCACTTTCCCATCAACTCCTTCTCCAACTTGACTAACCGTCGCTCTATAGACCAGAGCAAGAAGCAGCGTCCTCTGCGACGAGGTCATATTACAGCACCGAGCTGGGGGTTGCCGAAGGGAGAACAGTTAGTAGTTGACCAATTAGCCCGAGGTGAGACAACAGACCTTTTCTCTGCAGTACTCAGTAGGTACTTGACCAAGCCGAGCCCAGCAAAGCAAAGCAAAGCACAACACAACCCAGTACAGCACAGCACAGCACAAGCACAGCACTACCAAAAAAAGTATTGCCCAGCAACCCCAGCAACCCCAGCACCCAGCACCAAAGCACTATATCTATTATTTTAGTTTTAGGTACCTAAAGTTGCATGGGCATCCGTGGCCAGCTGCTGGTCCGCACCGCACTGCCCTGCCCTTTTTTGACGAAGCTGTGTGCTGCCCAGACTGCCAGTGAGGAACACAGAACAGGACTGGATTGATGTGTGAGAAGAGCGAACGAGCCAGCGACCTTGACCACTTTTTTTTTTTTACCGGTTACTTCCAGTCTCCCAATCCCTTCTGCAGTTGGCCTTGTCAACAAAGCAACCTTTTTTTTTTCTTCTGCTGCTTCGACACTCTAGACCATTCACCTCTTTGTCTTATTCGCAATCATTCCCTCGTGGCAGCAAGCTGCTCATAGTTTTTCCGCATTTCGACACACTTCCCACCTTTGCGCTCTTTCTATTACCCTCTTGTTTCTAATGCGCTGACGTCCAGCCGTTTTTATCTACAGTCAAACTGCTACTTGGCAGAAGGTCTGGATATCGGCCAGAAGCAGCACTGTCACCACAACTACCTCGACCACCCCGAATCCCAAATCCCAACTAAGCAAAGTTTGTCTTAGCAAGACAAGCAAAGCTTCATTCGATTCCTTCGAGCAAGTGAGTTGTTAGCTTAACTTTCTTGCGACGTCGAGCTTCTTGTCATACGTCGGGCTTGGATTCGCGTCACCTCCACCTCCTTCCCTCAGATCCGCGCTAGCTGTTCCCGAACCGCAACCTTCCCATCTACCTCTAAATCCGCCAATTGCACCACAAACACAATACTACAATACCATAATACCCTCAAGCTTGCTCACCTTACCTCGGCTCTCCTTTCGTTAACTAACTATCCATCCGGTGCAGGGCGGAAGGGTTTAGATTACCTTCGTCAAGTGTGTCGAATTCGAAAGTATCTTCTGACACTTGACCGCTCTCATCTGTTCCCTGAGAATGGTGCAGCAGAAGAAAAGTTCGGGCGAGTCGACGAACGGAATTAGCAAGAGAGAATATCCTTCCATGTCCTTTCAGAAGAAGGATATGTCGGATACTAGAGTTATGGGGGGGAACTCGGCTAAAGGCGATGTTAAACATAATGGTATATCCTACTAGTTAACTACTATTATCACATATGGCGCTAACAATGGTGTAGGCTCGACGATCAACTCGCAGGGCAACTTCCGAACCGACAGTGCTATTTCCTCCTCTCGCCCGGGCCGTGAGCGACCCTTGCAGCCATGGGTTGGGCCAAGCAACTCGGACGGGCTCGACTTGAGCTTGGAGAAATCCAGTGGCGATGCTCCCTGGGATCAGTTTGCTGTTAACGAGCGCCAATTTGGTATCAAAACTACATATGACGAAAATATTTACACCACCGCCATTGATAAAAGCCACCCACAGTACAAGGAGAGGGTAGCTGCTGCGGAAAAGAAGGCCAGGGAGATCGAGCGAAGCGCTGCCGCCACAGCTCATGTGGCCGAAGAGAGAGTTATGGATCATGCTGGAGGTGACGATGTAGGTGGTAACGAAGAAGAGAAGTAAGTCAGATTATGTTATACATATCACCAGATTCCGGCTAACTCGGGAATAGGTATAGCGGTGTTAAGCGACAGGATTTTCCTCCTTTGCCTAATAGCCGAGAGAACAAGTATACCCCCCCGGCAAGACGAGCACCAACCGCCGCGTCGACTGTGAAGGGCGCACCAGTCGACCCAGCCATCATATCTTCGCAGCTGAAGGCACAAAAGAACCAGCCTGCTCTCCCGAAACAGGATGATAACAAGCTCCGCCCTAGCCCTAAGGCCGAAGTGCCTTCGGTGTCTCCTGCTGCTAAAGCCACAGAGCCTAAACCGGATAGTAAGGTTGAGGCGCAACAAAAACCTACAGAAAGCAAACCAACAAGCCAGAACGCCACTCAACTACGACCGTCCGCTGCTACTAGCCGAACTATCTCCCCTCAGTCGAAAGATGGCCAGGGCGTCGCGCCTAGTGCGACTTCGACTGTCGAGCGGGACGTTCTCAAGGAGTTCAAAACATTTGCTAACCTGCAGCGTATAAATGCTGAGAAGGTCCGAAGCAACAAGGCAAAAGCCGACAAGGAGGTGAAATTAACCGAGCTAAAGAAATTTGCCGACAATTTCAAGCTACCGACTCCTGTCCCTATGGATTTAATATCGATCATTGCTAAGGATCCGGCGAAGCAACGGGAGATCCAAGAAAAGGCTAAGCGAGACGCGGCTGAAGTCGCTAAAAGAAAGGCTGAAGAAGCCGCCGCAAAAGAGAAGAAGGGAGCCACTCCAAAGGAGACCCAGGCCCCTGCAACTTCTCAAGCGCCTCCTGATAGTAGAGCCGGCCGTCCATCCGCAAACCCCCCAAGTGCAGCCCCAGCAGCAGCTCCGCGTCACGGAGGTAACCGCCAGAGCTTTATTCCCCCAACATACCCTTACCAAGGGAATCGCTCGGGACCTCAGCACATCCAACAAACTGGCCGCCAGGGCGGCTTGGCTGGACGCATTCGAGAAGTGCAAAAAGCACAAGGCCAGGACGGCCGGCTGCCTCCGACTGGCCCCGCCAGTACGACCGATCCTTCCTTCGGCCGTCGTATCGGTGCTCATATAGGCCCGAAGTTGAATCCGCACAGTCACGAGTTTCGACCTAATGCGTTTGCGCCGGCTTTCAACCCGAACGGCGGACACCCCAGCGCAGGCTCAAGCCCCCGTTCGGCCATTAATCATGCAACCGATGCGCAGATCAGCACCGCCAGTACTCATACTACGCTGGTCGTTGTAACTAAGAAGAGAAAGGCGGTCGACCCCAAGAAGTGTGCTATATTGTCTTTTGTGAAGACAATCCAGCCCCCGGAGAACAAGAACTGGAATGAAAACGATGGGCTTCGCCCCTCTTACGATACTCAGCCAACCTGGCGCTCCGCGACTGACGATGAGAAGCCGGATTCGACAATGCGCTTGACGTTTGATGAATATTTTGAACGACAGCCGTTCAACACGCAGCCTACTCCGAACCCCCCGCATCTCCTGCCGCAGATGGCCCATCACCATCAACTGCCCCTACACATGCAGAACCCCGCGCACTCCGCTGCACCACGACACTCGCCTCACGTCCCTCCGGTTCAAATGCATGGTAATCAGCACGGTCCTGTCCCTCATGCACCGTTCAATGGAGCAGACGATCATAGAATGATGCACTCAAACTCGTCGCAGTCCTACTCATCCCCAAGAATGAGCCAGGTACCGCTCGTATACCCACCCAACATGAACTCGGCAGCCCAGATACCCTATAACCAACACATGATGCCCTCGTTTATCGGTCCCGGAGCGCCACCGATGAATCAGTTCAACCGCAGCTTCTCCAATTCGCCACAATACGTCCCTCAGCAGCCAGGAGCGATGGGTGCTCCGATGATGATGCAGCCCCAGTTCGTGCCACAGCCAATGGTCGCCGGTCCGCCACAGATGCAACCTTACCCTGGTACCGGCCATCTGCAGTTTATGCCTCCCGGCGCAACACCGCCCCAACCAATGCCTGGTGTCAATGGCTATCCCAGTCCAGGGCGGCCTGCAGCCCCTCTGATGGTCCACCAGGGATCACAGCAGGGACAGCCAATCTATAATATGAGTCCCAGTGTGCAGTATCAACAGCCAGCAACATTTGTGCCGCAGCAGCAAGGACAGAGTAAGTGGCATATATGGCAGCCCGACCAGCGCAAGAAGCCAGCTAACATACGAGGGATAGTGAATTCTATGCGAGGATATAGTAATCCTGGCCCGCAACAATTCGGTACAAGCCCGCAGCAAATGCATCAATATGGGCCCCCGCATCGCAATGGAAGTAACAACTTCAAGAACTATCAAGGTCACAACCAACATCAAGGTCCTCAAGGTGGCCACACGATTCCGTCTGGGCCTCAGGGGCGATCTTCCGAAGGCCCTGACGAAGCCAAGTGAAGGGAGCTTTAGAAACTGCTCCCTAAGAACTTAACCAGCGCCGCGCTCCAGCGCATATCTATTTCTTCATTCAACATGGCATTGGTATCGGCCACCTGCGTTCGTCGATTCTATCGTCGCCTTTGCATGGACATATAGCGTTATCGGACTTGCGACCTCGATCCGGTCTTCATCTCTTTCAACCCCTTCAGTTGGGTGAAGACGTAGCGGCAATATATTTTGTTACGAGGATCGGTCGCACAAGACAGTCGCTAACTACACATATCCTACTAAATCTCAAACCAATATGCACGTGTCGACATCTTCTATGACGTGGCCCTTAGGCACCTTGGCCTCGTAGGATATGTCTTTCAAACGTTTATTTGCCTAAGCAACGACAGGCTTGGGAAGGCATCGACCAGGATGAGGAAGTGTTGGAGCAGGCGGTCGGTGGTGCATGAGGCGAAGCAGCTTGAGCTTCTACGTGTCGAGGAGGAGGAAGGAATCAAGTAGCTTTATCTGGCTGTAGCTCTGGCTTGATCGCAGCGGTTGCGTCTACATTAGCGTCGTGGTCCGATATACTTACTACCAATTGTTAAGGGCCAGCGTCAGCCAAGCATGAGGAGAGGTTGTTTGCGGGATTGCCGGTCCAAGTGACAATAGCTTCACCCGAGTTATTGAAAAGTCCTCAGGAATGCGAATGAGAGACAGCCATATCGTAGTATCGATCTCGCAGATAACAATAAAAATAGTGTTTACACTAATTATAAGTTGATCGTGTTGGCTGCATACCTAGATAGTAATATGGCAATATTAACTTATCTGGACATGGCTTATATGGACTTGTGATAAATGCTGGTTTAGTAAGACGGAAATCAACTCAATGAACCAGATTCGCATCTCATCGATGCTCTCCAGCTGATACCTTAGGTAGTCAAAGTAGCCTAACGTACAGTGATGAGAAGAGCGGCGACGTCTTCTTCAAATACCGGGAATGCCGGCGCTATCAATTTACGTAGAGAGCAATATGTTGAATAGGCGCCTTGCCTTAATAGCTCTTTACGTAAATGCTAAGTGCTAGATGTATACTGGATATTTTACTTCAACTTATCGCTGCTCGGAGATTCCGACCTATCCACCGTCTTCGGCAGAACGTCACGACTCATGATATAAGTATGAGGCGAAGGTGAAGGGCAGTGCTATTTCACGATCATGCGTTTGAAACCTAAGAGCGCGTGGCAATGAAGGATTCATTAAGAGTGCCTAGAGGAGAGTCAGGAGACTAATAAAATGGGTTTAGAGAGGATGCAGATCTACTTGATATATACTTAGAGAGGCAAGAAACTAAGAAACTGCTGTAACATAGGATTTTTTTTTCTTCTTCTTTTTTTTTTTTTTTTTTATCTACGTAGAACGTTTTGCTCTTACTTCCAAGGGATTCTCTAATTACGATTCATGCTTCTGCTCCTGATGAAGCGAGTTAGGTGATAAATAAAGCATTGAAACAGACAAGGCTGACTTTGGACCTGCCGTATGCGGAGAGTTGTCCCCGGGAATTTTTCTATAAAAAATAGCGTTAGGATACTATTATGGGGGGGTACTAGGGGTAGGTGCTATATATGAGGGGACGGAATGGACATGACGCTCAATGCGAACTGGAACGAGGTCGGTTGGCGACGGACCCATTTTAAAAGATGTTTCAGTGTTTCAACTTTTGAACCAATCATATGCGGCCATGGGCTCCCTCAATTAGGTTTGTTTAAGATCTTTTGTGCAGGGGTTAGGAGAAAAAGGAGGGCCAGTCAACCAATTTAGTCGTTTCAAGATCCGGCCTACGTAAGTGCAACCTAGGAAAAGAAGCACCGAGAAGACGAGACCCCCTTTTTTTTTTTTTTTTTTTTTTTTTTTTTTTGGCAATTGGGTCTGGGGATAAACAGACGAGTCATGTCCATCAGGTTATTCTTGTCTACATATACTCAAGTACATATGCACGTAAAAGCTCCAATGCCAGGAGGTAATATTCCGTTAGGTACATACACTAGGTTGGTGGGATGTTTCTTCTTTTTTTTTTGTGTGCGCGTGCGCGCGGTGATGTGATCGCTGAAGATCTACACTACGCTACCTGACTAGCCATCTCATCCAATAGGAGATCTTTTCCCCTGACTTTAGTAAACTAGCATTCCCGGACTTTCCAATCCGTAGCCTATGACCACGTTACCCATCCTGCCATCAGCCGAGCCGTGAAAAATCAAAGCCGGCTTTACTACGGACATCTCATTAAGAACGATAATGAGTAATTAAGCACATCTCAGTATCGAGTCAATGTGCCGCTGCTCGTCATTCTATTCTCAATCCACACAATAAATCAACTTATTGCTATTGGGGCCACGTTAGGAGTCAAGATAATTCGGCGTTTCCGATCTGGTATATAAGGAAACACTTTATCCACATTATACTCCTATACTATATAAACATTTGCCATTGCGGGTAGGTAGTTTAGTTTGGTGTAGTCTAGTTGGAGGAATAATACATGTTAGGTAGTGCATTCTATTTGAGTGCGACGAAGGAAAATCAAGGGGGGGTTTCCAGGGATCGAAAAATGCTTAGAGGTGGCAGGCGGGACTAGAAACAAGCGTCACCAAACACGACCAAAGAGAGACAAGAAAAGCTTGTGAAGGTGCTGTGCCTGGACCGAAGCTGACGACTGTGGCTAAGGAGGCTAGTGAGGGTTAGGCTGGGTTCCCAAGGAGGTAATTCCGAAGGAGGTAGGTAGGTAGTTACTGCATATACAAAGTTTAATAAGTGGTCGATCGTCGCTCGCACTGCAGCCACTGACTAGCTAGTCCAGGTTAGACGTTTCACCGATTCAGGTACCAGATTGGGCTGATTGGTGTAGGTTCCTTCAGCCCACCACCCACTTTCAGCTTTTACCGCTGCGGCGCACCGGCAATCAACTGCGCTTCATCACCTCCCATTCTTTACAATACCACCAATTACGACCAATGATCTCCAATACCTCCAATTATGCTTATCCCCGTAACATCTGGTGTCATCCCAAATCCTACCATTGGGAGCTTATTCCCTAGGTAGGCATGTGCGAGAGAAGGAAATAAAGAAGTGTGTTTTGCATTGTTTGAAGATCTGCTCTCTTCCAATCCAGTCTCGATGGAATGGCTGACTGTAGACCACCCATTGGATAACCACCTACTTTATTTCTTTCAAAGAATCTGTGGATCTGCCTCGTGAAGATCCAAGCATAACCACTCCACTTCAGCGGCTGCTTGGCTTCCTCCGTCAGCCATGCGATAGGAGCTGTATGCAGTATGTACAATAAGTGCGCGCCTGTTGATTCCCGGCCTGGGCGACCTCATCTAGACAGGTAGGTAGGCGACTATGTGGATATGGCGGGGCCCACCCATGTCCACCCATGTCCACCCGAATTCACGATTCAGGGGTTCTTCCAACTAAGACATAGATTGTCAGCCGAACGAGGGCGGGAAACCAGGAGAAGGAGACCCGGGCTAAGCCAGCCATCATGGGGAGTGCATCTTACCAGCACGAATCGTGCTGCACGACAGGGTCTCGGTTCTCTTGTCTTGTCGATTCTGGATGTGACGTTGCCACTTGCAAGCAACCGCCACACCTCCTAACATGTGTCTATGAATATAAAGATGTTCGTCGGCACCCGGGCATCACACTGCTTTCCTCTCACCACAACTCATCCGCATCATCGGAGAAGTACAAGATCTTTCTCGTCTCCCCCCACTTTCCTTCAAACAACCCAATTTGATCTGCTGGTCATTTAGGAACTCCCAGGTGGTTTCCTACTATTTTTCCATTACATCGGTTCATTGTTCTACGGTCATCTGGCACGGTAGATCTCGGTCCACATCGTCGTCCCTTGTTCATAAACAAAGTCCTAGAGACAAATCGCAAACTTGTCCAATTCTTTGTTTACGACCTTCCTTTGGAATATCGAACGTGTCGATACAATCTTTATTAACCACCGAGATCCATTGGCAATTTACCCTGCCAACGCTCTCTTCGACGGAACTTTGAATTAGATCTTGAAATCTACCACGTGCCAACCGGCAAACAACACTCCTTATTCTTTTCTCTTGAAGAGGAAAGCCGAAACATAAAAAGAATACCAAATCACAAGAACAGCCAAGATGCAGATTCGATCTTTTCTCATTGCCGCCCTGGCTGCTGGTACAGCCACGGCTCACATGAACATGAAGGACCCTCCCCCATTGGCATACAAGGGTAACCCCAACTCCAAGGACCCGAACATCGACTACTCTATCACTTCTCCCATCACCAAGGAGCAATACCCTTGCAAGGGTTATCTCAAGTTGATCGGTACTGCCGAGGGTGCTTCCGTCAAGACCTACGCTCCCGGTGGCTCGTACTCGATGAGCGTCGAGGGAGGTGCCTACCACAACGGTGGTAGCTGTCAGCTCTCTCTGTCCTACGACAAGGGCAGCACATTCACCGTTATCAAGTCCTTCATTGGTAACTGCCCTACCGCCTCGGGTGGTACTTTCAACTTCGACATGCCCGCCGATGCTCCTGAGGGCGATGACGTCGTTTTCGCCTGGACTTGGGTCAACAACACTGGTAACCGAGAATTCTACATGTCTTGCGCCATCGTCACCATCAAGAGTGGTGCCGCAAAGCGCGAACTTCCCATGCCGAACATGAAGCGCGACACTGCCTTTTCTAGCCGCCCCCAAATGTTCACGGCGAACCTGGACGGTGAATACTGCACCAAGGAAGGCGTCGACACTGTTTACCCCGAGCCCGGCCCAGACGTTGAGAACACGTCTACCAATCCCGGCCCGGCAATCTTGTGTGCCACTGGTGCCGATGCTCCCGAAGGTGGCTCCGGTTCCGGTTCCGGCTCTGGCTCCGGTGCTGGTTCCAGCTCATCGGCCGCCGCAAGCACTCCCGCTACTACCTCCGCTGCTGCCCAGTCCAGCTCTGCTGCTGCCCAGCCCACAATGTATGTACCTCAATATCCTACACAAATTCTCATTCCGATCGATGAACTAACTCTTTCTAGTACTGGTGGTGTTTTCCTGACTGTGCCTCCTTCCGGAAGCGCAAGTGCTACTCCTGCTTCCTCGACTCTGGCTACGGTAGTTGTTCCCTCTTCGAGCGCAGGAACTGGTGCCGGTGCTTCTTCCTCAGTTGTTGCTGCGCCTCCCGCGGCATCATCCCCTGCTGGCACTCCCACTACCAGCGCTAAGGCTCCTACCTCTACCGGTGGCGCCGGTGCCGGTGCTGGTGCTCAGTCTGGTGCTTGCACCAACGAGGGTGCATGGGCTTGCTCGGCGGATGGCGCTTCGTTCCAGCGATGCGCTTCCGGCCAGTGGAGCGCGGCCATCCCTATGGCCTCGGGCACTAAGTGCACTCCCGGCATCAGCAACACCTTCCAGATCGGCCGTGTCCGACGAGACCGCGTTCGCCGCGCTGCTCAGATTTAAATCGGACTGCTGAGACAGCTCCGAAATTTACCTAGCACATAACCTTTCATCTCAAGGCTAGGGGCACGGGATTACTTCAACTGTACATATTAGCATCTTGCTCTTCTTTTCTATTCACTTCTTTCTTCCTTCTCTCCGAGAGCGATTTTTTGTTCTCTTCCTTTTTGATAGAATCATGTACACTAGGTCCCGGCTAAAATGGGACGGGGTTTCGGCTGCATGATCAACCACGGATGGAGGCATTATAGCATTCGCTTGAGCAACGGGGATGAGGCTAAGGGGAGACGAGACCGCCTTAGCGACATCCTCGGATACTAGATAAATCATAAAATTTAAGATCTTGATGACCATTACCATTCTGGTTCCGTTTATTGTGACATGGCTTTGGTGTTTTTTAGGTGAGCAATTGTTATTATGAATAAATAATGTCTTGGGGCGAATAATAGGGGGATGTTACTTAGGTAAGTAAGATCCAACATGTCCATCCGCGGGCCATGCCCGCCAATGGCCTAATCTGCGGGCAATGTGTATAGGTAGCTTTACGATCGCGTATGTGTATTCCTAAGCAGTAGGTAGGATGTTAGCGCCCAGCGGATAAGGTGAGTCAAACCCATCATGTCTCATACTCTATTGGTAGGTAACTGAACATGTTGTGGGACCAATGTTCAATCTATTGGCGCATCGCATTATCAGATACCAATCTCGGATGTCTATGATGGTTACACGCAGAGGCCTTAGGAAGTCCTACACAGGCGAAGACTGATGGCGCATCTGGTGTTGTGGCATACAAGCCTTTCCAGATCAGCGACTATTTAGATGTGTTGTTCTATCGCATGCAAGTGAGTGAGTCCGTAACAACCTCTCCCCCTATTCGTAGAGATAGACGCCCAGCGGTTTTCTTATTTGTTATCCATGACATATACCGATTTGTATATAAATAGAGGTACTTACCTAGGTAGTCAGTAGCATTAGAAGATCCCTTTCCTTCCTTTTTGATTATCTTGGTTGCCAGAGTATCATAGTCCGATATTTCAAAATATCAGGACGTAGGTAATCCATAAGCTCATACTCGCGGCGAGCGAGATCGCGGTAACAGCAAAAGCTCTATGGTTGCTGGTGCTGATATGGACTGCGAGCCTCATGCTCGCGACTTACTTGATATTTGTTGTAGGGAGGCAGAGCTAGATGCCCGAACCGAGGTGTCTTGGATTGAGCTCGAGTCGCTTCGAGATAAGGCAGAAGCCTCCAAGACACTCGGTAGGCTAAGCTCCAGCGTTGCAATATGCGACATGTCGAGGTACATATATCTTCCTTACTACGGATACTACATCATATCATAGAGCATAGAGGGAACGGATATCGATTTTTAATGTTATGGATGGGGTTGGGGGCTATAATTGCGAGGTTATGAGTTGTCTAGGCTAGCCAGGTATGTAATCTTCTAGATGAATATATATCGAAATACAAAATAATACCCGAGTTTACGAGGGATATTGTCTGGCTCATCTCAATTTCTTAAACTGGAAGAATTTCTTAAGAAGGAAGTTCGTCCGTACGCAGCCTTTTGGAGCTTTTTATTAGATACATCCCCCAAATGTAAATACGTCTTATCAAATCCCCCTTTTTATATCTTTTTCTCGAAATACGTATTGTTTCGAACCTTTCTTCAAGGTATCTGGGCTTTTGTTTTCTTTTTTTTGGGTACCGAATCGAAGGCGAGGATAAAGGTAAGGGTATCGAGTACTTTTTTAGGGTGCCGAGCCGTGGGTAAAGGTGTTAAGGAGGAAGGTATTAAGGGTAGGTGCCGTTGTTAAAGATGCCGTTTTCGAGGATATCGACGTTTGTTGCCGCCTGCCCGCCAGCAGCGGCACGTAATTGACCTACGTCCAGCTACGACTTTCGTAAACTCGGGCTATTGTGGTGCCCCGCAGTGGGTGTCCTCATGTAGCATAGGATAATAGCGTTAGCCACGGGGTTCCTATAATTCAGGAGAGTTAAGTGTCAAGGCATATCCCCTATGCCTCCTAGAATACCCCGCGGTGACCTACCTATATACATACTTGACTCTCCCGAATAGTATGTACGATGCAAGTAAGGGGTAGAATACTTCAAACCTAAGACGGGGGGACGGCTGATGTATATGCAGCTTCTTTATTTGATTTGTTTCGATGGCCTCTGAATAGACCTCTTGGCACTTAATTCGCAACAAAACAAAATTTGGCTGGTCGCCCACTTGTCGGCCTACGAATTGGGCCACATATGCCGGCCTGTATATAAATAGGGGGCGAGTATCAGGGGCGTTGTGATACAGTATCAAACCAGCCTCATCATAATCTACGCCGCTAGAATGCTTTAGTAGCTGAAGTGTCACCCATACTTCTATTTCGACTCGCCCACTAACAGGAAGCAGAGTATACAATACTCCGGCTCAATTCACTAAGGTACCATAAGCTCCTATCTAGGTACACTGCTTTATATTGAAGTTCTTCAGCCATCGAATGAGGACGGGGTTAGATATGAAAATAGGCCCCAGGCCATAAAACGGGAGCGATGCTGTACTACACCAGAAAATGATGCCTCCCTTTGTCCTATATAATTCAGCTGTTTTCCACTTGGCGGTAAACAGAATATCCCATTCTTCCTATTTTACATATTTCATATTAGCTATACTATTATAGACCATTGTTTACGAAATTCGGCTATGTGCTTGTGTCTATGGGGTCCCTCGTGCTCGATCTACCTACACTTTTACCTCCATCTACGTCTATTTCTACCTCTACCTCTAGCAGTACCCAAATACCGAGCTCCTTGTCAACAACAGCAACAACAACAACAACCGAGTCAACACCTCCTTTTCCCCCTTTAACAACAACCTTCACGCCGCCGCCTGAATGCATGAGTTACATCTTACAGCACTGCGGGACAAATACTTGTAGCGTAACAGCCTGTATGTAATACTAGAAAGTCCATTTGTCCCCTTTGGCTTACCTAGAAGGATACCTAAGATGTTCTATTTGAGCTGATCAGGCTTCTAAGTGATGCATTCATGGAATTCTTAGAGGCTCAGACTACTAACTACCATTGGGGAAGGGGCTGAAATTTGGTGCGGTAATTTCGCCAGTAGAATTTCTTGCCTACCAAGTTATGATAGTTCGCACGGGGCAAAGTACACCTACTCTCCGGGGAAGATTTGTCCTTTAGGCATGACGACAGCAGCGAGCGCGGTTTCGCCTGATGGTGTGTGGTGTTGCCCTTCGTACGTAGAGTTTAAAGTACCTAGGAGTTCCCTCCGATCACACGCTGACGTTTCCTATGTTATTATAGAAATCTACCCTGGGCGGGGTCTTCTCCATGGTGTTCAACTACGTTGACCAAGGGTTCTTTCTATTCTGGCTTTTCTGGCTTCCGTTGCGATTCAGCAAACCAATACTCTAGCGTTACATTTGGTCCCGGCGCCACCCAAGTTCTTAGCGTTTTGAACTCAGCTTCGCAGGTTGACACGGTTATTGCGGACACCATTACAGTAGTAGCATCTGCGATAGGCGTTTTCCTTATGGGCCAAACGATGGCCATGGCTAATAGTACCGAGAGTGTGGCAATCCCCACATCAAGTGAAGTAAAACCCATTACAATCCCGACAGCCGGTGCTGAAGGAGGTAATAGTCCTTCAAGCACGTTGTCGAATAGCGTTCTTATAGGCGCTATTATAGGGTGCGTTGTAGGAGTTGGCATACTCGCCGGGATAGTCTATTTTATCTTATCGCGACGGCGGCGGCACCACAAAACGCAACAGGATGATCGATCTACGACAATAAACGGTGCACACCATGATCATAACCTATATGATGGCTATAGGAAAGCAGAACTAGACGCTTCAGTAGGGGCGACGCGGTCCGAGCTCGAAGGCACGTTGGTAATCAGCCACGGAGCAGGCATCCATATCCAGAAGCCAGAGCTAGAGGGTACGCAAAGAATGAGCGTCGCTAGGGGTGCCGTGTACATCAAACATAAGGCGGAGCTGGAGGCCTGGCCAAACCAAGTCGCGGAGCTGGAAGCTATTCCTTGCTCTGCATCGAGAAAGAACGAAGCATCGACATCTCCCACAACCAATATTCAAGACTGAGGTCGCTTTCATAGGGACTAAAAGCCTTCGAGACACAAACTAAACTGAACTCTGATCTTGTAGCATTACGACGTAACGAAGTCTATAAATGGTGGTTAGCATGTCTTCTTTGATATGAGTAATGATAATGTAATACGCACGAGATTGCCTATCGGTTGGAATATTAATTAACTAAATAAAAATTATAAGTTAACTGCGTGAGATATAACTATATTTTTAAGAAGTGTATGTTAGATTTTTCATCGAGTCTTGAATGGTCAAACGGCTCAACATATCGATTGATAATTTGATATATTGACATGAGACTCCAAGAATAACATGAATACGGATTAATAGGAGGTGTTTTACCGATATGATAACGAAATAACATTACACGCTAAGCCCAATCTATATACCTACACTATAACTTCGGTTTGACACAAAGAATCCGCCGAGGTTTAGCCCGAATTGACAAGGACCGTACCCCCTTGTCACAGGTCGAATTCAGGAGAGAGAAGGTACCTAATCTTTCTACAGCGCGATCCTTCCTTCACCTTCAACAACCTCCCATCATACCTCGTTTTCCACCCCGTCTTTTTCAATTAGAAACTTGCAGTCATTCCTTACGCTGCAGTCTCGTCACTCATTTCTCCCTACAGTCACTCATTAACTAGACAATCTCTGCGATAACTTACTCCCCCCCGATCGATTCGGTCCCCATCACCTCGGCGCGTGCGATTTAGAATCCGTGTTTCAGCTTCAAGTTTTTTTTCGCTAGATTCTCCCGACCCTTTATTTCAGTTCTTCTCGAGCGATTTTCGATACTGCATCCGCCAACATGCGTGCATTCTTCGCCATCTTTACTGCCGTCCTGGCCTTTTTCCAGGTTGCCGCTGCTCTTCCCCCGGCCTGTCTGTTGGCTGCTCTTGGGTACGTTGGTTCTGGTCCGACTTAGGAGTAATATATATATATATATATGTGCGGTTTATGGACGGGATAGTAGGACTGATTTTTATCGTGCTTGTATAGTGTTCAGGACAACCCATCCGATCTGAAGGCCGTCTGTGGTGATCTCCAGGATGCCATGCAGGGCAACTTGACCAGCAGCTGCCAGAAGGACACTCTCTCCGAGGCTTACAATGTCTACTCCTCCAAGTGCCTGGAGGAGGGTGTGACCGTCGCTAAGCTTTCTACTTCGACCTCTTCTGCTCACTCCAGCACCGCCACTGCTTCTTCCACCGGTGTCAAGTCCGTGTCTGCTTCTGCTACCCCGACCAGTGACGCGACTGTTACCTCTGGAGAAAGCGAATCCGGTAGCACTACGTGAGTATAATCCGATGCTATCTTTATCCTCGTATGTCTGCTAATTGTCGTTCTTGATTAGTGAATCCAGCAGCACCGCTAGCCCTACTGGCAATGCTGGCACGGCCACAGAGCCCAAGCCTTTCCTCTTCGCTGCCGCCGCGCTTTTGGCTACGGGATTGACCAGCGTTATCTTTTTGTAAACGACATACCGATGAAGTGGTGATGAGCAATAAGATATATTGTTTCTAGGAGGTGGTTGGTTTTGGATCGTCTCAAGCGCGTTATACCCCAATTCCCACGGGCTCAGGTGAACTAGTTAGACTCGCATGTTGGGTAGCAGACAGAAGCCCTGAAAAGGGTTCTCAATATCATCTGCCTAGCCTCGATTTAAATATAGATGGATATTTGTACTATACAATTGAGCGTTTATTTTATACGTCATCAAGCAATGTGTCAACTTCCAGTTCATCCAAGAGCTTCTCTTCTAGGATCCTTATTAACGCTTCTTCTCTAAGGAGGATAGCCTTGTTCTCCTCCCACTTCAGCCACGCCGCACCTTGCAAGAAACAATCAGTTAAGTCGTCGAGTTTTCGTGGACCGGCATCGCGAATCGAGTCCTCAGCATCGCTCGATTTCTTTCGAGAGCGAGTTAGCTTCGAACGGAACCACCTAACAGCGTCCTCTGCATCATGATTCGCAGGTAGGATAATCTCGCTTTTCCCTTTCATCGCTAACCAGCCCGTCAGAACGCCAATCTTATACTTCTTGCTGTTCTGCGGCGACTTGGCTGCCTTTCGGGTCTCTCCATCGACCGCTTTAGCGGACCGGCTCCTTCTCGTCTTTGGAGTCTCCTCGGACACGGTCGGCGGCGGAGGCCAGAATCGCGTGACCCTGTCGGGTAACACGGACACCACCTCGCCGTTCCAATGCCCTAGTTCCCGCAGCGTACGCAGCGACGCGTGGAGCATGGCCTCGAGCGTGTTGACGCGGAGCGTCCATTCCTGAACTGCTGCGGCGCCGCCGCTGCGCCATCGCTGCCGCTCGATGAGCACGTGCGTCGGTTGGAGAGGTAACAGGTCTTGACGCACCAGCCGGTCCGTCGCGATGGCGAGGGAGGCCGGGCTATAACGCTCGGGGTCCTCGAGTCCGTCCAACGACGGCTCTAGGAGCTCCCGCCGCTGCCACGCGTGGAGGTGGACACGCGGCGGTCGGCGCAAGTCGTCGGCAGTCAGAGCCGCAGGCGAGAGGACTTTGGACGGCGCGGCGGGGGCTATGAGGCTATAGCCTAGGTTGCGTATGCCCATGTCCATGCTCAGAATAAGTCGCGAGTCTTTGTTGGCCTTGTTGGGCGGTTTGGCCGGACGCGCTGCGTGACTCAAGGCGACGAGGCGGTCGACGAGGTCCGACTTTCTGCCCGAAGTCTTTTCGCCGCATAGGGAAGCGAGCTGTCTCAAGTGCGCACCCTTGAATTTGGGCAGGATCGCTTCTAGCTTCGATGACATGGTGGTTATAACTTATATATCTATCCCACGCGCATAGTGCAACCAGTAAGTACCTAGAGCAGCCCACCAATTTCTACTTCCCCTTTTTTACTGGCTACGGCGCCATGGGTAAGGGGAAGGGATGTGTATAATATAGGTAGGTTTGGCTAACAAATCGCCTCTTAAATCGCCTGGGAGGATAATAGGGTTGAAAATTGAAATTCGATGATTTAGGTATCTATCTGTCTCAAAAATACGTAGCCTTTGGAATATCAATTGGTTACGCTAACAGCTCGTGAAGTTTTCACAATTAGTACTTTTTACGTATAAACGGTCACGTGACCGATGATGTATGTACCAGACGAACGGTTTCTGTTATTCGGGGTCTAATTATAATCTTAGATGCATATCAGATTTCAGAGCAACGATGCAGTTATTGTAATTCGTTCGATATTAAATATGACCCGGTAAGTGGGACTTATCGAACCTATACATAGAATAGGTAGCTAGGTACCTGTTAACCTGAGAGAACCCATAGATGAATACCTATTCAAATTACAATATCAGCCAACAATATCAACTAATGTTAAGGAATACCATTGACTATGTTAAATGTTCACTTAGTCCTCCTGTTTGCTAAACGCATATGCATATTCGTGCACCCCAAATGCGATGACAGAGTCGTTTGCTTATTCTGCACACTGCCTATTTGGAATACCGGCTTGACCTTCATTGGATATATATGTTCTTATGTCAGAGTAGTAGTCATGTATGGCCTTTAAGTATGGGGGAGATTGTGCTACGCTTTGGAGCCTTTACAAGAATATATAAGGGGACGGATTATAAAATATGGGTCCCGCTATAGACTAGGTATGTACATAGGTAGAGAGTACGTACTAGGTATTCGAGGATTTGTCAAAGACCCTAGCACGGTAGCGCGGAACGGTGCATTTACATAAAAATAGGTGGTGCGGTGTATTGGAACCGGCCAGCCGAGCCGGTGCTTATTGATCACCGGCCGAGTTCCGAGATTTTAGTAACGAACCTACCTGTTTCTTCCTTCTTCTCTTAGTAATTCTTCAGCTTGTAAGTTGCCTATCTGGGATATTGCTGATTGGAAATTCGCCGTTAGAAATTCACTTTTTACTCCATCTCGCAAGATCTCCCATATAAGACGTCATTCGTTCCCCTCCACCCCCGCCATTCCTTTCGTTTTCCTTTTTTCTCCGTTGGAGTAAGCAGGCCAATGCAAGCAATTGCTTTATTTGGTCGGATATCGGCTGCTGCTACTGTGACCTTAACATCTCCCTCTGCTTTTGCTTTTGCTTCTAGGTCCAGGACGGCGACCTCGCGAATAGCTTCACTCTCTAGACACTTCTCGTCCACCCCTCACATCATGGCTCCCATATCTAAGGAGACTGACTTTCTGGTCATTGGCGGCGGAAGTGGCGGTCTTGGTTCTGCGCGCATGGCCAGCTCCAAGTTCGGTGCGAAAACCATGGTCGTCGAAGCCTCGCGCCTCGGTGGTACCTGTGTGAATGTCGGGTACTATAACCCCTTCTGTGTTACGAATGAGATTAAAAATAAAAATAAAATAGGAAAATAAAAGAATAACAGAAGAGGCTAATATTAATTTTGCAATAGCTGTGTACCTAAAAAGGTCACATATAATGCCGCCGTCCTCGCCGAAGCCATTCACGACTCTAAAGCTTACGGCTTCTCGGTTCAAGAAACGAAGCCGTTCGACTTCACCACGTTCAAGCATAAGCGAGACGCCTATATCAAGCGATTGAACGGCATCTACGAACGAAATCTCGTCAACGACAAGGTCGAATATGTGCACGGGTGGGCAAAGCTGTTAAACAAGAACGAGGTCGAGATAACACTAGACGACGGCACGAAAACCACTGTACGCGCCAATAAGATCCTCATAGCCGTAGGTGGCCAACCCGCGAAGCCGTCGTCATCCGATATTCCCGGCGCCGAGTACGGCACCGACAGCGATGGCTTCTTCGATATCGACGTGCTGCCTAAGAAGGTCGCCTTGGTAGGGGCGGGGTACATCGCCGTCGAATTTGCAGGAATGTTCAATGCCCTGGGTACTGAGACGCATCTGTTCATCCGGCACAAGACCTTCTTGCGCAAATTCGATCCTATGATCCAGGAGGGCGTTACCAGCGAATATGAGCGGCTCGGTGTACACATACACAAAGATTCCACCCAGACTAAGATCGAGAAGGACCCTAGCACCGGTAAGCTTACGATACACTACAAGGACAGCAACGGCGAGAGTAAGCTGGAGGATGTGGACCACTTGATCTGGGCTATCGGCCGTACCCCTATGACCAAGAACATCGGTCTGGAGGAGGCGGGCGTCAAGCTCGACGAGAACGGTTACATCGTCACCGACGAGTACCAGAACACCTCGGTAGACAACATCTTCGCGCTAGGCGACGTGTCCGGCCGAGTGGAACTAACCCCCGTCGCCATCGCGGCCGGCCGGCGACTCTCGGAGCGTCTCTACGGCGGCGAGCAATTCAAGGCGGCGCGCATCGACTACTCCAACATACCCTCCGTCGTCTTCGCCCACCCCGAAGTCGGCAGCATCGGGCTGACAGAGCCGCAAGCCGTAGACAAGTACGGCCGCGACAACCTGACCATCTACAAGACCAGCTTCACAGCCATGTACTACGCCATGATGGACCCCGAGGACAAGGCGCCCACCAAGTACAAGGTGATCTGCGCGGGGCCCGAGCAGAAGATCGTCGGCCTGCACATCATGGGCCTCGCCTCCGCCGAGATGCTGCAGGGCTTCGGCGTAGCCATCAAGATGGGCGCCACGAAGAAGGATCTCGACAGGTGCATTGCCATCCACCCTACCAGCGCCGAGGAGCTTGTTACGCTGAAGTAAGTAAATGGGTGGGTGTTGGGTGTTAGAATTTAAAAAGGACAACAACTACCTAGTTAGAAGAAAAAGAAAAGAAAAGAAAAAGGAGTCCCGATACCTCGTAGATAATGGATACATGACATATATAGAACCGGCCTAATAAATAAATCAATGCCAATTCATGACAGGAATACGTACCTAAGGTATTAGTGAGATGCGAGGCACAATTCTGGAGGACCAATTATACATAGAGTCATGCCAAAGATCGTGGGTTGTTGAATGAATATTGGAAAAGGGGCACATACTCGCTCGCTACTCGTTGCCTCCTACGGCAGGTTAGATATTACTAGAGTTGCGAATACCTGCTGCATTCATTGGCTTATTTCGTTCCTACCTACATAAATAGCTGCTTACCACGCGTACGAGTATAGTGTTAGTCGCTTGCTTACATATGTGGTTGGCATCAACAGTCCATACGCCTCTTTCGCCTTCCCCCTTTTCTACGCTGGCTTAGGAAGCTAGAAAGAGTAGGGGGATCACGCACGATGGAGCGAATATTTCATTCAGCAACAGTACCTACTCAACTCGTGATACCCTTTTTTCGAGTTCAAAGGAGCATATGCCATTATTCAAAGCACTAGCTACGATTAAAACTTTCCTAATCACACTAATTACACTTGTTATGCGAATTCAGAATATAGACACAAGGGACAGACAAGCAAAGCAACATGTAACCAGATTTTGATTGGTATTCAGGCATTATAATTTGACACATGGTCACATTATTGAGTAACGCCGGTTGCTCGACTCCATCGGGCTTTTCCGGGATAAAGATCATCATAACCACCAGTCCGTGTTCCTGTTTCCCCCTAACGCCAAACACGGTGAATTATAGTCCCTGCTCCGTGCTTTCGGCACGGCGCCTTTATACAACAGATTTAGACTAGACCAAAGCCTTTTTTTCTCGAGGGAAATTCGGCACGGAATCTCGCAATATATTCGTACCAGGTTACCAAGTAGGTAATCAATCTGGGACCCGAGTTTCGTGCCCGTATACTGTAGAACAGTATAACTAGAACGGCATGACAAGCATATCATCGGTATGAAACGACTCGCCTTGACTAGAATGCGGGCTTGTTTCCACCGTTAAGCCTATAAGAAGTTAGGGGACCCGAGCCTCCGCTGGGGCTCAACATGTTTGATAAGCCCTGGCGATCTTCCTGTGATGACGTAGTGGAAGAGAATGATGAGTTCATGGACGTCGAAGTACTATTCATCGTCGCAGAACGAGACATCGCCAATGCTCCCATGGATGATAATAATGCGTCGGCACGTTCGAAAACGTTTCCGTTAAACACGTTGGAAAGAGATGCGCTCTGGGGTGTCGATGGCACAGTTGCTTGTACAGCTGGTCCAAGAGCAGCGCTTTGGGGTGTCATAGGCATCTGTATTTGGCTGACCCCGGAACTAGACGAATAATGACTCGGCGAATAGTGGGTGGGCGCATCGCTGATATTGCTAGTGTGTCGGAGGAGGTATGCCCATGGGGAGGTCATGATGAGATGATTGGTCTCTTTTATGCTTATTTGAATAGGCCGGAGTCTAGTCCTGATATCTAACGGAAACGTTATTTGATCCATGGACGACTTCAGCCTACTCCCGAATTCGGCCCAAGAATCGATAAAACTTTTGCAGAGGCTCCAGAAGAGGGGGTCTGTCCTGACACCAGGCTCCTTTAGTTTGATAAGAGACAAGCGGTCCTTTAAGCGCTCTGTATCGGCGATAGAGATTGAACATTTGGCGACGAGACCCTTCCAGCAGCGTACTATGCGCTCTGGAGCTCGTTGATTTTCCGCGTTGCGCCTGTAAGCGAGAAATTGTTGGTTGATACCGGGGAGGATGCGCATAGCAAGATCTGATGATTTCTGCAACGACAAAAAGATCCTCTCAAACAATCGCTCGTCTGCGGTAAAGTCGGGGTACCGCATATCCCCATTCGAGGATGTGAACGATTCCCCGGACCGGGGTGTGGCAGATGTGATTTGTGCCATCCTGCCGGTACCATTTATGTAGGGAATCGACACGTCCGTTGCTACCCGAAGATTGCCATGGTTATGAGCTAGAACTCTAGGCCGCGGCGGTTGATTACCTATGCTTGGTCGGTCCATTGTGGGTGTTATGGAATTGTCTTGAGGACGAATCCTGACTGTATCTTGGATCCTCGTCTGCTGGTATCCCTGGCTAAACACAGGCGAGCTTGTGGCGGCGGAGATCTCGTTAGCGGTAATACGAAGTTCCATGATGCTGTGATACAGCAACATCACCATCGTGCGGATATAGCGCGGGTCCCCATTATCAACGATAGTATTCATATTGTTCATCAGGAGTGAACAAATATGACTGTAGGCATTAATTAAGGTTAGAACGGCCCTTTGGACATTCTCGTTCTCACGTGGCGTATAAGGGCCATTTTCCGTGGCAAATTCGTGTTTCTGGATCTCCTGTTCCAATTGCTCAATGTGGAAATTAGTGTTGTAGAAGACAATCTCGAGGCTTGACCGTTTAGTTGTGCCATCATTTGTGAGCCTTGTAAAGAGTTGTATGGTTGGATGAATCTGGAAGATTGCATAGAGAATACCCTTCGCAGATTCGATAATAGGATCGAAAATCCTTGATTCTCGCCTTTGTTCCGGTAAGACAGATAGACGCCTGACATAGTTTGGACGATGGAGCAGTGGTTCTGCTGGATTGTTTGGGCTGATCGTAGAAGTTCCATTGGGATTTAAGTGACCCGTCATGGATGAACCGTGGCTCAATCCTCGGTAATGGCTGAATCTGTTATTCGCCTGGCCTTCTTCCAAGGTTCCGAGCTCGGTCGGTTTTTTAGACACAATACCCATGCGCCTATTTCGGTCGGACGGTCGCTCTGCCCCCGGTGCCCGCAACAACGTTTCGCTGTTTGATCTTAACCGCTCATTGGGGTTGCCGATAGTGAGAGGCATAACTCCAGGCCTGCGGATAGCCGTGTTTTGCTGAGAGAGGCCTCGGGCATGTGATCGAGAAGGTATAGGTGGTGGTCGGAGTATGGCTGGGGATCTCATATCTGACACGTCGCTACCATTCACCCGAATGGGAAACCGCCCGCTGACCACTCTTCTGACGGGCATTCGAGGTGTTTCTATTCCGTCGCTGAGTTCATCTCCACCATTCTCGCCCTCTTTCTCTCTTGCATTCATAGTTTGCGCTTTTTGCTTTAGGAACTTTTTAACGTGTGCCGTAACGGCGAGCTCCGTTATTTCGCTCTTCTCCAGGAAACCCTCACTCGGAGGACTGCTAGCTTGAACCTGCAATACCTCCTTTGGCGGAAACCTGATATCGTTTCCGGCTAGCCGCAGCATCTGCAAAGAGACCATATCAGCTAAACAAAGCGGAAGCTCCTCTATCCGGTTCTTTTGCAAAGCCAGCACCTTAAGCGAGGACAACTTCGAAATTTCGGGTGGCAGAATTCGAATTTTGTTCCTCCCCATATCTAATATCTCAAGTGACTTGATGTCGCAGAGCTAGAACATTTGTGAGACAAGCGTTTACCCAATTAGAAAAGGAGATAATTACCGATAGAGGGAACTCTTTGATTTGGTTGGCCCTAAGGTTAAGATATCGCAAATGTGTACATTCCGAAAATCTGGCTGGTAGAGTCGATAACTTGTTATGCGAGAGTGCCAACCTGTGTAAGACCAGACATGTCAGCATTGCTACTATGCTACCCAGTTATGGATTCCAGACTAACCGCTCCAATTCATTCTTTATTATATCCACTACCTCATCTGGCAATGCCTGAATATTTCTTCTGCTGAGGTCGATGGTAACACCTGGTTTGAGTTCGGTACTAACACCACTCGCCTCGGCAGCCTGGGTCTCGTTTTCTTGTAAGGCACTGTTCATTGCTTCCCTAGCGAGGGCGATGACCTGGCCGGCAGACAGGGGGGCAGATGTAGACAGCATCGAGCTGGAGCTACTGCTGGCGGACACGTTGAATTGGTCGGGGATTGGAGGAGGCGGGGGGAGAGGCAATGCGGTCTTAGGAGGACCTCGTCTCATTCCGGGTGGTAGGTTTGTGGGTAAATTTCTCGAGGTCGACTGAGGCTGTATAACAGCAGCGGCCATGCCGCCTAAAGCAACATCCATAACAGATCTAAACGCCGAAGACTTGGAAGATGGGTTGGATTGGGCAGGATATTATTTCGATTGTGTAAAATCGTAATGTCGAGTGAGTGACTCGTGACAACTATTTTTCCCAATAGGTCTAGGTCTTTTAGAATGGAGACGGTGAACCGAACTGAGGAACTGAGATCATCGTAGTGTAATCCGAAGTTGATTTCGAAGATGAAACTGAACTGGAAGCAGAACCTAACAACCCAATACCTAGTTTCAAGTACGAAAGTGGCAGATTCATAGAGGGAGGTTTTGACGAGAACTGTTACACCAGTAGTGCTTGTGAAAGGGTTCGGAGTTGAAACAAGTCTAGTCGAAAGGGTCGAAAGGGTGAAGCACTGATGTCGTCGAAGAGTGCAGAAATTCCTATGCAGGCCCCCTGGTTCTTGAAGCTCTTTCAGGTGGTCATTAGGGGGGGCCAAGCGATGTGCGGCGCAAGGTAGACCAGACACAACCAGACACAAGGGATCGGGTCTTGGGCACTTAGTCTTAGTTGGAGGGAAGGGAAGGGGTTCTTTGTCCACTAGCGACGCCTAGAATAAGGGGATTAAACAGCGCCACGGCAGGCGTGAAGTCCTAAATAATAGTGGATGATTGCTGATTGCTGATGCCCAGTACATAGAGCGGTAGGGGCGTATGGGTATGGGATAACCTAAAAGGGAAGTTGGTGTAAACGAATCAGAGCCAAGTGGAGAAGGCGCTTGGGTTACCTATTCCCTGCTCGCGTCTTTTAGTCCCCGTTTACTCGTGAGAGAGGCTCGAGATGAGACTGCCAGCCGCCGCCTTTTGTCCTCTTCGCATTGTTGGGTGTGATGAATATTACAGAGGTAGGGGAAACCAAAATAGATTTGTTCTGCAAGATTTTTGAATTTTTAAAACCCCTCCCAGTCCACTATTGTTGATGGGAATTGGTGTGTAAGGTTAATGATTGAAATAATCTAGGTTAGGTAGGTACGGTACACAAACAAGTCCAATTTGTGCATATGTATATTGCATAATGTGTTCGGTCGTACCTTACAGCTGTGGCGTTATGTAGTAAGAGTGTGCCATTAGCTTCCGTGCACGTACCATATACTGCTATAAGACCCATTTATTTAAGTACCTGTTCCCACGCGACGGGTGGGGACCGACGCGATTACTATGGTATGATGGGTAAGTAAAACCCCTGTCACAAGTCGCGCGCTAAAGTATGGCCTATGTTGCTACTTCTTGACTTGTTATAGTTTAACGCATACTTATATGCGTACAGTAACAAATCTAGAAAAATTAACACTTATAGCACTTATAAGTCAAAACGCCAGATTTAAGCCTATTCAGAGATTATTTTCATATACATCTTATTTATAAAAAGCGTATAATGCGTTAACGTATTGATGATTCCTTTTTTAAATGTTGAATGTATCTTTAGAAAACCCTGGGCAAACTAATACTAATTTAGTATGGTAACCTACTTAACCTATTCCAGCGGTACCTGACAGTGTCGTTTTACTTATGCCTGATACCATAGTAGGAAGTCGCGATGGCCCACATAATAAGTAAAGATAGAACATTATATCAGAAATATCCCAGTTTCTACTTCCTACTTGAGGAAGCGCATCTAGATAGTTAGTACCAAATAGTGTTTGGCTTGTGCAATTGACTTTATCTTCTAAACTTAGCTCAAGTTGGAATCTAGGCACTTTCGACCATCTCAGTAAGATAACGCAGTCACCGATTTCTATTACCAAGCAGGATGCAAATGAATGGATCTCGTTCACGTAATACCCAGGTACTTTAGCTGCAGAGTAGCTGTAGCTATATGCATATGTATCTTGGAGTATACTTCATTAGGAAAGGCAAATACGTCACTTTCAACCTTTTGAAGGGTTTATAAGAGTCTATCATAACCATAACCCTGAGATACTCAAGAAAATTGTCAATAAACCTGATCCATATGGACAGCTAGGCGGCAGACTCAAAAATGCCCGCCCTAGTTAGGTCTAACTCCTTTATTTTCCCTGATCTCGACTTTACGTTGAGACGCCAGTTCAACAAGACTGGCTTTCGTCCATTCCAGCGAGAGATCATACAAGCTGCGTTGGATGGCAACGATGTCTTCGTTCAAGCAGCCACATCCTTCGGGAAGAGTCTATGCTTTCAGCTTCCTGCCGTGGTGGATCGAGGCAGTGAGTTTTTAACCTTTTCCTCCCTATTCTTATCATTCTATTCTTATTTCCTACCAATGCTAGCATTTTACTTACATTGAGACGTAGTTACTATTGTTGTATCGCCATTGCTGAGTCTCATGATGAACCAGGTGGAAGCTCTTCGAGCTGCCGATATCAATGCTAGCTCGTTGAATAGCAACACGCCTCCAGTAGAAAAGGACCGCATTATGAATGATCTCAAAACTGGCCACCCCCGAACCCGGTTACTCTATGTAACCCCAGAGCTTTGCGCCCAGGACCGTTTCCGGGACAGATTGAGGGTGGTTCACGAACAACGAGAACTTGCGCGTATCGCTATTGACGAGGCGCATTGCATCTCGGAATGGGGCCATGACTTCCGCAAGGATTTCAAGAGACTAGCATGGTTTCGAGAATCGTTTCCCGACGTCCCTATCATGTGTCTAACAGCAACGGCCAACAATCAGGTGCGCAATGATGTGCTCACTACCCTTAGATTGGACATGAACCCGGAAAGGCTGAAAACGTTCACAATGACTGCCCACCGGCCAAATCTCCACTTCGAGATTCGATTCACACGTGATGAAGATGATCAGCGTCTAGACGACTTCCTCGGATGGATCCGCGGCGTATATCGACGTAGAGCCGAGGATCCGCGAAAGAGTGAGCTTACCACCATCGGCGAGCGAGCCGATAATGTTCCTGGCATCATCTACACTATTTCACGGGATGAGTGTGAGAATCTTGCCTCGCAGCTCAGACAGGAAGGCATCGGTGCCCAACCATTTCATGCAAAACTGTCGAAAGAGACCAAGGAACGTGTTCTTGCTAAATGGGTATCGAACGAACCTGGGTATGACATAATCGTAGCTACGACCGCGTTCGGTATGGGTATTGACAAGAACAATGTCCGTTTTGTTGTTCATTGGAGGCTACCTAAATCCTTCGAGGGGTACTATCAAGAAGCTGGCCGGGCTGGACGTGACGGAAACGCGGCGTACTGCTTTCTCTATTACAGCCGTGAAGATAGGGATCGAGTCAGCAGCCTGATCGTGCGAGATCGCAATTCGGTTTCAAATTCCAATTTCGAGGCACGGGCCAGAAGCTTACAGGCTCTAGCCCAATACTGTGAGAGCACAAATGCTTGCCGCCATAAGCTCATCTGCAAATATTTCGGAGAAAATGACACTCCAGCGTGTGATTATGCGTGCGACTGGCATAAAGACAGCGCCGATCTTCAGCGGCGTTTCCTCAGGGGACTGGCAAGTGAGGAGTGGGTCAGTACGCAGAGAGAGGAAGGGGTGTATGAAGTAGATTGGGATGAGTGACCTATAAAGAATATTCGTTGGCGGAAAAGGTCCCGATTTGTAGTGTAACAGCTACGTCGATGAGCATGGATAGAAGCAAATCGGTATACTAATGCTGTTAGCACCTAAGTACGACCTAAGGCACCTTACGCATACCATGTTACATCCCTCCAATCGGCTGGATCGCGACCCCGCATAGTTTAACATCAACCCGCAGCTCTGAAGTAAAGCTCCTCCTTATCCAATTATACCAATATCCAATTATTTAGCACGACTTCTCTAGAGGATTGCAATTCTATGTTTTGCTACTGCCAAGATACAATACAATTGAATCTCCGAGGAGCACCGTTTCATAATGTCGGCCCCGAATTCATCAGTATATCCTCCGCATTCCAACCCCTCCTCCGTCCCCGGGGCTCCGGCCAATATATCGTCAACTCCAGCTCCGAATAATACGGCTGGGTCGTCTAATGCCGTGAGCGCGCCACTCCTCTCGCCATCTTCTCATTCTACCGCGCCACGTCTGCGACCATCTAACTCGGCCTCAGCATCTCGGAGCACTACAACACCCCCTACAACTATTACGGCATCCTCCGCCACCGGAGCTCAGCCCCGCGTCACCATGGATCTGAACCCAGCTCTGCCGTCTCGCACAACACAGCTGCACATTGACGAAGCACGTGCTGCCCTTGTAGCTTCCATGTCGAACATGCTAGACTCCGAACTGCAATCGCGCGCCTCGCTACTCCATTCAAATGCCGCGGCATTAACTAAGCAAGAGAAGGACGTAATAAAAGGAACCGAGGCGCTACGGAAAGAAAACGACAAGCTCGAGAAACTCGCGCGCGACACGGAGCGCAAGATCAAGGAGTTGGGCAACGTGCAAAATTGGGCCGAAGTCTTAGAGAGGGATTTTCTAATCCTAGAGGAGACGGCACGCCTAGTCAAAAATGGCAGCGGGAGCGATAGCTGCAGTGAGTGTAGCCGAAGTAGTTGGTCAGGGAGCTACAGCGCTGATGATAGTAGGGCGGGGAGCCGCCGAGGAAGTGTGACGGGCGACGCTGATGTCAATGGTAAGAAACCCGAAGAAATTGGATTAAATGGTCATACCGCCACAGATAGTGGTGTTAGAAGCGACGCCTTTTCTAGAAGGGGTGATGTACATGTCACCGTGGACAGGGAAGTCGCTGCGAGTATTAGTGAAGCTATGACTACGGCCCTACACGAGTCCCTGGACACTCTATCGCTGGATCCGGTCCCGTCCGACGCGCACGAGAGCTCGGTTAAAGGTAAGGAGCCAGCTACCGAGGGCAGTAGGACTGAGGTTGAGAATTCGCCTAGCAATGACCCCGAAACTGGACCCAGTGAGCTATCCCTACCATCTAGTAGGACACTATCAGAAAGTCGAGAGAGGGATGCAGCTAGGGATAAGAGCCCGAGTTCCCGAACAGTAATATGATATCGGCGTAAACTCCCAACCTTTCTTTGGGGAATTGGAATGTGGGTACGATACCGCAGTCGGGGCTTAAGGTCGAATAGGATCTTATAGTTGAGAAATAAATATACCACGGGTAAATATGGGTTACTTGAGGGAACATGTCATTCAATGAGTTAGGGACTCTGAAGGGGACTCCGTCTTCCATTAAGTAAAGCTTCACCCATGAGACAAGTGGATGTTTATATATAGTTGAGACGATCGACATTTAATATTACATTACTTATCTCAGTTGGTTAACTACGATTAATTACTTAAAGTTTGTTGCAGCCCTATCTATTCTCAAATATTTCTAACCATCCAAGTCTCGTTTATATCGTTCCCATGATTTCTTCCATCTCTAAGAGTACATCAACCAAGTCGCGCAAGGTTGGATATATCTCACTAATCGTTACATTCGTCACAGAGGGTCCAAAGCCTAACAAGCTTATAGGAGACCCGGGAGAATGACGCTGCGCTTCTTCTTGTACTTGTCGCCAAACTGCTTACGGTAGGCCTTCTCCTTGCCCCATGCCCAAGTATACATGAAATAGGAGCCGATGAAGATGAAAACTAGCAGGGACGGGCTGCGGGTAACCAGAATGATACCGATCCAAGCTATAATCTCGAACATGTAGTTGGGGCTAGTCACAAGGCTGAAGCCGTGGCCTCTAGGGATCTTCCTGGCTGTCTCGCCGGGCTTACGCAGGTGCGCCAGGTAGTAGTGGACGTCGAAGTTACCAATCTCGCCGATGAAATAGAGGGCGATTCCGAGGTAGGTAAGAGGAGTCGGGGCGTCAGGGGAAAGAGCAGCGGGCGAGAAGGGCGCGTAGATCTCGAGGGCGCCGAGGAGACCGGCGAAAGCCCAGTAGAAGAAGGAGTTGCGGAAGACGTAGGCGAAGGGCATGGTGTTGGCGGAGAACTTGTGCAGGAATAGGGTCTCGAGCTCGCGCTTGACGAAGTGCGCCGTTATCATGGCGAAGGCGGCCTTCTGCGCGAACGAGAGCTCCCCGTCGGTCCGGATGCCGTAGGGCAGATGGTTCTTGAGAAGAGGGTATACGGCTGGGTATACGTGGTTTCGCAGGCCGAGGAAGAGAGGGTGGAAGAGTAGGGGTCCGAGGTACTCGATCGCGTAGACCAGCCGCCAGCTGATCTGGGGACCTGTTTGTTTAATTCGGTCAGTACCAATTCTATACATACAGACCGGCACAGAAGAGGGGGGTCATTCATACCAAGGTCCTTGACGAGCAGTTCTCCATGCTTCACAACCTCAGACTGTTCCCGCAGCAGAGCTTTCCTATCCTTGAGGGTCTTCTTAGAGACAGGGTCGAAGATGCCGATGCGGTTGAAGTCCGAGACCCTGGCGGCGCGCGCGATAGCCTTCTTTGCGTCTTCGACGGTGGCATCTTCGGGCAGCTCGACGGAGGGGGGAAGGCCCTTGAGACCCTTCCGCGACCGGTTGGTGACTTTTAGCGATAAGCCTCCCATATTGTATTGTAACAGACGAACGACCGCGAAGCCAAATCGGGTTCAATTGAACTATTAGCAGAGACAGAATCTAACTCCTATAAGAAGGCGTTGGAGACCGGGTGGATTTAGTTAGGCCGGTGAGGAAGAAGGTGAAATCTATGTTATTTAGACTTTTTTGTGGGAAATTTGTTGAGTGGTTCCAGCTGCATTAGAGCTGAACGTGCACCGAGGCAATCATTGACGTCTTACACCGTACCTAATCCGTTTGTTATTTTAGGTGCTTTTTTTAGTTTTACTTTTTCAAGGGTTACGTGATAAGAGTATTACGATAAGAGCTACTTGCCGAGGCCGTATAAGGTTCCGTACTAGGTACAATGTTGATACCGGGATAATGGATGTGACGTCTTAATATTATGCAGTTATCAGCTAAAACTATAGTTCAGCCACAGACTTTACCAAGAGATATATGTATTTATCCATCATCGCCCCTCCAACTTGTGGTAAGACATCGACAACAGGACAGCTCCGACTCCGACTCCCGCCGTTGAGTTTAAAGTTTATTAACTTTTACAACCTTTTATAACCTTTATTAACCTTGACCAATGCCATTATTTCAATGCCGTCCAAGTCCTCGGGACTTAACACTCCCACAATCCCTATGAAAACATATTATATTCGAATATGCCGCCGCCCAATACTCCGGAAGAAGGGCTAGTAGCTACCACCGCAACCCTGGCTCTCCGACCTTTGATGGCTGGTGATCCTACCGCCACTACTCTAGATCTCCGAGCCCTCGAATACGAAGATAGCGTCGACGAGAACCTCATATGTCCCATATGTCGAGTCCCGTTTGTCTCTCCGGTTATTACCAACTGTGACCACGTCTTCTGCCATAAATGCATCGTCCAAGCCCACGCTCTAAACCCCGTCTGCCCCGTCGACCGACTTCCTTTAAAGCTGGTGTCCGAGACACGGCCCGCACCTAAGATCGTCCATAACCAGCTTGATAATCTATCCGTCAGGTGCCCGAATAGTTCCCGTGGCTGTACTCTCATAGTTTCTCGGTCGTTGGTCGAAAACCACGTTGCGCGGTATTGTGATAAGACGCTTGTACCATGCCCGCACCCGTCCTGCAATAAGTCGGTAATCCGAAAAGATATCGGGAAGGGATGTCTCCACTACGATGTAAAATGCGAGTACTGCGAGCAGGTAAGGCAGAAGGCGGATCTAGAAGAACACCAAGACACCGAATGTCCGAATCGGAAGACGGAATGTGCATTGTGTAATATCGAGTATGTACGGCACAAGCAGGAGGAACATTCAAAAGAATGCCCCGAAGCCCAAACCGGCTGCAAATTTGCCTTATTTGGCTGCGAGCAACTCTTCAAGCGCTGGCAGCTAGAGGAGCACGCATTGAAGTGCGCATATCGGGTTGTTGGGCCTGTAGGAGAGCAGCTGGCCGAACTTCGGGCTGAGCTTAACACTCTCCAGGAGAGAGATCGATTAAAAGATCGACGGATCAAGTTTCTCGAGAACCGAGGATTTCCGCTGCCGACACCGACCTCGCCAGAGCCCATGTCGGATATCAATTTACCAGAGGGCAGCTCAACCCACGAGGACAGCGCACCTTACGAGTCTCGAGATCAGTATTTCTTATCCCTATTCGAGGCTATGGAGTCCAAGGTTGAGCGCCTTTCTACCGCGCTCAACGAAGTCGAGGGACGACATTCGATGATGCTTTTCAATGAGAGCTCGCAGATCAAAGACCAGCTTACTGAGATTCGGAGCACCATGGGCGTGCTCGGGATGCATGTTAGGTGGCTCATGAACTTCAGATTGCAAGAGAGAGGCAGGGCCGGGTCATCCTCTCCGATCACGCCAAACTCATTCTCTAGCAACCAGGCGAATATTATTGACGACAATATATCCCGACGTATGATTGTTAACTTACGAGAGCATCCGCCTCGGTTATAGGCAACTTATATTGGTTCTTGTATGCTTAAGATGAACGAGTTCGGAGTCACCTGAATTACTTTACTGGTATCTAAAGACGTTGTCTTCTCTCTGCGGGATGGTTCGGGTAGTGTTTCAAGCCCAAGCAGAATGATATTTGGAGTTTTATGGTATCACCCGCGCAGTAATCTATTGGGATAATTCGTTCTCGATTGCTAGGACTTATATAAATTGTATGGGACAACAGGACGTACTAGCAAAAAAAAAACAATCATACGCTTAATTGTCTACCTCTTCATCTTCTTGTCTTCCCGTCATGTCCACGTCAACATGCCTCTTTTATGAGGGTGTCGTATGAACGGATATATCATTGAGGAGTCCCTGTATAAAATACTTTACTTCGCCAGAGACAGCCCAGTACTAGTAGTCTCCCGCAGGAAGGCGAAGGGATCGCACTCCCATTAGGAAACTTCTCAGAAGAAAGAAGCCGGCTCCCAGGGGGCCAAGGGTAGCGAAAACGAAGACTAGGAATAACGTAACGTCGTAAACGCATAGGCCGAGCAAGATAACGACGTTAAGAAGACAGAAGAGAAACGACCAGGTTCCGTTAAGAAGGATGTTGAAGATGGTACTAGAGAGGGCCGTTATGATGGCTACCTAGGGAGATTTGAAGGATGACCTTGACGAGGGAGGTGAATGTTACTACGATAAAGGTGAAGGTTAGGATTGTTGAGATGGGTTTCGAGGGAGACATAATCCCGTCGGCGGTGAAAGATTGTTGTCAAAGGGTTTTGTCCTCGTTGAATTAACTAACGCCGAACCAAACTTTCTTGGACTGTGGTGTTGTACCTTTAGGCAGTCTGACCAAGTAAGAAGGATGAGCTGATGTATTGGTTTTCGTAGCATGAAGATATATTAGGTATTTATGAGACTAGTCACCTCTTTTGACTTTTATATTCACTCGTGAGGATGTGCTCTATTATTGAGTTGTACTTGGTTCAACGGCAGTCGAATCGTTGTTGCAAACGCCCTCTTTAGCAAACATGGCGGGTGTTACATATTGACTCAGAGAGTGAACCTATATGTATTTCCACCATACGTACGATCTAGTCTTAGGATGAAAAGTGCTTTGCTTCTGATTTTTCTCGTCAAGGCTTAACGTTGCCCAGGTCACTGCTAATAGGCCAGCCTGATATATATACTAATTATTTGCAATCGGATTATACCCTGAGGTTCTGAATCCCACATAGGTATATATCATATCTCTGCGGATATATTATATTGTTTATTATTTATAGAGAAAGACGTTCAGAGTCATAAAATTTATATAGAATCACTTCTAGCCGCTCTTCAGAAAGTCGAGAAAGTAGCCACATCCACCCCAGCCTAAACACCAGTAACAGTTGTTTCTTCCACTTTTAATCGTTCCCTGAACTCTGCCTCTTCTATTTTTGATATTCTAACTAAGTCCGATTGATCATACATCCTATGAGTGCCATCTCTCCCCGGCCATTCGGTCCGAGGCGGCACCTTTCCAACAAAATCTGGATGATCTCGGTCGAAGAATGGGCGAAGAAGCGGTCCAAACCGGGCTTGTAACTCTGAACGATGATGCGCGTTGGTGAGAACACCTAGTTCTAGGATATAGTCTATAACAGGTTGCAAGACATGGCTTTGATCCGGGAACCAAATCGAAACCAAGGTTCTTAAGTCAATAACATCACCGTAGTTGCCGATAATTCTAAATAGTTGTGGGGATGCTATGAGTGCCCTGGTTGATAGTATTGTCGTTCGCATATTCTCTACTTCGTTTCCTGGCTGTATCGACGGACATTCTGATTTAAAATGTACCTTTAAACGATAGCAGCTCGGGTCGATCTCCAATTTATATATATCTCTCCTTATCACAATAGCAAACCTTGGGTTTACACCGTGATAGAGCATGAACGCGATGATAGCGAAACTTGGTGTATATCCAGTACACCAAAGTGCAAGAAGCTGGTGAAACTCGGGTCCATTGAAACGTCCCAACTTAGAATCGGGAGAAGCACCTCGGTCAAAGAAGGTCTGAAGTGGTCCAATAAAGTTGAATGGTTCGTCCCTGTTCAAATGGTGGCTCCGTCCAATATCATACAGACACGAGGAAGCACATAAGTCTACCAGTTTAGAGTCTACATCTTTCCCTAAAGGAAGGTGTTCGTGGGCTCCAACTAGTATGCAAATTATAATGATGACATTTTCGGGACGTACTTCAATTAGCCTCCTAAAATAATACATGTGAAGTATACACGGGCGGGTTTCCAAGTTAGCCACCGTGCGATAGGTGCCGTCTAAGAACTGGTTGAAACGCGGACGGGCCCAGTGTCGATCGTGATAGTCCCGTTGGGAAATAATCCGCAGGATATCTTGTTTGAATGTCGGGTGGGATGGGTAAGCGAAGATATTATATGCATCATCCTTGAAATCATAGCCCCAGGGGTATCGGTTATTAAGAGAAGATGCCCTAGGAGAGAAATAGGACATAGGGAGACGGACACGCTTAAGCTGGCCCAGATATGTCTGGCAAAGTGCGTCAAAGGGATCAAACCCAGGTAATTCGAAGTCTACTCTCGGCTTAAAATGTTGGCTTTCTAGGAACTCTGTGATAGACCGATGTATAAGGCGGACCACACCTCCGAGCATATTCGGATATGTAGTCTCAGCGGGAGGCTCGCGTAGTTCGAGAAATCCTTTGCACACACCATATACCCGCCTTTCGCTTCTTTCCAATCTTTCTCTAAGCTCCGAAGCCGTGAATAGTCTAATAGGCCAGTCTATTGCAAAGTTCTGGTTCTCGATATATTCCCCCAGGAACGAGTATTGCATTAGGCACATTTGGTTTCCATGTGTAGTGGCGAAGTGAGCCAGGGAGAGCATGCTATATGCTAGTTTTCGGTTATTGGCAGGAATCGAATCCAAGAGTTGTTTAAGCACTGAGATGAGAGTGTTAGTATCTGCCACCATGGTAATAATAGTAATGGAATCGTGTTTTATGAAGCCAGTACTTACTAGGCTCAAGGTCAGTGGGAAGCGACTCGATGAGTCTCATTAGATCTTGTATTCGGTCGCCATTTGCAATTCCGTTTTCGATATGTCGAAGAACAAGCGATACCCATAGGAAGACGCCTTCCGACCCCTCAACAATGCTGTCTTCCAAGGCCATGATCTTGTACGTGTTCGATGGTTCATCGCCATCATTAAAGATGTCACCACTTCTCACCAGGACATCAATATTCATCTCGCACAATCTATCTCTGACGAACCGCTGGATATCATACCGTGTAAGGTCGTGCAGTCGGATTCTAGGATAATTCTCAAATGCATCTTGAAATATCGGCCATTCCCGGCTTGAGATACAGAGCTTCACATTCTGTGTTCCATTGGTCCACCTAACTAGTTGTCTGGCCAAATCTGCATGGTGCCCTTCGAACTCGTCAAGGCCGTCTATAAAAAACACAAACTTATGCTGTCCATAAGCCTGTTTTTCTATGAGCCTCTCGAATGCTTGCCGGCATTCATGATGTTCAATGTAAACATTTTGTCTTTGCATTGATTCTTTCCACTGCTCTGGAAACGCGAGGTGTATAAGTTCAGGGCATTCTGAGAGGAGGCAATGTAGTAACCCTCGAATCAAGCCATTGGTATTTTTCTGCAGATCAGATCCCGGCTTCCAAAAAAAGAATTTACCCAACACAAGCTTCTTCCCGTCCGCCCAGATTTCTAGGTAATCCATTGTTTTGCGATGTCGAACAAGGTGCTTCATTAGTGTCGATTTCCCAGAACCTGGCTTGCCCGAGATGTAAAATATTCCTGTGCCTTTTCTGAGCCAAGCAATAAAGCTATCCCGAGCTTCAGCCATGGCTTGCCATTTCGATTCAGGTATATCTGCTACTCTAGAAATAGCGCGTGGTACTGGTGCTGAGGCATACCAAAGTCTATCTAAAGGTTTAACGGAGTTTTCACTTTCTGCCATGGACGACGCATCGTCTAGGATCCATTTCAAGCTCGAACTATCACTTAGTTGTTCTTCTAGACTGTGAGTAACAGAGAAAGAATCATGGACCCTCTCTTGGGTATTATCTACCGGTCCTGTGGCACTAATGTCGAAAATCCAGTCGAATGTTTTCTCATAAGCTTCTTCGATATCTTCGAACCTTTCATTCATCAATTGAAAACGTAGTGAGTCTAGAACCCGGGCCTGGCGTGTCTTCAAGATAGCCTCATCGCTTAATTGAACTAATGACCGGACTTGACCCAGTGCTTCGGTACTGAGGCAAGAGACGTTGGTACCTTGACGCAGAGATTCGATGTTCCTACTAAGCGACCGTAACTCATCTTGACTAGCTTTGCCACTTGTGATAAGCCGATCGAGGAGTTCTAGTGAGTCGGATCTACATACATTATATCGGTCAGAAATATCTAAGATGTTTGTTGAAGGTTCTTCTTACTTTATAGAGCTGAGGAGTTCCAGCCCTAGCTGCTGTTTACAACGATCCAATCTCTTTTCCAATTCAGACTTCTGGTCACTCTTCCGCCAGTTGCGTACTGCAGCTTTCAATGCATGTCGTCGAGAATCTGGGGTTTTGGTCTTCAGCTTATCGAGCAACTTCATAAGTTCCTCCGACGCATTTTCGCACTCGGCAGCGATGCCATAAAGAGCGTTATTCTGCTGTGAAGAAGAACCAATATGCTTAGCCCCTTTCAACTTGGCAGTGAGCTGTTGGAGACGTCCCGTCATAGAAGATAAATCTTCGTTGTCCGCACTGGCGCCTGACTTTGACTCGTATATGTTATTGGCTGCGGAAATGAGTTTGAACCCAAAGTCTACAAAAGTGATAATATTGCCTGCGAAGCCGATTGCCGCGAATGGGTCCATGTCGCCAACGAACTTAGTGTGACAGATGCGAGTAGATAATAAGGTTATTGAAGACTGATGTGAATGGGGGTGTGGAAAGTTAAAATTGAACTGGACAGAACGGGGTAACTACCTACCTATACTCAAGTCTCAAGCACAGCCTCAGAGCCTACTTCGCTGTCACAGCCACTGTATCGCCGAGCGAATCGTTACTATCTTATAGTGTGTTACAACAAACCCGTTATTGGATATCTACATATGTAGGTATTCGCTACGACAACCCCAGTAGTCTGCCTACAGGTAATATAGGTACACAACAGCGGAACAAACTATGTAGAGCTATCTTGAAAAGACATTGATTTCAATGTAATAGTCTTACATTGGCTCGTAGGATATAAACCTGTATACCCCCTTTCCAGCTCTCCCAATAATCACAGACCAGGCACAAACCCTTCAACCCGCACATCCCAGCCCTCGGGAAAGTGCGTCCCAGGCTCGCCATCCCACCCCCCTGCCATCATAGCCATAGCCAACAAGAACGAACTCGCCCCCGGGAAATAGGGGGTCGGCACCCGCGATCCTCCAACGGGATACCCCGCATCGTCGAATTCGAAAAGGGGGTGGAGTAGATATGCCACAGCCTGGTCGATGTCCCCGAGGCGAAGAGAGTTCACTACGTTGGTTTAAATAAGCGCCTATATAGGAGATAATATAAGGGGGGCTAGCTTAATGTAACTTACTAGCCAGCATCGGAAAATCCCAACCCCAGCAGTCCTCCAAGTCCCAGAGATCCCGAATCTTATCTGCCGTGTTCTTCACGACCGTCATGTTTAGAGGCGGCCCGCTGCTCGGCGGGGGGAGCAGGCCGAAGATTGCGGACAATGCCGGGTGGTCTTGGACGGTGGTGCCGTTCCACATGTTCGGAATACCCTCGTACACGGCGAATGCGTCGTCTGCGATGGGTAACGGCGCTAGATTGTTTCGTATGTCGACCCATTTACGAGGTGCTGTTTGATTTTGTCTCTGCTTCCACCTGATACCGACGTCCAAGCCGAAGCGCCAGTAGGCCAGCTCGAATGTAGGGTTGATCGTCGCGTTGGGGTTGGTGTTTTCCGAGGCCGGGTACATAGGCGGTCCTAGATCGCAGAGGGCAGTTGATTCGTTGAAGAAGGCGTATGATGCCATGAAGTCAGCGGTAGCGGTAAGAATCCTGTCCCAGGATTTTAATGTTGCCTCGTTAGGGAAAGACCTGTACTCGATCTCGGCGAAGTACATCGGATGAGGCTGCTGCCAGATGAGCAGCGAGTTGATTTCTCCGGGGGCTGACCTTCCAGTAGGGTCGGTCATCTTACCCCAGCGGGCACCTTGGTAGTGTTGGAGTGTCGCTCGCTCGATTGATGAATCCAAGTATTCGGAATACACGCTCGGAAGGCTGCGCCATAGCAATGGAAATTGATTCCATCGAGCGAAGTGGAGCAGATGCCACAGTACCATCTCAAGCTGTCCAGGAGAGTCAGGATTTGATACGTCCAGGTCGATCTCTACGTAGGTTGCAATGGCTTATAAGACTTACATGAAACTTGCCATACCATCCGTTATTTACCAAGCCTTAAATAATCAGTACAAAAGAGTCATTATCTACTAGTGAGGGGGCGTAAAAAGACAGTTGTGCTTCTCTTACCAGATTCTATCCCAGAGTTAGCGAAAGTAATGCTTCGACTTGAGATACTTACCCTGTGGTGGATACGAGGAAGCTGAGTTGACAGCCGTAAGATATTGAGATAATATTGTTCTCCGTTGTAGCTCTGTGGCATTTGGAGACTCAACCCCCGTCAAATCAATAAAAGCACCAGAGCTCCAGAAAGACTCCCACCAAGACGTAGATGCAGACGTAACATCCCTAAAAGACGGTATATGCGTGCTCGAAGCCAGAGAGAATGCTACAGACAACTCAATCCTCTTAGTTTCCCGTGATGGATGTAGTATATAACGATGAGTCCCTTCGATAGGCCCTGAAATTTCAGCAGAAGAATCCCACGAGATCGAAACATAGTACGAGGCGTCGTCGATATCGTGCCGAATAGTTGCAGTACTTTCTCCGCGCTGTAGTGTGGTAGTGTGGTTATTCGTAGCGTCGAAAACGCCGACAAAGGGGGCGTCAAATTTGTTCCGCGCCGGCAGAGGAAAGTCGAAGAATATGCCTAGAGATTCTGTACAGAAGAGCTCCGACTCTATGGAAATGCTAACTGCGTCGGAACTTGTATCTGCCCATGTTTCGACCTCAACAGGAGCCTTGTTATAAGTGAAAGAAGAAGATATTTTCCCCGTCCAGAGGTCGAGTATCTGAGACTTGTCTTCTAGTAGTTCCTCGGTCACATTATCTTCATCGAACCAGAGCCCAAAAGTCCCCAAGTTGACACGTTGGGGATTTTGGATTAGCCAGTTGGATATTTCGTTCTGTGCTGGGTTGGGCTGGTTGTAGTTGACTAGTCGACCATGGGTATACCAGTCCACGCCAGTGAAGTCTGGAATACGTTAGAGTAGAGTTTTCGTCTTGGAATTGACTTGATACTTACCATCTATTGAAGTCTGACCACCGGTGGTTGGAAGACTAAAATTATGCCAACCCCAAGTAGACATTGTCGCGAAGGGGCTGAAAGTCTGAAGACCCGTGACGTCTGCCCCAAACGCGAAGTTGCCGTTGCCAACTTGCAACGGGGTAGTCTTAGAGCTAGCATTGCGATGAGGATTAAACGATCGAACGACTTTACGTCTGTCAATCTCACAAGTAGCTGAGAGGCCCTGGAGGGCTACCAGTAAGAGTGTAAAGATCTGTCTTAACATTGCTACGATGCAAGACGAGAATTACACTCGCGGGAAGGTATTAATTGTCATAGAAACAAGAGTCTATACATACCTACTTATACTTATAGATGTACCCATCATACCATACCACCCTATCACTAAGTATAGTACAAAAATCATATCATAGCACACCAATAACACCGTACCAAGGCTCGACAAGAGCTCTACTGCAACCACTGGTGGAGACTCCAATTACCCGGATCTCTCTAAAACCTGGAGAAGCATGAGGGATTCCCATTTGCGGGGTCTAGCTTGACTTAGGTCGTTCTCGTGGGTTTTCGGTGAGTTGATAGCCCGACGGCAGACTGTCGTATACATGAGCGAGAGAAATGGATAGGCAAGTGTCAAAATGCTCTTGGCCTTTACTGGTTAGAGAGCAGAGTTACAATTTTGTAATATGAGGTAGACTTTGAAGGGTACGATATCACTAATTGCAGATGGCCAACCAACGTATTGACATTTCTGAAATAAGAAATATGGTGTAGGATGCCGAATTGACGTACTAGACGCCCCTCCTTTTTTGCTGCAGTAGTAATTTAAAGAATCCTGACATCAATTGTAATGGAATTTAAAAGCTTAACTTTAGATGAGGTCAGAAGATGAAGAAGCAGGAAAGCGTTTACATAGGTTAGGTACCTACCCAGGAAAGCGGGCAGCAGCAGGGAACCCCTGCATCAGATCGATGTGGAGGGAACTTGGAAGCACCCGCCGGCATTTACGAGGTCCGTGCACATCATAGCAACCAAGCAAAACATCCCAATTCATTTTACATACATACTCCATACATACATCCATATATCAATCGTCGGACACACTTAACTGTTACAACAGACAAACACACATACAATTAATCACTCAACAACCAGCTGCCGTGCTCCTACTCACAGCCAGTCACCGTACTACGCTGCGCTTCGAACCAAGCACTCACTTGTAAACTTCATATACATAGCAAGGTAAGTCCACCACGCTTGTTTACCAGGTCCCCCCTCGTGTACCTATCTATCTACCGCACAACCGAAATCGAGCCCCGCTAACACCAACGTAATGGCGCAGTCGGTAGAGCAGCCGAGCTCGAATAATTCCCCCCTGCGAATTATCGGGGAGAAGATGACTTCCTTCGTCACCACCGTGTAAGTCGATGCCGAAACAAATTACCTACTTAATATATAATCTATCTACATCTATCTATATACCTACCTACCTACCTAACCTATATAAACATACATACATATATACATACATCAGCCCTATTCCTACCTACTAACCAAACCCGCCCCAAAACGCAGAAACCAGCGCGCGCGCAACCAATTCCGCGCCCGCGGCGGCAAGGGCGGCAACACGAGCTACCAGCTGCGCCAGTACGCCGAAGCGACCCTCGGCGGCGGCAGCCTGCGCAAGGTGGTCAAGCTGCCCGAGGGCGAGGACGAGAACGAGTGGCTGGCCGTCAACATGGTGGACTTCTACAACCAGGTGAACCTGCTGTACGGCGCCATCACCGAGTTCTGCTCCCCGCTGTCCTGCCCCGAGATGAAGGCCACCGACGAGTTCGAGTACCTGTGGCAGGACGGCGACGCCTACAAGCGCCCCACCAAGATGGCCGCCCCCGACTACATCGAGCAGCTCATGTCCTGGGTCCAGGCCTCCATCGACAACGAGTCCGTCCTCCCCTCCCGCATCGGCGTCCCCTTCCCCAAGTCCTTCCCCGCCCTCGTCCGCCAGATCTTCAAGCGCATGTACCGCGTCTACGCCCACATCTACTGCCACCACTACCCCGTCATCCGCGAGCTCGGCCTCGAGCCTCACCTCAACACCTCCTTCAAGCAGTACGTCCTCTTCATCGACGAGCATAACCTCGCTACCGGCAAGGACTTCTGGGGACCCCTCGGTGACCTCGTCGAGAGCATGCTGCGTAGTGATTGATTGATTGATTGAGTTGGTTCCAAGCCTCGGAGAGTTCTAGGGGGGGGGAAGGGGGGGTAATGATTGATGGGTAGGTAGATACGTCGATGATGATACCTGCGCCAAGGTAGAATAGTCATGCTGCATCTTTTTAAGGCTCGGCGTTTAGGGGGAAACATCAGACTACAACGTTGCTTTGCTAAGGATAGATTAAAGGGTAATTCGCTGCTCGCAGCAAAGGCTGTGATACCATCACATGGAACGACTAGCATTCGGCCGTTGCACATGTATACTATTGGCTGTGAGTTGTATCGGAGTTACGCGTGGCAGGGGTTGTCCGGCTGGGGGATCGTATCATTTTTGATTCCGTCGTGGCATGGATAACGTGCATTTATTGATTTACACATGCTAAAAACACATGCTAAAATGGTTCTGTGCGCCCCCTTGGCAATAATGTGCTATTCCAGTCATAGTTCCCGGGACTTGCTGTAAGATTTGCCCGCCAAATATGTTACCTAGCTGTCCCCTTTTCAGGTTGCCGTGCTAATCCAGGGTGTTACATGACCCTTACCGACGCCACATCGACTATGTATGTTTTATCGTACTGAAAGATGGTACAATGGCTAATTAACCCGTCACGAGCAACCTAGTCTTCCTTGAGAGCGTTGATTCGCTTTTTGAAAAATTCAAACGCTGAGAAGAAGACTGCATTGACGGCCGCAGATCGGCCCATAGACACGCCAAGTCCACGATACATATCTCGTCTGAAAAACTGTATCTTCGGGACGGGCACTTTCTGGCCCTTGGAATACATCAGTGCATTTCGCTGGTAGATGCTTTTGACGGAATCGATGGGATCTAGAAAAGAGTTAGCTTGAAATTGTCAAACTGACGTAGAGGGCACCAACAAATCAAAGCCCACGATACTATGCCGCACAGAGCTCCAGCGGCGAGGACGGCAATGGGATTCTTGTGAGCATCCTTCCCGCTGAAGGTCGTTAACAGCTGCTTGCTGCTTTCATACGTGGCAAAATAGATTCCCGTTCCGAGGGTATCTCTCACTATAGCTGTGTTAGCTAGTAATGAAGATTATTCTCTGATGGGAACCATCTTACACAAATGTAGGTTTAATCCGGTGTACATTCCGCTAAAGCCTCTATGCTTGACTATGTTGGCAAGAGTCTTGAAAGTTCCTTTATTATGATAACTGAGAGCAATGGCTTGCCGCTGCGGATCTGCGTTCTTCTGCTTCGCCATAAGAACCGACACTTGGGCGCTGAGTTTAGTTAACTCGAAAGGACCTGATTTTGCGTCCGTCAGTTTCTAGTTCGAGTCGCGTCTCTAGAGTTACCGGGTTGTCTTACATGCAATAAAAGTGATGCCAGAACCAGCTGTGGCTCCGGCAGCCCCGAAACAAGCAATGGTACCCAAATTCGGGTATGTGCCATTCTTATTGACGTGTTCGAGAGGACAGAAGCCGACGTGCTTCTTCATCCAGTCGGAATAAACGTGTTTAGAGCGTTGGTAGATGGAGAAAGAAATGGTTCGTACAAGAGTAACACTGGCTAAGGGAGCAGTTACACCTACATGGCAGCGTGGCGTTAGCTATATCGTCGTCGGCGGAAGGACGACTACGAGCTTCGTGGTACGCCCGGTCTCGAGTCACATACCTCGAAAGAAACCTCGAACACCCTCCGAATTGTACGTGACGCGTACACAGTCCAAAGCACCGGCATAGGGGTACGTCTGCAAACGAGTCTTTACGCTATCAAGAGGAAAAGCAGCGACAGTCGACATAACACTGGAGATGCTCGCAGCCGTCTCCGTTCGGTAACGTTTTATCCACCTCCGTGGTTTCTCACTTCCGCCACTGAGCTGAGGCATGGTCCGAGTCCGGATCGTGGAGCTGGTGACATCTTGGAAATTGGACTCAGCTGGCATGGCTCACTTGTTTAGCAGCAGAAGCTGTATTGCGGGGGAAGCTTCAGACAATGGCCTCGTAATGAGGGCCAGAGTCATCGGCGTGGTCGCGATACACTAGCGTCTCCTGCTAGCAAGAGATATGCCATCAAGATCCCGAACTACGAGGACTCGATGGGGGTTTCGGGATGCGGGGTCGAAAAGAGTCGATCGCAGAGGAAAGGGAGAAAGGTATGGTTTTTGGTTTTTTTTAAAGTTGTTGTAGTCTAAAGACGAATGCTAAAGACAAATGCTAAAATATTGTAGAAGTATTGTATTTCATCTACGCACAACACGGAGATAATGTGTAGGTATAGAAGTATAGAAGTAGAGCTGATTGCCGTCTACGTACCGCAAACAGGCCAATTGAACTTGAGGAAGCTAAGATTTGTCCAAAGTCTGCTTTTCTGCGGGGTTTGCGCGAGGATACAAAGCAAAGGATGATATTGGACCCCGGAAGTTGACGTACGTAGTTGTAGATTATATGGATAGGATTGAGAAGCTGGGCGGGCGGGAACAAGAAGTTGAAATGGAGGCTAGGGCCTGGGGGGAAAAGAGGGTAGGGGCTATGTACAACTACAAGGTACTTCCTATGACCCCACACATGCTTCCAGTGATGAGGGATGCTACGGATGATGTGTGGGTACTTAGGTACGTAACTTAAATACTAAAACAAGCTAGTCCAGTAAAAGAAGGGCTAGAGGAGGGGAAATCGACTGAGGTTGGACGGTTGTTGAATGAAGTCACCAGTTAGAAGAATACCTAGGTTAGGTACGATAGTGGTTCAACATTATGATGCTTGGAATGTTTGGAGTACCTGCAATTCTCCACTAATCCATTAAATCAGTCACTGACTGACTGACTGACTACATGCACTATGCACTAAATGTACAACCGCCCGTATGTAAATGTGTAACACGCACTGCCAATGACGATCTTCTTCATGCCTATGTACAGCTCTTTGTCTTATCCGTACGAATTCGGTTGATCGCCCGCTATGGCCTCGACTACCTTTTACCCCGATACGCCTCCTCCTCTCTTAGGCGACCGTCCTATGCAGGTTCGAAATAGCTGATAGATGGTTGGTCGACGAAGCGGGAAAGTTGGAGTTGATCACCTTAACGAATGCGAAAGATCCAAGCCCATATCCTCCACCGGGATAGCATACTATTTAACCAGCGTTTCAAGCCAATTGTCTCAAGCATAGAAAGCCATTGTATTTAAGCTCGGAAATTCCGCGGTGCGTTTCGTTGCCCGTTCACTAAGTATATCCGCGTGATGAGGACCCTGACTCAGGCCCTTGAATTCGGGGCACTTAAGCTTCTGCATGCAACCCATCGAAGCTTGCTCCTAAATTGACTACAGCCCACGTTTTCGTGCAGGCCGGACGCTCTTCGTGAGGGGCGCATATCAAATACGACATGCTTATTATTTGGATTGGCGCGGAGGCCTCATGTCCATTTTGGAGTCAAGTGTGAGCGTCAGAGCGTAAGAGCGTCAGAACATCGCCGGCTAGATTCAGTACAAGGCCAATTGGGGAGACTAGCAGGACATAAATATCTGCCGATGGCCTTGGGTAATGGAATGAAACCGAACGTGGCAGTATGCACTGACTACACATAGAACTTAAAAACTTAGTGACGACGCAACGAGGCTAGAAAGTGTATATGTTCGTGCGGTATCCTATCGTAAGCATAAACCCATGGACTTGTTGAGCATGGCGATAGTCATATCATAATGCTTATAGGCCGTTTTTTCAATAAAAATTTCGAACTCGGTTCGTTTCCTAAGAGCTAGTTAGCTATCGATAGAATGAATGCCAGAGGCGTGGCTTTACCTAGGCGCATTTATTGAATGCTCGACTATTTTCCAGGGCGTCCGAGAAGCATAGTATCGGTAGTAAGCCACTAGTAAGAGATTTTTGAGGATATTATGCTCTAACCCACGAGTCCTAGCGGCAGCTTCAAGAAAGCGCAAGGTCCTCGCTGTACTTCGAGGATCAAACTTGGCCCCCTTCTCACGGAATGCCGCCCTCAGTCGGTCTCGAGCTACAAAGCGAGCTGGTTTTGAAAACTGCACAGCATGAAGGAGCCCGCGATATAGATGACGGTATGCATGGATGACTCTGAGATCAGCCATTGTTGAATTCCCTAAAGCCGATTTGATATATGATATATGACGGTTTTAGAATCCACGTCCCTCGGCAGTAATAATCGATCAGTTATTTGACATAGCAAGTTTTTGTTTTTTTGTTAATTTGTTATTACACGATTGCGCATTTGCGTAGCCCAAAAAAAAAGATGCACTACCTATGCCAAGAAGATGTCCTAGTGTATCAGCCGCTGCCGAGGCCAGGTTAGGTACTGACATACGGAATACATGGATGTACTTTACCTCTAAAGCGGTATGAATACCTCTATATTGTATGTAGTTTCCATGTATATTTGCGCTTAAATCACGCTACGATATACATAAATATACTAATTCAATAGACGCGGTAGTGTGGCAATGAAACGGGGTATATCGCTGTGCTAGGAAAGGTTAAATCGATTTAATGCCATGTCATGTTTCGATCGGATCCACGATCCACTTTGATGTCACTGTCTTCCACTCAAACAACCCAATCGTCGCGAATACACTACCGGTCCCGTGGCGTTGCCCAGAAGGCGGTTCATCCCAAGCATCCGGACGGGATATCTTATTATACACACGACTCTTGCATCATTTTTCTATCTTCCTATCTCTATTCTACCTATAACTTATAATTATTCCTTTTATTTATTTTCTGTTTTATTCGTGTCCCGACGAGGTTGACCATGACAAGTCTTCGTAACTAAATTCCGATCGCAGCCCCCGTCTCCTTTTCTGATGGCGTCGCTCGTTACCGACTTTCTTGTCAACCCGGTCATACGACAAGCAAGACGGTTCTCACGATCATCAGGTAACCATACCACTTCCGACTCCATCTCGCCTGCCGAAACACCCAGCGAACACAAAGAATGCACAGACGATGCTATATCAGAGACAGAAGAAGATTCATACTTGGACGACCGAGTAGATGAGAGCATACCGTCGTCTCCCTCGTCACGGAGCTCCGTCCACCCAAGCCCAAGCCCACATAATGAAGTAGCTGACTTGGATGAGAACATTGCCCAGTTCAATGCCATAAATCGTACCATCGCCCGCAACCCCGATACGCATATCTGCGACCATGACATTCGAGATCTCGACACACATCTCAGTTCGATGTCTATAAGTAGCTCCACCATGGCACCAGATAGTATTTTATCCCCTGCCGATATTTCTTCTCCAAGGATAGAACGAAGAAAATCTTTACCCGAGGATGATGGGATGAGTTCATTGAGGAAACGTGTATTCGCCATCCAAGCACAGGATGTTGAACCAGCCGAGAAAGCCCGTTTAATGCACCAGCTTCTAATAGAAGGTTACACGAAATCAAGAAAGGTGGTCCTAATAGAACGACCCCTAACGCCCTCCAGCCCCACAACATCAGAACAACGACGATCCCAAGGTCCTTTAGAATCCTTTAAATTCTGGCAGAATACTTCAGAAGAGACGGTAACACTTGAGGAATTTGATTTGACACCCGAGGATCTTCAGCCTACATTTGCGCCACCGAGGGAAATATCGGAAGAATCTGGTGAATATGCAGAAGATCCCGAAGACGATCGACCTCTCGGCTGCGAGCATTATAGGCGAAATGTTAAGCTGCAATGCTCCACGTGTAGTCGGTGGTACACATGTCGTTTCTGTCATGACAAGGTAGAGGACCACAATCTGATTAGAAAAGATACTAGAAACATGTTATGTATGTATTGCGGCACTGCCCAGAAGGCTAACGATGTCTGTATGTCGTGCGGAATCTCAGCTGCTCGTTATTACTGCAATATATGCAAATTATGGAACGACGATCCGGACAAACCTGTCTACCACTGCAATGACTGTGGTATCTGCAGGATCGGAAGGGGAATTGGTAAAGACTTCTTCCATTGCAAGGTAAGATGGCTAGTTCTAAGTTGATGTTATATTTGTGCTTTGTGCTGATCAGCTAAACCAGACTTGCTGCGCTTGCATCGCCATAGGCCAGGAGAAGGACCACAAGTGCATCGAGAGGTCTACCGACTGCGACTGTCCTATTTGCGGCGACTATATGTTCACTTCTCCCAAGGCCGTATGCTTTATGAAATGCGGACATAGTATTCATCGCGAGTGCCTTGATGAGCATATGAAGGTTGCCTATAAATGCCCGATATGCAACAAGAGCCTGGCAAACATGGAGTTGCAATTTCGGAACCTTGATATCGCAATCGAAACGCAGCCCATGCCACCCGAGTTTCAGGACACGCGAGCGTTGATTCTATGCAACGACTGTTCTACCAAGAGCACAGTCACATACCATTGGCTAGGTTTAAAGTGTGGCCTCTGTGCTTCTTATAATACCGCACAGCTTCAGATACTTGGCATGGCAGACGAGACAATCGAAACTGACCTGCTTGGCCGGGAAATAGAATTCTCCGAACTGACAACTTTACGAGGTATTGCGGAGGGGGTTGATGGTGCTCGGGCTCGTGATATGAGGAGGCGTCATTCGTCTACTGTCGCGCGGTCGACAATCAACCAATCCATCATGGAATCGGATTGCCCCGATAGACTTGCGCGCTCTGTGTCCCCGCCTGCTGGCCTAGCGACTTGGAATGCTCCTGCGGGGCACTCTCTCGTGGAGGCTGATGACGAGGATCGAGAGGATATATTAGGATTTTGGAGTAGTAGAACGTCGGACGATGGTGAGGACGACGCAGATGATTCCGATGGTGAATATATATCGTCTTCGGAAGACGAAGACGAGGAGGATGAAGGAGACGATGATGAGATAGATGACTTCGAGCTGCTTGGGCACCGCTAAACATAACGGATTAACCTAGAGTAGTATGTGGTTGCTTAGGATTAACATTGGGATGGCGTTTAGGTATCGGGGGGCATTGAGCGCATAACGAAATTCCAGCAGGGTTTGGGCAAAAATAATTGGCATCCAGTATACAAGAAGGGAAGAATGGTTGGGCATGCAAATTGGTATATATTAGGTGGGTATAGAGGAAGGAAGTCGGTATTCTGTCTCACCCATCCCGGTGCCCATCCCGGTGCCCGTAAACCTTGGGAGAAAGTTGGGGGAAAGGGGAAAGTTCATGACTACGTATATATTGCATACAGAAACACTCAAAAACACGTCATTATTCTATAAATATACCATGATTTTATAGTGTTTGTAAGTGTAGCTACATGTAGCTGGTGAATACGAGTAAAACTCCAAACTCCTCGGCTGTGCGGGATACGGGATACCTAAAGGGCAGACTGCTGCTCTTAGAATGGGTCGTATCGCATATCTCATCGACCGGTGCTTTGCGCAAACTCTGCCTTTTGTGCCTCTTTGCGTAGAAATTGGACAACGTTCTATATAATAATAAATTGTAAATTAGTCCTCTGGTTAATAAAAGTCCATGTATATCAATCAATTCAGTAAGAGCTTGCTTGCTTGGGCTCTCGGACATACCGCGAGGGCTTCCGGGTTCACGCCATTCTCAATCATGGAGATGCAGATAGACAGCGTGCGGCGGTCGAGATGGCAGTTCTATATGTTTGTTAGTATCAGGTTAGGAGTTCGTTGTTTTTTTTTTTTTGTTTTTTTATCGACTTACTAGGATGGTGGATATCTCATGTAGGATGTCGACGGCTTGCTGTGCGGCCTGCTGCTTTTCGTTGTCGTCTCTGGCGGGACCGGCTGGCGGCATTGTGCGCTTGGGGTTTTCTTTGATAATAAGAGAGTGGGTGGTTATTAATAGAGACCGGGAGGTGGAGCATAAAACGGTGTCTACATAGAAGAATATCAAGATGGCTAGTTACATGGATGAATTGGCTAAGTTGTATGTATCCAAGATGATGAGAGGCGCGTGGGGTCGCGAACGTGGAATTTAGTGGTAATTGTTTGGTTGCAGCTGGTCGCAACTGGCTTTTTATGATCAAGGTAAATGCATGAAGCCACAAATAACTTTCAAAGCTCTTATAGGTATTAGATACGTTTCGAAAGGCATACGTTCGTTCATTAGGCATTATTCATAAACTACTTCTCTTCTAATTAAAGGGAGTAAGGCATTCTCTTTATGCCTATGTAGGTAACTAGTCATAATATACCCAAACACATCAATATCCCATAGCAACTAGACCAATACCCGACTCCAGACGCCACCACAAAATCATACGTAAAAAGCAATCGCCTTAAGACTTCATAGCCTCAACAAACAGCTCCCTCATGCCCTTTAATAGCACCGCCAAATCCCTCGTCTCATTAACCCTCTCGAGCACACGATCGACCTTCTCGCGCTCGAGCTTCGGCCTGCAGTGGCGGACGTCGTAGTCGCGAGACGAGGTGCTAAGCTCGAACCAAGCCTCGCGGTCCCAGTCCTTCTCGTCGACGTGCGTATACACGAAGCGCAGGCGGTCCGTCTGTCCCGCCCCCTCGATCTTCAGACACAGGTTCTGCATCCAGAAGTCCAGCTCCGGCACGTTGAACCGCGACTGCGACTCGATGTACTGCGCGTGCGCCCGCTGCGCCGCCAGCCGCGCTTCGATTTCTTTCTGCGTCTCGGCGATCTGCTGCTGCAGCGCGTCCCGCGACCTTTTGTTTCGGTCCCGCTGCTCGGTTAGCGAGGCGATTGCTGCTTGCATCTCCCGCGTCTCGGCGGCTTCTTTCGATATCATCTGCTGGTGCGTGTTGGTCTTGTGCTGGAGGATTTCCATGTCCTTCTTCTTCATGCGCTGGTCCTCTATTTATTTCGTCGCAACGCCCCCGTTAGTCTTGTCTTCCTTGCTACGCTATTATATGCCGTGCGGGAGTATATGGGGTGCCCGTTGGCTCTACTGCTCACCTTGCAATTCGGCAACGTTCATTCGGAACTGATTGCGCTCTTCGAGGACGCGCTTTCGCCCCTGCTCGATGAAGGCGTCGAATTTCGCGCTGAACTTGGCCATGCGGTCGCGCAGCTCGTCGAAGCCAAAGTTGATGCTGGGAAGGGAGTCTGCCATGGAGGGGGCCGTCGCCGACATCGTTTGCCGGCCGCTTAGGCTTGACGACAAGGACGATTCAAATGCAGATGCCATCTTCGGTTATTGGACTTTTCAATTCGGTAATATGTTTTTGTTCCGGCTGGTAAGTGCTGAGAAACTAATTAATTCTATTGCGTTGCGACAATTTTTGTGGTTGGTGATTAACTGCAGGGTGCCTATCAAACGCATTCACAAATCCAAGTTCACAAATCCAAGCCGCAAATGTTTATGTTCGTTGCCGAGCGGCGCTAGACTCGGCAGGCCGGGGCCCACTTAAATATACCGTTACTTTTAGGTATTTCGTAGCAACTATCACTTGTATCAATTTACCTACCTTTCAATGAAACACCAGCAAATATACTATTTTTTTCTAGTGTAGGGTTAGTCAAATATATATAAACTCTAACCTAAACCATAATATATTTACCGATAGGAGTTATTCTCATAGGAATACATTTATCACCGGGATAGCCGTTAATGCTTAGTAGTTTCAGCTAAAGGTTGCACAGAGCCTTACGCGATAAGATAATGCACACGGCGCGCTCTCTGGCTCTTCGAGGTCCAACTATTTCCCATTTTAGCAAGTTCGGCATTTTCACTTCTCATATTTTGCTAGTGAATTTTCATCTTCAGCACCGACCTCGTCTTTTAATCGACTCTTTCCAGCAAATCTTGGTTACGTTCTTCTATGGTCTATTTTGGATTGCATTCTTTGGCTCTTCAAGCCATAGCTATGTACGGAAAACAACAATTAACATTCGAGAAGAAATATATCGAGCCTGGCTCTCCGAATGACTGACCGTCAAGTCACTGAATCATCTGTTGGACTCGCAGGACGCCTTTCACATGTACCCTATAAACTAGGTAAGGCGGAGGATTGCGGATGGCAATCCACGAGGAACTTAACTCAGAATAGTAAGTTCCTATAATCCTAACTTCATTTATAAAGCATCTAGGTTAACATCTTTTGAAGCGCCTGTATTTAGGGAACTTGGCCCCTGCAAGACATGGTTTCCAGCTCCTAATACTGCTGATGTACCATGTCTTACTTCATCAACTGGTGCTGTATGGCAGGCAACCCGAAAACAGCAAAAGTGGCTATTGAAAGCCTACCCCGAAGCCCACCTTGGAAATGAATGTATCCATGACCAATTATTGTCATCGCATTCACCAGATCAGTTTCATGAGGGTGAAGCCCGATATTCATCTCTCTTTGCGATCGGTGAGTTAACCGATACAAGCGATTCAAAGAAGAGCTCTGGTGCGCCGTTGATAGCGACCGTTACTGGTGAGGCCGGCGATATCCTTCGTCTGGCCAAGCCGGGTACGGAAGAATGGCAATGGGGTGAAGATGACAATGTCTCACTACAAACTTCGAATATGAAGGAGACAGATGAGTTTATTCTATACGAGGAGGAAGAACTTGCAGGGCCTATTCGTTATCTAAAATCTGTAGTCGACTCAAAGAGATACGACCCAACGCGCTGGGTTATCGTCCAAAGAGACTCCGGAACCCGAGTGTTTCGACCGGAATACCGCAGGACGCCGACGATATCCGATTACACTAACGTAGAAACACCGTCTCGTATTGCTGCAAACCCACTGTTCACCCTCTCCAAAAGCCAGACTGGAGGGAATCCTCATTCGGATACGTCGTTCAACCCCGGCATCAGGGCGAAGCCGCCTCAATTCGGGCTCATCGATGAATGTGGGTTCTGGAGTATCTGGGATGTCGCTCATATCAGAATCAGAACTGGGAAGCCGCGTTTGAGTCTCAGCAAATGCGGTCATATCGAAAAGGGTGTTTTGAGTCATTTACCCTCTCGAGGCACGGGGATATCACAATGGCACAAGATATTATGGGTTGGCTGTGCGGGGAGCTCAGAAGAGTCGCAGACCTTCGATTTTGAGGAAGATGTGGATATTTCTGAAACCCAAGGACCCTTTCCACAGCTTGTGCGATCTTCAACGTTGCTTTTGTGCAATCCGAAGCTGGTTAGGCTGCTAGATCTCACAAATAACACGTTTCTCCCCGATCTACCCTTTTTCGGAGAGAGAGACCAAGACTCCATTCTGGACGTGCATACAAATCTGCAAGACACCCAGTACATATTCGTTCTAACTACATCAAAGTTGTTTGTAGTCAGGGTATACTCTACCCAGAGGAAGGATTGGGGCGAGGTACAGAAAAGCTCTGCTATCGTGCTATCAGTATCGCATTTCAGAGATGGCTTCGACCGAAGCTTGAAGTTTGCAGTCACCCCAGGGGCTGTATCGTCTGGGCATGCCACTTCCCTGGTCTTCGTATACTCCAGAAACAACACTCAGGTCGACCTCTTTTCCGTCACTATGCCGAAAAAGAACCCCTCTAGGGTCTCCTATCATCGCGAGGTAGTTTCGTTGGATGCCGTTCATCGCTCATCCCCAGACATAGCTCTCCAAAGTATATATTTTCATCCTACGCCAGTCATTTTGAAATCTCCAAATACACTAGCTGAGTTTACACGGCGTCTGGTCCGGCAGAAGGTTCGATTTTATCAGCTTTTTGCTATGACGAAAGACATGTGTCTTGTTTCTAGTCTCTGCACATCCACATCTACATTAACCATCAATCAGATAAAACGTCCGGACCACAGAGTATCTCGAACCAAAGACCGGCCTAAAGAAAGAAAAAAGCTGCTGAAATATATGACGTCCCATTTTGTTGTGCCGGATGATATCGACGTGCATAATTATGAAGATGGAAGCGTCCAAGACGTCACGAAAATATTTCATCCATGGCCAACAATACGAAGGCCCCTTGGGATATTCTACGAGTACATATGTACGGCTTTTTCTCTCCAGATTAAAGAAAGTCAAGAACAGTCTTCCAGAGAGGAAAACTTTGGTTCTAATCCGTTCGACCATGTTCGTGGTGTTATTGGGCAAGCTATTCGGGATGGAACCATGTCTGCCACTACTCTGTAGGTCTCCTCCATACATTTCGATGTTTTTACAATTAATCAGGACTAGTTTCGAAACGATGGAAGACCTGGCGTTGCCGGCCGATTTGAGGCAAGCTGCTACCGAATGGGACTTCGAAATAGAACAGCTCGGGCATATTAACCCTGACATAACATTAATAGCATTGAATCGACCACTCAGCCAGGTCACGGAGCCAGCAACTTCACTGCACGGACTCTTTTCTGCCCTTTTCAGTATGGCATCCAGCTCTGGTTTAAGCGAAGAGCACCGAAACTGGATGGAAGTAGCAAAATCTACCGTATTCCGACAGATGGCATGTGATGTTTATTTGTCCCTCTTTGGGCTGGTTCATCGCCAAATAGAGTCGAGGCAGACCCAACGATCTCTTACCGAGGAGCTAGAAAGCATGGCTATCGACAGTCAGCCAGAAAGCCGCATGGGGAGTTTGTCAAGATCACAGTCCGAGGTGCCTATTTCGGAACCCAATACGCCTAGAGCGGAAAGCCAAGGGGAGGATCCAGCTATGGCTCTTTTAAGGTCATACACAGGTAACGGCAAGTTTGTACCGGTAAAGCGTACAATGCTCCTGGACAAATGGGAAGTCGGAGCTAACCCTGATACTTATGTGTTCGATCTTGAGAGAAATAAGGAGGTGACTCCCGGGATGGAGAGGAGAGCAAAGCAGCTAGCCCGCGAAAGTCGGAAAAGACGTAGGGCAGAAACACTACTCCAGATGCAGAAAGACAAAGAGCCAAATCTGCCGGCTACCCAACCAGCGCTAGATACCCGCTTCTTCAACCAGCATAGCCAGCCTGTTGCGTATTCTTCACAGACCCAGGCAATGATGTCAGATCCGTTACAGACTATGTCTCAGCCAATACCGGGTATCTTTGGTCGAAGAGACGAGCGGCCGAAGAAAAAAGTTAAAAAGCGGAAAGGAGGGTTTTAGTAGTGCTTAGATATTGGAGTATCAGTGTTTAATAAAAAGCTGCCAGGAGTCTATCTTTCTAAGTCTTGAGGAGAAATGAGTGTTTTGAAACTTCAAAGCGTAATAACTATAGACTTCGCATCTTCAGATAAGTTATATTCATTACGGATGGTTAGACCGAATTTTACCCTTCTCAAATGTTTGCTCGGACTCGAATTTATGTGCTTGGATCAAAGAAACTTGGGTACCAGGTAATATTGATGTAGGCCGTTTGTATTATACCGATACCTAAAAACATGTATATGTACATTGTCTTAGTAAGAGTATATTTAACTAACTAAAGTTTGGAATTGCTAAAACGACTGGGTCAATTTACCGCATCTAACCGCATTTCCCAACTTCATGCAATTACCCGATCTATAGCTTCCCACTATCAAGTCCTAACAAGCTTCAAGCTTTCTTCATCTCTATAAAACCAAGCAATGCCCAGAAACATTTAAACTTAGCCAAAACCCAAGAGCATCCCATTAAATAATCACACGTACCGAAATACTAACTATTAAATCCCAACGGGCAAGATGTCTCATTGTCGTGAAGAACACGACCATGGTGACCATCATCATCATGACCACGATCATGACCATACGGACGAGATGGTGCCCGCTATGAATCACAGCTTATACCAGCATATCATCTTCGACCAGATCACCACGCTAAACGAGACGCTTAAGGATTCCGGCAGGAAGATCGTCGAAAAGACATGGGCTCAGAGTGAACTGCTGGAGCCGGAGCTCGAGAGCGACGCCGATGAGCAGGTTATTATAAACGTGCCGTGAGTATTGCCCCCTTTTTTACGTAGAGCGACTATATTTCATATTTCATTCATCCATCTCAACTTAACTCAACTCAACTTACTCACACCCCCCACAGCTTCACCGGCCAAGTCAAGCTGCACACAATCCTCCTCCGCTCGCCGCCTGACGCCAGCGCGCCGCGCACGCTCAAAGTGTTCACGAACCGGGAAGACGTAGACTTCGACGTAGCCTCGGAGATGTCCCCGACGCAGACGTTCGAGCTGTCGCAGTTCAGCGGCGTGCAGGAACTGCCCGTCCGCCGGGCCCTGTTCGGCAACGTGCGCCGGCTGGCGCTGTTCTTCGAGGACAACTTCGGCGACGAGGAGTCCACGCGCATCTCGTACCTGGGCTTCAAGGGCGATTGGATACCCGTCGGGCGCGCGCCGGTGAATATCCTGTACGAGGCCGCGCCGAACCCCAACGATCATAGGGTTAAGGGGACGGCGGCGTCGAGGCATCTTGACTCTGCGTTTGGGAGGGACGGGTAACGTGAGGTTTGGTGATGAAAAGGGGGTTAATCAGTCGATGGGTGGGTGCCTTTTAGTGCAGAGGGAGCATCATTATCCACGGCATCTACAATACTACAATACTACAATACTACAATACTACAACACTACCTATTATGAGGTAATCACGAAGTTTATAGTTTATATATTACTTCGGTAGGGTAATTCATTCGTTCCTTTACATAAAATCTTCCTCCCAGTTCTCATCCCTGTTCTGGTTGCTCGAGGACTCCATGTTCTCTTCCGTGAACAATTCATCGTAAGCGTGGTCCTTCTGCCACTTCTTCTCCTGCCTCTCCTTCATTATCCTGGCCTCTTCCTTCTTCTGTAGACATATTCTTGTTAAACTACCTAGCATATTTCGCAGCGAAAGTGAGGAGAAGAGGAAACTTACTCGTTGTTGTTGAGCAGCCTGGTCCCGCTTTCGTAGCTCTCTACGATGATCCTCTCTTTCCTGCTGAAGATCGGGTTGCTTCTCTACCTTGGTCTTGTTGAGCCGGTTGATGATGGCGTTCTCACGCTGGACGACGAGGACCTTTTTGACTTTGCGTGGATCCTTAAAGCTCACCTGGCCGGCGGCCATGCTGCCGTCCTTCTTTAGATTAGACCAGGGCGTATATATAACGGTGATGTTATCCTTCTTATTGCCCTCGATGGAGTTGGCCTTGGTCAGCTGCGCCAAGTCCGTCACCAGGTCTTGCGGTATGTTCTCCCACGAGTCGCCCTCGTTGAGTCTTAGATAGATATGCGCGCTGGAAAGCTTGTCCACGTGGAACTGCTCATAACAACCCCTATCGCATGAGATTCGTGACACTTTCCAAGTTGTAGTTTAAAAAACATGTTTAGGATTTTTGTTTTCATACCCTAAGGAGAGACAATATGAATACGGCGTACTTGTTTTATTTGGTAAAGAAAGGATTAGCGACGCTACTTACCAGACGTCTTCTTCCCAACCGTACTTAATCAACTCCTCATCTTTACGATGGTTGTTAGTACAATACGTACGTACGTACATGTTGGGCATGGGTCCGACTTAGACCGGGGATATAAAATAGATCACCCACTCTCGAATTTGTCCTTGCCGACGTAGACGAACGCTGGAGGATCGACGACTGTCGATTTGAAGTAATAGACCATTTTGATGCCGACGTATGAGATATTGTATGTATGTTAAAAAATAAGTTTTATTTTGACGGATTTCAGATATGAAGGAATAGAATATACTTTTTTTTTTCCTTTTTTCAGCAGACGCAAAAGTACTTTATTCCAGCGCGGGCCTGTAGATCTATGTATGTACCTAGGTACCTAATGCTTAGGTACCCCTACATGGATCCGACCAATCGATGGTACGTACCCCGCCTACCGCAGATTCCCCGAAAAAGTTCCCTAGGACCCACCCGACATTTTTCAACTCTAGATCAAAGCTTCAACTTCAACTATCCCATCCCATCTCGAATTGCTATTCCAAACCGCTACTCGGCATACCGAATTTACGAATAACCAAGGGTTGCATTGCCATAAGATATCTCGAGTAGAATCGGTAGTCGAGCACTAAGCTCCCAGCGACAATGGCATCTCGACTGCCGGCCCGCTGGGCAGCCGCAGCCTCCCTCGCCAAAAGCTGCTTGCTGGGCAACACCCGAGTCCTTATTACCGAGAGCCACACGCTCCTCCCTCGAACTTCTAAACGCGGTGTCAAGTATGGCTGGTCGACGGCCAACCCCCGCACAAAACCTAGGCGCTTCAATCAACAGACCGCCGGTCTGCCCGCGCCCACGACGGGCCCCGCAGCGGCTTTAGAGCGCAAGGCCATGTCGACGCCGCTGCGGACGGGTATCCTGGCTACCAAGAAGGGCGTCTCGGCCATGTACAGCGCGAACGGCAAGCGCACACCTTGCACAATCCTGCAGATGGACCAAGTACAAGTCGTCGCTGTGAAGACCCGCGCCAAGAATGGTTACTGGGCTCTCCAGATAGGCTGTGGTCAGAAGGAGGCCGACAACGTCACTGCGCCGCAGCTGGGCTACTTCGAGGCCAAGGGCATTGCACCCAAGCGCCACCTCTCCGAGTTCAAGGTGCGCGGTGAGGAGGGACTGTTGCCCGTCGGCGTGCAGCTCCAACCGGATTGGTTTAAGGTCGGCCAGTTCGTCGATGCTAGGAGTGATAGTCGAGGTATGGGTTTTGCGGGTGGTATGAAGAGGCACGGCTTCGCTGGTCAGGAGGCCAGCCACGGTAACTCCAAGAATCACAGGACGATCGGTACGTCGGGTCCCAGTCAAGGCGGTGGTTCGCGTGTGCACCCGGGCAAGAAGATGCCGGGGCGTATGGGTGGCGAGAGAGTCACGATTCAAAACCTGAGAGTCCTGAAGGTGGACAACGAGACGGGCATCGTGGTGGTGAACGGGCACGTGGCGGGGCCTAAGGGGTGCATAGTGAAACTAGCGGACGCTGTCAAGAAGGAACCGCCAGCGCACACGTTCATCGAGAAGGCCAGAAGGCTGATGCTAGAGCGGAATCCAGACCACGAGACGCTGTTACAAGAGGCGCGGCTAACACATCTAAACTTAAAGGAGATGAGAAAGACGGGCAGGATACGAGATACTGCGGCATTGGCGGCTGCATTGTAGAATATATATACACTACATTTGTACCATATACAATAATGATGTACACGTCTCTCGATCCTAATGAAGAGTATGCTGGGGTTGCAGGCCGTCCACTCTGCTGACTTATGCGCAGCCTTTCCCGTCACCTTTGGCGCCAAACTAGAAGCGATATGTTTCTAATATCGCCTAGTTATTTAGTAGGTTTACTCGTACCCAAGCATTTAACAGCTACGCGTAGAGCATTCTTCCACCGCTCAAACCCAGTATTGCCCTCTGGAATCTAACACCAACAGCAGCAGCATCTAAAAGGGACGCATGCGACGACGCCCTCACTTAAGCTGCTGTCTAAACCCCCTCGTAGCCTCCTCGCGCTCCTCCTCATCCATCGGGAACGCGGCCACAGCCCTAAACGGATCGTCGCCTTCCAGCAGATCGATCTTGGTGCCGTCGGGGGTCTCGAGGCTCCACTCGGTGGTCTCGAAGACGCCCTTGGGGGAGGGGCGGAAGCTGGCGAAGCGCATGACGGCGGCGGAGCGGGTGCCCTTGACGGGGAAGCGGATGTCGATGCGGCCGCGCAGCTGGTTCATCTCGCCGGCGATCCAGGGGATCTGGTGCTTGAAGTAGATCTCGTCGCCGAGGACGGCGCGGGCGCGGGGGCTCGTGCGCAGCGCGTACAGCGTCGAGGCGACGATGGGGCTCGAGAGCTTTTGGTAGTTGAAGATGGCGACGCTGGAGGCGGCGATTAGGGCGAGGAAGATGGGGAGGGTGCGGGCCCAGCGGAAGGTGGTGATGTCTGTGGTTGAGGGGTTAGTCGTGTGTGTTTGTGTGTTTTATAGATGTAGTATAATGTATAATATGGAGATATAGAGAAAGACAGAGAGAGACGCACTTGGGAGTTCTCGGTCCGGACGTCTCTCCATCAGAGGTCCATCACCGGGTTTAGGTGCCGAGACCAGCGTCCTTCTTTGGATTTGACTCCTCGTAGACGCAGATTGATTTCTTAATGAGAATAAAAGCGCCCTCCGACGCGCTAATCTAGACCACATATTGCTGTCGATTTGGTTATGTACTTAAACTAACCTAACCTAGATCTTGAGGTTTGCCCAAGATGTTTCGTTCTCGAAGTAGGTAGAGCTTGCATCCATCCCACCTTGAAATCATACTACATCGGTAGGTACATTGTTATGTACATCCGTACCCTGGTTCCGGAATCCGAGGTGGGGCTTCTTCAACTACCCCTTATCTAATCGAATTCCCGTTAAACGAAAGCCAGGCGGGTCCACCACCCCCCTGTTAGGTTAGGGCACTTCAAAATTTGTAGCCCACCAATTTCTTTTTCCCACTTGCCAACTTCCTAGGAAATCGTGAACCTCCGCCAAATCCCAACACCAACCAGCCCTTTCGTCCCTCGGAAATCAACGTCTTTCTCGCCAATTCACCCCAACCGCCCACCGACAAAATGACCAAGGTTAACTCCGGTATGTTTATACGCTTTACCAATTGATTCCCTTCTCAAATGTGTATTTTGGGAGGGGGAGGAGGGTTGAACGTTGGTCAATTGAAACGATGCCATATACTAACGGGTTCTTTTTCAAGGTATCGCCAGCTCGCGACGAAAGTCGAGAAAGGCGCACTTCGGTGCGTCTTCCGGCGAGCGCCGTGTCATCATGAGCGCTCCTCTTAGCAAGGAGCTCCGTGAGAAGTACAACGTAAGTTTTCAATAGTTCCTCCCATGATAGGACACCCCATGCCCGTTTCGACTTGCACTCGTAAATTTTCTCTAACACGATTCCGCCCCGTAGGTCCGCAGCATCCCCGTCCGAAAGGACGACGAGGTCATCATCGTCCGAGGCACCAACAAGGGCCGCGAGGGCAAGGTCACCTCTGTCTACCGTCTCAAGTACCAGATCCACATCGAGCGCGTCACCCGCGACAAGGCCTCCGGCCAGAGCGTGCCCCTCGGCATCCACCCCAGCAAGGTCGTCATCACCAAGCTAAAGCTCGACAAGGACCGTGAGAACATCCTAGAGCGCATCAAGGTCGGCCGCGAGCTGCGATCCAAGGGCAAGGCTGCTGCCAAATAAGCCATCTCTCCAGCCTAACACCCATCCACCTTTTTTTCATTACTCGGTTGTGCCACCGGCCTGGCCTGGCCTGGCGAAAGGGGAGCGGATTACCCGTTGGTAGATAAAGTGACGAAGCGTCCTACGAGTCGGCGGGAGGAATATCACGGAATATGGCGTCTTGCGAAAGGGTAAAAGCAACTCCCCCGGCTTCATCGAGAGGGACATGACGGATCATCGGCGGGATTTAATTGCATGGGAGCTCGACGATCAAGCATCTAGATGCGGTGGCACACACCCACCAAATGAAAAAAAAACCATTTGCATGCACACAATGGCCATTTCACAGTTTCTTGTGAAATGTTCCATGGGAGGTTCTTCCCGAAGTCTCGCTTTCTATATATCTAACTGGCCATGCTCATACTCATGCTTGCAATGCGCACTCAGGCGGACTAACCTCTAGGTTACCCTCTCATCCCAATTAAGGGAGTTAGACAGATCTAGGGGAGATAGATGGACGAGGCTTCTCCAGGATACGAGTCCATTCAGACAGTTATCCCCTCAATGTAAGTGGCTCTCCCTTTTCGTAAGCACGCGTACATTAATCGCGATGGAACCAACCCCCTCCCTATTCGATTTGATGTAAAAGCAAATACCGCCAGGATATCTCCGCGTCAACTTCAACCCCTTGGTTTTCGAGGTATACGACTGGCGAAGAGGAAAGCAAGCACAAGGGATATAATAATGAATCACCCCCTTGTCGCCCCCTCGCCTGCAGACTGCCAACCAATAGATAATATCCATGAGGTTGGGAGTTTGATGGTGAAGTACATTTTTATATCTTATCAAGAGACACGATAATTCGTGCTTGTAGAGTGTTTAGGTATTAATTACTCTTACACTTCTTTTTTACTACTATGTAGTTGTAGTTACTACCAGTCAAAATATTACTTATTAGTTAATAAGGACATTCATCATAATTACAATGAATGCTGTCAATTATGAGCCGTGAGGCGAGTTATCTGCGATCCTAGTAAAACAGTATGTCGAAGCAACAATAAAAGCAATAATGAAATCTGCAATGCAATAGGCTTTTCTCTGCTTCTCAACCTCAACCACCTCAACCACCTCGGTTCTGTCATTACTACACGATATCATCTCCCTCCCCTCCTTTTTTCCGCCTCATCAAAAACAAAATTATGTCAAAGAGAAATTATTACTTTTCGTCGAACAAGTGTAGCACTCAAAAGCAACGTAGCACATATTTTGCCTCGGCTTTGGTTCGTTCTCGTGGTGTGATGGCTTTGTTGTCTCCATCGAAACACGAAGTGTTGTTGCAATCTTGACCATGCCGAAGGATCATACGGGATGATCATACAAGTGTCCGTAACCTCCAAATGGTGACGGAAAACGAAAATAGGAAATATTCAGTCGACCGAAATCATAAACAATAACCTATGGTCAACTTCTCGAAGAAATGAACCTAATCATACTAGCATTAGTGTAACGAGATGTTGTTTATAGAGCTGCTGCTGCTTCATTCCTCGTTGTGTAGTAGGCAAAGAGAGGATTGGCGGGCATGATACTGCCTTTTTTTTTCTCCCGGCGATGTGCAGCTTTAGCCTTCACCAGTCCGAACCAACGACTCCACGTCGCTCGGCGTCACGAAGCATACGTTCCTGGACGTCCTTCAACGGATCGTAGTCTGCCGAGCGCGTCTCGTTGGGCGGGCAGTTCTCTCCAACTTTCTCTGCAGATCGTTGTGCATCATATTCAATACCCTTGTCTCCAGGTTCAGGTGAAACACGGGTCGCCATGTTGCTCGTGTTAGAAATCGCGGGCCCAAGAGAGGCAGCAGCATGCCCATGATACTGAGGCAAATATCCTGTAGCTGTGGTCGACGAGACTGTGCTAGGCACTACGGCCCCACTGGTTGGCCCTTTCTTCAGCATGCTTTGCCAGAGATCTTTTCCAGACTTGTTGCTATAGAAGGTCAGCCTCTGGTTCAACGTTCAAGTATCCGTTCACATACCTAGATCTTTCAACGGTTCGACGGCCCATTGCATCCTGCTTCTTATCGGCCTCAGATGGCGCGGTTGGGGACGGAACCTTGTTGCTCTTGGGCTTATTAGAGAGACCTTCAGTACTATCACCACCATGTAGTCCTGTAGAAGCAGACTCCTTCTTGGATGCGCCCCCTCGGCTAGCATTGTCAGGAGCAACAATCGGAATGGCTTTGCTGATCTTCTGGGTTCCATGGCTAGGGCGGAACGGGTCGTTCTCCGTAGGCTGAATTCGGAAGCCAAAGTCGATGTCCGGTCGGCCGCTTGGTATTATTCGACGGGGTGCAGGTTGGGAAGCCTCAGCACCGTGGGTAGCTTTTGCTGGCGAGGGTGGATAGAAATCCTTTCCGTCGAACTTTGGTAAGCCGAACCCTACATTTGGAACGTGGCCCCAGTAGTTACTTCGAGCTCGCTTCTCCTCCGCGGTTAACTCTCGCGAATATACGTACTCCGCTCCATGGCCACCATGAGGGTTCACTCCTCGGGGTAGGGTTCCAACGAGATATGGACGGGTGTGGCTATTCGAAGCAAAACTCGCCGACTGTGGCTGGGAACTCACAGCAGAAGCGCGGTTAACCGTGTTCGAGTTTGTAGGGAACATGCCGTTCCAGTTACCATTCTGGTCAAACGGCAGCATACCAAATGATGGCCATCCAGCAAGTCCATGTGTGCTAGAGAAACCAGCCTGCGGTCCAAGATTTGTCCCTTCTGACTGAGTTGCGAAGGAATGCGGTGCTCCGTCAAATGTAGGCGCAGAAGCAACGTCGTTGTAGGATGCCACGTTCTTCATCGGTTCAGGTGCGGCAAGCCCTTTCCTCATTTTGTCTTGGATAAGTGCTTCCAACGCAGGATCCAGACTGAGCGGCGATGTGTTGCCTTTATTCGAGTTGATTCCGATCGCCCTCGAGTTTCTGTGGTTACCATGTCTCGAGCTAATTCGCTCAGAGGATTGGAAATGCGAAAGGCTGCGGCCCTGGTCACCAACGCCGACGGAACTGTTCTGAGACGTGTTTCCTCCTCGACGGCTTCTAATGCTAGAGCTTCCCGTGGGGGTCTTCCAAATTGCTCCTGGTTGAGTTGAACTTGAAGATCCAGTTGGAACTTGGGGGTAGTAGGAGGCCTCGAAATTTGCCTGCATCTTGTAGTTCTGCTCGAACTGCCGTACGCTTTCTCTCAGCTTATCTGCCTGCTCTTCGGTCCATTTCTCGTCAATCTGGTGCCTGTTGTATTGGAGCTGGTCTTCATAGTACTTGAGGGAAGTCTTCAATGCATCAAGTTGACGCTTTGTGATTTCACTCGGTCTAATTGACGTAATGTGAGGTGTAGCTCCCTGGCTGGGAGCAGACGTTGGCTGCCCTGATCGAGCACCTCCACTAACAGCTTGGTGGGCATTGAAATGAGGAGAAGGGATGACGGCAGGGCTGAACATTGATGCAGCAGGGGACGGCTGCCCCATTGAGCCGAAAGCGCCCATCTGAGCACCAACAGAACCCAGATGTCCGACTACGCCAGGCGGGAAACACGGGCTCGAAAGCATCATCGGCATAGGCATTTGGCCCTGTACTAATCCATAGGCTGGGGGGTAGATCACGTTACCATTATGGTAGAACGGACGGTTCTGTTCGAACTGATCTCGGGGAGTGATCTTAATAGGAGCGGGCCTTGGCTTCTTATCGCCGGCACCGTCTTGGGTTTTAACTTCTTTGGCTGCTTCGTCGCTGTCCTGCTGGGGAGTGGGCTGCTTACCACCCGAGTGTGCAAGAGGAAGAGTAGGCATACCAAAGGCCAAGGGAATTCCGTGAGGAACAGGGTACAGAGGCATAGGCAAGCCCATGTGCTGGAAATATCCCGGGGGGCCATGGAACTGCAGCGGGATTTGCGCCTGGGGAAACTGGTTGGTAGCGCCGCTGGTAGCGTGGG